TCCATGCAGGCTTGATGCATTTCGCAGGTACCGTCATGATGTATTGTCAATCTTGTGTACAATGTACTCGCTACCCAGGCCCTCATCTTGATCTTGTGTAAAGTACTTCGTAGTAAAAACAATGATATTGAGAGTGATTATCGTGTACTACAGGTGTGATGTACATAAATTACTAAGTACTAGTAAAAGGAGCGAATGTGCACTCCCATCAAGACAGGCAACAAATGCCATTCTAGGGGAGGATGTTAGAGACATAACATGTGATGCAAAGGACTTGAAGCCTCATGGAGGAGGGTCGGTGTACCATCTGCGTACCATCTTAGGATGGTGGCGGCGAGGGCACCTAGATGGCGATGGGATGCCCCTATATCCTATTTGGGTTACAGTGGAGGGGATCCTCGAGGAGGGATCCCCTCAGACCCATTTCGCACCACCCCTAAGGGGGTCTTCTTGACGTTGACAGGTCCTGCCTGGGGTGTTGGCACCCATTCCAAGGCCAAATGGACCTTGGTTTCGGGGCCGGTGGATCACACCTCGGCCCGGATGCTGGGTTTCGAGGGCGTCTGGCACATAACCTGACCGCCGTCCGGGCCCCGTTCCGGGGGTTTGAGATGTAACATTTTGGCTCCAAAGGCCCCTTTTCGGGGCTTCCGGGATCAGAGCTCTTGGGGGATCTTGTTCAATGGTGCCTGTGACCCGTCACTGAACACTAGGTCGAGTCGATACACTACCTTTCATTGATTTGTTTGTAAACTTACGCTTCCGCGTCGTCTCGGCATTGCTGAGCCAGTACGCGGACTTACAATAACTACAGGTGCCATATCCACGCGGCGCTGCGGCGAGGTACTCATGTTCACACTGCGCAACCGTGACACCGTGTAAGTATCGACTAGAGCGCTGATGCAAGCTGTCTGGTTCAATTGTTGGTGATGCCCAGTACGTGCTGTTCGAGTTACAGGCTGATCGCTGGGGCTAGCCTGCGCGCGGGACCGAACACCTCGGAATCCGTACTGACGTCTCCATTCGGCATCACCGCTAGTCGCTCGATTCGCAATGGAAACGGCACAGCTGTACAACTGTTGACGGCGAGTGCTGTCCCAGACGCCTTGAGTTTACCGCCATGTGTGTGGTCAAGATCTATATATAATTCCTCGTCCTTACATGCACTCCCCACTTGAGTAGCCGATCACACACCATTAACCCATCCGTCTTCTGATACTATCTGAGCATGTCCGCCGCACAACCTCTCCCTGTTTTGATCGTGAGTTGACTGTGATCCGCCTTCGCGTTAACTGAATATTGGCCTGTCCTCGGCGCTCGCTCAGGCTGGAGCTGGCCCTTCTGGCCTTGTCTTAGCCCTGTCCCTGGTCCAGCATGGCATACAGGTTCGCATAATTGACAGAGATCAACAATTCCACATTGGACAACGCGGCGCTGGCATACAGGTGATTTGTTCTCCACCAATGGGGAGTATTATAAGTATCTAAAGTCCAGCCTCCTATAGCCCAGGACTTTGGAGGCATACAACCTCTTGGGTGTTTTGCCTGATATCGTCTCCAGAGGCATGGACATACGTCCGATGCGGTTATACAAGCTTCCCGGAGGTGTTGAGCCGGCCAGTACAGTCAACATGATATCCATGGAGGAACCTACGCCAAGCACTCCATACGTCCGTTTGCTCATATATTGATTCGACCTGTCCAGGTTCAGCTAACACGGACTATCAAGATTAACCCACTGATGCTCGGGCAGTCAAAGGCAGAGCAAGTGCTGCGTGAACATCTCGCTGCGTATGGATGTCATGTTGAGCGCGGCACGGAGCTGTGCAGCTTCGAACAGAATACCGAACATGTGGTGGCCCATCTCGTCAAGCGCGATGATGATCAAGAGGTTGCTGAAACCGTAGTCTGTCGCTGGCTTGTCGGGACCGATGGGGCGAGAAGTAAGCCAGTCTGGCTCTCCTGTGCGATATCATGGACTGACCTGCTGGACGCTTTATAGGCATCGTACGGAAGCAACTCGATCTGAGTTTCCTCGGCGAAGGGCTTTCGGGGAAAGGCGTCTTCGGCGAAATCGTGATAAAAAATCTGACCCGTGACGTGAGTTTTTATCCAATCTCATTGGTGGCTTTTATAACCAAATATCGGACAGTATTGGCATTGTTGGGGCAGCTTCGGTTCTAACATGTACGTCTGCTGCGACGATGTGATTTGAAGTACCTCACCTCTCATATATTATAATCAGGGTCATATTACGTCCCACGGAAGATGATGAGATCTATACCTTCATCGTTGCGGGGGACGTAGACGTAGAGAAAGCCTATGAGGATTACGATACACTGGTTCAGATATTAACGAAATTAACGGACAGACAGGATCTCGATTTCGGCGAGATCAAGTGGAAATCCAACTACAGGTGCGTCAAAATGCTCTGTGGCTGAATGCCCTATTGATTCGTATCCAGTCCAAATGTTCGCATGGTGAATAAATTCTCAGAAGGCCGAGTCTTTGTTGCAGGAGGTAAGCGATGGTATGTATGATCTGAAGACACGCTTATGTCATCTAGACGCTGCACACGTACACAGTCCTACCGGCGGCCAGGTGCGCTCATCATAGCATCTCGGTGATGAAGACTAATCATGAGCTGATACAGGGCATGAACTCCAGTGTGCAGGATACTGTACGTTCTGAGCTGTTCGAGAGGTCTCATCATAACTAACCGTGTTTGATCATCAGCTCAATTTAGGCTGGAAGCTCGCTTTGGTGGAGCGGGGAATCGCTCCACAATCGCTCCTCAACACCTACACAGAAGAGCGTCTGCCTGTCATCGCCAACATGCTCAAACAGACAACGAACCTGTTCAAAACTCTCAGAAACGCAGCGGCGGATGGCGGCGACGCATCTAAAGCATGGGCTCAGCCCCGTGACATGAAGATGCTTGGCGTCAACTACCGCTGGAGTTCCATAGTGCTCGACGAAGGCCACCCTCGAGAAGCATTAGAGAAAGACAAGCAACTATTGGACGCATATGGAGCGGACACGAGCGACGGGCTGCATGCCGGCGACAGGGCCCCGGACGCCCCGGGCCTCGCGCTAGTGGAGGCGGGCAACGTCGGGTCCGAGACGACGTCGTTGTTCCGCATCTTCAGCTCCACACGCCACACGATCCTCATTTTCTCCTCAGACGGCGCTCAGATCGCAGCTGTACTCGAAGCGACGAAGAAGCTTGCGCCTCGCCTTATCCATACGGTCGTCATCTCCCCGCGAAACCCTAGTCCTTCGTTGGCCGTATCTGGCGCAGATGTCGTCTGTGTTGATCGAGACGGGCATGGGTGTGCGGGGTATGACGCCGGGCCCGAAGGGATCACTGCGGCTGTTGTGAGGCCAGATGGTATCGTCGGCGCTCTCATTTCTGGAGCAGCAGGTCTTGAAGCCTACTTCAAAAATGTGTTCTCGGGTGTCAAGGCTTGAAGGCATGTCTAATGCCCTTGAGAGTGAGAATATCAGCTAACCAGCGACCTCCGCTCAGCTCGATCTACCTACGGCCATGGAACGTATGGGTGCCATCGAGCCTATCGCATAGTGTAGAGAACAATATCCCGGTTCAATATTATTCCATTATATGTTGTATCAAATGGCTAGCACGTACCTTCGGATCTAAACGCATCGATGCATGAGTAGCCTCAGACTGCCTGGTCACAACTAACGGTTGATGCAACACCGCAGAGCAGCAGACATTATCGGAAGTTACACTTTTTCCCGGGCAAAGAATATCACTCCGACCTGCCATGTGCTATTGGGGTTGTCTCGCCATTTTTGGGCACATCTCGAGTCCTCTAGTCCTATACTTGAGCCATTTGTCAGTGGTCTGTGCATGCGACTCACTATAACAGGCAGAACCAAGTGAAGCCACCACTTGTACGACAAATCTACTACTCTGCAACATTGAGATAAGGCAACCTGAACCGAGAATCCTCCTCCAAGATTTTATGCGCAGGTGTTCAACTGCCCCATACTATAGGCAGCGCCGTGCTCACCCATACTCTCCAGCGCGTCATCGCAAAATTCCTTGACCTGTAACAAGTCCAGTACGCGAAGCAGCGTTCGCGCCCGCCCTGTGGGGACCTATTCACTGGGCTCCGTGAGTAACGGCTGATCCCAGTTGATTGGGAGGCGCGGAAGATGAACCTGCAACTATCATGGTTAAGAGTAGTCCCAGCGCGCTTTGTACGGTGAGGCTGAGCCGGGAAACGGCTCGCATTACTGGCAGATGGATTAGCGCGCACGTCACCACTAAGTGATCATTCTCCAAGTGTCGACGCAGGACAGATACAGCGCCAATATTAGCGCTACAAAGAGGCGAGACTTGAGGTGCGACATGGCAGGTCTAGTCATATACGCAATGGCGAGAGGGTTTCAAGTCACCCGACTATTACTGTAACTCCAGCAATGCGTTCTAGTCATGGGCGACGCACCCATTGAGCGAAAAATGTTCCGTATTCTCGAAGCATATTGCAATATTGCTCAACACGAGCACCTTAAGTTGCGGTGCTTTGCCTCCGAAGAGCAACGGTGTGGACATGTGGCGAGGGAAAGTCACCGTGCTAGGCCCAACCTCCAGTGCGAATGCTTCCGGTTCATGTGCCGGAAAACCCAGGGAGTATTGGCAATCACTCAAGAATAGCAGGCATGATACAGCCTCTGGATGCGAGATGCAGCAGTGGAATAGAGGTTTCTGGCGACGGGGGCGGTGAAGGAGTGGGTCAGACACCGAAAGGGCGTGTCCTCCGAGGATCTTTGATACGTGGTGGCAGTGCGTATCGAATTATGCATCGATTGTCGCCTACAGGTGAGACTCACAAAGGCGACGAGGCGCAAGCGACGACAGACCGTGTGCATTCAGCACTTCGGCTCCCTGGTGTAAAATAACGACGGCCATATAAGACTATTGTCGCCGTGTAAGGGAGAGGGTACGGTCATCGACCACGCGAATGTCCATTAGTGTGAAAAGGGTATGCCTTCAAGAGCACAAAGCTATGTAAGCGATCAGACAGATCTAAAACTATGAGTTTGCACGAGCACTTGCCACAGCATGGCTAACAATGCACGAACTCTTCAGTTCCATGGAGGATGAACAACGCTCACTGATATAAACCTTGTGTAGGCCGCATCCTTTCGTACATTGCAATCCTCCTGCGGCCAGCTGCAGGGACATCGGTCCAGCCTGATGTTGTAGAATTGATGGCCAAGAACGCCAGGGACAATATTGCCCTCTGGGTACCTGTGACTTACCGTGACATATAATGTCACGGCGCTCAATCAATGCTCCGTCTGTCTGTACGCGCCGGATGTAGGATCTAAGTATTGCATCTCTCCTATCCCCTCAGGTCGTTGAGCACATGCATCCTCAGCTTTCTTCAACCAATGCATGCCTTCAAGTGGAGCTCCGGTACTGGCGCCTACTGCGGCACCGCTTGCAGCGGAATGCGCATTTAGACGGCTGATGTGGTGTCACAGTTTAAGTTCTAGTACTAGCAGGCGTGAATGCAGATTGACAGCTCCTCGTGGACAAGTTCCGCAAAGATACAATTCGCGGTGTTGTGATCATGCCCTCTGCGGAGATGTACAGCAGAAGGATCAGCGTGAGATATACGATTATCGCGCTTGAGTCACTGAGTCAGAGGAGGCATGTACTGGCCGTTGCCATCGCCGAGCGCGTCCGCTCGGCCTGACTTAATCTTAGCTACACCACACCGTGATTCGCGCCTGTACAACGACTGCGCGATTAGTGGATACACGCAAACATCCGGCATCGACTGTCCTTTGGCAGATGGAGCAGCGTCTATATAAGCCCGGATCCTTCACCCTAGGTTCCCTAGGGTTCCCGTGAATCTCACCATACATTGACTGCCATCAATCTCGGCTATGTCCTTCTCCCATCCTCTGCCTGTTCTCATCGTAAGTTCAAGCCCTTCTTACTGTGTCCTTCCGCATTGATGCATTTGCGCAAAGGTTGGAGCTGGCCCTTCAGGCCTTGCCTTGGCACTTTCTCTGGTGCAGCATGGCGTGCAGGTTCGGATTATTGATAGGGATCAGCAGTTTCATATTGGACAGCGCGGCGCTGGCATACAAGTATGTGATGAAATGTATTCTCTTTCCTGAGCGAAGAGTAGTATGGGCTCATGATCCATACATGCACCATAGGCCAGAACACTAGAAGCCTGGAACCTGTTGGGCGTCTTGCCCGATGTTCTTTCTAGAAGCATAGAAATACCTCCAATGCGGTTCTACAAGCTCCCAGGAGGCGTCGAGCCAGCCAGGACAGTTTATCTAATCCCTCCGGAGGATCCTACCCCGGATACCCCATACGTACGCTGACTCGTCCTCACCCCATGTACGACCGCCGTTGTCCAACTTACGGGGGCTGTCTAGATCAACGCGCGACTCCTCGGGCAGGCGAAAACAGAACAGATCCTGCGTGAACATTTGGCCAAGTACGGATGTCATGTCGAGCGAGGCACCGAGTTGCTCAGCTTGGAACAGAATGACGGCCATGTGGTAGCGCACCTCGTCAAGCGCAGTGGCGATGAAGAGGTCAATGAGTCCGTTGTTAGCCGATGGCTCGTGGGCACCGATGGCGCGAGAGGTCTGGCTCCTATATGTGTTCATCTACTCTCTTTTGATACGATGTGTGCATTCAGGTACTGTGCGGAAGCAACTCGGGCTGACATTCCTCGGCGAGTCGCTCTCGGGGAAGTTTGTCTTTGGCGAGATTGTAGTCAAGAATCTAACCCGTGATGTGAGCTCGTGTCGGTCCATCCGTGTGCTCTCACCTTACTCACCGATGGTCGGGTAGTGCTGGCATTGCTGGGGAAGCTTTGGAAGCGGGATGTGTGTCTCTCTCTATGATCTAGTTCAAGCCTCCTCACCTTTCGCACGGATACTAGAGTCGTTTTGCGTCCTACGGAGGATGATGAAATTTACAATTTCATTATCTCCGGACCCGTCGACCTCGACAAGATTTACGAGGATTATGACACGTTGATCAAGGCAATCAAGCAAATGTCAGACAGGGATGATCTCATTCTCGGGGAGATCAAGTGGAAGTCCAACTTCAGGTGCACTGTGACGTCCTGCTTCCTGGACGACTCGACTGATACGTCTCTTCAGCCCTAACGCCCGCATGGTAAACAAGTTCTCCGAAGGCCGAGTGTTTGTTGCGGGAGGTAGGCGAGACTCTGCCTGACAGCAACATGTACTGATTTCTTCAGATGCTGCCCACGTGCATAGTCCAACCGGCGGGCAGGTACGCCACTTTTGATATACCTACTGAAACTGAAATAATGCTGGCTATGCAGGGCATGAACTCCAGTGTCCAGGATGCTGTACGTGCATTGTGCCATCAGACGTGTTTATGCTGATTCGGGATGACTATTAGATCAACCTCGGCTGGAAACTCGCTCTGGTCGAGCGAGGGCTTGCTCCGGAGTCGCTCCTCGACACCTACACAGAAGAGCGTCTGCCTGTCATTGCCCACATGCTCAAACAAACAACAGACCTGTTTCAGTCCACGAGAAATGCAACCGCGAGTGGAGACGGCGCATTTCAAGGATGGACTCGGTCCCGCGATTTGAAGATGCTTGGCGTCAACTACCGCTGGAGTTCCATAGTGCTCGACGAAGGCCACCCTCGAGAAGCATCCGAGAAAGACAAGCAACTCTTGGACGCATACGGGGCAGACACGAGCGACGGTCTGCATGCCGGCGACAGGGCCCCGGACGCCCCGGGTCTCGCGCTAGTGGAGGCGGGCAACGTCGGGTCCGAGATGACGTCGTTGTTCCGCATCTTCAGCTCCACTCGCCACACGGTCCTCGTTTTCTCCTCAGACGGCGCTCAGATCGCAGCTGTACTCGAAGCGACGAAGAAGCTTCCGCCTCGCCTCATCCATACGGTCGTCATCTACCCGCGAGACTCGAGTCCTTCGTTGACCGTATCTGGCGCAGATGTCGTCTATGTTGATCGAGACGGGTATGGGTTCTCGGGATACGGTGCGTCGCCGGACGGGACTACTGTATCTATCGTGAGGCCAGACGGGATTGTTGGTGCTCTTGTCTCCGGAGCCACAGGCGTGGAGGCCTACTTCAGGAACGTGTTCTTGGGGTGAAGACTTGGACTTTCTGCCCCAGACACCGTTGTCTGCGTGATCAACATCTGATTTGTACGTGTGTCTTTGATGAGTGTATCCGCCGATGGCATGTAAATTAGAATCACCACTCTGTCTCGTCTTGATTACTATATCCATCATCTCAAGCTCGAACATTCCTGTTTGCATCAAGTTTGCATTGGTATATCCCTTGTCCAGTCAGGATTTCCTCGATTGGCCTTGTGGGCGCATCGGTTCAGCAGCAGTGTTCCTGCAAACGATGATGACGACAAAATGCGATCCGGGGTCTGTGGGCATACAACACTACTTTTCCACCCGTTTCAGAACATCATCATGCCTTGTAGACGAGATACCAGAAAGGCGAATGTCACTGCGTATCCATCCCCGAGACTCGGCATTGTACCACTAACTCGCATCATACACATCTACTGTGAACCAAGTCCAGTTGTTGTAGAGTTTGAAATGAAGAATTACAATCTTACAGCGCTTTTTGTAATCCTTGGGTTACGCCACTTTTTCGTGTACATACATCCGGAGACATCCAGGATTGCCTAATGAGGCCTTCGTATAAGCGCGCCTGTGTTTCAGAAAAGATGGCGCAACCCATGTCTAGAAAAAACGCTGAAAGCGCAACATTTAATATCTAATGTTAGATGCACCCCGTGTTTTGGCCCTGAGTAGAAAGTGAGTACGCTGACGCGTGTACAGCTCCTTGAGTTTCTCTCCATGTCTTCAGTGGGCTACAGGGGCACGCCGTTGAACGCACGCGCTATCATTATTTGGCAGGACCTTGAACAGGTGTCGAATGAAAAAGTGTACCTCAAGCGGAGCTTCGTCGCGACGTACTCTGAATGGTGGATCTCGTGAGCCTGATATGCGATTTTATATAGACATAACACATTTCCCATATAGTACATTGTACTGTTTGAACCATCGTGGTCCTCCATAAATCCACTGTTCACGCGCCCCTCGAGAACCGGTGAGATCGTCAGGACCAAAAGGGGGAAGGGCCTTGACGTGGAACCAAACTCAAAATGAATGCCATCACGACACCGCCGCTGTGCGGCAGGCGCCCTTCTGCCAACTCAGTCATCCAATCAGACATAGATGTGATTGCATGCGTCCGCACGAATGTCGTGCTTAACAGCTTGACTTCCAGGTCACGTACCTCCGCATACCTGTTGCAAGTATTGAAACGTGATCCTTGACAACTACCATAAAAATCACAGTCAAAAGACAGAGAATGCTTGCCTTGATGTGTATCTCGAAAACAGTTCGGGAACAATGCTCTCCGCTGTCAACTGGGAGCGAATATTCTCCAGAGAGAGTTTCTTGAGGTCATGGAGGCCATACTATAGAGTGAACCATTTAAATACAGATTCATAAAAAAAAGACGCGAGTCTCACCTTGTCGGCAAGTCGGTACATTGACTTGGCAAAGCGGAGGGTCATGGGGCATAGGCAGCACGATGTTCACTTTCTCCATTTCCGCGGCGGTCGACCGAAGACGGGAAAAAGCAACGTTTCCGGTATAGAAGTAGGAGATGAGTGCTAACCACCTGTGTAGTACTCGTCAATAGGAATTTGAGACATGCTTGGTCGGAGTTAAAGCCTCTCACGTTTTGTATGCCACGTCCTTGACAAACACGGTTCTCCCTGGGCGCTGCATATGGGTTCCAATAGGCCGTCCGGGTAGGTAAGCAGCGGTGGATGCCGAAGTGCCTTCCAGACCCACAGCTTCCGCACATTCGGCGTTGCTGTCATTGCCCTCGTGTTGCCCGTCTAATCGCTGCCCGCTCTCACTCTCGTGGACGTCGCCATCACCATCGTCGTCGTCGTCATCGTCTTCTAGGTCGCTGTCGGATTCGTATCCGTACTCTGCGAGGGAGGTTCGCTGCGAAGCGTAGTCTGCGTTAATTGCATCGTTGTCGGAGACTAAACTCTCTGCGAAGCCTCCGGACAGCACTACACAATAGGCACAAGGTCAGAGAATGAACATGAAGTATGAAGGAGGTCGGCGAACATGTCTGGAACTCCGGAGATGCATTCATGAGCGCCATGCTGCTAGCGTACACAGAGAGTGGCGTAGAGGCTGTACCAGAGGAACTGCGTCGGGAGAAGAGATAGAACCGGGTGTCGATGAATATGCCGCCCCTCAGAGACAAATTCAGCGCCGCATGGATCGTTTGCTGCCGTGTCCTTGCGAGAATCGCTGGGGTCTGGGGTGCGACGGTAATTGAAGACGAAGACGTGACACTGCTCCCGCTATCGACTGCATATGCATCTTCCCCAGCCTTGGAGAGCTGGAGGTCTACTAAAGTCTTAAAATGCTGGTATCCGACAACTTGACGGCCCTTCTTCTTTTTGAGTGAAGTTGACATCCGAGGGAGTTGGGAGCCTGCCTGTGAACAGTCGAGGAAAGTATTGGGGAATAGGAAAGCGCTCAAGGGACGAAGATGCTGCCTCATTTTATAGTTCCCTCGCTGCTTCTGCGACCTGTCTCCATGCGGGAGGTGGGTTTCCGAATGCCAAGTGTGTCATTCAGCAGCCCTGAATACGTAACGATTGTCGTGGTCGTTTGCAGAATGAAGTCCTATTTTTGGACACACGAAGATCACCGTTGTGATAGGGCCAGGTTGACCACTGGCGAAATCCGCAGAAATGCGTTCTACAAGCGTAGTTTCACTGGGGGCAGTTTTCTTGGTCAGGGCCTAGACTAGCACCAGACACCTTCCGGCAGGGATAGTGTTTTCAATGCATATCTGGATCACCGAAAGCCCTCCGGATATCGCACGTTGACCAATCAGAAGGTACCATTATCCCATGTTCGTGCCATGTGCGGAGCCCGAAGCATGTCTATGCTTCGGATAATGAGTCCTGCCCGCGGTGGTCGGATGCGCGCCTCATGTGTTCTGACCTCGATCTCGATCTTGTCGTCTCTCTTGCACGATATCTTCCGACAGCCCATCCTTCGCAACTCACAACCAAGTTACTCTACGGCTGATTTGAGACACAGCGGACTCCATATCGAGACACTAACGAGGATCTTCATGCAGATGTCGAGCGTGTCGATGCGACGGACGTACGACTGATAGAAGGCGCATGCCACATAAATATTGATCCCCAAAAATTGGCAGTCGTAAACTCGCGTAAGCAAACTTCTTACGCTGCAGGAGGACTGACCTCAAGTGAGGCTATCTTTGCGAGCCCTGAGAGTACATATCAGTAGGGCGGCTAACATTGACCATATCGTCGTTGAACTCACAACATAACAATAGCTTCATTGTAGTCGAAGTGTCTACACGATACAGAACTGTTTCGTGAAGAAGGGGTCAAGATGTATCCGGCTCTCACCTAAGCTCACGTAGGTTTAGCTCGTAAGAGAATATCACGCGTGACGAGAATTTGAGTGTGGCGCATACTTGCGTAGAACGGCATGCGAAATGATTTAACGCACCACGCGCAATACCGTTATCATCAAAAAATGGACTTGACTCTAACGACTGTTTGCGAAGTGTATTATTGTGATATCAGTGGCGAGCATACGTATTCTCGGCCAGACTCCCGATGGCCCAAGACGTCGTCCATACAGCATAGCTTCCTATTGGTCCAAGCTTGCTCGCTGCGGCAACGCTGCTTGGAGGAAACTCTAAGGCAATGCCAGCCAAAGATTGAGGAGCTTGGGAAAGTTCGGCGTGCCCACCCGGTGACAGGATCCCACCCAGGCTCTGCAGAGAATCCGCTCGTGTTGCATCCAGGGTTACTCCCGTATGTGATGTCATTGAACGTCTCCATGAAGGCGGAGCTATAGATCTATGTCCCGTGAAGGGCGTGTCAGCCCTCCATATCCTAAAGCAGTCGCCATACATACAGTCGGATTGATAAACCCAATAGGGCCCTTCCCTACTCCTAGACGTGCATCGTTGATGGCAGAGAAGAAGGTTGCTAAGACAGGCGAGGAGCACGAGGTGCCATACGTGAGAGTGAAGTTGCCGTCGATCGCGACGACGTAGTTCGCACAGAAGCATGCTTTCAGCACCTTAGGCAGTTGCAATTTCGTGCACGAGCTCACCCATTAGCGGAAATATCAGGGTATGCCCGGGGTGTTCCAGATGTGTTGTATATCGTGGAAAAGTACGGAGGGGGGTAGTTGGACAGGTAGTGCTCGACCGCGGCCTTCTGGTAGGATGGCATATCGAGAACGTTCGAAAAGCCACCACCGGAGTAGATGACCTGCTCGCATGCGCTTTCTGGCTCGTACACCTTGACGAGCGACGCATCGGTTGAGACATATGAGCTTATAATGTCGCTCCAACACTTGTCACGTAGGGGCATGTACTGGGGAAGGAAGGGTTGAAAATTGTGCCGTTGCTAGATGATTGACCCTCTGAGTCAAGGCATTCAAAATTGGCCCCAGAGACACCGTTGTCTCCGGATACGTAGAGGACCATTGTGCCTATTGAGCCGAGCTACACGTTTCACTTATGAAACCAACGAGCTGAGGAAGACAGTTTCTCATCTCACCTTCGCATACTCTGCACACTGTCGCTGCTTATATGCTGGTGTAAACTGAGCCTCGTTGTAATAGTACGACGTCGACATCACATATACAGGGGTGACAGTCCCGCAATCCTCGGGACCTACAATGTTCATCGTGAGTGGGGATCGGGATATCCGGACGCAGATAACATTTTACCTTCGTAGCCGACACCGTTCGGGTCAGGATACGTCGCACCAAATTGCGGGTCATCTCCGCCCTCAAAGGTGCAGTACGAGCCGTCGAGTGCATCGAGTAGGTTGCGAAGAAACTGTGGCTAATGCATGTAGGGTTGGCGTATCGTTCTGGGCATAGCGTTGGAGACGTACATTGGTACGAGTCATCAACCTGATACAAGGTAACGGGTTGTTCTTGGCCCACAAGCGACATCGCGTATTGCAGGCCCAAGTCGGACTCTCCGTTAACGGATTCATCTTGATCTTTGGTTTGGAGATAGCCTAAGGCAACCTCGGTGAGCCATGACTTGTCGAGAGTGAGCTACTGTGACACCTACCGCCATCGATGCTATCCAGCACGGGGCGCTGACCGACTCGGCTAGGCGAGAAGTTGGCGAAGAAGAGATCAAGATCACTGGGAAAGTATGTTTGAGAGTTGTACTCGACTACGTGCAATTTATGTGAGCAGCCTTCCAAAGTAAGAAGTACACAGACTGATTGCAATGGAATTATTCCCAGTTGCCACGGGAGTGAATGTAAAGTTATAAAGAGCACGAAGACAATCGGGTACAATCTGTTCATCGCATTTCTCTATCCCCTTGTAAATAGTCTAGAGGTGGATCGTAAGCATAGGCAGATTGCGCATGGACAACGGCTTACCTCGACCGTTGCCGCTGTCTTGGGGATGCTGACGCCCAATTCAGGCTGACCTAATGAGCGCATATTGACTGGCCTATCCCGCTTATCAATGTCGACCTTCTGGGGCACGCTCGTCTTCGGCTTCGTATCGAAATGCAGTGTGGGCGTCACAATATCGACATGCTTTGCGACGTGCTCGGGCAGGTGGTACTTCTCGTAGCATGCGATATGCTGGCCACCGCCCTCTTCGCCGGATTGGTAGACATGGTACTCTGTTTGCAGCAGGCGCTCCGCCTGCTTCAACGTAACGTTTGCCTCAAGCCACCCACCGCCCTGGCTGAACCTCACGGAGGCCCGATCGATGCCGCTCTCGACAAGCCATAAATGCACAGTCTCAATAGACTCTTTTGCGGGACGGAATGTCTGAGAGATCTTCGCGGCCAACCAATGCTTGCTATAATTAGGCGATTCGGGGTGCAACACATCCATGACGAAGTCTTCTAGGTATCCCAGGTTGGGCTGCACGAGACTAAAACGGAGAGGCAGAATAAAGGAAGGTTCGGCACGCCGCACGGGGCCGCGGGGTATATTTCGGCGGGAGTCATGAACGATGTGAGGAGAGCCTGAGATGGCAGAGGGAGCACCTGTAGCGCAGAGCGCGAGAGCAAGGATCGTGAACAAAACAGTGGAAAGTAGCATGGTGCTGTTGAAAGGCTACAACCTTCTGATGCTTGCTATATATGGAGGCGCACACTCAGCTGCTCTCAGGAGTTAGCGAAGACCGTTGCGAAGGATCTGGGCGTCTCCGCAGTACTTCGCAAGCGGAAGCCTTAAGCTGATGTGATTGAGCTCGGTGCCGTATGGAACCAACTTGGAACGGGAAACGAGACAGGCTGGCAAGTGTCCCTCCACCTGGTCAGACTCTGCTTTCTGCAATCGAGCCTATGCTTGAATCAACTCTACCTGCTTCAAAATTTCCGAGTTTTATCCCAAGTGTTACAGAAATCGGAAACTTCGGCTGCAATAATGTCAGTCACGCGCAGATGTTCGCGACCGATGGGGGTGCAACAAAGTCGTCACCGCATTCAATTACTCGATCAAACTGGCACGAGGACGCTCCACTTACATTAGAGCTGTGCTGGCTAGCTGCTTGGCCGTAATCGTCCTTGAGTATGTCTGACATATCCGATCTACTCCGTTTCCAGATATGCGACTTTGTGAACCGGAATACAAGTCGCCTGTATGATGATGATGAATCATACAGAGAGATCATGAGGCACTACCGTCACGGACACGTTACGTCACGCGACAATGACTTCACAGTGAGTACTAATGAGGTTGGGAGTAGGTGACACGAACTGGTTGTCTCCCCTTGGCAGACCATGAACATAATGAACTTGTGATATGGAGGCGATTATCATTATACGGACTGGGGAAACTGGGCAGGGCATGGCGTCAGCCAGGACTCGGACACGGTGCAGGAAAGAGCCCTACTGGTGGCGCTTAGCGGAAGCGAGGGTATTGAGTAGATAGTCGACTGTACCAAAATGATCGTTGTACAAGTTCATAATAAATCACATTTTTATCGACTGATGCATTCATCACAACCGGTCCCGAGCGTAAATAGTGACTACATATACACCCATAAGTATTCTCTGGCCAGCAACGTGAACGGCTGGATTTGGAACGCGGTCGACTCTTCCGGCACATGACAAGACGAGTAATGCTAACACGCGAGGGCAAGAAAGAGACCGACTGCGTGCAACTCTTCTTCTAGTAGAAGCCTGCCTTGCGCAGCGAGGACCACATCTTTCTAATGTCGTGTGGGCCTGATCTGACTTCATCGTTATATTGGCCTTTCGATGGAGAAAGACTTAGTGGGTGGCGTTTGCACTGCATGTCGGTGACTCACCAGCCTTATACCAGATCTTCGCATACTGTGTCCCACTGAAGAAGTAGACCTCGTGTCCATCGCCTCCCGGCCTGGGGAACGCCATGTCGACCGTATTGAACCCGACCTTCTTCAGCGATTGCCAATAGGCATCGATATCCTTCGCGCTGCCGTCTGACCGGATGCTTACGCCATGGCCGTCTGCGCCAGGCTTGAACGAGAACTGAAGCCAGTTGGTGTCTTTGAAGAAGTACACCCAGTAGTAGCCGTCGTCAGCCGGCCAGGCGACCTGCAGCGTGACGTCTGGAGTCCCGAACTGGGGCCCCTGGAGATTAGCGAACTCGATAAGGGTGTTCTTCGGTCCGTCGATGAGTTTGTCGTCGCGGGCGCCAGGCGTGGAACAGACCTCTACGAGGACGTAGCGGTCCTGGAAGAAGAAAAAGACCTGGTTAGGGGCGCTCGGATTGGGGAGCGCCGCGTCGATGCAGGAGAAGCCTACTTGCTCCAACGACACCCAGTCGTCCGCGATGCAATGAGGTCCAGACAGGAGAGTGTCCGTCAAAGATGGATCAACCTGGATCAAGATATATCTATCGTCTTTGAAGATGTACACCTGGTCACCAGAAGATCTCGGGTTGATGAAACCAGCGACGTGCGGCGGGATAGGGCGCTGGGATGACATTGTGCCGTCTTAAAACACGAAGTTCCAAAATCGGTGGCCTAAGGCCTAATATGAGCCGAGTTGAATGTGTACTCACCACGATAGAAACTCACCGTAAAAGAAACGAACAAGAGAACGTTGAGCAGTTACTGCGGCGATCGCAGTAACGTGTCAGTTTACGGTCTATCGCCGACTATAACAATTATAGTCACCCCGGGTCGGTAGAGCTAGCTGTACGACTGGAGGCAGCGATCTTGGAGCATCGGTGTGAACAACATGTGTCGGCGAGGATGAGGGACTCGTTGAGATGGGATGGCACAACCAGTTGTGAAAGCTATGGTATTTATACTCTGACGCACTCTGGGGTCAACGAGATTGGAATAAGGTCATTTGACGTTCATATAAGCCAGAGAAGTCCAAGGATGCACGAGAAGTCCCTCGTCCTCTCATTTCACCTAGATTTGGGCGCAACATCTCGACGGGACATCCACGTACTGTCACCGGAGCACGGCTGAATGCGACGTCCGAGCCCGAGACCCGAAACACCAGCTGCTTCTGGGCTCCGCGTTCCTAGAGTGCGACACATGCTTTCGCACATCTTGCGGGAAGGGTCTGCAATTAATCCTTATACGCGACCGAGCGTTCAGGCCCATTTCCATCAGTTCCGCCGCATTCCTGTCGCGACCATGACAGTCCAAGGGCGTGGGGACAGTCCACCATCGGTTCATCTTGCTGGGCAAGCGTGATGCTTATTTGAACCACAAGCTGAGTTCAAGGTAGGTAATCTGGTTCAAGTAAGCCCGGGGATCCCAGGTCAGAGTTTGGTCCTTATGCATCTCCGAAGCCCGTCGCCGCGGTGGGTATATATGGCACCTTTTTCATTTCTCAGTCTCCTTGAGTAATGCTGGGACTCAGCGGTAGGACCGATGTGATTGTCCCCGCCAGCACAGCTCAGCCATCAACCAGTATGTACTGCATTGAAGCAGATCTTTAAAGCGACCGGATAGCGAGCTCTTCCGCAGGTTGTATAGGGAGACTAAGGCCAAGTGGGACCGTAACGAATCTATGCTGCATATAGTGTCTCCTCCAGTGAAAGCGCGTGAATTGATGGCTGCCAATCTCACCACTGCTTGTTATACAGCTCCGCGGGCTTTGACGCGCCTAGGCCTGCCGCGACAGCCATCGCCGTCCTGCTGCGTGTCGGCCTCCTCAAAGTCGGACTGGGCTACGGGGACCTAGCCGCGGAGGAAGCGCGTGACGCCGCGCGGTGAGGACGTGCTTGATCGCTGATCGCGCTCCTAACATAACTCCGTGCATTCGCTCCTTCTTGGTCTCGTTCCCAATCCTACTCCGTGCATTCGCTCCTCCTTACCTGTCTCGCTCCCAATCTCACTCCGTAGATTAGTTCCTTGCCTATCCATCCTCACATGATACCTCTCCCGGATACATATATCTCGCTCTCCCGCTCCCCTCTCCTCGGACATTGTACCACCCTGTACTACCGCGGCTGAGAATACAGACATCAAGATATTCGGTCTAGTTCCAACACCCCTATCCTAGCGCCTATGTAGCGCCCGGATGTAACGGTCACAGGTGCCTAGAGATGATTTGATCTTTGATCGCCTGCTAAAAACGGCGCTCACGCCTAGCGTGTCATCTTGAGATGGTATGTGGTTGGGCCCCTCTTTATAAGACTTTTCCAGTATTTCGCGACTTTCTCAACATCGCCCGCACTTAACATTCACCGGCCTGAGCTGGAGCTGCACGCGTCTGGGCATGGTCAGACGCGGTCACGAGACCGTGACCGCATTTTGCCAGAACGCGTCATTTCTTAATTCGGCGTGTCTTGTTGCACTTGTTGCAGTTCGCCTCTTGCAAAGTACAAGAAGCGTCCCACATGGATACTGGTTGCTATATACTTTGTTCTTTCATTGGTTATACGCATCTAAGTTGCCTTGGCGTTGCCTTCGAGTCGTCCGGAGCCTTGTAGTCAACCGAGCCGGGAAGCAGAACCAGGCAAAATACCACAGAACTTTTTTTCTGCGAACGCCTGGCCGCGTACGATGGGTACTTAATGCGCAAGACAGACTGTCACAGCCACCGACTCCCAACCTCATCCTAACAACCCTGCCGCTCCTTTACCATGAACTCCAAGAACTTCTTCGTGGCACTCCTCATGTACGCTTTGAGCCCGTGGGCTCACCTTCTCGGAGGCTCTGTCGAGAAATGGTTTACGAGAGGGATGATTCAACTAGACAAATACCTTACCCGCCGCAAGGATGGCCCCGAAAATAAGCTGAAGGCGAGCTTCATGCGGTGGTGGCATGACCGCTTCGACGTCTTCTACTGGACGCCACAGGAGTTGGCGCTGGATGCCTTCCATGCTGCAACAGGATACACTTCATGGAAACGCCCAGAGCATGAAGAAATTTGCGCGAGAAGCCGAGTTGAGCCAAGGGTCAAGCGTGAGGGGTGAGCCCCACATCTCCTTCATACGCGCTGGTGATCGTGCAACTGACGGATGGTCGCAATTGCAACAGGAAAGTGCGCATCGAATGGTACCCCAGCATTTTCGCGTGGAAAAGGCTAGTGCGCGAATGTGAAGGACTGCCGTTCATTCGGAAAGACGAGATGTACACGTACATATCGCGCGAGCCAAACGAGGATCTCAACCTCGCCGAGATCCGGCGAAAGTTGAACTTGGAGAACATTCATGTAGGTATTCAGCTGGCATGCAACGTGCATCTGACTGACCATTGTTTCTCGCAGATCATCGACTGGCGCAGGGGTACACTGTTCACACCCGGAAATCAAGACAGACTTTCTCTTGTGGCATTCAATAACCTCGTACATGTTGAGAAGAAAGTTCCGACCAGGTACTTCGGGCGGCCTGAGCGCCAGCCAATGGATACCCTCTACGTGATTGGTACGTGTACGTCGCGTATCTTTAAGGAGCTCGATACTAAGGCAGCTTGGGATTCCTCCCGGTTATGGGATATGATGCAGAATTACCGAGCGAGCAGACGTTGGCCCTACGTCATCGACGAGCACAAATGCTGACGAAGTGGTACGCCAAATTTCTGGGACCCAACGACACCCGCGCGGGGATCCTGTGGTTTGCCATGATCTCCTGGGCGGCCCTAACATCCAAGGAGCGCATACCGCTTCCGGGCTATTATAGGGCCTTCAGGAAAGTCTCCTACTTCAGGGATGTTTGCATGATCCTCAGTTTGCTCGTGTCCGCCGCCATTTCGCTTTTGGCCGCGGCCCTGCAAGAGGTCGATCTGCTCCGGTACTCCGCCGTCACGTTGGCTGCGACCGTCTTCTTCTGGAACACTAATCCGAGGGCTGTGGACTGCCTCGACCGCGCGGTGATGGATGTCTTCTATGTGCTTTCACGGCCAGTTTTGTGTTGCTACCGCATACTCTGGGACGTCGTAGCACGGAGCATGCGTCGAGTGGGGCGGGTACTAGTCGACTCCTGGGGTGTCGTAGCGTGGGGCATGTGTGAAGCGGGGTGGTTGCTTGTCGAATGGCTAGTCCATACACTAGGCTATGATGGAGAGGTGGAAGTAGGGGAGGAAGAGGAAGGGGAGGAGGATCTATGATCTATGCACGCCGCAGTATTCTGAAAGTCAGTTTGTATGAATATGGTTTCTTTCACATCAATATGCATATCCATCCATTCCACGATTGTGTAATCACTGATACGCGGGGTTATAGCCTATGTGCAATTTCACCAGACTGCTCATCCTCTCGACTCCACTCATCGAGTTCATCGGCGGACAAGCGCACAATCCCGGATTCGGAACATCCGAAAGGTACTAAGCAGTGAATATACAAGTCTTCGTCATCACATTATCAGGAGTCCGCAGGGTGAAAATGTAGATGCACCGTCGTCGAGAAAAAGAAACGAGCCTCCGGACCACAACTCGGGCTGGCCTTCAGGCACATTCTAGTACACTCCCGTCTCAGAAAGGAAAGCATACGTCCCGTTTGGATTGTGGCACGTTGATCTCATTACTGACTTCTTTCAGCACTGTGACGTCAGCGTCAGCCGCCGACTCTCGTCACCGCAGACCAAGTATGTCAGCCACTGTCAGCCGCGTATGTGTTACAGTACCATGAGGACTCGGCGATGCGTTCTCTCTTGTTTCTCTTTTCACGTCTTGTCCGTTGCTGCCCACTATGGGCCACTAACCGCTACTTCAGTGGGCGGTAAGTCTAACAGGGCTAACAGCATAATATATATATATGCCTTACTTAAAACTTTGCAATCGCCGCCACCAATTTAAAGGCTAAACGCGCAATGCGCCTCCTGACCAGTTCGTCATCAATACTCCCGGGACAGATCATCATGCTCACCGAGGAATGCTTATATGCGCTGTACATCATACGGAAGGTCCTCAGGTGTTAGCTAGGTGACCTCGCCATATTTTGCTAAATTCGCTCGACATATGCGCCTGTGAGTGTCGCAAGGTGCGCTGATGCTTCCCTCTTCCAGTCACTCCACCTCGCATCCCGCCCCATCCTTCAGAAGGAACCTCCTCACGCCGTCTGCACGGCCCCATGGGACTTCGTCCTCCCAATGGCTGATCACGACGCACGCCTGCGTCTCCAACAGGCCTCCAGCACCGTCAGCGAGGTACCGCCACACGGCCTGGATCATCCCCTCGTCCATACCGGCCCACACTTCGTCCAGAAGCACGAGCGGCGGCCGGCCCACCAGCGCACGCATCAGGAGCACGATCGCCTGCTCGCCCGGGCCCAGGTCGAGGAACTGCCGCTGCGCGAAGGCCGTGTCCTCGGCCGCCTCGTAGCTGCCGTCCGCGGTCCTGCCCGCCCACGCGCGCGGCCCGAGTCCCTCGAGCACCTGCCACATCCGCTCGACGCGCCACCACTCCTTCGCGCTGCCCGGCTCCAGCGCGGAGCCCGTCTCGACGTCAAATCCGACGCGCAGCTTTCCCCGGGGCACGAACTCGCCCGTGAAGCCGGTGCCGACCACGTCCCAGACCGTCATCCCGTGCCTCCTCGGGAACGCGCTCGCCAGTTCCGGGGACACACGGCCTATGCGTGCGTTGAGCTGGGCCGCCGGCCAGCCTGCGCGCGGTTTGCCGAAGAGCTGCAGCTGTGCTGACTGCGCGAACGACTGCGGGTGCTCGCCCGTGAGCATGGCGAGCAGCGTCGTCTTTCCTGCGCCGTTCGCACCCATTAGCTGCCACCGGGAGTTCTGCTGGACTGTCCAGTCGATGTCCTTCAGCACGTGCTTGTTGCCGTACTTGACGTTCAGGCCCGACATGCGAACAAGCTCGTGTCCTAGTTGTCGGACACTGCGCCCATCAATGTTTGCGGAGGTGCCCGCGCCGCCTTGGTGATACAGATCATCGATCTTCGAGGCAAGTTCTTCCTTCGGACCTGCCAAGACGCCACGCTCTGGGGTAACGAGGGCGACATGAGTGATCCACGCCGGCAGGGGATCCTTGGGTCGCATTCCAAGGACAATATGCGGCGACTTCGGGTCTGCAGAGGTATGCTGAGAGCGCAGGAACTCCAGCATCAGCGCACGTGCTTCGACATCCAGACCGGCTATACGAGCAACACATTGTTAGCTGCGGTGAGCTCAAAGGAACAGGTACAGTGCTCACTCATAGGTTCATCCAGAAGCAAGACCAATGGCTGCTGCAGGAGCGCCTTCGCGATCCGTGCCCTGCGTGTCTGCCCGTTGCTCAGGGCAATCACCGGAAGATCAAGCAGTGGCTGCAATCTGAGCGCATCCACGAGCTCCTCGAAGCGTTTCAGCTTTTCCAAGGCCTGTGCGGGAGACTCCTGGGAGCCTATTTTTGTCTCCGGATGGTGTAGCTCAGGCATGGCGAGCTCATGGAGAGGTCTCGCCGACTCGGGGAAATATACCTCTCTCAAGGTGAGTCTATCCTCGTCGCGTACCGCGCCGTAACGCGCGGTGTAATCGAAGAACGCGCCGCCTGCCGTCTCACGGCTAAAGCTCACTAATCGAACATGATGTGCGGGATCGCGCTGTCCGAGGAAGGGGAAGAGGCCGTGCCGGGGGAAGGGGTGTATGCGGCGCTGACCGAGGAGGGCATGAAACAAGGTGCGCTTACTGCTGCCGTGGCCTGCGCTGAGTATCGCCCAGGCTTCGCCGGGCTGGATAGTCCAGGATACGTCGCGCAGGACCGGCTCGGCCGTTATAGGATGGCCACGCTCAAATACGGAGGCGTTGGGTAAGTGTAGGATCGCCCTCGTTGGCGAGTCGGGCGTGTCGGACAGCGACGCACTATAGCAGCGGACCGCATTTTGTTGTAGAGACAAGATCTGTAAGACGCGTCGACGAGAGCATGTCGTCGACGCCGCACATAGCATGCCGGAGAACGGGCTAGGCACGTCGTAGAGGTGAGCAAGAGTCGAAGGGTCTCTTGGCGCGAGTCATTGCACTTGGCCATTGACGCCCTTGATCGCCGACTCTCGATCGCCCGGCCGATCGCATATGGATGCCGGGCACCCGCAAGTAGGCACAGCGTCACTCTCTGTGCGCCACTCGGGGCTGCAGCTGCAGGACACATCGCACAACGGTGTCACCGTACATCAAGCTGCTTTGGGTCTTCAAGCGTATTACAAGTACAACGAGCACACAGAAAAGACAAGACCACAAATCCTGCATCCGAGTGTCTCATCTCGGAGACTTGATCATACTTCGAACCTCGTCCAGGTCTCGACCAATCCGTCCGTCGCCTTACTAGGGAGTGCCCATAATGGCAAGAACGCGCGGACTTCCTCCAATGCGGGTATCAGAGCACTGTGTGCAGCAGGACTGCTTCCGCCGGCCGATGCACTCGCGTACTCCGCCCACTCGCACGCGGCACGGCCGCGCATGGCGACGTCCGTCACTTCCGTTCCGTCCCATCCAAATTCCACGACAAACGGCTTGCCCCACGTCCGCGTCCACAGTCGCAGCTCGTTCACGCCCCCGTCCGGCATCTCGTAGCCTGGAAGAAGCTCTCCTCCCGCTGCGTCTCCGTCCAAAATGGCGTAAGAAGTGATCGGCTTGTCGAAATACAGCCTGCATCCGCGGGTATTTGTCCCCTTCAATTTGATGACGGCCCTCGTCGCATTGAGGCGCTCGGTCTTCACCTCGAGCCACTCCAAATCACGGCCGCTCGTGACATCGCCCCCTGGCGACGGTAGGAGGTCGCTCTCCCACTCGCAGACACGCAAGCCGGGCTTGAGGACTGTATCCAGATAGCACAGGGTGCCCTTGTTCCTCGAAGAAGGCATCTCCCGCATGGCCAAGTGGTCCACATATCCCTCCAATCCGGTCAGCGTCGTGATTGCCCGTACAGAGTGAGAGGCAGCACTGTCAGCACTTCCTGTCCCCGGGTAGTCGGCATTGGTAACAAGGGCGGGATAACTGGACGGCGTTGCAATGGTCGGGGCACCTATCTCGACCCGCTGCTGGAAGTAAACTTTGAAGGGCTTCTCTGGGGTAAACGGGAACACCGTCCATGATATTGTGAGCGACACGGCGAAGACCACTGTCGCGACGACGGTCAACCATCGGCTGACTTTGTGAGCGAATGGTGCCAGCGGAATAAAAACCAGCATAGACAGGGCAGACAAGCTTCCATACACTGCGACAAAGGTGTCAAAACATTTCCGGAACTTCGAACAAACCATATAGACCAACCTGTCAGCGGGCTGCTACCATCAACCAAGGTATTCATCAAAGCCTGCAGCTGCAACAGCTCCAGCTGGAACACAAGCACCGCTACCATAGGCACAGAGACCAGCAATTGCGCGATCCACCATCCATGCTCCTGATATTTGAGGTCTGCAGCACTGTCCGCCCCGTCGGGACGGTGTTGATGCATGAGGGGAGTGATCTCGGTCGCCTCCGTCTCAACAGGTTCCCCCTCCGCTTCGCCGCCAAGTTCCTCGTCTCGACCATTGGCAACGTCATGCGCAGGTGCTTCGTATAGCACCCCAGGCACAAACCTGCTCCCCGACCCATTAGTCTCGTCGTAGTCGCTCTCCACGGTCAGGTCCAACCCCGCTTTTCGGCCGTCCACACCCGCCTTCGTCCCGCGCACAACGCTCTCGGTCAGGGCCACGCTAGAGGCGATCAGGGCGCCAACATTCCAGACAGTGATCCAGTAGAGCCCGGCGATCTGGTATTTCTGGATCTCGACGGTAGAGAAAACGAGGAAGGCCCATGTGAGGAGGTAGTGCTCAAGCAGCACTGCGAGCTTCTCGGAGGAGGGAGATGCCGGTATGAAATGTTGAAACAGGTGTAGCGGGGCAGTGATTGCGAGGAAGGAAAGCGAGAGGTATGTTGTGAGGACGAGGAAGGGATGCGCGTGGACGACCTAATAGGGGTGACTGGTGAGTGGATGGTAAACTACCAAGATTCTAACAATCATACTCACGTATGGATTGAGGTGGACAAAACCTGCTACTAGGCCTACATGCGCTGCGATCCCCACGACGAGCGCGATCCAGAAGCGGCTCCATCCGAAAGCTTGTCTGAGGACAATTTTTGTCTTTGCCCATTTATCGTGCTGAACTTGCTCCTCAGCAGCATGTTCCTCTGAAGTGCCATCCCATGAGCATAAACTATTGTGGAGGTATTCTCTTCACTTACGTGGGGTTTTTGCAAAAGCGAGCAGCACCATTCCGAGCAGGATCAATATGACGATGGGACCAATAACGAGGAATGCGACATTCGCGATGAACAGCGAACGCAAGGGGAATACGACCAACTTGGTTCTGAACACTGCGAAAGTACATTAGCCGACATTGCCCATAGCGCATGCACTACTCACAATCAAAGTATACGGCGGGTTCCGCATTGGCGCTAACCGTGTCGTCGTCATTGAGAAGCGCGAGGCCCGCGCCCCTCGCGCTCTCCATCATGGCCCACAGTGCCTTGCGGCCTTCGTTGTAGCCCATGCCAGCAATCGAGTCGCGCGGCGTGTGATAGTAAGCGCGGTTCTTGTAAAAGGCAATGTCGAGACCAGCCATAGGCTCCAGAGTCCCTAAATGCCCCCCGTGTACAATATTAACCGACTATAAGAGAGTGCGATTTTGTCGTCGCAAGTCGTACCTTTCAAGCCAGCAGCATACACCTGGTAATCAGTGTAACTCCTGATTACTCCGCGCTTGTAGGCGTCCGCGGTGAGGACATCTGCCTGCAAGTGGGAGATGGCTTTCGACGCATAGGCCCTAGTGGGAGCCAAGGAGGTCGAGCGGAACAGCAACGGCCGGCTGCAGGTCGTTTGAGAATTAGAACGAGCTAACCCGTCACTTCGAACTTATGGTGTACTGACCCGCCAGATGCTGCGCCCTCAAGGTTGATGAAGGACGAGGTGAGGTTGGACCACGGATGCTTCCAATACACGTATGCGCCATTCAGGCCGTCCTCTTCGCCGTTATTGAAGAAGAACACGGCTGTGCGGCGGGGCCTGTTCTCTGGCACGGCAAAGTAGCGCACGAGCTCGAGCAGCGTCACGACGCCCATGCCATCGTCTGTCGCGCCGGGCGCGGTGGACACCGAGTCGTAGTGGACTGAAAAGAGCACGCCGTCTGCGCCAGCCTCGGCGCCGTCGACCTTGACGAGGATGTTCGTCCCCTCGAAGTAGACCCCGTGCCCGCCGACGACCCAGGACGCGTTCGAGGTGAGGTCATCGGAGAGGTGGACATATGCCTGCGCCGCGGCAACAGGCTCGAGCTGGGAGAGGAGGTAGGCGTGCACGTCGTCGTTTGCGTGAGAGAGGTAGGGGTGCGGGCGCGCTGTTATCTGGGTTTAGGAAGGTATCAGCCTAGTCATGTCAACCATGGTTGACGACTAATGACGCACCTGGTGTAGGTCTGCGTATGCCCGGTCCACATCCAAACCTTTTGTGTTCTTCGGTACATTGTAGAGCTGATCAGTGCTCAAGACCGCTGCAAAGACAGTGCCATACACCACGACAGTGAGCACAGACACAGGGATGGCGGTAAACTCAAACGGTGCTGCAAGCCATTTGCGCATGCGTTGAAAGACCATCATCAACACGATATAAGGAAGTCGCCAGCCTTCAGAGAAAATGATGGGCTAGACTGAGAAGCAAGACTGCATATTTTATGCTGTTGACGGTTGAGCTCTCCAATCGCCAGGAGGCTTGCCCGTGGTCGCAGAACGACGTCATGAAATCAAGTGTTTATCGGATTGACACAATACAAATTCAATAAGAGTTTACAATAGAATGGATCATAGGGTTAGGGTTAGGGGAGCTTAGAAGCCAAAAAAAAATAGCCCACCCAGCCCGAGGGCCGAAATGGAACAGGGAAATATTGAGACGGTGCATGAGCCGAAGCCCATACAAACCGCAAGGCCCCCCTGAGGACATGGTCGCCGTGCTATGAGAGGTCCCCACGGCCCACATTCCTAGGTAAGTGAAGAGGAATGTGCCATCAAGGTAAGTATGAGGTGTTCATATGCCTGGCAGTCGCTTATGTAGCCCCGCGCTGCGTGCGCACGGACCAGCACTTTGTTTGGCAGGCGGCGATGCGACTATCCCAAGTTCATTCGGTCTGCAGCGTATCCTATAGAGCTGTTCTACTTTTCGTCTACATACCCAAGTGAATGAAGCAGTAAAGAGAGATGCAATTGTACAGCGCAATTAATGTTTCTACTTCAGTGTCTATGATACATGTAATCAGTCGTCCTCGTCCCAGTTCCCTGCCTGCTGTGGGATCTTCGGCCCACCCGCAGGCTTGCTCATGATGATACTGTCCACGCTCAGCACCGACACCGCCGCCTCGGTCGCCAGCCGGAGGGCCCACGATTTCGCCGCGAGCGGGTCGTTGATTCCGCGCTCGGAAGCGTCCAGCGTCCCGTCCGTCTCCGCCTGTGATGCGCCGTGAGCGACAGCCCGCGCCCCAAGCCGAGAAGAGCAGCCACACATACCTCGACGTCCACGCCCCACGACTCCCCGCCGGGCCCCTCGTGCTTCGCCCACAGCCGGCTCACGATCTCGTTCCCCTCCGCGCCGCCCAGCGCATTCTCCGCAATCGTCTTCGGCACGACCTCCAGCGCGCTCGCCCACCGGCGCACCCCGTGCTGCGCGAGGCCCTTCAGGCCCGCGCCGTACGTCTCCACGCGCCGCGCGAGCTCGAGCTCCGTCGCGCCCGCCCCGGGCACGAGCCGCGCGTCCTTGAGCAGCGCCTTGATCACGTTCACGCCGTCGTCCACCGCGCGCTCGAGGTCGTCCAGGCGGTTCGTCGTCGCGCCGCGCAGCACGATCGTCGCCGTACGTGTGCGCTCGCCTAACGACGCGTCGAACTCGGGCTCGCCCTCCACGAGCTGCCGCAGCACCGTCACGCGGTCCCCGCCGATCTCGATGCACTCGAAGACATCGACGTAGCCCGCTTCCTCGGCCGTCGGCGCGCCCATGCGCGCGAGCGGCGTCGCGTTGACGACGCGGCACAGCCGGCGCAGCTCGAACTTCGACAGTACTTTTAGCACAGCGATGTTGAGCCTATTCAGGTAGTGCAATGCCAGCTCGCCGACCGTCGATCCTGCTATGATGACCTTCACGCCCGATGCTGCGATCTCATCAAAGATCTGAAATGCATGTTGAATGAGTATCCACTGTGCAATAGAACGACGACACTGACCTTCTCTAGCTGCTGCTCTTCTCCGCGCGTGAAGTTGAGCATCTCGTCCGCGTTTTTCAGCAGCACGGTGCCTTTCGTCTCGGTCTGTGCGATGTCGAGGCCGCACGTGAAGATCGCAACCTTGGCCTGCTTCGTTTTTTTGATCATCCCTGCCGCACATCCCTTCGAATCATGGCCGTACGTCAAATGGGCAGTGTATGCGCACCTTCTGGCTCCCGGCCGAACACCATGCCCCGGACGACTCTGCTCCCGGCGAGACTGCCACCCATGATCTTCACCACGCGCACGTTGTCAACATTGAAGTTCTTCGGGTTGGGCGGCATGACCGCCAATGCGGCCTCTGCGACAAGAGACGCGAGCGTGTCCTCGTACCCGTACTGTTTTGACGCGATCGCGGGCTTCAGCGCCGCGGCGAGCTCGGCTTGCGTGAGAGGACTTGGTAGCGATGTTTTTGAGAGATCTGCGCCGTGTCAACGAGCGCGTCCCAAGACGAGGAGCACGCATGCTTACTCTCGAGTTCTGCGACTGCTTTGACACACGCGAGTTCGTAGCCCTTGATGATCTCGCTCGGGTGCAGGCCCATTACGAGCAGGTGCTCGGACTTTTTGAGGAGTTCGCCTGCGAAGATGAGGACCATGTTCGTCGAATCGCCCATCTAGACAGATGAGTTTGGTATTCTGCACATGTGCCAATGGGGGAATTACCTCCGACTCTTGTGCTTGGGACGCCATGACGAGCAGCTTCGCCGCTGGGTGCACGACCTCGATCTCGCGGATGATGGTCGCCGCGTCGGACGTCACGAACAACCGGCCAAGATGGTTCACGACGAGCTTATTCCTGCCTGAACGAACGCGTCGCGTCGGCGCATATTCAGCACCTCGCGGACAGACGTACCATTGGGGCCAAAGCTCGTCCGGACAAGATCAGAGAGCTCCGATACGGCCTGGATGTTGCGCAACACGGCATCTTCGAGTCCTTGGAGGTGCTAGAGTTTGGCTTCAGCACGATGCACGGTGTGAGGGGGTGCTTCAAAGTTGACCTTGTAGCCCTCTTTAAAAAGCTGCAGGTTGTTCGCCTTTGGGACCTTCAAAGACATGGCGAATCGTTGAGCAGCGGAAGAAAGCCGAAATTCGTGAAATAGAGCGTCGAGTCCGAGGTAGTCTTCCTGCAGGACGAACCCCTCACGGCAATTCCCAGATCACGTGAAGCGCGTTTCACACTGCAATCGCGCCTCTCATAGAGCGTGTCGCGATAGTTTAGACAGTAAAAGTGAGTGTCCATCATGGTGGTGGAGTGCGCTATGTGTTCTGTTTATTCTCGGTAGCATGACTGTTGAATTCTGAGTACTTGAGGCGCCAAATCTGCCTAAAACTGCTTGTCTGATGGGATTGAGCTGCAGTAGAGAGTAGATTCTTGCTGAAAGTCTACAAATATCAAGGATAGTGCATCATAATGGTTTAGTACACAACTTGATAGCACGAGATGCAGAATATAGGTCGAAGTCGACGTTCAAGGCAGCAAGCTGCAGCCGAGATTTCCTTTTTGGGACGTAAGGCGATGGTCCGGTAAAGTGGGCGCGCTTTCCGGCAGACCATGAGTATACTAGGACCGGTCACTGTAACACCCAATTTATATGTCGCACCTGGAATATTTTCCTGGCCACTAAAAGAACAAGGAATGAATCTCTAATATCGTATTTACATGTACAATATCTACGAAAAAGATTCATAAGACATTAGGCAAAGGTTGATGTCTTTAGAGACAAAATACTGAGATTGAGCGAAAGTGCAGTTTCACCACTCAATGAAACACCTGCGACTTGCCCGATATAGCAAGCGATGGATTGCGCGCCTATGCACCACGCTCGTCCTCTGAGCTGCTGCTACCTTCTCGGTCGCTGCTCAACTTGCGCTTGTTCTCTCCTTCGGTAACTCCTGCCGCCGCTTGAACAATGACTGGCGTGAATTGCGTTGATGCGTCCCACCAGAAGTCAGTATCTGTCTTCGAAAAGTGACTGAGACGCTATACTCATTCCCTGTGTCATGTGCACATAACGTGACCATGTCAATCATGTGATCAGTAGAAACGATCATCTAGAATGCAATGCTGAACACAGAAGAATGTTTTTAACCCGACGCTGAAGCTGATCTTTCCAAAAATTCAGCAATTCAACCTTTAGTATGATACATACCATGAGAAAAATAATGGAACAACAGAGGGATCTGGTGACTTTGCGATTAGGGGTACAAAATTCAGTTTCCGAGGGTTCATACAGAACTCCTGACATTCCACAACAAGTTCGCACTCGAAAATTTTCATTTTATTTGTGTATCTAGTGGACTGCACATAGATAATTTACATATTTTTCCGGAGACAGCTAGCTAAGAAAAAACACAATTCATGGCCAAGTGTTTCAGTGACCAGTGGTGTTTCAGTGACCGGTCCTATACTGTAGGTACACTGGGAACAATCCAAGATGTCTGCTCTCCGAATATCATTTGGATATCCAACTAAGTGTAGGAAATAAAAGTCAAATACTTGACTTCCGAATATCTAAAGAAAGCCATAAATAAACGCTGTATATTCGGAGCCCCGGATATGGCAGCGAATATATTACATAATTGTCACTCGATTATGGACTATAATATCCGTCGAATGTTCTGCACCCAAACATTGTACCGATAAATACAGTAACTGAGGAATATTTGCGGACCAAATACACTGTAAGTTATTACTAATACTTAGAGCACGGATATCCTTCAAATATTGGCTGAAAAAGATCAGTCACTCGGTATATGCCATTTCTGGTTGGCGGATTGGCACAGAATTTGGTTTCTACATCTTAAACCATCTGAGCTTCAATTGTTGATTACATATCTGAGGAAAATACGTGCTGTAAGTACTGACAATTTCCCGCAATGTAATCGGTCCCCAAATATTCCCTGGTTATCAGATTTATTGGTACGAAGTTTGGGTGCAGAATATTCAACAAATATCGTAGGTCATATTCGAGCAACGATTATGTGGCTTATTTGCTGCCATATCCGGAGCTCGGAATATGCAGCATTTATTTATGGCTTTCTTTCAATGTTCGGAAGCCAAGTATTCAATTTGTATCTCCTATACCTCGTTGAATTTCTGCACAATATCCGGGGAGCGGAAATCTTGGATTGCCCCCAGTGGTATGGATCGATTGTCATCCATGTCCGTTTATGGTTACTCACTAATGCCTTGAGTCTTTCCGTTCCACGACTGTCTTGCTACTTGAGCTTGCACTGTCGCCAACCCGCACAGGTCAGAACTGGCAGTCTCACACAGATCCGTGGCGCGTGCCGACTAACATGGATCTGCATTCCTGGACGTCCATCATGCTCGACGCCTTAAGATCTGGCCAGAGCTTGACAGTGGTAATTAGCAGCAGTCGTGTGGACGAAGATTGATTGCGTCGGGGTGCGCAGCCTCGCCGACAGGCTCTACTGGAATGTCGACATCTTGTGATCCTACTCAGAAAATCAAGCTTCTCGTCCTCTCCCCTCTGTGCGAAGGAGCAACCAATGTCACAGTCGTTCTCTTTGGCGCGTCTTCCCTTCGCCTTCCATGAGACGACCTGTTCATACACCAACGTGTTCCACGCGAGGCCCAACTTCTAATGCGAGGTCCTCACGCCGTCGTTGGTCTTCTCGCAACGACGCGTGCATCCTGCTAGCTCCAATGCATGGGGACCTGTCAAGACCGTACTCATGTACGGTAATTCGACGTTAAGGAGTGTCATCCTCTAGCTCACCGGGTGTCTCTTGTCTACACCTGTGACCTAATATTACCTTGCGAAGGCAGACTATATGCATGTACGTGCATGACCTCAATCCTCAGCCGTCTCCTTCTCCCCCAGACCGGACTTCTGAGGATCGCCCCACGAGCCGCTCAGAGCCTTGTATAAAAGACGTGGACTTGTATCCAGCACTCCAGGCCTCTCGTCTCCAATCGACCCACTCGTGCCTCTCGCAATAACTTATAGCGACGTCGCCATGCAGCTCTTCGCCAAGTCCGCGCTCGCATTTCTTACGCTTTTTGTTGGGTTGACAAAGGCCCAGATCAATGGCACCGGCAATCGTGAGATCCATCTGTCATAGCTGTGTGAAGGTTCACCATGCATCTAGTGTTCTACTTTGTCCCGAGCACCGGCGCATGCGGATTCACGAACAGTCCTGACCAATACGTCGCGATTGTCTCTGGGGATGTGTTCAACAGCTACCCGTGCGTGCCCGCTTCCATTTCGAGCACTCGAGCACGGTTACTACAACTAATTAACAGGGGCGCGACGGATGACCCGAATTAGTACGCTGCTTCCTATTTCACTAGACATTCCGACTCTAATCATGATGCCGATACAGCAACCCAATCTGCGAGCACAACCTGACCGTTACCTGTATGCACCGTCATTCCTTCGAACTTACAATTGAATTGGAGCTGACAGTCACCTCAGACAAGGGCACTGAAGTGTCTGCACAGATCGTAGACTATTACACCAGCTCGCCGGACAACAACGTTGGCCTCTCCTCCGCAGCGTTCAAGGTCTTCGGCAGGCCTCTGGGCGAGATCTCTGATGTGACGTGGGACATTGTGTAGATATCGGACGCGGGCTGTTTGACCGCTGGGCTGGTGCTGCATGACTCCAGTCTCCTTTTATGTCCGTCTTGCTGCTTGATCCGCGTATTGCGCAATTCGTAACTGCTGTGGGACTCGGTTTCTCTCGCCTGCACCAGCCATTCGTGGGCCAATATACTGGTTTTTTGACGCGTCTGATGATTTCTACGATGTTCCTGGACGCTCATCAGACTCGCTGAGGCTTGAAGCTTGAAGCTTGATACGGTATACCTTTCTTCAACGAGAGATCATCAACGGTGATTCGCAACGCTCGTGGTGGCGGTGATTCACGAATGACGACGCCGCAATACCACTGGCAGACTCGTGGCTTCGAAGAGAAGTCGAAAAAGGCCTCATCCTCCCCTTCTGACCGAGCCCGCTCCTTCGTACGTCTTGCCTTTCTTCCATTCTTATTATGCTCAGCCTCGACCCTAGCAGGGCTGGCGTGGTCCGTGCGAGACGGCGAGGCACACCGCGCCAATGACTCCCAAGACCCGAGGTCCTCGCATCCTTGTGCGTTCACCAGTCTTCTCACAGTGAGTCACTGATGCACGCGTCCTATTGGCCCCGTGAAGTCATTTCGCATCAGGAACCTGTCGAGGTCGCCCCAATCTCCACTGTGGTGGGTCGAGGAAGCGCCATCTTTCTGGCCCACTGGGTGTCTCGCCATGGCTACATTGCCCTGTGACAGTGCAATATTGGGCCATCTGACCGCACGTGCGCTATCCAAGTCCTTGTCCGTCTCACACCCTTCAGAACAGACACGTGTGGGGGTCCGCTTATTGCGAGATGTAGCCAGACGAGCCGCCCAATATCTGTATAAAAGACGTTTAATTGCAGCCAAAAATCCAGGCCGCTTGTGTTCAATCGACCCACTCATTCCTCTCGGAATCTGCCCACTGCGACGTCGTCATGCTGCTCTCCTCCAAATCCGCGCTTGCATACCTCACGCTCTTCGTTGGACTGACGAAAGCTCAGCTCAACGGCACCGGCAATTGTGAGCGCACCAGTTTCGCCGTTATGACAGGAACTAATACGTCGCCTCTAGTGTTCTACTTCGTTCCTGGCACCGGCGCATGTGGCTTCACGAACACAAGTGATCAATACGTCGCGTCTGTCTCTGCAGATGTATTCAACAACTTCCCGTACGTGCCTACTCCCATTTCAATTCGGGTGCTGTTCCTGAATTCAGTGAGCAGGGGCGCGACGTCAGACCCGAATAAGTACGTTATTCCTTACCTCGCGCACAGTTTTAGCCTCTCATCGTGATGCTAACCCAGCAACCCGATCTGTCAGCACAACCTGAACGTTACCTGTATGCACCGTAGTCCTTTCACCACGATATAGAGCTGAGCTGACTCTGACTGCCCTGCTCTGCAGACAACGACACGACCGTGTCCGCGCAGATCGTGGACTACTACACCAGTTCGCCGGACAATAACGTCGGGTTCTCCCCCGCAGCGTTCGAGGAATTCGGCCAGCCTCTGGGCGAGCTCGACAATGTGACTTGGGCCATTGTGTAGAAGTCAGACGCGGGCGATTCTAAGCATGAACTGCGAACGAACAAGTGTGTACTGGACTGACGCTTGCACGGTATTTCTGTACGAACTGTTTCTGGAACTGTGTGAGATCAATCGCGTATCTTGGGCCGTGTTATAGGTTATACTGTACCTGTGTTTTGAAGAATATCACAGTCGTCGGAATTGACTCCCATATATGACGCAATTATCAACTGAGACATTGCAGGACTACAACAACGGTACAGAGTTCTATTAATATTGCATGGCACATGAATACAGGATACAGGCCCTGATACAAGGAACGATGAGACGACGATGGCAGATATACACAAGTTCCCTAAGAACATATTCCATAGTGTCATACTAGCAAGAAGATGACCAGGTCCTTTTACTCGTAATATAATATATAAATCTTCCCTTGCCTTACCGACATAATGACCGCACCTTGGGATTGGTCGATGTTGATGGTCTCAACCTCGTCCAGGTCGACTTCGTCCGGGATCTCCAAGGTTCTGACGGCACCCTCCGCATCGCTCGCCGGCGCCTCCTTCCAGCGTACACCGACATCGCCCAATTCGTCCAACTCGTCCACCACCGGCGGGAACGACACGAAGCGCACGCGCTTCTGCTCCCCGTCGCCGCCCTCGCCCTCTGCCGGCTCCACGAACTCGATCCACACCGCGTGCCCAAAGTCGACCGCCATGAGCGGGCGCGGGCGCTCCTGCGGCCCCGTGCCGTCGTCGCTGCCCTCGTCCAGCTCGTCGAGCACGCACACGACCTCGAACGGCTGCCGCACATACCACACCTTCATCATCGAGTCCGCGTTCTCGCCGGTGCTGCTCGAGAGCGTCACCGTCGACTCGGACCCGCTGCAGTCCTGCGAGGAGCCGCTCGTGCTGCCCCCCTCCAACGGCGAGCCTTCGCGCGCGCGAGGATCGTCCATGTCGAAGAGCGGCACGCGGAAGTAGTGTTGCGCGAGCACGTACCGAGTCCGGTGCGTCACCATGTCGTGGTCTGCGAGTAGAACCACGGTGCAGCTCAGCCGCGGGACCGACGGCAGCGAGGGCCACCATTGGCGCACGAAGTGGGCGCTTTCGGGGTACCAGGGCGGGTATGGGAACGGATTCCGGTCTACTTCGGGTGTGCGCACTGACGGTCCTGTTTGTTCGCCCTCTTGAGGAGGGGGAGGGGGAGCGATCAAGGCTTCAGTTTCGAGTATTTCACTCAGTGATGAGTCGTCGGAGGGATGTTCAGCAGCGAACGAGGGGAAGATGAAGGGCGCCGTCATCGTTAAAGAGGGGCCGACCCGGGCGGACATCGAGGGCGCGAATGACGGGAACTTGTGTGCACGCCTCACGTATTGTTGTAGCACAGAGATTGGATAGAAATATTGATGCGCATAACTGCTCTCTTCCGAGTGGATGACAATCTGTTCTTGGTGCAAGATGCATGACCAGTTTGAAGACATTGTCTAGAGATAATATTAGAAGGCAAAAATGGCCGAAACGTTATCGGAGTACTTACACATTCTAGGCCCGTGTCTATAAATACATATTCCTCTTTGTCCCAATCGAGCAGCGCGAAGAGCCCTATCGTATTCGACGCTGCCACCCATACGAAGGCTGAAAGCAGGCGAGACGGAGGGTCAAGCAGAAATACGTTCATCACTATGCCGATCGTTCTGAATGTGGCGAGGGAGCTGAAGGTCGGCAGTATGGCTCCTGCAGATGTACTTCCGGTCACCTCGCCGCCTGGCTCAGGGAACTGCAGCTTCATTAGTACAAACTCCATGAGACGATCATCATAATTCGTTGATCTGCATTTTGCACGTGTCAAGGCTAGCAATTTGACGATATGGGAGACGTACGATCGATGCAGAACCTTCGCCATCGTAAAAAACACCGTCTGGTTGTCGAAGTCGACCCGACACTTCCATAGCTCCCAGCGTTCGCGCGGATCCCACTCTGCTAGACATACGTCGCGGTGAACATCCCAACAGACGACTTTTCCGCTCTTCGTAGCACAGAGGCTGTAGCTCGAGGTGATCGGGGAGAGCCAGTCCACCTCCTCGTTTGGCGGGGCACTGATCACTTTGTACCAGGACTTCCCGCTCACGCCGTTGCGCAGCGCATACGATGGCCGGGGCGTGCGAGTGAGGAAAGCACTCTCTAGGCGGATGGCTTTTGCTACTGCGCTGACGAGCTGCTCCGTCGACAGATCTGAGAGGCGTTGAAAGCCCTCCAGTGGTAGGGCTCGACATCTACGAAGTAACGAAACCGCAAGATTGCGGTAGACTGGACGAGTCGTAGCAAAGTCGTGCAACGACCTGCAGGTCTATGGCATTGACAGCTCGCTGAGATTCCCTTTGAAGCATACAAAAGAAAGGCTTGAGTGCTCACCACTTGCACAGCGTGAATATCGCTCCAACCAAGATGTTGAGCAATGTTAAGGAGCAAATCGTAAGGAAGCGTGTGTAGAGATAGTCTCTCTTGTCTGGTGATGGCGAGCATGATTGATACCTCCCAGTTGACGATGGGGACACCACAAAGATACTGTGCAAACTTCGTGCAACAAAAGGCTGGGCCGTACGACGTAAGAAGAAGGGACGAGACAACAAGCAAGGCGATTGCAAGACCTCCGAGAAAGCGATCAGAGTGAAGTCACGTGATCGACATGAAGCGGCACACAACTTCTGGGCAGTTCCGATCGGCTATGGGCACATGTACAAAAGCCCCGTTCCTAAAGCGTTTTCTGCGGCCTAGATATCGATCTAATATAGTTGAAGGTATTTATTTATTTAGTCATCCGGACGCTGTAGAAAACAAAACAGGTTTGGGTGTTCAATCTGCGAGCCCAAGGTGTGTGGCCGTCTGCTTCAAGCCTACATTGAACTTAAGTTTATTACGTAGCTTCTACATATGCGTGCAGAGGGTATTGTTTAATGTCTATTGGCATATCGTCGCTTGCATGGGGCCTTTTATGAAAGAACAAACAAGAAACAAGGGGCTCTTAGCTTGTTGTTGACCGCTCATTAGTTTCAGGTCTTGTATGCGTCTATTACTACACCTGCCTAAACAGGAATGCAGTGTTGAGGAAAATAATACAACCGATTTGGTCAAGGCAGACGTTCCAGCACCGCGAGCTCACCGCAGACCATAGCGTTCACGCACGTTCTGACGGTCTTACTTCTCCTGCCAGTCAAGCTCTGAATTGTCCAAACAGACTGGTTTCTGATTTGATCCTCTTAACGCGCTCGACGGCTGTCTGACAATCGCCCAATACATGCCTTTCTGAGGCTGCAACCTGCATTCCATCACCCTCGTTTGTCGCCTGAACTCTCCTTCTTCCCAGCCACGACATGCCCCCTCGACGCGGGGGTTCGACTTCCAACTCGCTCAGTCCGCCAGAAGTCGCCTTTCCAGGTACCGGTGGCACGTCTCCCGGCACTTCCCCGCGGTCGGTCTCTCCTTCGGGCGGCTTTACGCAATTCCTGTCGAGACCTACGAAATGGTTCAACCGGTCGAGCTCTGCGAACTCAGGCCGTGCCTCGATCAGTTCAACGGAGCCGAGGTCGAGCACTAGTTCAACTGGCAGGAAACCCAAAATATCTCATCCTACGGACCCGCGCCCGATCTTGGATACACTGGGATTGTCTCCAGAGAAGCACGCGCATGCTGCGAGCAGGTATGTCTTGTCGATTCCATTATATTGCGCCCGACATGGGATACCATCTTGGACACGCACGAGTGCAAAAGGGTCAGCAAAGGGTATTGCTCCATCGCGTTCTACTTGTCGTATTGTGTGTCGTGCCGCCGCGTTGATTGCAATTACTTAATGACACTACTTGCCAAGGGTGATGCCCTTAGGGTGTTGAGCCAAAACTCTGCGCTCCTATGAGCACCGCCTGCTCAAATTGCTTATGGGCGATCACCACTTCTCTGCACAAGTCGATACCAAATATAATTCATGTCTTGTTTTTTTCTTCTCCGAATTGCGATCTGAAATGTGTTTTGTTCGCTGGCTAACATTGTTTTGTCCCGTTTGCAGATCAGTCCTTGACCTCTCTCTATCTCACCAACAGGCCTTCGATGATCATTCAAGACCAGGTGTTCCTCGCACACCTTCGTCCCCTTCCCAGCCTACAGTCTCGCGCGGACTTGGGGACCTGCGCGCCATATCTCGCAAACCCTGGTCCAAATCCGCCGACGACCTTGGGAAATACTCGTCCCGTGCTTCGCCACCAGTATTGACGCCCCTTGACACAACGTTTCACGAGAAAATCGAACAATACAGAACCACTCGCGCGGACAGCGTCGGGAGTCTGAGCAATGCGCCCTCTCCGTCAGTCTCGTCACTCATGTCCGCTCAGAAGGTCTATCCATTCCCTGTCATATCTCAGTCACCCTCCGAGCCGCTCTCATCGTCTCCGCCGCATCGACCCAGCATCCAACTCTCGGCTGCATCGCCGATCTCTACGAACGGGGCGGCGCTAACGCCAGTCCTCTCGAACTCTAATTCACATGTTCATTCGCGCTCGCACTCATTCACCCCACGTCTGCCGTCTAAGCTTGCATCGCCGAAACCGTCGCTTCAGCCACCGACGAGCCCGAAGCGCAAGGGATCGGCGTCTTCTGATCGTATTGAGCGGGAGAAAAACCTATCAGGAGGCAGCTCGTCGTCTCGATCGCCGTTCCCGTTCAGTCTCCCGGGCAGCGGCAAGGCTGTGTCGCCTATTGGAGCTGCTGAGCACACTGGTCGAGTGCCGCTCTCTCCCACTGCATTGGCACCTCCCAAGATCGTCGAGCCACCGGGCGCAGATAAGGACTCGAAGCAGGAGAAACGTGGCTCGCAATTATTGTACCATTCGGGCTTTGTCAATCGCCTCGTCGACTTCTCGCCGTCGGCATTGAGCGTCCGCGCCAACCAGTCATACATGAGTGGGGGTAGCGTGTCGGCGCTGTCCAAAGGCTGGAAGCCGTTCAAGCTCGTCCTGAAAGGGTCGAAGCTATATTTTTATAAGCCCCCAAGCGACAGAAGTGCTGCCATCAAGGAGCTGTTTCCGACAGAATTGGTAACGGTGCTAGAAGATGAGGGCTTAGCTGATGGCGATCTCGAAGGCAACGAGGTTGAGGAAGAAGAGACAGGTAGAGGCGGGAGGGGAAGAGATAGAGATGATATGCGAAGACGCCGGGCGTACTGGGGCAGGGGGACTCATCCATCTCTGTTTCTCGCTGGAGAGCGAATCGAGAGAGGGACGTTCGAAGCTCTTGTCCACGAAACTATCTTCGCGACAACCTTCGTCAAGTCAACGGCTTCTGACAGTGTTGACAGCCGGACAGTCACCACTCTGGGACCGGAGCAAGGTTTGCTTCCCAAGGAGAGCGGAGATGGACCGAACACCGAAGGACCGGCGCTCCGCGAAGTCGTAACCAGTCGCCCGTCTCGTTACAAGCCAGAATGGCACGAATTTGCATCCACGATTTTGCTCACCCTGCCAGCCTTGGTAGGTGGTGCAAAATTCGAGGCCGAGTTCGTTCGATGTTGTGCCAATCTCGTAAGTGGGGCGGAGGATATTGACAAGGATGAGGAGCGCGCCCGTGTACGGTGGCTCGCTACGCAGTACCTCACCTACCACGGCAATCCCGCGAATCCCGAATCGTGGGAGCTCTGGCGTAAGGAGACCATTCCAGACTTCCCTGCAGACTTTTCCGTGACATCGAAGGTTGCCGGCATACCCAAGACATCGTCAACACAGGCAGTATTCACTCCTTCTCCACAGCTCCCTACCTTCGCGGAGTTCTCGCCTGACCTTGGGACCTTCTCACCCAGACCAGGCGATGGTAGCAAGATGATGTCCATCGTCGAGGCTCTAGGCGTGCCGCCGCCGCCTCCTGGGCAAGTTCCCTATCATGACTCGGATTCGTTGCGATTGCGGGACCTACTCGAGAGCGGCGGGTTGACGCGAGATGTCCTCCAGAGCGTGGACGTTCAAGTACTGGCGCGCAGTCTCCTAGTGTTCAACATACGGCTACTTGGACAATTACCGGATCATTTCCTTGCAGACCTGTGCCTTGAGCCGGATTTGTTAGGCACCAGTGAAAGTGCAGATACTAGGAATCAAGATGAGAAGAATGGTTCTTCGCCAAGCCTTGCGCCTTTCATGGGGACAGACGACTCACCACATTGGCTTACGAAGACGATCCTCAACCAGATACTTATCCCTGAGGCAACTGGCGCTTCGGCCACGCGCACACAGGACGACCGACATGCCCCTACATCACGCACGCATACCCGTTCTGAGGTCATATCCACCTGGGCAAGGATTGGGGAGCTATGCCGCCGGACAGGGGACGAATGTTCCTGGCACGCAATCTTCGCTGCACTGTGCTCTCGCCCGGTTGCTCGTTTGGATAAGGTCTGGAAGCGTGTGGACTCGGATGCTATTTCTTTGGTCCAGTCATGGGTTCAGCTACTCGAAAAGGCAGACGCTGTGTCGAGCGACATCCCATTGTCAGTACCATGGGCTGGAGAGACCATAAATCAGATGAGAAGGGCCCTCAATATCGCAAGATACGGTGATGTTGAGGAGTGGCAGCTCAGCTATCTCGTTGATGCGCGAGTCAAGTTCGATTCACTTCGCACGGCATTTGCTCTCTGCAGCAGGAAATCTGGTTCAGACGGGGAAAGCGAAGCAGAAGACGTCGAGGCGTTAGTCAAGCAATGGAACAGCCTGCAGGCAGGTGGTACCACTACCGGCATGGCTTCTAAATTCGTGCGGTAAGTAAGCATGACTTTGGAACGAATCGCCTACTCACCATTGCCGTACAGTATTGACCAGTTTATGTCGCTGTCCCTCGCTGCAGAACCGCGGCGCAGGGGCCTCTTTGAACCTTACTACTGGACCCGTTCCCCTGCGCAGCAAGTCTCTCAATCTCTCACTGCTGTTTTCTTCCCTGATCCCTTACCCACTGTTGCCTTCATCAATCGTGAGCTGCTTGCGCGTGGCCGGCTGGATAGCAGCGCTAGTATAAACCTACAAGAAGTGCAGCAAATACGAGAAGCCTGGCTAAAACCTGACGCTACCTCCACGATCAGAACGCAGGCTGACAAGCCAGTCGGCATCGACCTAGGCGGTACAATCCTGCCTGTCTTCGACGGCGAACTTCTTTTGCTTGTTCAGCCTCATGCCGAGAATGCATCATCCTCGCGTCCTACCTCTCGCGCTCCTTCAAGACCCCCTAGCTCTATAACCGACTCACCAGCACCAGAGAAAACCTTCAGTCGCAGTCCATCCATCCGGGTGAGCCCTGGTACCTCCCATAGCCTTGATCGCAAACCCAGTGTTGCCCGCCGCAATTCCCTCCCTTCCATCTCACAACGGACTAGTCTTGTCGTACCAGAAGTCAGTTCGGAGAAACCCCTCCGTGTTGTGGTGCAGGCTGGCACTCTAGATCGTCTAGTAGATATACTGGTGCATGGTCTCCAAGGTGTCTCAGTGTCCGTCTCTGATGACAATGGAGAGATACCCCTAACCGACACGAAGACAAGGGAAGTGAAAGTCGACATGGATGAATTCTCAGAAGTTTGGTGGAGCATTTACAGGAGTTTCATGACTCCCCAGGTTTTGTTCGAGGTTCGTGTTTGGGATACATGGCACAAGGATGCGAACTGACGAACATCCTCAGTTCCTGCGGAAGCGGTATTTGAGCGCCCGCCTGTCCTCGTCACCCTCAAATGTGCAAATCAACAACGTAGTCCGTCTACGTTCTGAGGTGCTGGAAACCATGAACGAATGGATCAACAGAGGAGGCGGTGCCCAAGACGCTCTCGATGACATACAGCTCTTCAAGTCTATTGAGACTTTCTTGAACGAGTCTGCTGACCATGACTTGACTCGCTTCATCCTGGCAGATGACGAGTCGGGTAGACGGACAGTCGGTTTGCTCGACCAGATCAAGAAGACCCTCCACATGTCCTTCTTGTCGCAAAGCTTGAGACCTACCCGGGTAGTATCCCCCGCAGATGAATCTACTGATGTGCCAGGCGTACAGAGTTTTGGCTCTCAAGTCCCAGACCTGGACCAGATCGACGTCGAAGAGCTTGTGAACAATCTGGATTCTATGGGTAGTGCTGCATGGCGTAACGTTACCAAAGAGGTTAGATAACACTTAGTACTTCCGAAAACCTAACTTACGACGACCTATAGGACCTCTTTGTGACTGCTGATCTACTCGAAGTTCAGTCGGCGGACCGCACTGGCTGGTTCTTGTCTCGCGAACCCAGCGCAATCGCCGACGAAGTGGAAATCCATAGCATGAATTCATACATCGTCGAAGTCGAGCCATCAACGATGATATCCGAACTTGCCCAAGAGTCCCTTTACCGCCTCCTTCCACCGTCGATCCGTACGTGTATCCGAGCCTTCGGTATCTTGCGCAAGTGGCTGGTATCCAAGCTCGTTGCCACACGAGTTGGTCTCCGCGTCCGCCAGGCAAGAATGGACCTGTTACTCCGAGCGATCGAGGTCTGCCGTCTACGGAATGCCGAACCCACTACATCTGGCAACCTATCGCTCGCCTCGCGCCCATGTATTCGGTCATTTGTTGAGACAGTGATTACCTCTGCTATTCTCAGTGTGGAGAGCCGTACCCATTACCGCGCGTGGCAAAATCTTGCCCTGGCTCGCGGGACGACTTGCGACACACTAGCTGCCTTGTTGAGCCGTCCGGCTATCTCTTCTCTCACCTCAAGAGGTACCTTGACGGTTGATATCGGGTGGGTTATCGAGAGGATGCTCGAAGTCATCAGTGCTGCGGATATCCTGGAATCGGCGAATGCGGAGACTTCAGGCTTAGTGAACTTCGACAAACGCAGGTAAGATACTTCATGTTGTGTCTACCAGTACTACCCCTTATATGTTTTGTAGGTCCCTCCATACACTGATCAGTACGACGTCTGGCATCAGCCGCAAACGCCAGCGGCGCCATCTGGATCGACGTGACTTCGAGAGACTGAATACCATCGAGAAGGAAGTCTCATCAATTCAGTTTGACCTCCGGTTGATACGGGAGGAAGCTTACCGCGAAGCTACATCAGCTGGTTCTTTGGGGTACAAAAAGCCTCAGAGGCCTTTCCAGTATCTGGTTTCTCTGCAGCAAGAGAAGAACAAAAGGGATCGGCACTTACGCGATCGGCTTAGCAGAGAAAAGCGGCAGGAACAACAACGCAACGACAGGCGAGAAGAATATCTCAACAAGGCTATGAACACGCGACGTCAACCTGCAATTGTCCAGAAACAGCATCGCAACAAGAAGAGCATGTCGTCTGCATTCTTTCAATTCATGCGGCCCATCTCCAGCGCGTTCTCTTCAGAAACTCTTGCTATGCCTGGTGTCAAGCGCACGCCTGCCGAACTTGATTTTGTCCCGTCACATAAACCGACGCTGGTCCTCAGCGTCGTTGATGCGCGGGTGGCTCAATTCGTGAATAATGAGCGTTCGTTCACGTTCCAGTTGGATACGGAGGACGGAGGACATTACCTGCTACAGACCATCAGCAAGGCCGAGATGAAGAAATGGATGGACACCGTTCAGCACGTCTCAACGATTGCAGCGAAGCGCCGCTTGACGTACCTGGGACAGAATTCCAAAATGCAACTCTCGGATCATCTCCTCAGTCAACCCGGGTCCACATCGCGAGATCCAAGGGCAGGTGAGCTTGGCGATCTTCTGAATACCGATGGGATCTGACGTGTCCTCCGAAGTATTCGGGGTTGACCTTGACTTTCTCCTGGAGCGCGAAGCCGGGTCAGGCGAGGTTGCCCCTGGAGCTCTTCCTTCTGTACTTGAGCGTTTGATAGTGGAAGTAGAGAGCCGCGGACTGTCTGAATTGGGTATCTGTATGTTGACTCCCGCCCGCTTTACAGTAAGAGCATCCGCTAAGATGGAACCTAGATCGGATTGCTGGTGCACATTCCGAAGTCCAAGCATTCAAAGATACCATCAACCGCGGTATGTGCGATATGACCAAGCGTATCATCAGTAGATGCTGATACTCCGTGATAATAGGCGAATGGCCAATATCCTCTTCCACAGATATCCACGCTGTGTGTGATCTCATCAAGTCGTGGTTCCGTGTCTTGCCTGGCGGCATCTTCCAGGACGGTGTGTACAGCGAGATTCTTGAAGCTGTCTGTACGTACTCCAGACCAAACAGTCCTTCATTGATTTCTTGATATGCTCATGACCTCTTGAAAAGCAAATGATGAGGCCGACTTGGCGACGAGGCTGTCCAATATCCGCAGAGTAGTTCACGGACTCCCTGATTCAAGATTTTACCTCTTGAGGCGCATCATTGAGCACCTTGACAAGTGAGTCATCTATACATTTTGACAACACTCTAATTGACGCTGTAATCAAGGGTGACCGATTACGAGGAGAATAACCAAATGACTGCGGAGTCTCTCTCCACCGTCTTTAGTCCGAACCTATTGCGTGCGCCAAACAACGATGTTGCTCTCTTCTTTGCCAACATGAGCATGGGGCATCGTGTGTGCAAACTACTCATTGCACATGTGAGCCACCCATTTCTATTTTCATAGACCTCGCTGAGCGCGTTCTATGACGTGACAGTTCCATACCATCTTCGATATCGAAGCCGAGCAAGATCAAGAGGCCGGGATCGATCGCGAACAAGAACAGGAAGAGTTTGAGTTCGACGAACCTATACCAGAAGAGGACGAAGAGGCAGATATGCTCTGTGATGGCGGTCCTGACACGCCAGACGATGACAAGAACTCCCTGCAAATTTCTGCAGGGCCTCCTGTCCTTGACATCAATCTGGGCAGTCCGCATTCACTCTCGTTTACGGTCTCATGATCATGCTCCAGCTCCCTCACTCTTTCTGAGCCCGCATACCTGTACGCTGTGATACTTTATGGACACGCATCCCTTTCGGACTCGCCGCTCTTTTGACCCTTGGTGCTGACACCGTCCTTTGTGCATCCGGTAGCTATATGTGATGAGTGTATGGTTAGAATATACCCGCACGGCAGACTTACCCAACGGACGTCGTACTGTCATGGTGTTAGCTACTTAATCGTACTCTATGTTTCAATAGCTCCATTTCCTCTATCCGTCATTGTCTGCAGATGTCTCAACACCGGAGGCGGCCTACGCTTGAAGTCAAGATGAACTGCACCCAACTGCAAGTGAACACATGCCACATGCTGTTTCTGGGTGATATACCCTATTCTGGTGACCTCAGCATGTATCCTGGAACCTGCGTTGCAGGCAATGAATGTCTCTTGTCCTCGAGTCGGGAGCCCCGACAACGCTCGAGGTGACACATAGACGCCTGTGACAGGAAACGTAACATAGGCTGGCCCTGGCTAGCCGCGTTGCACATACTATCCCATTCTCCCTCGGCTAGTCGAAATCCAGCACCAATAGCCTGTTTCAAGCTTCCGCGGTGCTGAGTGCGTCTGCAGGGTTGAATCACTGCTTCCCCCTCTCCATCAGCCTGGTGGTCTAGTGTCGCCTATTTCGCCAGTCCTATAACTATCCCGCATGGTCTTGGAAGTGGTCTATGCCGCGGCCTCTCAGATTATACCGTCTGGCTACACTGTTCACCTCTGCGTTGCTGCCGTTGCACTCGTAATCATCTATGCATTTGCCCAGGGTCGCTCCACGACCCGCGAGCGGGACCTGCATGCCCGCGTTGTCGTCGTTACGGTGCGTCCTTCGACCCTTCTCTGTATTCACTGCATTGACTATGCGTGCTTAGTAGGGTGCCTTTACGCCCCTTGGTTTAACATTATTGACCGCGCTTGCGAGCCGCGGTGCGCATGTCATCGCCATCTCCGACTACCCGCTCGACCATGCATACCCGTCGCTCATCATTCCCCTCCTGCGCTCCACCACGAACAACGAGAACATCTTCGCCGAGCACGCAGACCTCTCGGATCCCTCGTCCATCCGTGGGTTCTGCACCCGGTTCTTGACTGGACAGGACCAGCGCCTGGATGCGATCGTCTTCGGGCACGAGTACCACACAATCGGCTCGCTGCTGCGTCGTGCGCGTCCGGCAGACAGGCTCGCGGAGAAGCGCGAGACGGCATCGCTGGCCACGTTCCTCATGATGACGCTGCTGCTCCCGGCGCTGCTGGTCGAGCCTGCGGAGCGGGACATCCGCATCGTCAACATCGTCAACCCGTTCTACGCGGCCTCGATCCCTGCGTTCACTGCGCAGCTCGCCGCGGCGGCCGGCTCGCCTGCGCAAGCGGCTGCTCTGGTGGACGAAGGCTCCCGCGCTCTGCGCACGGCGGTCCTAACGCACCATCTGCAGCGCGTGCTCGACTCCCTACCTAATCGGGGCCCAAGCACGGGTCCAGAGCAAGATGCGGGGAAGAACAAGGCAGCCCCGGCCGCCAAGACCGGCCAGGAGCCGAACCGACTGGAAATGCATCCGTCGAACATCATTGCGGTGTCAGTCTGTCCAGGCATCAGCCGCAAGGACACCATCGTGCCGCTGCTAGGCGCAGAAAGAGATGCTGCGGAGGGATGGTCGCTCCTCGGGCTCATGTTGTAAGTGCCATCCGCGCTGTCCGCCGTCAGGCGTGAGTGCTCAACCCTTTACGTTTATAGTTATGTCGTCTTCTTCCCCATTCTGTTCCTATTTACGAAATCGCCAAGCTCCGCCTTGCAATCTGTCCTGCATGTGCTGTTCTTACCGACTCCGCTGAAGCGCGCCTTCGCACACATCGATGCTACAATCAACCCAGCGCCTACACCAGAAAGCACCGACGAGAAGCCCGCGCCAAAACCTACTGTGGTCTATGAGGAGGTGCTGAAACCAGGCGCACTATACCGGGAATGTGCCGTTGCCCAGCTCAATATCCCTCCACTGCCTTCACCGCCAGAGGACACGAAGAGCGACGAGAAAGCGCGGGCGGATGGCAAGGGGAAGGGGAAGGAACGGGCAAGCATGCCGGACGCCACATTCCCAGACGACGGTGAGTTCGGAGGGGAGGCGGTCGGGAGAGCAGTCTGGGAGTGGTACGAAGAGCACCTGAAGGCGTGGGATATGCACTCGAAGACAGATGAGGGGCAGACGAAGCGAGAAGAGGCGCAGGAAGCGAAGGGGGAAGGTGAGGGCATCCGGACCAATTGAGCGTGTACGTACCTATGTGGCTTAGCTGCCTCTGCTTGCAATGACACTTTCCATCAATTGTGTCGGCTCCTTTAATTCTCTCCTGGGCAGATTGATTCTCCATGTCTCCGCGATGATTGTGCGATCCATCTGTCGAATTGTGTCCTCGAGCCGATGTTCTTGCAATATATACTCTGGACAAGGTCGTGGTGACCCCGAAGACGCCGGTGGCACCATTTCGGGCCACAATCGCCACACATCAACATCGCATTTTCCGTGCGGGAGACTAATTTGATGATTATCAGTGGGGACCTCAGACCCTCTGTTTCGCTGATGTCGCCTCGATAAGGAGGAGCTGTGAGCTGTGACGGATGTGCCACCCGTTCCGGTAGCACGTGTGACGTAACGCGATTGTGACAATGTACGACGCGCCACTGGCGCGCTTCAGTTCTTGGTCTTTCACACTCTACACTTTACTAGATCACATTGGGTGAGAAGTTCCTGCCATGGACACCATTTTTGCTTACTTGATACAGCCACTATATTCATGAAGCAACATAGAGATCACTCTGTGGCGCGACATTCATCGAAGCCATGAATGCTCATGCCCATATAAAGAAAGTACGTTTCCGTGTGGCACAAATACTGATCTCCTCGATTCAGTTGTTTCAAGCAGATTTTCAGTGGCCGTAGGGTGCATACACCTATATCAGTGCTATCTTGATACGTTATGTGAGTGATTCTCGCCACAGACTGACTGGTGTGCTCTAGGTACTGGTGTGGCCACCTTATTAGGATGTGCCAATAATAATTCCCATAAATTAAGCCGCCTTGATCTAGGCGAGTTCACCATTGTTGCACACAATATGTTCTGCTAGTTGAACATGTATAGTTTTTCCGCCAGGTCCCGTATGTGCCCTCGCATTGTGGAGTGGTGTTTCAATACCTTGCCGACCTGGTAGGGTTTACGCGAGTCCTGCCACAATTAGGCTTTTCCCGGCCTATCGGGTAGGTCTGCGCGCGTTCCGTGACGCGAGGCGATGACAGATCATGCGTGCTCGCTGCCGAACACACGAAAATATGTTGAGAATCTCTGCTCATTGCTGTGAGAGTGACAGGGGTGCCCGCCCCTCTGGAGGCTGCGGGCGGGCGGCGTCTCACGTCTCGCTGCTCTCAGCCCTCACCAGAATCCCTTTGTCCTGCCCTCTTGTTCTCCGAGCACAGTGCCTGGCCCTCGCCGGCATCACGAATTGCCGTCATTCGTGAGGTGAGCATATGGCCATAGACTTCTTCTCGCGAGTCTGATTCCCCTCGCAGAGGCTCCGAACGAGTGAACATGGACCTATGCGGGCTGAATGCAGCTTTCCGCGGCAAGCCGGATCATGTCACATTCTCTCCTGTCACTGCCGCAGGCTCCGCTCTATGCTCCATTTCCGGCACAAATTGTTTTGTGTCTGGCGTGGGGCCACAGCAAGCGCCGTGGCCACAACCTTATACTCCGCTTGATTCCGTTGCTGTGGCCTGGCCGAACCCGCCACCACGGCTATAAAAGAGCTCGAAAACGCCCTCTCCCCCCCTAAACACCAAACGCCCGCCGCTCTCCTCGCTTCCTCAAGACCATGGACGCCGAAACTATCCAAAGCCTGATCCTGAAGCCCCCCGAATGGATGTCGGAATGCCACATTCCCGAGGAGATCCCCTGCCCGCTCACACGCAGTTGGGCGGAGGGGTTCGAGAAGGCGGTACGTGTACCGCGCCACATCATCCTCTTCTTACGATAGATGACTGACTGCTCTTGCAGGTTAAAATGCAAATTATGCCCCGTGGTCTCGTTCTATGGTCGTTCAACCACAAGTTCCACCTAGGCGGCTGCCGTGTTCCTGTATCTGCCAAGTTCCCGCTCATCGCGATCCACGACGACGCTGAGGCCGAACCAATGCGTTGTGGCACACCCGGGGACAGAGCAGCCACCTCGCCACAAATACTCGACTCGCCGCCTCAAAGTGTGGCGCGTTCGACACCGAGCACCAGCGACGAGGATGAGGAGGATGAGGAGGATGAGTATGATGGTGACGAGGATGAGGACGTGCCAATGGACGTCGACGACGTTGACACAGCAGAGATATCATCGTCTGGCACGAGATTCAGTACGGCGCTGTCTCTTCTCTCTAGGGTTGCTGCTGCTGCTGCGGAGGCTTCTTTACCACCAGAGTCTCCAAGCCACATCAATGAGAACGTACGCCACATCCTCTATCACTGTCTTTTTGTTTGCTAATACAGCCCCAATAGTCCGACAGCACAGCGCAAGCAGAACCATCCATTATTCAAGTAGCTCCGCCGCAACAGGAACCATTGTCCGCCAGGCCTCCGCTCGCTCCTCGTTCTAGAAATGTTCCCAGGCCTAGCTCTGCATCGTTTGTGGCTAGCTCTGCGTCATTTGGGGTGTATGGCGCAGGTTATGGGTCTACTATCACGACCCGGTCGGCAGCCAAGGTCAAGCGTGAGGCTCTTGATGTTGACATGTGGAAGGGTGATATACAGCAGCGGTCTGCAATCAGTGCGCCCGCGGCGGCCGAGAAGAAGCGCGCGCAGCCGAGCAGGGCCCAGCGAACCGTCAGTGTTATTTTCCGTCATATCCAGTTCCATACTCATCTGCATTCTACGCCTCAGACGGCAAAGCCGGCATGCAGGAAGTCCAAGTCCCCGCCGCCACAGCGCAAGAAGCAAGTGAGAGTGCGGACGTCACCGGTCAACCCAGAAGGCAAGAGCAAGGCGCATTATTGCAAGATTTGCGGACAGTGCATCTATGGGGTGAAGGAACCGCTCCGCCACGTGGACACCGTCCACCTGCACCCCTTGGCCTATCGTTGTCTGTGCGAGAAAAGCTATTCAAGAGTGGACGCGCTCTCGCGGCACATGAAGACTACCTGTAAGGATGTGAAGCTGCCCAAGGGAGAGACGCTACCATACGATTTCGGCCGCCATCCATTTGACATCACCCGATTTGAAGTCTTGATACAAGACCACCCTGTCGCGGATTTGATGCCGCTGGATGATGTTCCTCAAGACCTGCTGGACATTGGGCTGCCTTTGGACGAACCGCCTGCGCTTGAATCTTTTCTGTCGACGTCGGCATTGGAATCAGGACGTAAGCGGAGACGCCCGGCAGCGCCCAAGGCCAAGCCATCCGCCAGCAGGCCCTCGCTTCGGGACCCTGGCACAAGTTCGCCGCCCCCTATTTCGTCGTCTGTCTCGTCCAGCTCGTCCCGCGGCTCCTCCCCACTGACGGACCCGCCAACTTCGTGTGAGGGGTCGCACGAGTCCGAAGAAGAGTACGAGTCAGAGGAAGAGGATTGAATGTTGCCGCGCCTCGAGGCTGCATTGTCACGGTTCGTTCATGGTGGTTCGCTCGTCATCTGTATCATGCCACTCGCTCATGTATGCCGATATGCCCTATCCTACTATGCGTCCTGTAAGTATGCCTTCCCCTTACCCCTGTATGCCTAATATGCCCGCCCCTTCGTGTATTATAGTTTGTATCTTTAGCCACTATTCAATCGAATGTCTTCTGCGAGTTCCACCAATCGTAATGATCACGCTGAGTGACACCCACCAAGATCTCACGCAAAACAATTGGCGCTTGTTGGCACTCTGACAGTCAGAACGAGTGAGAACCAATTTGATTGAGAAGCATTTACTAATGACTGCCCGCCTACTTATGCTTCCGGGTAACCAAAGGTATTGGAAGTGGGCGAGGTATCAAGTCACTCGAGACCTCCGGGGCGACTTGTCCATACTCAGGCGTGGAGTGGAATGCACTATGGGTCTTAATCTGCGCTGTCGGTGACTCCGCACCGTTGACGACTGTGAGAGGCGGGTGGGCGGGTCCGAGGACTTTCCCCCACGGAGACGACTGGCTGAGGAGGTCTGGCCGCCAGTCGCTGCCTGTACGCCGTGAAGCCGATGTCTCTGTGGGGGAGGTGGGGAGAACGTTCAGCTTCCGGTAGCCCGAGTAAGCTCCGGCATCCTCTCCGGCCCACGGGTCCGCAGACCTGGGGACCTCAGAGGCGGGGTCGAGGCGTGAGGACAAGTGCGTCGACGTGTCCACGCGCAGGAAAGGTGTGAGCTCTCCGGTCGACTGGCGGGGTGGGGGTGTCTGCTCGCGCCCCACGTGCGAGGCAGGCGAAGACACGCCAATCGTATACGGATCCACGTGCGGTGGCTTGGACTGAGTGAACGCCGAGGCGACTCGCTCGAGGAGACCTCGGGACGGCTCCTTGCATATAGGATGGAAGGAGTGTAGGGAAGGAGGCGTAGACGACTGCCTAAGGGTATTCGCCAGCTGCGCATCGTCCATCGTGAAGTCTTCGCGACGGTTAGGGCGTATGGGTGATACAGCTCGATGAGGGATGTCCCATTCGGATCCTCTATATGAGTACCCGGTATGCTGCGAAAGCTTGGGAGGATCGCCCGAAGTTTCGCCTGCGTCGTGCGTCGAATGTGCACTATCGAGGAGCGGTTTGGATGACGGGAACACTGGAGACACGGGGCCGCTCCCGTCTTCCAGTCCGAAATATGGACCTTGCTTTCCGCCGCCGCTTGTTCTAAACGTCCGTCGCCGTCGTTGAATGAGGATAAGGACCATAATGAGCCCAAAAACTACAATTATGACCGTGACTGAGATAATAGCAGCGAGAGTACCCTTTGATAACTAACAGTGTGTTCAGTGACATGTGCCGTTGTGATATTCACGCCTTGACACACCTTAGACGGCATTGAACGTGTTGAGGGCTAAACAGGATGGAATACTCACCGTCGAAATGACCTTGGCGCTATGATCCCGAAAGCGCGATGCGAAGCACATGCGCAAAGTGTCAAGGGACGAGTATATACTGTCCGAGCCATGGTTGGGACGAGTTACAGACATACCACCGCCCCATCCCTGGTGTTTCAAACGAGAGCCACCATTTTCAGATAGCGGTACACGGGCTCATCGGAGTTTTACGTCATGCATGCACAGGAAGGCGGGGCAGTGAGACAGTATTGATGACTACTCAATCTAGCCAGAATCAACATGGCCATGATCTGAGAGCAGGTCAATGTCATGGATATCAAGAAATGAAGCATCACTGTGAGGTCGCCCATATCTGATTCTCTTTTGGGTATTCGAGCTCAAGATGGCGCTTTCGGATCTTACCAGCTTCAAATCTAGCTTCGGCCGCCACACAAATAAAGAGCATCAGACGAACGACCTGTTTGGGTGTAGTGTGTGCATAGCTATTGGTTTGTGACAGAACATAAGCAACGTGTACAGCGGCGCATGCGGGCACGTGACTGAGACGCGTCGCGTCTAGTGAGCGTCGTTCGTCATAAGTGGAGTCGTGCGTATTCGAACGCGGTGAACCATCCGTTATGTCTGTAATCATAAACTCATCATAAAAACAAATACCAGAACGTATCTTGAATCCAGAATCGCCGATAGTGTTTATATCCGCATGGCAGTGAGTAGTAAACATTTGAAGGATCTTGTCCCATGATTTGAAACAAGTTTCCCCGCAGCCCCCCTGTCAAGATGAGGGTGTGTTCTGTTCATGCTATGTTGCATTTTAGCTGAGGATCCCTTGTCTATCTGCATAGCATGCACTCTGCAGTCATGCCTCAACAAGAACACTTACAGTCCAGAAAAATGCGATCAACATTTGCGCACCCTTTACAAGTGTTGCCAATCTATGTATAAGCAGACAGAAGGAAAAGGGGACTCTTCGGCGTGCCCCATGCCTAATGTGGTGAAGAGGTGGTTGAAGACTCATGGGGAGGATGTGTCCTGAATACTAGATCACATTGAGGATGTATGTATGTATCACTGATTTCTAGGTACATTGTACTTGTGGTGCATATACACCAATCTTAACATAACAAAGCGACAACAAGCATCAAAGACAGTGGCTCGTCAAAACCACAAAGGTACACAAGTCGGTAATGATATTGACGAAGAATTGATCCCAGCTCGACTTGCAGCGTACAAATCGACAGCAGTTACTATGGCCAGGTAACACTCCGTCACATCAGTGTGACAGTGCCGATTTAGAGGTCCGCTCGGTTCGCAGGCCCACGGGCCACGGCGATTAACATGCATGACAGGTCCATTTTCAGACTCCGCTTGAGTCCGTCGTGGCCACTGTTCTCGGGCGTGACATCGCTGTCAAACCACTCGAAAGAAGAAACTCCTCAGCGACTTATCCGTTCACTCTCATGCAAGTTGGAGGTGAGAGTAGGCATACGAAAACGTAGGTGTCCATATAACCTCGAGGGCAGTGGAGTGCCTGGTTGTTGCAGCATCACAAACCTGGCCATCCACTGGTAAACCATAGTACAGCTCAACTCAACAAATGTCAAGCAAGAAACAGTGTCGAATCGACCGCGACTGAAACATCATCAGTCACAAACTTATCCATACTTACCAGGGACCCTTCGATGCAGAGCCCCAGCCATCGGTCTCAGCAACAGAGTGCGCGTCTTCCTCATCAGTTTCAGCGGCGGGACGCGCATCCTCCTCTTCCATCTCGTCCGCCCAGCTGCGCTTTGGTTGCTCACCTCCGTTCTTCTTAACAGCTTTCCCCTTCTCGGCGGCCTTTCCCTTCTTAGTGGCCTTGTCCTTTTTCACGGTATTGCCGCCACCCCACGGGCCCTCCGAGACGTTGTCCCAGCCGCCCGTCGTGCTCGCCGCGATCGACTGCACGTCAGAATCAGCCACGTTCATCCTCAAAGACGGACGGTAGTCCAAGTCCCATGGGTCAGCACTCCCACGGGGGCCGTTCCCGTTCGGTGCTGCTTGTGTGGGCGTCTTGCGCCCGGATACATGTTCACCATTCTCTTCCAACCATTCAGCCTTCGTCGGGGCGTCTCGCGTGGGTTTGCTGACCAGCCATGCAGGCATCTGCGGGATCTCGGCAGGCGTGGAGGTCTTGTTGGCGTTCTTAGCGGGGCCACTGTTAAAACGCTGAGGCCTGGGCGGGATCGCGTTGTTCTGTGGAGGCGGATTGGGCGGTTTCTCACTGGGTGCTGTGGTGCTGCTCTGCCTCATGAGATGTGGGGGCATCGGTGGAACTCCAGAAGCTGCGCTGGAGGACTTGGATGTTCTGTTATTGGACGTGGCTGACTCGCCCTTCCGATCGAGGCGCATGAGCCTGGAAGGAATCGACTTCCCTCCGCGAGAGGGCTCTGTGTCAGAGAGAGCTGAGCCTTGGCGGCCATTCTTGAGGCGGTCAGGCATGGTGGGGGCCTCTATCGTAGAGGGTCCTGAGCTGCCTGTCGTGCTCGTCTCGCGGGCGAGTGAGCTAGCGGCTTCTCTGCCGGCGTCTCTGTTCATGAACCGATCCGGCTTCGGCCGGACCGCGATGTTGTTGGCTCCTGTGGCGGGACTGTGGCCTTTCGAGCTGCCTGTTCGCCAAGGACCATCGGAGCCTGAACCTGTCCAGAGCTTTGAGTATTCGCATGTTCAGCAGGTCGACTATGCCAGACGTACCATCACGCCCGCTCTGTTGCTTGGCCTTCTTGCCATGTTTGCCAGCGTTGTTCGCCCTCTCCCTTTCCCTCTCCGCCCTGTTCTTTCCAGCTTTGTATTTTCCATACTCGGTGCACAACCCTCTGCTACAACGTGCGCCGTGGGTAGGGCATTCCCACTCTTTGGCTGGCTCTGCCTCGGTCTGGTTGTCTCCCCACAAGTTTGTGTCTGTGTCCGTGCTCGCGGGCTCGACATCGCCACCCCCCCTGTGGTTGTGGTCTTGCGTCTGCGCCTCCGACATGGCTTCAGCATTGTCCCACGAGGTGCGCCTTTCCATCTCCGTCCCAAGTGGCCCAGGTGTATGGAAAGGGACTTCAAACTCTTCATCGTCACTCTCCGAAGCATCCGGTTCGAGTATGAAATCGATGCTGGATTCCGTAGGTCCTGACCCGTCGCTTTCGTCCTCTCCGTAAAGGTCATCTGCCATGGGATTGCGACCTAGTCCGCGTTGTCCGCCAGCAACGACAACGTGATCGGGTTCCGGCTCGATGGGGGTGGCGCAGCTGGCATTGCCTCCTGAGCTGGAGGTAGAGCTGACGCCGGAGCTGCCAGTGAGCGCAGGGGACGCCTCTCCACCCCTGAGACGCGAAAGGCCCGGGGGAGGACGGTGTGCGCCTCCACTGCTACTGCTGCTGTCGCTGGAAGTGCTGCCAGGGATGCTGGCTCCAGTATTTGACCGCGATAAAACAGGGGGTGATAGCAGACCTGGGGGGAGCGTGGGGCCATTAGGTCCTCGAGCCCCTGCACCAGCTTGGAGTCAGCACAATTTCCCGAGCTATGTTACAAAACTTAACGTACAGCCACTCATGTTGATGACACCGAGACTGACTCCAGGCTGCTCAGACTGCTCTCCTTTCGCCTTGGTTGATTGGGCACTCTTGAGGCTCGCGGGGGCGCCTGCACTCCATGCATTCTTGGGCAGCTTCACTTTGGCAGACACTAGGGCTTCTGCTTCTTTTGCCTTGGCCCATTCTGGTGTACCTACTGTAGGCGGACGCACAGGAGGTGGCCGAGGGAAAGTTTCCACAGGAAGTGGTCTGCATAGCGGCTCGCGTGTCTTGTCCTCCGGGGGTACCTCGCAACGATACGTCTTGGGGTAAGGGTGCTTGATGATGCTATGGTCACGCGCGATCTGTGGGTTGATATTCAATAATGCAGTTGACATCAAGACTCACTCGTTGATCCTAAGCCACTTTGGCTTTTTCTGCGGTGTCTCGTAAAAGCTGTCCAGAATGAAGATACGTTTCCAGCCTTTCCGCCGCCGTCCCGGGTCACATCTTGATGATAATGCAGCACTGCTTCTACTCACCATACTTCTCTACCTCGCGTCCAGACCTGTACGTGCAGTAGAACACCTTCGACACTTTGGTTTTCTCTTCGTCGGACGGTTGCCGCAAAAACTCCGACCATCGGTGCTCGCCTAGGACAGTGGAGAACCCTGGGTAGCGCCGCGGAACCTCGATGATCACCATGTTCGAAGACTAGGCACATGATGGTCAATCGCACCGATTAGCAATCACACCTGGGCCACACAGATAACATACCCTTGGCTTGTGGAAGAGGGCAAGAAGGTTGTCTCTGCCGATACAGCTTGCCATCCAGTAGACGAATGCGATGCGATCAGGCTCGCGCTCCATATCAGCGTACAAAGGGTAGGGAAATACCACGGTGAGGTAACGCGGCTCATCGTCTGCTGGTGGCGGGGTGGGTACACGCTTGGGCATCTCGAGGATTTGTTAGCTGCAATAGTGGTGGTGGTGGTGGTGGTGGTGGTAGTGGTGGCGGTGGCGGTGTGCGAGGATCAGTAAGAATGGTGCGGGACTGCATTAAATCCTTGCTCACACTATATATGATGGAGCACAGCAAAGCGGTCCCAGACTGTGAAAGGAATCGAAGCAACAATCGAGGCACTATCTGCGCATCCGTACGTAGGCTACCGTGACTGTAGCTGATCGCGTGTGCGTTAGCGCTTGGGTGCCCTCAGCGTCCTAGTTTCTTTCAATTGACGCGTCGCTGCAGCATCATTGCCTTTTTATGTAGCGCACAGGCTGCTGGTTATGGTCTCGGGATACCGACGCGTGCAGAAGCTTATAACGTTTCGAAGGGCAATACAAGAGAAGCATACTCACAGACAATGAGACGTCCAAATCCGATTCTCAGCGCATCTCGCCAGCAAAAAGGTCTAGCAGTTCGTGTATTCGATAAGACTATACCGTACAGCCACCAGTTACTCCAGCGCACAGACGAATCAAAGGCACTGCAGATCAGAGTGGCCGCAGAGCCCTGGAGGCCGTGAACAGCTGTGAAAAGAAGATGTCACGATATTCGGAATGTCACATATCACGTGTAATACACGCGCCGCGTGTGTCACACAAGGGGACGACCAATACATTGTGATCCAAGGCTCAATCCGCAAACCTTCAAGGGGCAACAACGCTCTGTTACTTGTTGTTTTAATTCCGGGGACATGGTTGACAACCGGCAGACTCTACCAAATCGGTGGCACTGTAACTGGAACTGGTGTCCCCGTACATTCTACCAAAGTCGCGATCTCCTGGACCACCTTCGACAAGAGCATTTTGATAACATTTTGAAGGTAGAAAAGGATGACTGGGATGCGCACCTGCGAGCATATACTGGTCAAAGCGGCGGTACTGGTGTGTATCTTGGCTCTGTCGGTAAATTCAACCCGTAGTGTCTGACATATATGTAGACAGCCTCATGAAGGCCATACCTACCCAATTTTCGGACTTCCCGACCACAGGATCAGGTCCTGAGCAGTCTAGCACCCATGATAAACTTCAGCGTGAGCCATCTCTCGGGCCGTCACAATCGCGGTCTCCCGTGAGGCCTACTACGCCACCTTTGAAAGCTCGTGGTTCCTTCGCAAGCTACGCAGCCCAGTCGTCGCCCAGTCCTGTCCCAAACTCTCTACCTCCCTCCCCAGCTCTAAATTATCTCGTCGCGGACGCTTTGAACTCTGTTGCTGCTATAAACGCTGGTGGACCACCACGGTGGACAGCAAGCCGCCCCGCCTCTCAACGGAAACGTGTCTCTCCAGCGACTGCTGCTCTTTTACCCCTCCCACGGGGGCTTGAAAAATCGCCGGACAAAACGTCGCCCATAACGCCATTCGGCACGTCCCGTAGAGACAGTTCTGATTCGTCGTCGTCTGCTCGCGATGTTGAGTCACAGCTTACGACGAACGTTGAGACGTCTCCGTCCATCGTGTATCCGCTTTCACAATCACAACTGCATACACAATCTCAGTCGCAGTCGCAGTTGCAGTCGCAATCTCAGTCGCAACCGCAATCGCTCCCGCGTTGTCGATCCCAGTCTCAGTCTCAGTCGCGGTTTCAGTCGCATTCCCAACCCCAATCCCAGTCTCAGTCACAATTGCAGCGTTATCCTCCATCATACCCTGCTGATCCGTATCCGCCCATTCGTACCCAGGCACTGTATGACAGCCAACGTGAGTGTTCGGGGGGCCATCACTACTGTTCACCATTATAATTATAACGGATTCATCTGCAGAGAGCATATTCAGCTTGCAGAGTAGTACTCGCTCGTTCACTTCCGGGGAGATGGTCCTTAACCCTACCGGGCAAGATGCCGTCATGCAGTCCAACGTCGACGATGACAACGGTGATGTATCAATGGGCACATCTGTCTCACAGTCTATGAGCCAGGATGAGCCGCCTCTTCCTGCTGACACTTACTCGGACACATTTGCATTGCAAACGCAGGCGCCATATCTCAGTCAAGTGTCGATTTAGTAGCGATTTCGTGATACCAAAGACTGCGAGGTTTATGCTTTGTTAGGTTGTGTGCTTGACACAGGGGACACTACTCTGACTATGACATACGGGCGAGGACTCTGTTAAGCCCCTATCGGTGTGGAATCGCTAACAAATACGCGAGGACTCGCTCGTGCTGCAACCCGTAGCTAAGGCTCTGCAGAGTCGTTTCTCTTTCTCTCTGCGTGATCATTGCTACGTTCATGTCCTCAATTAGCAAAGAACAGCGTCGAATATTGTAGTTTGACGCATGCCATGGGCTCTTCGTCTTTAATATCGATCTTCCGATTGACGAGTTTTACTGTTTGCAATGATATGCGATACCTCTGGGCCAATCCAGATAACTCTCTCCTCACTCAAGTTAACAAGTCCCGATCGACGCATCAGAGGTTAGTTTTTCCCGAAAACCTGTAGTGGAGTATTTCGGAGTTCGAGTATGAAGTGGGCGCTGTCTTGCCATAAGCGATGGGCATGACATACTGGCAGCATTTATGAAAGGCTTCAACAGCATCCGCTGCTCGAGACTGCGCTCGTGCTCGTGCGGATGAAGCCCGAACTTTCTACCATGGTCCAAATGTTTGATGCCCGCCGTCATGCAGACAATCGATTTTTATACTGCATGGGCTTGTATGTCACGGAAGAGCTCAGCTGACTGAGGAACGCATGGAACGCCCTGGGACAGCCATGAATACATGTGCCGTACCCATATTGCGAGTAAGACCTACCTCCTGCATTTCTTCGACTGCCCACCGGCAGGGCTCATCGGGGCATGGCGCCCCTTGCTCATTATATGAATTATGCTTGCCCGATACTTACAAGGCACCTGCGATCACAGACGTGATCTGAAACGGCGCATCGGTGGGTTTGGAATCGTCTCATCCGATCCGATGTACAGCTTTAGGCGTCCCGGAGCATTGCCTCTGATGTCTATTTCAAGAGTATCCCTGAAGCTCAGCATGCTGATGAGTGTGGCTAGATTCTGTGAGATGTTGAATGCCAGGACTTATTATGCTACCGCGTAAACCGCATTGAGCTAGAGGTCACCCTTATATTGTACCAGAGTGTTCAGGCCTTGTGCCCGTGACACGCCAGTTGCCCCAGTCTATCAGTTCAGCCACAGTTGTAATGCGTGACCGAACACTTGGTCGAGTACTCGCATTTCTGACCTCATACAGCTACCCCCGAATGAGCACTTACCAGACCGATCACCCGAGTGCATCAAGACCTCAACAGCCTCTGCAGTCCGGACAACAACACTAAATGGACATTCTCCGCAGAGTCGGCGGCTACACCAGGTACGACAACAGCGGCAGCAATGCGACAGATAGCGAGCAGCTAGGCTCAGAGGAGACGACGAGCGGGAAGACGTGGCGGCCGAGCGCCACGCGGGCGGCTGGCGCGCGGAAGAACGTGAACAAGGGCAAATAAGTCAACCCGTTGATGCGAAGGTATGAGAAAACAACAACTTAGAAGGTATAGGTATAGAGACGAGTACGTCTAGTCTAGCCAGAACCAGAAGAGGGTGGACGCGAGCACGAGCCACACTGGACACGGCGCGCGGTCAGGTCAGGGGCGCAGCGGCCTCTAGTGGTGGTGGCGGCGGTGCGCACCGAAGATCGAGCGGCGGTCTGCGCGGCGCGCGTTGGAGCTGAACGACACCGCCATCGCGCCGGACGCGCCGAGGTAGCCCTCGATGATGCTGCGCGGCACCGCGTTCTGCGTGAAGTCCCACTCCGTGAACTGCTGGATCGCGATGGTATCACTCTGCACGTCGAAGATCACGCCATACGTGACGTCGTCACCCGTCGGCCGCGGGAACGCGCTCGCGCCGGAGCCGGTCGCGCCCTTGAACGAGTAGATCTCGGAGATGGCATTGTCGATGTCGCTGCCCGCGATCACCTCGAGGATGTCGAGTTCGCCGCAACCTCCGTTGCCGCCTTCGCCACGGCAGTTGCAGCCGTACTGTGCCGCACGCACCACCTGTGCGTTGAGCGCCCAGATGGCGGGGACGTTGCTTGCGTCGGACGACGGGGGCATGTTGAACGTCAGCACCATGAGCTTGGAGCCCGACCAGCCGTGGTTTGCCGTGCCGCGCGAGAAACCACTGCAAGCGCTATCCGCGCAGGTTTCATTCGTCATGATGTTCTAGGGCGTATACCTATCAGCATTGCTTTACTGTAGAAGAAGTATAAACACTCACAATTTCCATGGTCTCAGGAAGATAGCCCGAGGTTCCAGTCGTGGGGGAGGCGGCAGAACCGTCCCAGGTCCCATTGGCGTACGACTGGCTAGCGCCGCCACATACTGCAGCCGCTCAGTTACGAGGTTTCGATTGGGCAGGAACATGCAACTCACTGGTCCATTCCCCACTCAGACCTCCTCCCATGTTGTTCATGAAAACGAGGTTGTTGGTGTCACCGCCTGCAGCCCAGGAACTCGTCTGTGACCAGGTAGCGGCTGAGCTGTTGCCCGGCTGATAAACGGCGATGTTCTTGACATTCAGGGGTCCACGGAACGCAACGGTTATCTCATCATCGAAGGGAGCCAGGTTGCCTGGAATACAAGACCCGCTCAGCACGGGATGGCACAAGTGAACCGACCAAGCTCAATCCTCGATAGACGCCCACAAGCAAATGTTTAATGAAATTTCATTTGACGGGCTTGAATGACGCTCTGGCGACGCCCCTCCCCCGGGCTGCAGAATGCCCCTCCTTCGCATAGAGCCGATTGTAGAATGTACAGACGCGCGACTCACCGCTGACTTCCTTGGGAGACTGTTCACACGAAGGGTTGGCCGTGCAGGAAGGCCATGTACCCGCGACCATGTTCGTGACCTCCTGATAGCTGCCCGAGCCGCCGACACCGGTGTACTTGATGCCAGTGAGGGAACCGTCGGTGCGGCGCATGATGTTGGAGGGGGTGAGCGCGTTTGCGCCGAGAAGGAGCGTCGAGACTGCGACAAGCGAGAGCATGATGATAGTTGTGGTGGTTCGTCAGTAGCGAATGTGTTTGTGCGGAATGAATGTGGTGTCGTGCTCGACGCGGTCGCGACCGTTGGATCGACCGGAGAGAGGGCAGGGGCGATGAACAACGGAGAAAAGAGCGTGGGATTGTGCCCGTTGCGACGACCATGTTTTATAAGGACATGGTGCGTGATCTACCGTCGTGTCGAGCGCTGCGGACGCGTTTGATGATGATCTCTGGCGCGGTAGCCACCCATCTAGACCGTTCATTACGCGGCCGCTGCGGTCACCGGTGCCTGGTCGTCCAGCTCGGGTCCGCCGGCATCGTTGCCAACGATGCACCCGGTGAGAATTACCGCGGTGGATTAGCATGTTAAATTTACCGTTGTTATTTACGTTAGTTAACACACGGTTGATCACTGCATGTTAACAGCCCAAAGCGCCTGAATCTCGACATTAACCGTCAGCTACAGTACCCAGTCCTCTGTGCAAACATTGTGCGAGCTCGCCAGAACTCCGCGCTGCTGCCTTTTTGCGGGGAGACAGTGTCGGGATGTCTTGCAGGAATTCTGCAGGACACGATGCTCTGCTGCAATACCTATTACCGATCGCCTAGATCCAAGTCTACTCGGATTCTAATTGCCTTAGGTAGTTTACCGGTAAACTGGTCGGTAAACTGGGTCGGTGTCCATTACGATCGGACGGTTCTCCGCGTTCTAACCCGCTTGGCGCTAGTAGAAGCTCTCAGCACCTCTAGCAACTAGCCTCGCTTCAATGCATACGTGCTTCATGTCCGTCTGCTACTAGGTTGCGCTAAATGTCCGCACGTCCATGCATGATCTGCACCTTTTCTGCTCGCTCTTGTCGCGACTCTTGTGGCAGGCTACAGGGAACAGGCGGCGTCCCCTCGTTCTCTCGAGTATCGCTAGCATGCTTCTCTCTGAACTCTGAACTCAAGCACATAATTTTGCATTGCATGTGCTCATGAACGGCGCATGATCGGAATCATCGACTTGGCGACCCCGCGCGATGCGACAAGCATGTTGTCCCTCGAGCCGATCGCGGAGGACGGCTCGGACGGGGTATGGCATGTGCACACCGCTCCCCCCGACTCAAATGTCCGTGCGCTGGCAGTATGCCATGCGCTTATGGGTAGAGTCGTGAACGTGTGCTTCTGCCATCCATGGCCAGATTTGGTAAGGACCTGGAGTGTACATGCGCCCTACCACGATGATAGAGCCTCAATCATTTGATGGCGTTATAGGACAATGCGGCAACTTTGGCATCAGCCATTGGTGTCTCTTTTTCTGTAGGTGGGGCTCGAATTGGTTTCCTCCACACGGAAATATGGCAGTCTAGTCGTCTCTTTTATCTGCCGGTCATCGGACGATACGGCGATACAGCACGTCCGGCAGCGCGCGTTAAGAACGGCGGTACGAATAGGAACTACGCTGCGCTATTCGCTATGGAGGCTGCGAACGTTGACAGCGCGTTCCTTCTCTGAAGTGAAGGCATATGCACGGAAGCAGTGATGGGCTGGGAATCGAAGTGCTACGTCCGCTTTCAATTTCAGGGTCAGTGTCTCATAGGCTCGGCGGGCAGGCCGCCATTGTCAGCACACAGGTTTTTGCTAATATACATCGTGAACCGCTCCCGGTGCGATCAACGTAACGGTGCAGGTGTCCCACTAATGCAATAGTTCCTTAGCGAACACAACACCACGCTGCATGCCATTACTGCAAGGCGAGTACTCGATGCAGATGTCATGCATGAGCGTGAATGGAGAGGCTGGGCCTGCTCCCCGCGCCGCGCCCATACAGGTGTCTTTGAGAAATTCTTTTCAAGACGATGGCCAACGGCGAGGGTGGTGTGAGCGTGGCCATCCTAGTAGTACTGAGGCTCACGTAGCCATTGCGGCGGGAACTCACTTCCATAATCTAAGTCAAGCTCATCCATACCGTAACTCAAGTTTTTTATACATGGTCAGTGTGGGTTGGAACCTCCTTCCGCGCCAACTTCATTCAGAATTGAGAAGCGCAACAGAGGCAATGTCGTGTTGTTATCAGTTTGAGTGCGAACGCGTGTCGAATCCAGCTGCAGGTAATAGCAACAACCAGTCGTATATTCAATCGTGTCGATACACGATCAATGTAGACCTGCAGACTGAAGTTGAGAGAGTTGCATCGCCGCCTACCAAACAAAGTGCTGGTCCGTGCGCATACAGCGCGGGGCTACATAAGCGACTGCCAGGCATACAAACACCTCATACTTACCTTGATGGCACATTCCTCTTCACTTACCTAGGAATGTGGGCCGTGGGGACCTCTCATAGCACGGCGACCATGTCCTCAGGGGGACCTTGCGGTTTGTATGGGCTTCGGCTCATGCACCGTCTCAATATTTCCCTGTTCCATTTCGGCCCTCGGGCTGGGTGGGCTATTTTTTTTTGGTTCCTAAGCTGTCCTAACCCTAACCTTAACACATCACTAGAATGTTGTTAACTTGTTGTCAATTTACAAGATAATTCATCTTTTGCGTGTTCTTTGTGTGGATTCCTGATGATAGTTTGTGACCAGTGGATGTTGTGATGTCATCGGCATTTGTTTTGACTGCCTCTTGTGTGCTGATGTCCCCAAGATTCAGTGTGCTCAAAGAGGTAATGTATTATGCTTGCGTCTTGCGGCGGCCGGGGAAATATGAGACGCTGCCACCGTGGGGCGAATCGCCCAAGACAACTTAGCTGCTGTGTCTGAAAGCATCTGTCACAGCTAGACTATGCCAAAGATGAGTGTCCAGCAAAGTAAGTCTTGCGACAAGCTCTGCGTATTCTCTGCTGAGGACATGCATAGAAGTCTAGGGGCCAACATTATGTATAAATGCCTCGAAATCAGCGAGATCTTGGAGGTCATCATAGACCACGTCTTTATGAGTAGTGAGGGGATGGAGGGAATGCGAGCTGTCGTTGCCCTTGCTCTCACGTGTCGTGATTTCCTCGACCCCGCTCTGAATCGTTTATGGCATTCGCAAGAGTCTTTGGACCCACTTATCCGCACGCTACCTCCTACCGCATGGGCATTCTATGGCAAAAGCGTCGTGGTACGTTTTTAGCGACAACTAAGAGGGAACCACGTAGATTTCAGCTGATACAGGATGTTATAACATACAGACGATCGTGCGCCCTCTTCTTCCAGACGATTGGACCAGATTCCGTCAATACGCATCCCGCATCAAGGTCTTTGGGTGCGACCCGCGTCACCCTGATGGATCGTTGCACTCATATGCAGCCTTAAACTACACACTACTGGAGGCGTTTGTGGCTCAGCATCCTGGCTTGCCCCTCCTACCCTCTCTGCGGCATCTTCATTGGTCCTCTGGTAAAATGGACCCGAAGACGCTGCCTTACGTCCCTCTTATCGCCGCACCGACTCTGAACACAGTCTCGCTGGACTTCACACACCACTTGCGCCGTGATGACGCGCGAGCCTTCACAACAGCTCTCATTCGTTCTATCCGACTGCACTGCCCTGACCTCACGCGCTTCTTGGTCAACGAACTACAACCGCACACGCGTCCAGTGATAGGAACAGCTCTTCGCCGATGGCTGGCACAGAAGAGGCAGTACGTTCCCAGTCTCGCCTTCCGGGACATCATGAATCTGGCAGGTATGCGTTTCCTGCGCGAAGCCCAGCTTTTCCTCGATGACACGGACGTGGGGGCTGTACACGACGCTACCGCTCTCACATTCTCCTCTCTGCGGGTTCTTGAGCTGCATGCACGTACACTAGGCGTATGTCTCGCGCTGCTCAAGACCGCACGCTCCTGCGAGCTGGAGGTGCTCTCAATTTACGTCAGCGAGCGTCCAGTCGCGGACCTCATCTTCAGCCTCCTCTCAGAACTCCACACCGTCTGCGATCCCGCCTCCTTACACAACGTCACACTTCTCGACACCGCCAACGACGACTATATCCCATATCGCAGCTGGAACGCGGACATGCCAAGCAGATACAGAGCCTTCGTGGTCGACGCACACACCCTCGCGCCCCTTGCCGCGTTCACTCAGCTGCGCACGCTCGTCGTCGAGTTCAGCGCCATCTACGATATGCAGGAGGCGTCGCTCACACGGATGTTGTCCGCGCGGCCACAGCTGGAGGTGTTCAGTCTCGGCGCCATGCACGGCTGGCACGCCGCCTCCACCCTTACCCTCTCGAGTCTCGCGCGAATGCTCACGCTTTGTCCACAGCTACGCGCGTGCGGGCTCGCTCTCGACTGCTCTTGTGTTGAGCTAGACGTGGCCGCGTGCCGCGCGGGCGCGCTGCGGCCTAACCACTTGGTGGCGACTCTCTGCCTCGCGGATCGCAAGGGCGCGGACGAACTGCTGCTCGCAGAATGCGTGCAGTACTTGTTTCCCAACTTAAGGTGTTTTGAGTAAATGGGACGGCAATCTGCGGCTGGGGGGGATTAGGCAGAGGCTAATGTGCATGCAGGGTCCTGACCGATGGGATGTACACGGCTGTCGAGGATGGGTATTGTGATATTGTTACCCTCCCCAATTAAGTCTACAGCGGTATAGTCATGCTATATGTCAAGCCTGGATCGCTATCACTGTGGCGTAATATCTCTACAGTCTACAGGGCCGACGGCTGGTCGAGACTAGAACTAGTCGTCAATATGCAAACTCTTTCGTGGGTGAAGTGAGGATCAAATTGAAGCTAGGGTAGTCTCGGTACAGGTGCCATAGCCAAGATTGAAGGCAGCAAACAGAGGAGCAACCAGAAAGCGTCCATATTCTTACTAGTCCGCTGTTATATCGTGCTGGGAAACTTGGACTGAGTTCGAGCTACCGAACTTGAGGAGGGGTGTCCAGGCGATAGCCGCCGTATGTCGCAGCCCTCGACAATGTTTCTGAGTACACCTTCTGCAGATAGTGTACGCCGTTATGCCAACTGAACCGAAGACACCGTGCCACAAGCGAGCAGTTCAGGTCGTCACTCCGACGGGAGCAAATGAGCGGAGAGGGCAAAGCGGCGGCCAATAGCGCGCAGATCGTGCTGTAGGACTCCGCAGAGCTACCTTATGGGGCGTTGTGGGGATTCTCCCGAAGGTAGGAACAAGATTTGAGCCATCTGCAGCAAAGAGCGACGGACTCCATAAAGTGTCTGGTTGTTAGAATCTCCCTCAGATGTTGTGGCGACAGATCCAGTGGCAGCTGGCTCAGACTCCGACTCAAACTCTTGGTTGTCTTCGCCAGAGGATGAGGCCTCCGCATCTTCGCATTTCTCATCTGCAACATCAACTCTACTTAGGCTTCATGATAACGGCAATAAAAAGACACAGACTTGTGACATCGACCCTCGAGCACAAAGTCCGCGAGTCGTCTTCAGGATTAACGTCCGACACTCGAGAGTTGGAGGATGTGGATTGTCGTACCCGTTCGCGCTCTTGAGCCGAGACGGTCTACGCAAAACGTGTCAGACCCAATGTCGCATTTGCGGATGAGTGACATACAAAAACTTCAGCTCGTATATCCAGTACTTCGGCGGTCAGAAGAGCGATTTTGCCCGACAAACCTCTACACAATTGAACGTATTGCTGCACTATTGTTTTTGCTGCATATGAACGAATCCGGACATTTTCCGCCCGCTCGTGAATGCTAAGATAGGATAAGAAAGAGTCGCGTAACATGTCAATGTACTTACTCGGACAGCTTACTTGTTCTGGCAGACAAGAAGGTACTACCAGAAAATAGACCTTCTTCAGAGACAGAGCGCAACAGTGAGTCCGTTTCTTCCCAAAGATCGTCGAACTTGCGTAGCGTGTTTGAAGGCAATTGCTTGTGAATGATAGCGATAATGGGAGCGACGACGCCTAAGACGCCAGTAACGACACCGAGGAAATTGTATATCGCGTCGTTGGCCATAATGCAGGTCAGCATATAACGGAAGGCGGAAAGATTGCGGCGGGTCTGAGGGGTGCAATCGAGGTGATCAGCAGCTGAACGGTGACAGACTTGCAGATATCTTAGGCCATATATCCGTCGGTAGTCCGAGGTCCGTAGCTGCGCATGAGCAGACCATCTGCTAAGATAGGATTGACCATGCGCTCATTGTTTTCCGTCGACATGATGAAGGCGTGTTGAGTTGTATCCATCAAGCAGGGACCAGCAGAAGCGTCAACTCACAGTCAAATACCTTGAGATCAACTTGATCGATCGTCCCGAAATGGTATATGTTGTTTCTCCTTGCCAACCTTGTTAACAGCAAACCTCGGTCAATGCATATTCAAACAGGGACGGCGTTATGTGGAGACCGCACTTATGTACGAAAGCACAAATGTGTTTGCAAATAGTCATTCGTCGACTTTCGACTCGCAAATGTGCAACGATCAGCCTCGCCTACCATCAATTGCCTATGTTTCGCTCGAGGAATCTCAACGGTATGCAGAAGCTACAGTGAAGGGAAGCTTTGGCCTTTCGCCTGCGGAGAAGTTCTGGCGGGACCATCAACCGCATCTCCAATCTCGCGAGTACGTCCTGAGGGCCCGTTACAGACCGAACTGGCGTCCATCATGGTTAGGCACCAATCTGGACCCCACGTACTGCGAAGACTCAATCATGGTGAGCGTGAGTAATTCCATCATTCATTCTGCAATAACGTGTCTGAAATATGGTTAATGCAGAAGCACAATGTGATTGATGCCATTCGTCAACGAGATGGCCTTCTCGTCGCCATCAAAGCGACTCGAAACGACACTGAGGAGATCGCGATATCGACTTTTCTATCATCTCTGAAGCTCATGAGTGATCACAGGAACCATTGCATACCTCTGCTCGAGGTTATGCTAGATCCACTCGATCCTGAAATGTCACTCATGGTGACGCCATACATGCGCCCATTCAACGATCCCGAGTTCGGCGCGAGCGGCGAAGTAGTTGACTTTGTGCGGCAGAGCCTGGAGGTATGGCCCTCGGATACGATTACAATACCGATTTTGCACTCATCCTGACTAGGGCTTGTGGTTCCTCCATGAACAGCGCGTCGCACATCGGCAAGTAATTTCAGTTCCCACAAAACCTCTTGAATCTCACACGACACGTATCAGAGACTGCACCGCCATGAATATTATGATGGACGGACGCGCGCTATATCTAAATGGCCACCATCCCGTCCGGCGTGGTTACTCGCTCAACGGCGCGAACCCCGTCACCCCTCTCGCGCGCATCGACCACCCCGTGCGCTACTACTTGATTGACTTCGGCATGTCCACGCGCTTTCCTCCAGGAACCTCATCGTGCGTCCTCGGCACGGCAGGTAGAGACAAGGAGGTGCCGGAGCTCTCGCTCGACGTGCCGTACGATGCGTTCAGGGTGGACATTTTCGCAATGGGTAACCTATACGACAAGGAGTTCGTGCAGGTGAACTTGCAGCGACTGTCCTGAGCGCCCCTCGACTGACTATATGCGGCAGAAATATTACGGACTGGAGTTCCTACAACCCCTGATCGATCAGATGAAGCAACGCCAGCCTGAGCGGCGTCCATCTGCTGAAGAAGCCTTCCTGCAGTTTGATAGGATCAGGTCGACGCTCAGCATTATTTCTCTACGATGGCGCTTGCGCTCTCGCACTGAGACTGTGTCCGAATGTGTTCTCTACGACACCGTTGCTGTCGCACGAGAGGGCATTCGTCATTTGATGCGTCTCGTGGTGTGACATGATTGTGGTCGGATGTACACTACGTTAAGATCATGACACCTATTCGGTAAATGTGACCATAATGCCGAAAACGCGATATGTAATCTTCTCTTTGACTCGAAGCCCATATCACGAAGTAGACTGTCGCCGTGCTCACACAAGTGTTGTCTACAGCCGGGCTTTGAAGCCTAAACCCCGGGCCGGAGCCCTGCACGACCAAGGCGCATATAGCCCGGCCCAAGCCCTCGGAAGCCCTCGAGGGCCCGGCTCCGTTATGCACCTTACTGGTTGCTGCCATATAACTATCGCTGGCCTTCGCTGAGGATGTCCACCTTCGACTCGCTCATTGAAAGCGCTGATGCGAAAGAAGCCAGCTCCGCCGCAGCGGGAAAGCTCGGCGTCTCTTTCATTATGAGCTTCGCATTGACGCGCTCGATCAAGCTCACTGAGGCCGACGCGAAAATGACCTGTATCGGTGCGTGGGCCAGCACGCTCCACGTTTGAGGACCTGATGAGGCCGTCGAAAATCAGGGGTTTGTGCCCGAGCTTGGCCCTGAGCACCACTAACTCACTCTAGAACTTGATCATCCCGAGGCACAGGCTGCTCGATGAACTTCACAGGTGCATCGAGTCTCATGGACAGTGCATAGCAGCTTCAGCATGCACCAAGTGCTAGCCTCGACATCCCCGGTGGACGAAACAACCAGTCAAATTGTCACCGATATCGTCTCCGGCGGAAGCAGACGAGCGGAGAGGGCGAGATCGCTAGTCCCCTTGCGGCAAAATGACATGCACTTCCGACTTCAACCTGCGCAGGCTCCGGGATATCCATGTAGAACAAGACGGCGGCCGACGGCGCGCAAGTCGCGCTCGGTCAGCTGCAGCGTTTCCAGGAGCAGGAGCTGCGAGGGCCACGGAATGTGTCCAGAACCTGTCTCTCATTTTCAAATAAAGAGCTCGAAGGCCGAGTCGAGGGAGCCTGCTACTTGTGGCCGGAACCACGTTAGAAGCCAGATCAGCACACTCGCCTTGTAAATGGATAGGGCCCAAAGACGCGGCGCGATCACATGAAAGTGCATGCCTGCCGACATATAGGTCTCGAGTGCGAGAGGACAAGGGGTGCAGGTTGCGTTTGTGAACAAGTCGCTACTTCATAACATGCTCACGGCGTCATCGCTCATATTCTACTGTACATCCATGCTGCGCACTAAAGACCCAGTTGACGCTCCTATGATGGGCCACGACCGCTTGCCAAGGCGCCGCCACCGCAAGTCCTCCGGCTGACATAAGACTGGATAGACAGACTTTGCGTCCATGCAAATACACAGTAAAGCCTCATCAGCCGGCGAAGGTTCGGTCCAGTTGTACAGCGAGAAAGACGATGAGGTTGTCGACGTCGAGAAGATATCGCCACCAGGAAGAGTTTGGTCGTCGCAATCCAGTGTAGATCCGCCAAGCACAGTAGGAGGAGCCTCAGGTGGTATCGCACGCCTAGTCTCAGGCGCAGCAGCTTCCGGCGGAGCATACTCATCCTTCTGATTAGCGGTCACCTCGTCGCGTTTGCCTGGAACAGCTCATTAGGTTGTGTTTCAGTTTACCATTCATGAAAGGTAATCAACCTGTAGGATCCACCAGCTCGCATAGGGTTCGTGAGTCATCTTCGGTACCGGTGCGCGCCTCATCAGGGCCACTAGAGGCGCGGTTTGTAGCTGTCTGGCCAGCCGAAGGCGTCTCTCTCGAGCGGATGTGGTCTGCAGATCATCGTCAGCGTAGATGGTTGCAGTTCGAGATGCTGACATACAGAGACCTCGGCCCGCATATCTCGCACCCCCACGCAGAGGAGCGCAATTCTTCCCGACAGACCCTCCTACGTCAGACGCAGCTCTTGCCGTAGGTTGCTTGCGGTATATGCGCGTGTGCGGAGGTCCTCTGCCTGCTCCCTGATGCTGCTGATTGTCAGTCGGGCAGCGCCACGGCCGGGTAGAGAAGAACGCACTTGCGTAGATTGGTCGTCCTTACTTCTAGGTATCTGCTTCCAGAGAAGGGCCCTTCCTCAGCTAGAGAGCGTAGGAACACATCAGTCTCTTCCCAGGCTTTGTCGAATATGCATAGTTGAGTCGAAGGCAGTTGGTTCTTGATAATCTTGTAGATGATCGCAGGGAGAAACCCGACGACACCCAGGATGCCGGTGACTACCCCCAGGATGTTGTACAGTGTTGTCCGACATGGAGGTTGGTGATCGTTCCCAGAGGATAATAGCGGCGAGCAGCAGTAAGGAAGAGCTTATGAGCGGGTCACTGAATGCGATCTAGACGGCATGCAGGACCATATAAGTAGCAAGGCGGGGCGGGGCCTATAGGTGGACTCCCGCAGCCCGTCTCTGCCGACGACGATGCCCATATGATCCTTGCTGCCCCACGACATGTTGTAGCCGCGTGTTCACGCAATGACCGGGCAAGAAGTCGAGGATACGGCCCGCTGCGTCGTGATCAGCATTGATCGGTCGTCCCAGAATGGTATACGTTGTATTCCCTTACCGACCTCGTCATTCGAGGTCAATGCGTTGCCGAACTCAGTCGGCGTTGTGCATAGTCTTCACTTATGCCGGGCCGCAAGGATGGGGACTGTGAATCCCCTTCAGCAGCCCTAGTTCGAACAGGATGCTCGATGATCCTCGTCTGCCATCCATTGCCTATGTATTGCTCGATCGAGCTCAGCGGTACGCAGAAGCCACCGTGAAGGGCAGCTTTGGCCTCGCTTCTGCCGAGAAATTCTGGACAGACCGTTACTCACACCTGCGATCGCACGGCTATGTCCTGAGGGCCCGGTACACACCAGACTGGTGTCCATCATGGTTAGGCACGAACCTCGACCCCACGTTCTGCGAGGACTCTATCATGCTCAAGGTACGCGCTCCAGTGTCTCAAAACCCCCATCGCCTTACACCCGTTTATCACATAGAGGCACAAAGTGATAGACGCTATACGCCAACACGACGGATCCCTCGTCGCTATTAAGGAGACTCGGAACGAGGAGATCGGAATAGCATCGTTCCTCTCGTCTTCAACGCTCATGGCAGACCCCCGAAATCATTGCCCTCCCCTCCTGGAGGTGTTCCGTGATACACTCGACCCCCAGACCTCACTCATGGTCATGCCCTACCTACGCCCGTTCAACGACCCTGAGTTCGGTGCTATTGGCGAGGTCGTCGACTTCATCCGACAGAGTCTACAAGTACGGCTCTCTGTTTGGCTGAGGGAAACCACTGAGCATATGCTGTGACCAGGGCCTGTGGTTCCTCCACGAGCAGCGAGTTGCACATCGGTAATACCGCATTCATATGGTTGCGCTTGCCTGCATGACTGAGAGGGGCTTGTTGCAGGGACTGCGCCGCGATGAACATCATGATGGACGCGCGGGCGCTACATCCAAGTGGCCACCACCCCGTCCGGCGTGGCTACTCGCTCAACGGCGCGAACCCCGTCCCCCCTCTCGCGCGCATCGACCACCCCGTGCGCTACTACTTGATTGACTTTGGCATGTCCACGCGCTTTCCTCCAGGGACTTCACCACAACGTCCTCGGCACGGCAGGCAGAGACAAGGAGGTGCCGGAGCTCTCGCTCGACGTGCCATACGCCATACGACGCTTTCAAGGTGGACATCTTCGCGATGGGCAACCTGTACGACAAGGAGTCTGTCGCGGTGAGCAGGCGGAAATAGGTCTGAGCGTGCCCTCGCTGATGGCGGGGCAGAACTACTACGGGCTGGAGTTCCTACAGGCCCTGATCGACCAGACGAAGCAACGCCAGCCCGAGCGGCGTCCGTCTGCGGAAGAAGCCGTCCTGCACTTTGATAGGATCAGGACGACGCTCTGCAGCATTTCTCTACGGTGGCGATTGCGCTCTTGTGCTGAGACTGTGCCAGAACGTGTGCTCTACGATACTGTTGCCGTCGCACGAGAGGGTATCTATCACTTAAAGCGTCTCGTGGTGTAACTGTACTGTGGTGGGACGTACACTACGTATTCTGTAGGACTGATACACACAGCAATCGCTTTGGGTTACTCGGGACTGTACTGCATATACAACCTTTTCCATTGTTGCTCAAATCTAGCTGTAGTAGTGATCTGGACTTTGAGCGTACAACATTCTTCCAGACAAGTTCAAACGCAGCGCCTCAGAGTTAGAGATGATTGAAGATGTGTTTTGCTTGCTGAGAACGAAAGGAACCCGGATCGAAGATCTGAAAATACTACGCCAACGATGTTGCAGTACAAATGGAAATGATACGCGCGACAAAGGGGAAGATGCGACTAAGCGAAGCGAGGGTTGCAGCGTTAGCTCTTGCTCCCAAGCAGTCCTCTGTTATGTTACGCCAGTAGCACACAGAGAGGATGCCTAATTCTTGATTTCCCAATCATACAATCCACAGGATCAAAGAGCCCTGCCCAGATTCCAGCAATCAGGTCGTCACAGACCGTTCCGGCGGAAGCAAGCGAGTCAGAAGCGCGTGACTGTGACCAATAGCATTGAGGGCGTCCTGGCATTGTTTAAGGGCTTCTCGGAGTTGCTCTGGCGGTGGGTCGTGCGTTTGCGCACAGCTAGGCTCAAATACCGTCATTGCAGGAGATGAGACGTACGGCTCTGACGTTAGCGAAGTGGGATCCCCACCAAGTCCCCGATCGTTCGCATCGGGCGGAGATCCATCAGGCACCACAGAAACAGCTCCTGACGCCGCAGGGTGAGAAGCCTCGTCCGTCTGACCAGGGGATAGACGTTCATCTGATTTCGCAGACCCTGCATTTGTTGTAGTCATTAACGTGCTCTAGGCGAGGAGCACGAGTGGCTAATTACCAGCTTCAAGAGTGGCGCACAACGTCTGCACATCCTGATCAACGTCCATACTCCGCTCGCCATGGTTGGAGGACGGTGGGCTGCCTAGGCGTTCTTCCATTCGGAGACGTTCTCGTTCTTGAGCCGACGTAGTCTACGGATGGTCTTGAGTTGGTGTGTATAAATTATACAGTGCAAAAACGCAGAACATACAGAAACATCAGCTCGTATATCCACAACCTCTGCACGCAGAGCGGCGATTTTCTTCGAGAGGCCTTGGCGCATTTGACCAAGTTCTTGACGCCATGTTTTAGCAGCGTTAGTAGATGCACGGTAATCTTCCGCCTTGCGCTTGATACTACAAATCGCACTTAAGACAGTGTCACAACGAAGCATCAATGTGCAACGTACCCGCGCAGCAGTTGTAAATTCAGCGATATGTAGTTAGTGTGCAAGAAGAGACCTTCTTCTAGGGCGGAGCGTAGAAGAGCGTCCGTCTTATCCCAAACCTCATCGAATTCGCGGAGCTTGGTAGATGGCAGCTGCCGCTTGACCATTGTGAAGGTTATAGAGACAACACTGAGAGCAATGCCCAAGACACCAGTGACTAGCCCCACAATGTTTGATGCGGTATTGTCGGCCATGCTGATAGAGAGTAATTGTAACTAGCAGTTGCGAGAGACGGGGCTGCGAGTTTGGGACGAGCGACAGGAGCTTGGCAGATATCCGATTCTTAAAGCATTGGCAGACCGGGTCTATCACGCAGGCCATTTCCACAGGGTGTGCTTCCAAATCATGGGCTGCGTGAATTGGCGCGTGTTGAGGCGTGTGCATCGCGCAGGGACCGGCGAAGAGGGTCGAAGCAGCAAACCTTGGTCAACGCGGGTCAAGCACTTTGGGGATCGATCGTCCGAAAAAGGAAAGCGTTGTATTCGCTTGTCAACGGACGGCCAACACTGGTCAACGCCAAGTCCTCGCCTTCATGTCCGAACAGAGTGGATGTTGTGCATTTGTTGCACTTATGCTGAGCAGAGGATTCAGAGGATGTACTCGATATTGAGCCAAGTACTCTCACATCTCGTCTAGTGCCAAATGAGCTCTCAGCACTCTCGCTTGCCGTCTTATGCATATGTCACACCCGAACAAGCCAAACGAATCGCCGCAGCAACCATGCGCGGAGACGACGGTCTTGCCCCTGCGGAGGAGATGTGGAGAGACCATCAGCCCTTCTTCCAAAGCCGCGGGTATCTGTTCAGGGCTCGCTATGCGCCTGATTGGCGACCGTCATGGCTTGGGACGAACTTGGACCCAGTCTTCTGCGAGGACTGGATCATGCTGCACGTCAGTATCCTAGTAGGTTGGGATGAGCCTGATCTCTGACGCTGTGTGATCGCAAAGAGGCACAACGTGATGGATGCAACTCGTCGAAGGGACGGATCTCTTGTTGCAATAAAGGTGACGCGAAATGACACGGAGGAAATCGCCATAGCATCTTTTCTATCCTCGTCGAAGCTTCTGGCAGACTTACGAAATCACACCGCTCCTCTTCTTGAGGTGATGCACGACGCATCCGATCCCAAGGCATCGTTCATGGTTATGCCCTATCTGCGCCCATTCAACAATCCGGAGTTCGGCGCAGTTGGAGAGGCGGTCGAGTTCGTCCGGCAAAGCCTAGAAGTATGATATTCCGCCTCCATTTTCTGTGCCGAGTCCTCACTCACTACGCCAGGGCCTGTGGTTTCTTCACGAGCAGCGTATCGCACATCGGTGACTCTTTGCGCTGTGGCGCTGACGCTCAGTCCTGACATCGCATGTTCCAGAGATTGTGCGGCCATGAACATCATGATGGACGGCCGCCCACTGTACCCCCACGGACATCACCCGGTCCGGTATGGTTACTCCCGGGATGGCGCCAGCGAGCTTGCTCCCCTTGCCCGCATCGACCACCCAGTACGCTACTACTTCATCGACTTCGGCCTGTCCACCCATTTTGCGCCTGGCGTGTCGCCCTCTGTGGTTGGCGCTGCAGGTAGGGACAAGGAGGTGCCCGAGCTCTCGCTCGATGTTCCCTACGACGCGTTCAAAGTGGACATATTCGCAATGGGCAACCTGTATGACAAGGAGCTCGTACAGGTGCGCTGCCTGCTGTGATCTCGAAGGAAGCTCTTGCTGACGGCGTAGCAGAAGTATCAGGGGCTGGAGTTCCTCCAGCCGTTGATCGATGTGATGAAGCAGCGAGATCCGGAGCGACGTCCGTCGGCTGAGCAAGCGTTCCGGTCGTTTGAGGGGATCAGGTCGACGTTGAGCAATGCTTCTCTGCGGTGGCGCCTACGCCCCAGAACCGAGTCGATGTCCGAACGGGTTCTGTATGATACTGTTGCTGTTGCACGAGAGGGAGTTCACCATTTGAAGCGTCTCGTAGTAGCATAACGGTATATCAGCACCTATATCTTATATATGACTGTTGTGCGATATGACTCGCCGGTTTGAGTCCTGGCAAGACAAGGATACAATCGATATGCAGATGATGAGATCAGTTACGACAACACTATGCAACGTTATGACTGCGGCACGCTCCACCTCATCACTATCTCACTGACATACTCAAGGCGTGGCCCTACCAGGCCATCTGTTCCATTTATAAAGTAAGGTGAGGAAAGCCCCAAAATCATGCAAGGCGCACCTAGGATATAAGGAACATTCGCGGACGGTGTACCGGTTGGCGAGCCATGCCAAGAAACGCTGCACCTAGTGAGCTGAATGATGCAACCAGATAGGATAAGAGGCACACCTCTACGCCCAAGCCGTAGCCTCCATGCTCGCTGGTGCCGTATTTGCGCTGGTCTGTGAACCAGTAGTATGGCGCGGGGTCGATCCCTTCTCGCTTGTACGCAGCGAGCAACTCGTCCATATCTGATATCCTCATCGATCCACCTGGAGAACGCTTCAGCTACCGCATGCCGCCCGCGCCGCGATCCGTACGTACCGACAATCTCGCCAACGCCTGGCATCAGCAAGTCACAGCTCTCCGTGCAAACGGGCCCTTCCTCGCCCTCACGCTTCATCTTCTTCATGTAGAACGCCTTCAGCTCTGCCGGGAACCCGTACAGGAACACAGGCGTCCCGAGGATGTCTGTCATCCTGCGCTCTGCGGCCTCCGCGATGTCGTCCCCCACAGCGTGGTCGACCATCTTGGCGTTCCCACTTTCGTCCTTGATCACGTTCCCGTCCGCATCCTCGGCTTCATGTTGGATGCCGTGCTCGTTGAGCCACTTGATCGCATCGACGTACGAGAGGCGGCGGAATGGCCGCGCGGGAGCAGTAAAGTTCGGGTTCAGCTGCTTGATGAGTGCGGCGCTCGACGGGTTTTCGAGCAGGCGATCGACTGTATCGCAGATCTATCCACTGCATGAGATGGCTGTCACCGTCAAGTGCGCCGCGATGTTACATACCACTCCTTCGATGTGATCCATCAAATCATCGAACGTGATGAACGCCAGCTCCGCTTCCAAGTGGGTATATTCGCTCAGGTGACGGCGTGTGTGACTGGCATTGACATTGGGATTCGATCACTGCTCTGGTCCAGCCGTACCAAAAGACAAACAAACCTGTTTTCAGCACGGAAACTCTCCTGCACACAGAATACGTCCCCGAGCGACGGCAGACATGTCTCCAGATACAACTGTGAGCTCTGCGTGAGGAAAGCAGGCTGGCCGTAGTAGTCGAACTTGAACAGAGTCGCGCCGCCTTCTACTTGAGTCTGTACCATACATGGGGGTGTCACTTCCAGCAGATCGCGTGCGACAAGCGACGACCGGAATGAGCTCAGCAGTGCAGCCCGCAGCTTCAGCACCGCAGAGGCGGTCTCGCCGCGGACGACGAGATGCCGCAGATCGGCCTGGATAGAAGGATCTGATTTCTATGACAGGTTTTGTTAAGGGCTGTATTCACAGTCGAAACCCACTATCGCACCTCGTTCAGACGGTTCGTGAACGCATCCTCTCCTCCGGGAGAGGCCCCCAGGACTCTCCAGTAATCTACAATCAGTTCATGCCCACCGGGGGCTGTCTTGCCTTCAGGGACTTCCTGGAGAGTCCCAACCAACTCCACGGTCGATTCTAAGGTCAGTGTTAGTGCTTCATACGTTTGGGCCTACCACACGACTTGTGAGACAGTCACACGAGCGTGTAAGGCTGAGAGGCGTACCACCTGTCCCGAGAGCACGCATTGAAGATATCCCGTGCCATCTCGCAGGACAACGAAAATGATCTTGTTCTGATCGCGCAGGCGATGTACCCAGCCAGACGTGCGGACCCGCTTCGATCGCAGCGGCGCGAGGTTCCCGATTTTGGCCTACGACGCATTCAGTACGAGGGAGCAGTCGATAAACAAAGTCATTGTGACCTTTATGGCCCTGGGCAAGCTCGGATCCTCCGTGAGCACGATCTTCTTGCTCTCCTCGAGCAGCCTTTGCCTCCGCTCGCGCTCCTCCGACTTCTCCTTCGCCTCGCGCTCTGCGAGCTCCTCAGCTTTCTTGCGCTTCTTCTCGAGACCGTCTGCACCCTTTTTCGCCTTCTTCAGCGCGGACTGCGTCGGCTCCTCGAACGCGCCTGCAGGATCTTTGCGGATTAGAATTGTGGTCGTGCTGTGGGTAAAGATCGCGTAGGCAAGCGACTGGTAAGGCTGCTCCTGGGTGCCTTTTCCAGTCTCGTCTGAGCCCTTGTCCTCGTCCACGTAGATTGAAGACATGGTGTTTCGGGATTCCCGCTGCAGCGAGGCGATGTAGATAAAGGTCAAGGAGTCAGAGCTGAGCGCGGAGACGCCGGGCAGATTCCTTTGACGCGTCCACGTGACCGCAATATATACGACGCGACGCGGTCAAAGTGCACCGAACTACTAGACCAATATCCACGCTTGATACGGGATAATAGGCGTTTCTTTCAATGTTTTTGCTTCTATTCACTGGTGTATTGCCGCTAAATTGATATAAATATAAGATGCATGACTCTCGATAATACCTTTTAAACTTCAGGTTGAGAGTGCTTGTCACGTGTTGATGAGGTCACTTACGTCAGCTTCTCAGCGACCGTCCATGGCCGAGGCGGGACTACCATCTGGTCTGTTCTGTGTGCGCCTCTTGCAAAACATATCTGGTTGATGGCATAGCATTGCATTGGTAATAACTCTCTTACTTTGGTGCGAGCTCGAGCATGAGGATCCTGAGCTGTGTCCCTGTAGCACAACTACGAAGAATGATTTCACGATTCAGCAAGTCGTTTCTCTTCATTATTGTTTTCCTTGTGAGTAATTCCAATCAAGTCTACTGCGATGGATTACTTGATGAGTATTGGTATGTCAGTTTCTGTTGGGCACCGTAGCCCTCTTACATCCACCCTCCCGTGCATATATCGACCCATGGACCGGCGACCTTTTCGGCGAAGGAGGCGTCGAGAAGGATTTGCATGCATATCCCGCAAAGCCTGCTAAGGGTGTCCAGGGTGGCGTGATTATGTCCAAGCTTGGTAACGCGACCGCGAAGTAAGTACCAACCACAAAGTCCACCAGTCAATCACCGAGGGTTGTTGAGCAGAGCAGAGCTTGGCCGAGCAACATGGAAGCTGCTGTAAGTCCCAATGGCACCTAACATACAAATGCAAACGAGACGATGGACTTGTGTTAGGCACACAATGACGCTACGATACCCCGAAGAACCAACGCAAGACGAGCGAGATGCTCTCGACAATTACTTCCACCTCTTCTCCCGCCTATACCCATGCGGCGAGTGCGCCGCCGAATTCCAACAGCTGCTCAAGAAATTTCCGCCGCAGGTACGGCATTCCCACCCCCGACTTACACGGCAGCTGACCAGGTACGATGCTAGACGTCCTCGCGGCGGGCGGCGGCAACTTGGCTGTGCGTCGTGCACAACCAGGTTAACGCACGGCTTCACAAGCCAGAGTTCGACTGCGCGAATCTCGACGCGACGTACGACTGCGGCTGCGGGGATGATCCAGGCGCGTCACCCAGACCCGCTGCTGGCGAGAGCGACCCAATGGACCTCGAGCAGGATTCCAGCAAGGACGGCATCACAGGTGTCGGACTGATCAAGGGTGGGCGTTAGTCCGGACTGTTTAGGGTTGAGGCGCAGACATGATGGAAGGTATGTTAGTGTAAGTATTTATTGGGCTGCCTTGGTGGAACTCATGGGCCTGTGGGCAATGTATTATATTCTTGCGCTTCTCGTTGAGCCTGAATAACATGGTGTGTTCATCTTGTATCGTGATGGGTGACGAACACTGAACACAGCATCGGAAGAACTCCAATACTCTCTTCATACACTAGACTGTGATGTTCACCTCTTGTTCTGACGGTTCTGATGAGAGTTACCGATCCCAATCTTCCGCCTGCCAGATGGGCAACACGAGACCAGAGGAATCATTCTCACTTTGGGCCCCTTGCAGAGAAACGGCCAGGCGCATACACCGATCAACTGTAGCAAATCTTTCTTCGGGCTCCAGTCAAGTACCAGCCTAACGTACCGACGCAGTGGTATTACCCAATAACGACGTTCGGTGGTCTGATCATGGTCTACCACGCTCCAATTCCCTTTGTACCCGATGTCTAGACCGCTGCTTTGAAGCGAAAGCATAGCTGTGTGTAGATCATCGGATGGCCTTCATGAATACAGCATCCGTTAGCGAGTAACGATATTCACTCCCACTCATGTCTCGCCCGTCACTAACATCGAGACTGAACGTTCACGAAAGCTCCTAGTCGAAACGTAGAGGTGCAACAGCAGTACACAGCCGTGCACCGTGGCACCGATCCCAGATGAATTATGCACAGTGGGCACATTGAGTGGGGATGTAAACGACCAGGTGTGACAGGCGAGACTGGCCTACGGGCTCGCTCTGGCACTATCGGGAACAGCCGCCGTACCATCCTTCTTGGGTGGTGGCGTACCCAGCACCATCGACTCGATGGCACCCCAGAACGTACTGCCTGCCATTTCTCGTGCCATCGCTTCTTGGTCTTCTTTGATGAGGCGCTCAAAGTTTTCCTTGTTTGCAGCGATGTAAGCCTGTTCCTCCTTATATTGGAGTTGAGCCTCGCGTCGCTTCTGCTCAAGGTACGTCGGAGGGATAGGAGATGTCTGCTGGAAGTATTTGTCACTGCTGGGCATCATGGCTGTCGAACAGAACACTCGCCTGACCCGAGCTACCAAAGAGGCTGCTCAGAGTAAAGGAATTCGCCAGATGGCCTTTCTTATTTTTCTCCCAATCCTCGATGTGCTTGCTCTTCATCTCAGCCTCCTTCTTGGCATATTCCAAGGCTATATCCTTCCCATGATAGGCATCCAGTATGGGGCGGACGTCTGGAGGCTTGAAGATTCCTATCGCTACATAGCTTGTCAGTCGCTTTCTAACGCAAAAGGTTGTCATGATGACCCACATTCAAGGAACGGAATCATGGCTACAAGTCCTCGGTCTTTTGGATCACCTGTCCACTTGGAAAGGATGATAGCGTTTTCTGGGTTAGGAGATACGTGCTCTGGGTGCGCATCGAGCAGGATAACTTTTGATAGGTCTCGGTTGAGGTACGTGAGATCCTGTGCGCCGTTAGTCTTCGTGAAGTATCAAACTTCCAACGACGTACCTTGACTGGTTGGCCGTTGATCGAGCGGCATGCATCCCGGTATAATCGGTAGGAAATGAAGAATTGATACGGATCTAGCTTATCTAATATAGGTTGTGCTGTCTGTGACCTTCATCAGTGTATGGCTCGACTTGTACGAGAAAGCGGGCCCACATAATTATATTGAGTCGTAAAAATCACAACTTCGAAGAATTGCGAAAGATATCCGAGGAAATAGTCCACGCCAGGACGTTTTGCCGTTCGCCAGCCGTACTGTCGCTACAGGCATTGTCAGGGCGCTAGTGGTATCAGGTTAAGTGGACGGTAACATACATCCCAAGTTGACGTCACCAGTAGGTCGTCTATAGAAATAAGCAGTGTGTACGGCTTTTGTGGAATAGCAGGATGCGGTCCCGGAAGGAGTTCGGGCCAGATGGGCTCAGTGAAGAACTGCATGAACGGTAAGCGGTGCATTGACAGTTGAATGGTGTGACGGGACATACGTCGAAGAAGCTAGTGAATCTGGCCTTCGTACGACCCCATCGTGTGGATGGTGCTTCCTCCGGTTTCTGCGAAGTATAAATGATCTTGAACCCGACGCAGCAAACGAGAGCATACCATCCTCTTGGCCTTTAGTTCCTCTTCGTCCCACTCCCGGCCCATCATCCATGTCTCCACGCCCACGCCGACTAGAAACACCCCCAGAGCTGCCCGTGCGAGCATCCGCCGCCGCCGCTCGATGCTGGACAGCGAATTCTTTGACGATCGTGCGCCAGTTCGCTCCTGTCGCTCTCGTTCCTCCTCTACCTCTGGCGCAAAGTCAAGGCTGGGAAGCGACGAAGAGGATGCAGGCTGCGGTGGCGGAGCAGGAGAACGGGATGTGTCCTTCACAGGTGGTTTGGGCGGCATGGTCTTCGAGGCTAAGCATCGGACAGAGTGGACCACGACCCTGCGGGCAATTGGAGACCGAGCGAACAGTGCAGCCTGCATCTTCGACAACTCGAGAAGGGTTTCTGGACGCTGTGCGCAAGAATGAGCTGGTCGGCGCCCACGAAGAAGCAGAATAATTAAGCTCTGATACAATTTGCGCGACAACCCTTGTCGAGTGAAATTCTGATCGAATTGCTCGATCACCGGTCTGTGATGGAACTTTGTCCGTGGACAAATCTCAAAAAGATGTTTTATCTTATTGGGCTTGGCTTGTGCGATGAAAAGGATATTACTGTGCGCGGATTGGAGGTACGACGCCTTAGTTCCATCTTCTATTCGTCCTAACTGAACACTCGTCCGAAGACCGTCAAAGGTTCTGCGAGAGTATACCTCGAGGCATATACTAGTATCCTCATGATACAAAAAGAGCGGTTGGTTAGTCTGACCTAGACCTTGTCGACCTGTTTCTTACACGGATCACGCAAGGAAGAATTCTATGGGAAAGATTTAATCCTCGCCGACCGTGATATGGTCGAAACGGAAAGCGATGAAATACTCCGAGATGCAGACAAGGTGGATGTCTCACTTTTAGTCGTCGGGGACCCTTACGGGTGAGCATTCTTCGGCACTGTATAAAACCATTTATTGAATCGTGTAGCGCAACTACGCACACCGACATCGTACTTCGCGCCCGCGCGCTGAATATCCCCACCCGCGTCATCCACAATGCGTCCATCATGAATGCTATCGGTGCCTGCGGTCTACAACTGTACAACTTCGGACAGACGGTATCGCTGGTGTTCTTCACCAACACATGGAAGCCGGATAGTTTCTACGACCGGATAGCCGAAAACACGAACCTAGGGATGCACACATTGGTCCTGCTCGACATCAAGGTGAAGGAGCAAAGCGAGGAGAACTTGGCAAGGTACGGCTGCACCTGCCGGGTCCTTGTCCGTTTTGCTCAATATATACCAGGGGAAGGAAAATTTACGAGCCTCCGCGATATATGTCGATCCCACAGGCGGTATCACAGCTCGTGGAAGTCGAGGAGTCGCGACAAACCGGCGTCCTGCATCCTGCAAACACCCTAGCCATGGCGCTGTCGCGTGTGGGAGGAGGGGACGAACAACGGATTGTCTGTGGGACCTTGGATGAGCTCCTGGCACAGCCAGCTGACATCTATGGCGAGCCCCTACATAGTTTGGTTATCGTGGGCAAGCGGCTCCATCACCTCGAGGTCGAGTATGCAGAGGCCTACGCAGTTGACAAGTCCAATTGGCGTAGGGTTGCGCAGGACGTTTACGGCTGCGCCTTGGACTCATGACCTCAATCGCAAGTGATCAATTTCGGTGAGACGCGCGTTGACTTTTCCACAGCAATCATATACTGATGCCCTTCCTCAGAGTGACAGCGCAAATGCCAAGTGGAAGAGAACCAAGTGTAACAACTATCTGTACTCCGAGAGAATCACACACGTCTGCGTCAGAATCCACCGCTGGTGAAATTACTCGCGTCACGCGCACATCTGAAGCCTTGAAAAGCATGATTCTCGTCCTAACAAGGCAAGAATGCAGTCTGAAATCTCAGCGAAGATTTACATAGAGATTCCCTAGTACCAACGTTAATATTTCATTTGACCATATTCATTGATGCCTCATCTGCTCTGACAAGCCAAGACTGATTTGATACTGTACCGCTCTCACACATTACCCTTGACTTTCTATGCGATGGGTGGACATGTTTGATGAGGATTATCAATACCAACACGCACGGAAGACCACGATGTATTGTGTCTAAATTGCACGGTACATGTAGGAAGTTCATGAAACTACTTGGGACTGTCGGATGAATGACGACACGGCCGCTGCTGCAACGGGTATCACGGGTTGTTGAGAACCTCATGCGCTGCCTTCTGTCACAATCTACCAAATGCGCGTCTCCAGCAAGAGGTCGCTGCTGCCCTCAAGACCGATGCAGGCCTTCAGGAAAGACTCGAGCGCGTTGCGCTGCCTGTTCAGGCTGTTGACGACATCCGTGCCTATCAGACGATCGTAAGCAAGCTGTACACAAAATAGCCTGTGCGGTAAACATACCTGGCTTGACGAGGGGCGCCTTGAGCATGTACGAAAGCAGCGAGAGCACCGAGTACAGCGGCGCAAACTCAGCCTGACCAGCGGAAACATTACGGTACTTGACACGGGTGAGCAGCTCCGTGAGGATCGCGAGGTCAAGAATGAGAGGCGTCGCCAGCAGCGAGTCCTGTGACCATCGTCAGCGCGTGCAACCAATATTGGGCAAGGGAGTACTCACTTCACACTCATTGAAGATGTTGATTGTCGAGCGGCCACCGCAGAAAATCTCCGAGTAGTACTCGTCGATCGCGCGCTTGGAGTCGCCAACCGCAGGGACATACTTGATCACCACGATATGGTCCGGGTGCTCGCCCTTCGCGGCCTTGCCGCCCTTGGCCTTGGCCTCCTCCGACGCCGGCTTGAACAGCAGCGCGTTCGCATTCACCATGTCGTCCACCACGCTACTCTTGCTAATCTCCTTGCTCTTGAACTGCGGCTCGGCCGACAGGTTGTGCCCATCGTTGTTGCCCAGGTGGTTGTAAGACGCAATCGAGAGCGGCTTGATGCCTGCATTCACAAGGAACTCAGCGAAGACAGACTTGAGCTTCGTCTGCCCGGACTTGAGATCGTCACCGCCGATGAATGACTTGTGAAGCTCCGCGAGCTCGATCGCGCCCGGCACGAACGTGTTCTGAGGGGCACCGTTCACGAACGGCTCGCCTTCTAGAATCGATGCGACCGCGAAAAGGGTCGACGGCGACACCTCTGGGTGGGACGCTTTTATCGCGGCGAGCAGCGCATCCGCCGTGTCGTTCACACCCGGGATAATCTCGCTGTATCGCTCCGTGTTCGCTGTCCAGAACACGACGACGCGGTCGAGTCCGTGGGTCTGCTTGAAGCGGCGGATGTCGGCGCGAATGTGCTCAAGGTGCGCCAGCTTGTCCTTGCCCGGAATGACGTTGTCGGCACGCGCCTCCTGGTTGGCCGCAATGAAGTCGGGGTAGTAGACCGACGGCAGCGGCTTGCCGAGTGCGGCCATGTGCGGCACGACCTGTCGCTGCAGGTCCCAGTCGAGCACCTGCGCACGCTTCATCGCCTCGTCCATGCGCGAGCCAGAAATGTCCCACCCGCCAAGCACGAGGTCGTTCGGGTGCACCATGGGTAGGACATCGGAGACGGGGACATGGATGTCCTTGCCCGTCGACGGGTCGCTTCCGAGGCGGACTGTGGACGCACGGAGCAGAGAACCAATGTAGTTAGGTTGCTGGACGCCGGACTTGGTGCGCCAGATGATGTTGTGACGGTTGGCGAGGATAGTCGCGGACAGGGTAGACCCGTTGTTACCACCCCAGCCGACCATCATCAGTCTGATGAAACTAAGCGTCAGTACGCTCGCATGAATGAGGCGTGCGCTATGCTCACCCGGTCTTGGACACTTTGCGAGCAGTCTGGAACTCATACTCCTTCAGGGAAGGAGTTACGATGTACTGACCACCGGTCACCGAAACGTCCGCGTTACGGCTGGTGAACTTTGAAGTGATGAACTCGTCCGAGTATGAAGTCAAATCAGACTGCACGACGATCGGGTAAGGGCGACGAGCAGAGGTCGGGTGGACGGGAAGAATTGACTCGAGCTCAGACTCGGGAGTGTTGAGACCCGACGAGTTCGTGTAAGATGCCATAGTTGAGAGTTGAATACGACGGGAAGAACTGGTATTTAATGGTGATATATCGCGTCGCCACAGGTGTGCTTTGAGCCTCGGTGTGGATTGTGAGGGCTACCTAGTTGGTTAGAGAACATGCAGTAGTCTCAAACAGACTAGAGATGTGGTGAGAGACGATGAAAACACCGGTGGTGAGCAAGAGGTTATATACTCAATGACCGCGAGGACGTGGTGGTTAAGGAAAGAGAGGGCAGGTGCGCTGGCACTGATTTTGAGGGACCGGGGTTACGATTCACACGTTTCCCCATCATCGATCCGATGCTATCTCGTTCGGCATACGGCAAATCATTGTAGATACACATTGGATTACGTGAAGTCGGGCAAAGAAAGAGCCCCAACTAATGAGGGACAGACAAGATGTCGGCGCCCGGGAATGGACGCAAACAGTCAGCAATGCTAGGCAGAATGCCAGAGTATTAGCAGGCGACATGAACATCGAGTATCAACTATTTGCGCTACGCCGAGGGAATATTGTCTGACGCGCCGCGACGCGAGAGCTTAGTCTCGTTTCCAGACCTTATAGGCGGATCACGTGTGCTATTACCCAATTGGGTGGCGGAGATCTAAAAACCCCTGCACACTCTCGCCTATAAGGTCTGGTGAAATTTGCAAGGAGGGAGGGGGTATCCATCACGCGTCACCAAAGTCACTGGTGACGACGCCGTTACCTCTCGCGTCTGCTTGCGTACGTGACTGCGTCCGACGCGCCTCGCGTCTCGCGCAGCGCACCTCAAAACTCAGTCGCTAGACAATGTATGCGCATGTATGCTACGGTAGCCAACCTACATAATCATAATGTCGTCTATTCATCCGAGCCCTTGGCTGAGCTCGCTACGCAGTGTCGTTGACGATTCTGACTCCGACCTGGACTCCCCGCCAGCTTCGGACTTGGGCAGCGATATCTTTGACGACCACTCGGGGCTTCTGTCTCTGCAGATGAGTACTGGTGCGTTTTTGCTGCTTCCTCACAGGCTTTCTTGAGGATGGATGCCGAGAGCGTCGAAAGACCGTACGAGAACTCGGCAAGAGTGGACATAGCGGGAGCCATACTATGCGTCGCAGGCAAGACGCGCCGCAGGCACGTCAAGCGCCGGGGCGTGACGGATACCCCCCTCCCTCCCTGCAAAACTCACCAGACGTTAAGGGGGGGAGTCGTGGAGGGTTTTTTAGAACTCCGTATCCAGATATAGTAACACTCCACGTGATCCCCGCTCCCCCCTAACGTCTGGTTACGAGACTAGCGAGAGCTTAATTACCCCAGACTGGTGTTTAACGTTGAACGCCCCATTTCAAGCAATCATGCTGCGCACACGTTCTCTGCAGATCAGAACGAATAACGCGAATAGATGAAATCCAAAATGGGAAGAAGCGGTCGCCGTGGCTTATTAGCTTGCCTTATCTCGTACCCAGACCCACCGTATCCGCACCCAACCGCGGTGGGGTGCGGATACGGTGGGTCTGGGCACGAGGCAAAGTTCAGCGCCGTTGGCTTCTCGGCATGGCCAGTCCGCGTCGGGTGAGCAACTTCGAGTGTGCAGCGTATGGCGCAAGAGCGGTCAATCGCGCTGTTAGTACTCGGGTCTCTGTGGCGGTGGATGCACCAACGAAATCTGTGATCAACAGGGACAACCCTCGGAGTGTTGTACGTATAGCGTTGACTGACTGAATGGTGTGCCCTTCAGGCAGCACACCACAATCTGCCCTATGCCACCAATCTGCCAAACGCCGACTTCTCACCTGCGTCAATCTACCGCACGAACCGCTTCACGGTCTACAAATAGTCTATTTTCGTGGTTCCCTGAGTAGTTCCGAGGCGGGATCACGGACGCTTGTGGCGGCCACATCTTCTGATGAACTGGCTCGAGATGATCCAGCCAAGGTGAGCGGTCGCATTTGCGCAAAGAGAACAACGTTACGCGGGTCCTCGGCCTCTCGCAAGTTGGTCCGTTCAACGACCGACACTACACCGGAATGCTCACGGTGGAACAGTCCGTGCGCGGCACTAGAGGCAAATTGAGGGCACTCGTTTTGCCGACCACACGGCGGATATACTGACGCACTGTACTCATGATCGACTGTTATCAAAGCACGAGGAGGGTAGAGTGGAATAGCAGACGCTCGCACCACTTCGGCTTGCCGTATGGCAACAAATTTGTGAGAACAGGCGAGGGGCCATAATGACACATTCACTATCTCTTACAGATCCGTCGCGTATCGGAACAACGCCATACATAAAGACTGTGTTATACCTACAAAACATGAGTGAGACAAGCGGCAGTCGCCTAGAAGGGACGTGACATACCTAGATCTAATTAAGATACATCGCAATCGGTCCGTTCGTCGATTGTACTTCAACACGCCCCTCGCTCGCAGCCCCTCCCCAGTTGACGCAGCCCGTCACGAGTTTGTTGCGTTGCGAAACGGACAGCTGCCGAATGCGGCCCCGCCCCGATGGATCGGTCGCATTCTGGTCGAACGGCACCTCGATGTGTCCGTTTGTCGTGCGCAGCTCAAACGTGCCCTCGAATGCCCGGTGCATGCGCACATCCGCCATCGCGTTCGTCGTCCGCGCGCGCACGTCGAGCTGTGCGTCGAGCGCAGACTCAGGGAAACTTAGGCGCAACGGCCCATTGGTCGTCTGCGCGGCGACGCTGTAATTGCCGCCTGTCAAGGCGGGCGCCTTGGATATGAGATGAACGTTGGCGGTGATCGGACTAGGACAAATGATCAGCGAGTGGTTAGTAAAAGACTACGACGTGACTCGTACTCGTTGGTCGTCTTTATGGTGACAGCAGTACTGTTGCCCTTGGCATCGTGGTAGAGGACGACATCCGCCTTGATTGGGGCATTTGTCGTCATCAAGGTCAAGCCGTCTGATGTATAGAAGTTGCCCTCAATGGCATCGTTTGTCGTCCTGAATTCCGCATGTTCCGCATAAACGGACTATGAACGGGATCAGACTCGCCAGGCTGAATCGAACATTGAGAGCTCACCTCCACATGAATCGGGGCGTTGGTCGACCTCAGCGACAGCGAATCGAATATAACGTCGCCATTGAGATCGCCTACGTGCTGGTAGAAATGTGGAAGAGATGTTTCAAGGGCTGAGACTAGAGTAGGACCCAAAGCAGCATCCGTCATTGGAATGTGAACAGTGACATTAAACCTGAACGCGGAATCAGACCAGAACGGCCATCTCAGGGGTGTCTATGAATAGTATTCTTTCAGCCACTCTCCCCGAAATGAACAAGCTATCCGGACTTACGAAAATTCCCACTCCCGAATGCCCTTCCTGTCGCTCAAGTTGGCACACACTGATCCGGTCCAATATCTCCGTTGATGCATGGTGAAGCGAGACGTCCACTTTTACACTGCTTGGGTTTCTCCAATCTGCATCGTGGACGATATGGACGTTCCCTTGAGACAAGCGCCCGCGAGAGAACAGATATAGAACGTCGGATGAAAGGGGCAATTCGAAGGATTTGCTCGGCCGTACGCCAGCATAGTCGTTGTCCCAATTTGATCGACCCGCCACGCATTGCACAATCTTGCCATCGCTGACCAACGGCCATCCGTACATGTCGCGATCGACCTGTATGCGAGGATTAACGCGAATCCACTGCAGTTGTGTTTGAATGCCTTTCTTCTGAGGTGAGGCAGAGGAAGCAGACGTACCCCTCCCCGGCGATTCCCTCGCTGCGCAATCGCGACGGTGCCCTGCGTGAATAGACCAAGTACGCAGTAGGTAAGGGCTGCGAGCGCAAAGGCTTTCAGGAATCTTCGTCCCGCTGGTTCTACAGGTTCATACTCAAAGTCGTCGGCCTGAGGAGACAACAAAGGCTGGCTAGATTGCAATGGTAAAGCGTTCTGATATGAACTCGGTCCAGGATATGCAGGTGGTGGCATGTTGTCCCTAGTATCTGGCGCAGGGGCCTCCGAGAGGGCTTGCTGGGCCTTTGTCGGAGAGCTCGGGGTGTCATCGGTTATAATCATGATTCCAGCACGCAGGAAAGCGATCCACTACTGTCGCGAGTGAGAAGAGCGAGGGGGGAGTCCTACCGATAGGTGAAGTGGTGGACGTCGGCGAAAGACCAGTAGACCACACGTCAAGGCCAACTATACACTACCGTCCGTCTTCAGCGCTATCTCTGAATCAGAGAAAGAGCATATGGTAACTGCGCACTCAGCGCTGCGCATCCGCAAGTCTGCGATCCGCAAGGGCTGCGGACCTCGACATTTGACGAGATCGTGCACTAATTTCTGTGGCGTTCAATGCGTTGATTCAGGACGACTCCCACAGCGATTAGAGAACGCCGTACTCCTTTTCTTGGTGTACCTGAATACCAAGGCGCTGTGCCTTCGCCACAGCGCTTGCCGATAGTCATCGCGGCACTTGTGCACATCATATTTGCAGGAGTTGACCGCGGATTGTACAGGAAATACGAGGTGTTCGCAGTCTCAACGAGGGGTGACGCTCGAAATTCCTTGTCTCAAAGATCAAAAGAGGCCGATGGTGGGATGGGCGTGACCGCGACGCGAAGCGTATGCGGTACGCGCCACGCGTCTTGACTCTGCCTTGCACGTTCCGCTGCACACCTTGTCTCGTTCTACGGCCTCTCTTTGCGGAAGTGCACAATCTCAATCAAGAAAAATGGTAATAACAAAGCGCCGATGCGTATGAATCCAAGTGAGCTTAAAGTCCCGTTACAGCTCCCTCTATCCCTGCTGAACGCCGCCCAAAACAAGCCCATGGTGAGCCCCGCGTCGCCTGCAGCCATTCCGGTCTCTACCATTGATACCAGATGATACCATACGCAGCTGGTCGAGCTGAAGAACGGCGAGACGTTCAACGGGCATCTCGTAAATTGCGATAACTTTATGAACATCACCTTGCGCGAGGTGTACCAGACGAACGCGGACGGCGACCGATTCTGGAAATTGAAGGAATGCTATATCAGGGGGAGCACGGTGGGTGCTGTAGCTCCCAGATGGTGATTCTATACTAATTCGCTTCACGCGTGCAGATCAAGTATTTGCGTGTACCAGACACGCTGCTAGATGCTGTGAAAGAAGAGCAAAACAAGGCGAGAGAGGCGGGCAGGAGCGCAAGAGGAGCGCATGTAAGCGGTGCAGGGAACAGAGGTGTGTGATTCGCAAATGATCGTTTGGCTGTAATTTAACTCGGGCAATTGTTAGGTCGGGGCATGCCGCAGAGGGGTGCGTTTCCTCTCATTATTCTGTGGCCTTTACAATTGACAGAACATTCCAGGGCGTGGCGCCGTTCGCGGTGGTCCTATACGTGGCATACGAGGGAGGGGAAGAGGCATGTAAGAGCGATAATATCGCCTGGCCTCTGTGAATGAGCTCCTCGTTACAACATCCGTACATGACACCCTGCACGCGCAGCGCAGCTTCAGTCCATCCGACACCACATATCCATATTCATCGACCTAGTACAGTACAGTATGCCGCCGCATCCTATCGCAGCTGTTGTACAACAGGAATCCCTGTGGCAAAGTCCATCGTGTGCTATTACTCACGCAGATGCAGTGAGCAGTGTAACACTGTCGTCATGAATCATGCACAACATCGCATATCACTTCAAACTCAAGTCCGTCACGCGAACTGTTCTGTACCCAGCGCCCCTAACAATGTAAACTGGCATCAGAGGTGTCACAGTGCGAATGAAGACGATACTAACTGTGTACATGTCGCGCCCGATAACAATGACCCTCAAGCGAGATTGATCACGTAGCATCATCTTGCGCGCATCCTCTATCGTGAAGGGAACTTTGACCCGTTCTGAGCCATATCTAGTAGGCACCCAGCTGGTGTATAAGCGCAGTTGGTGAAGATTGAGCCCGTTGGATACGGCCTCCTCGATCTGGCTCTGTGATTATGCGTGCATTAGAAGCAACCCAGAGTCAAACAGTCTTGAAGGACGTACTGCATCCTGGCACCATGCAATCGAGCACGACAGCGATTCCAGCGCAGGGAATAACGCGCACAAGCACCGCACGTCGTCCAGCGTGAGCAGCGCCGAGTCCGCAGTGAATGTCTTGAGCGTCTCCTTGTGCATATTTACAAGCGTAAGCAGGAACTGGCGTGGCACCGCGGCGTCGCCTTGCGTTGAGAATGCGTTCAGCGTGAATGACTCAAGGGACGGGCGCGGCAGTAACGACTGGATCCACGACCACAACTGCTGTGGGCCCCGCACGTCCACCGAGCTTGTGCGCACGGTCAGCTCGCGCAGCGATGCCACCGGCACGTCGACGTAGCGCGAGAACCCCGAGCCAAAGTACTCTGTGTCAAGCATCACCAGTTGCGGCAGGAACGTCAGGATCTCGAGGATCGCGCTCGTCGGCGCGCCCTTGAGCCGCAGCGACCGGAGGTGTGGGAGGTGTGAGATGACCGATACCAGGATCGATGCAGGCACGCCGGCGCAACGCTGAGTAATGGTGTTCACCGAGTGAGCACGGCAAGGTTTGATGAGAGCAACGCTTTACTTACTCCAAGCTCGAGATGCGTCAGGCTCGGGCCCAGCTTCTCCGACCACCCCTGCAAGATGCGCGGCGGGCCCTCCATGGTCCAAATCGAGACCTCGCACAGTCCGCGGAACTCGATCAGCCTCGTCCAGATATCCTCGCTGAGCCCCAGGTACGTGCGGATAGTAAGCTGCTTGATGGGCACGTCGCGCAGGATGGATAGATAACCGAGTAGGACCTCGTCGTTCAACAGAACCGAACTGTCGTCGATCCACCGGAAGCTTTCGAGATTTACGCAGAGTCGCAGAGCTTCATAGCAGTCGCGCACGAGCTCTGGCATAGCAGTGCCCATGGCTCCTGTGACACGAACATACTAAGAACACGCCTCGTAACGTCGCGGTGAAGCAAAAGCGCTATACCTGTCAACCTGACTTGCCGTACGTATTTCGCATACTCGGGCCTCTCCAGCAATGTCCTTGCTGGATGAAGGATTACCGGCCACTGGTGTATTCATGGTCAGCACTGTTGCGACCGTAGAACCCATGCAATGTGTGATAAGAAGTTCCGTAGAGAAGGCAACGTACACCTCCGGTCCGTGACTTGAGTACACGCGAATCAAGGCTGCGGTACAGTATCGGCGTCGCTGCTGCGTGAAACGTCTTGCTCAGTCGAGCACAAGTGTGGAGATCTCGTCGATCGGTGAGATGCTCAAATATTAGCGGTAGTATGTCAACTGGTATGCATGCCGGATCGAAAACACCAATCTCTGCGGACATATCGGCGGTGGTTGTGATGGAGGACGCGTCCTCGCAGCTGGCGGCAATTTTCTGTCGTTTCATGAGGCCTACAGGCAACGTGAGGGCTTGCTGGAGGAGGTCATGATAGCAAGGTTTGAGGGGAGTCGTTCCACCCGAGTCTGGACTCTTGAGCGTGAGCGGTTGTGTGATGATTGGATGCCGCACATCTAGACCATCTGACAAACGCGGCATGGCAAGCGTAACGCGGAAACCCACGGCCCGGTGAACGAGGAGAAAGATCAAACTGGACCGCAAAGTTCTTCAATTTCGCTGCAACATTGAAAGGCTTTGCGAGGTGCTGATTTGCCATGGCCTTGATATTGATCAACCTGAATTGCGAGTCGAATTGCTTCTGTGCTTTTCAGTTGACCATTCCAGTCGTTGGTGTAAAACGGAAAAGTGTTTTAAGTAATGAAATATATGGGCACATCAGCCTTTAGAGAGGACATATGAAAAGAAGGGTTGGCAATGGAGAAGGGTGGACTTGAAGCTTGAAGCTTAAAGGCGTCACGTGAGTATGGACGTCCAAGACCAAGAGCACAAGGCGTCGCCAATGTTTGCGACAATCTCTCAGCGCTTGTTCAATGAATGTCACTCATCTGCAAACACTGAGAAACCACAGTCGTCGATCTGCAAGCCACCATGATAGTCTTTGACGAGTCGGATACCACCGTGAAGTCACAGCAGCGCGTGGAGGATCGCGTTCAAGCCCTCCAGAATGACGGCGAGAACATACCACCGCCTGCATATTCTGGGCCTAGCTCGAATACAAGCGCACTACACATCGCGGCGCATGCAAACGATTCATTGCCATTGCTTAGAGCTGGTTATGACTATGCTGCCAAAGAGCCAACGTCGCGGAGATTCATGAAGGCATTTGCGGCCGCGCTCTTGATATATGCTTTCCTTGCCCTCTTTGCGCGCGGCATATTTATGATAGCACGCTATGAAGCTCTTTGGAGCAAGGTGCGTGAATTCGCCCTCTAACTGGCATTCATTACGACTGCAGCCTATTTGGTGCGTACACTCAGATCAACCACGATGAGGTTGGATGGCCGCTGGAGGACGATGGCAAGTTACTGCGATGTGTTCGCGGCCGCGAACAATGGCTTTGGCACGGCGCCGGGGCGCCTTACAGTGCCTCGTTTGAACTTCCACTATCAGCGGAACAGGTCATCCTAACGTCTCGTGGACGTCTGTCCAAAGGGCGCGTCCATATCATTCAAGACCCTAGTTGGACGAAGCCAAACACTGCTGCAGTGAACATTTCTCTTCTCTACCCCTTTGAGGCGTTATGGGACCGCATGTCCGTGTGCATGCTCGACTTGGACGGTGCCTCAGTAGTCGGACTTTATGTAAGTATTCTCCTTTAACAAGCACTTAAGATTGATGATAATGAACGCAAACCCAAGACCCCCAACAGATGGCCAGCATTGTTCCCGGATGTGTTCGAGTTCAATGTGACTATCCGTCTTCCAATCTCAGAAGATCATACGCCTCTACATATTCCTAGCCTTGTGACTAACGTCCCGAATTTCTCCCAATTTGTGGACGACTTGGCTGGCAATGTCACCTTTGGCCTCTTGAATCTCTGGGGAAGCAATGGGCCTGTTGCTGCTCAGGTTTGCCCCTCGAAGTATTGCTGATATCCGACATTGACCTACCTTCCTCAGTCCGTATCTGCCGGCGAGATGAGCATCATGTCTAGGAACGGGCCCATCGAGGGCACCTTCTACGCATCTGAGTTCCTGTCCTTGGTCACATCCGACTCTCACATCAAAGCAGACGTACATATCACCGCGCACAATAACAACACGGCCCTCCACATGAAAACGAGTAACGGGTGAGCTGCGTCTCTACATCCCTGGAAGCTCATCCTACGTTGTTGACCACGCCTTGCAGCGCTCTGGACTCCAGCGTCAGTCTCGCCTCAGCCTCACCAGGTGCCGCGGGCGACTCTTTCATCGTCTCTGCGCAGACGTCGAACGCGCCACTCACGCTCGCGTTTCCGCAATCCCCACTCGACGCGCGGCTTACCCTGCGCGCACGGACAAGCAACGCGCCAGCGGCGGCGAGCCTGCACCGTGCGTACGAGGGTTCGTTCAAACTACGCACGACGAACGGGCGGATGGCGGTACCATTTGACCAGAATGCACACGATCCGACGGGCAGCGGACGCACTCGCCAGCTGTCCCTATCGCAGTCGGAGCGACTCGTGACGGGTAGCGTCAGCTGGGGGGAAGCCGACACCCAAACAGGCAGTGTGGAAGTCGAATCGACGAACGGTCCTGTAACGTTGAATTTAGTGTAAGGACTTTGATGCCGGTACGCGCTTTGTTTCTTCCATGATTTCGTACTGCTAATATATATGCTAAATCATAGGGTGTATTAACCACTCCAAGTTTGGGCCACGATCACCGGTTCTAGTGGCATACCGGGTCGCCATCAGACGGTGAACACACAAGGAAGGCCCCAGCAGGATTGACGTGGCCGTATGGCATAGAGATGCTCAACTATGAGCTTTTCAGTACAGGCCCACTTTTCCATCGTTCCTCGACACTCATCTTCTTCCCCTTCTCCTCGCCGTACCAGGCCTTGAATATCTCCTCTCTGCTCTGCCATACTGGCAGTTTCTTACCGTTGATGGTCGCGTCTTGCATACCGAACCAGTGGTGCCCGCGCACGTTGTTGATCCATAGCATCAGCTCGCTTTCGTCTTTGCCCCTCTCGAGAGTGCATTCAGTCTTCGGGAACACCTTGCCTTGCGTGCGCCAGTGGTCCACACCCTGTAGCACGATCCGGCCGTTGTCTGAGGGTGCCGCCGACAATATGGGAGCCCGACCGGCAGTCTGTGATGTAGAAGGTGATGGTGATGCGGGAGGCAGTATGTAGAGTCGGCGGACGATGCGTGATCGAGAGCCGAGTATGAGGGCAGCAAGCGCGATGCCTAAGAACAACTGTCCACCTGCGAAGGGCGCACGCTGCCACCACGAGCGCAGGACATAATGTCCCTTCTTCTCTTTTGCATCGTTTTTCTGTGCTGTCGGTTTGACAGCAGAATCTCCTGACCCCGGTTCGTCCGGCAATGCTTCCCACTGTGTCCAGTGGTTCCAAGTTAACTCACATGCCGTGATGCTTCGTGGTCAGAGTATGTTAGAACGTCTGTTCGCACTCGATTGCAAGACGAAATAGACGAACGTCGTGATGATGTCTGCCGCTACCAGGAAGTAGGTCCAGCGCGTCCACCATGGCGGTGTACGGTCATAAAGTGGCGTATATGACTCTAGGGACTCTATTCCCTGCAAGCGCAACGACCGCACTCGGCGTGCCGGCCAGAGACGAAGATTTCTAAGAGGACCGAAAGCTTTCTGCATCGACGTAGAGGAAGAGCATAACCCTAACCTTTGTGAGGGGCGCGGCAGCAAGAAAGGAAACCTAACCCCATTTTAGGGCTCCATCAACTCCCCTGCCTCCTTCACAGTCTGAACAGTAAGTACTTCTGTTGCTCAATTCGACACTGAGACTTCATGAGGCATCGAAATAGTCATCTAGATCATCTATCTATTTAGGACGGTCTTTACAACATAGCCCAGCTGCGTCTGCAACTTGAACGGGACACTCAACCGACGATGAACCTCGCAAACTTATGCCGGTCGTCGTGATGACGGGGAACTTGCACCGTAGTGCTACTTCAAGCGAATATGTCCATTTGTATGCAAGTCTATGGACTTTTGATGATGGTCGGCGGAGCGGTCATAACTCGAATGGAAAGCCTATTCCAGGTATGTTCCATTAGCACTCTGAGCGTGCCCACTTGTCAATCCATAATGCATAACGTCGAAATGGGACTCAAGCAAGAACCTTAAACCGACGAGGCGCGTGATACGCCTCTTTCGATTGCATTCGAGGACTTTCGGGCCGCGCCCGCAGCCGATTCTATATGCGCAGCACGTCCTGAGCACGCAAGCGTCAACATGTCGCAAAGACACAGACGCACAGCGCACGCTACTGGCTCGACGCCCTGGGGTCGAGACTGTCGGCACGATGCGCTGGGCCTGTGGACTACGCACCGCAGCTCGTAGCCACACGCGCCATGTCTCTGACGTCCATATCGTGCCCTTATCACCACAGGAGGCCCGGTTTGCATTAACCGGGTGCGAAAAGCTGCGCACACCCCTCTCGTATAAAGCCCCGGACTGGACTGAAGCTTAAGTCGTATTCCAAATGGCATCACAAGCTCCTATAGACGGCGAAAAGGCGCCACCCGCCCCCGTGTTGGTACCGTATCACGGTTATCAGGCGACATACAGCGTCGCGTCGCCGCCCCCACCAGTCGGTCGTCGCCAACGCAGAAGTGCCCGAGCCAGATTCCTGCACGCCTTTGTGTTTGCTGGTCTAGCTTTGGTTCTCCTTCACGTGGTAGCGAAGCACGCTCGCTATCTCCGTAACTTTGTGGTGCGTCCTGTTGCGTGCCTGTATCCTTGAGGCTTGCTCAACTATCACCACAGCACGACCGTCTGCACGGAGAACCTGACTCTGATATGTCGACGGGATCCGGCGACCATCGGTCCTGCGAGGCGGCGTCCTGGACGTTCGACCCGGAAGGCCGTGTCCCGGTGGACCAGTTCCTCCATGTTGCCGAGGCGTCCTTCGAACTTCCCGCATCGGCAGACCTGCTCTTTTTCAAATCCAAGGGGGCTGCTACCTTCGCGCATGGCGTGATTGAGATTGACGACTCCGGCACGGCCGGTGCGGACGTTGTGAAAGTCGACATCACCGCGCACTACAACGACGTTGAGGATTTCCTCGAGCACACGAAGGCGTGCCTCCTGCACCCCAGGGAAGGCGAGGATGGCGTCGGAATCTTTGTGCGTCTTCCTTCGTACGGGGTTTTGACCTCGCGTCTCACAGCCATTGCTATCCTGTAGGCTCCTATGCATTGGGTAGACCGCGACACACGCCGGAAGGCGCGATGGGATCTTAAAGTCCGGTTGCCCGCGTCCTCCAGTGGATCATCGAGGGAGATCAAGAAGCTGGTCACCGACATGCCGATGTTCTTGCACCAGGTCGGCGACATTGGACAGAGCATGTTCTTCGACATCCTGTCGCTGCACACCTCCAACATGCCGGTCCATGTCAGGGTAGGTATCCACTGAAACGTATCGATACTCGTGAGCTGACTGCTGATCTAGTCGCTGACTGGAGACATCGCTACGGTGAAGACCTCGAACGGGCCGATCTCGGGGAGATTCAACACGTCACACTATCTCGAGCTGCACACTTCGAACTCGCCCGTCAAAGTGGACGTCGGCTTGCTGAGCGAGTCCGACGACGAAAGGACGCCTACCAAGCTGTCCATCAAATCATCCAATGGGTACGTGCGCATTACCCACCGGTACTTTCGCCATGCTGACGCGCTTGCAGACCCGTCGCTGCGAACCTAAGCATGTATGCCACTACAGAGAGCGAGACCGGCGGCCAATTCCTCGTCGGCATACGCACGTCTAACAGCCCCACGAACATCGCGGTGCTCGATGCCCCCGTCGACCACACGCTTCACTTGAAGGCGCACACGTCCAACTCGTTCGTGCAGGCGGCGTTGCACAAGACATACGAGGGTGCATTCAGGCTCACGTCCTCGCGCTTCTTCCGGCCAACAATCCACGCTTCGGATGTGCAGGATCCCGCGGATAAGGGCCGTCGGCGCGTTATCGAGACGTCGAGAGCGACCGGAGGTTACTTAGAGGGCGCTGTCCACTGGCGGCCTACCGATCGCAAGACCCGGTATGGATCTGTGGACATCTCGACGTCGAACCTCGGCCTCGATCTGTCTCTGCCAGCGTGAGGTGCCCTCGGCGTGTGACCGGTCATCTTGCTTCTGTTTTTCGCTCGGAATGTATGCGTATGTAGGAGTATCCCCCTGTTTTGCAAGAGATCTCATTCGGCCTGTCTATATTACATTTAGTGCGGTGACGTGTGGAGTATACACGGGCAGATACAACACAAGGAGATATTGTACCATGGTCGATAGCGATTTGTGTAGTGACAAAGCAAGAACAACAGTGACGTGCAGCACGGTCCAGGACGGCGTTATGGGTACATTTTCGTACAGTTTGGGAACCACGCAAAGAGCAGACGATGAGATTGTACAGGCGCGAGAAAGCAAACTTCAGCAATACCAACTTTGGAAGGCTGTACCCTGCATGGGGTATGCCTCCTGCTGAGAGACCGGTTGCAGCCAGGACACACATTCCGACTCGTAGCGAGACGCCGAGCGGTATGACTGCCCGTCGTTGGGCTCGTTTTGATGTCCGTACATCAAGAACTCACTGGGCAGCGCGTCGACGTGCAACGGGTCGATGCTCGATGTCGAGGGCGGGCCGGTACCAACAGCCCAGCCCGAAGAGGAAGAGCCGCAACACACGGCAGCAGCCTGAGGGTCACCCACAAGAGGCGGCAGGCTGTCCGTGCCATCATCCTCAGGAACGTACACCGACTTCGAGTCGGCGTCCGTCTCCGCGCCGCTGAGGATGTCCGGCGCCGGCGGGTTAGCTGGCACGTCGGCGACGGCGCCGCGGCCTCGCCGCCCATCCCGCCCGGACCGCATAGCGGCCACACACTGCGCGAAGACGCGCGCAGGCTCGAGCCCGCACCGACGAGCCCATTCGAGCATCTTCGCAAGGTCGGGGTCCGGACACGTCGAGAGGAGAATGGCGAGCTTCGCAGTGCCGTTGGCCCGTCTCTCGCCTACTGGTGTGGCCGCATGCACCCTCGCATGAGCTGCCTCTCCGAAGTGAGAAATGACATCCATGGATTCACCGCTTGCGGCATGGCAGGCACCTGCATCTCCGTCCGCGCGCCGCGTTCCGCGGACAGAGCTGGCGTAGTTAGCCTGCAGTTTCCGCTCGTCCTTGTACCACGCGCATCCCGGGAGGCGGCTGATCGCTACGTTCAGTTCGCGTTCCTGCTCAAGTGTCGGGTCTGGATTATTCACGTAGAACTCTGTGTGAAGAGCATTTCCCATTTTCAGCACTCAAGCAAAACTGGAATACTGGCCACTGGCAGTTAGACGGCGTACCATGTCTGAGTACTTTCCCTGCAGCCGACAACTGGCGCCGTAGTAGTGGGTGTTGTGGGTGTGGCACATTGGTCACATGCTGTCTCAGTGTGCTCGACATTCTCGTAGCCCTCAAAAGTTCCAAGCACAAGCAAAAACTTTGAGATTTATGTAGAGACAAGAGGGTAGACATCAAGCCTATATCTACACTGATACAAAAGATCCTCACCGAAGAAACTAAAGAAGTGCCTCGCTTAATGGCGAACCAATCAAACTTCCAGATATGGAAGTGAGTCCGCCAAACATTCCTGAGCAGAGGTAGCATCACACACCACCACTTGTGGAAGTGCACAGAATAATGAATCTGGCAGACTTTGGCCATCCGTAGCAGGACCACGCAGACTTGTTATTCACGCAGACTGGGTGTACATGACGAAAGCAGAAAACAGGTGAGGTATATCTACGGGAACGAGAGCGAGCACAGCAACAACGAGTGCGACGACAATGACATGTGAGGTGTGAGGTGTGATGTGTCAGTAAGAAGACGAGATGCTGCGAGATGCGAAATGCGTGGATACGAGATGGGTGACGCGCGAGCATGAGCCGTGGTGGAGAGCAAAAGTCCGGACAGAGAACAATAAGTATGGGCACAAACGCCGACGAAGCGGCGGGTATCCGAAACCGATGAGGTCATGTCGACCCCGCCGAGACGGCCGTCGGCGACGCCAGCGGCGAGCCCGTGAACACTACCGTGCTCCGCCGGCGCAGCTTTTGGGACAACTCCTTCGCCTTGCCAATCCACCTCCCCTTCTCCCTGCCGGCGTCCCTGTCCTTGTCCTGCTCCTTCTCCCGAACGCCCTCATCGCCGCCCGCAACCGCAACCGCAACCGCGACTTTCGCCCCGTGCAGCTCGCCCTCCACCGTCGCTTCTTCGACGCGCACGCCGATTACCAGCGAGCTCGCCGCGGCGAACACGTCGCAGCTGTGCGACCGGCTCCGCGAGAGCCGCCGCGAGAACGCCTTCGACAGCGACTGCCGCCCCGCAAACGTCTCCATCAACACCACCTGCTCCTCGTCCGCGTCCGTGTCCGCGTCGGCGTGGTCGGGCGGCGTGAGCGATGCGAGCGAGTCCGCGCTCGTCGTGTGTGTCTGCGCCTGGTAGAACCCCTGTTTGTGCACCACGTACGAGGACACCGGCGGCGCCGCGTCTGCGGGCTTCGTCGGGCTGGCGAGCGACCCGTCTGTGGAATGCGGCTGCGGAACGGACAGGTCAGCAATGGCACCTCGAAGTGGAAACCCTGGTTCAGCGAACGCAATGCAGGTCCTCGCACAAGGAAGATCAACATGTTGCGAAACAGGCAGGCAGTTCGGCGCCCAGACATCAAACATAAATCTTGTACACACCATGGGCAAACTTGATATCGTACATATCATGTTTCATATCGTGCGCCTCAGCCGCATTATCTACGCTCAACGGCAGCTGGCGAGCAAACCAGGATGGTAGACCTCGGACAGCTCCGAGACCCGTCACACGGCAGTCAAGTCGCGCAAACCTGCATATTGACTCGCACGTCAGACCCTTGACATGTGTCCAGGTCACCCGCAATGTCTCCGCGGGCGCTAGTAGGACACGGTCTGGGATGCTCGGGGCCAGAGGCTGGAGTGCCGCCGCAGAGGAGAAACACCGAACTCACCTGGCCAAAACGCGAGACGGACACGCTGCCACCTCGTCGCCGCCCTGGCGCTGCGGAGGTGGAGGTGGATGTGGAGGTCGCCGGGATTGGGGGCGCGGGCTGGATGGTCACGGCGGGAATGGAGCTGAACTGCGCCTCCTGCGCTGTGCGTGCCTCTGCTTCTGCCTCTGCTCGCGCTCGTCGTTCGCTTTCCTCCTCGACGCGCTGGAAGATCTGTTGTGGCGCATGAACGAGACAAGCAGACGCGCGCGCGCGAGCGTGCTTACCAGCTCTATGCGCTCCGTGCGATCGCAGTCCATGGTGCACGCTGTGTGCTGCGCCGTCGTAACGTGCGAGATGCAAGGTTGGGTGCGGTGTCAGCGGCTGGGTCTCAGTACTCCTGTCTCGTGTCTGAGCGCACAGGTTTGCGTGAGCCGACCGAAGAGAGATGGGCTGTGCGGGAGTTCGGGCGTTGGGTGGGACGTGTCCTGTGTGTGGTGACGAGGAGAGAGAGAGCGCGACAGGGTGCAGAGGCTTACATGGGTGGTGTAAATATGGGGTTGTGACACGGGGCACGCGGGGACGCCCGATGTGATCTGGAGCTGGAGCGGGGGTGCTGTTTGGGTCAGAACAGGTCAGAAAGTCCCTCACCGGTGGAGACGCCCCCTGCCCGCGCCTCATTGGCCCGTCCGCCCGGTGGTATTGTCCCCAAAAGCTTCGCTGACACTCGGCCGTTGCCTTGCTCTCCCACAGCCAAGGCCGCGATACAGTCCGACAAGAAACAAGGATACCGGGGGCGCCCTTGCCATTCGCGGTCAGCCCCGCTCTCTTGTGTGCAGCGGCCGACGACATTCTCGGTCGTCGGACGCGACCCGCTGCGCTTCTGCCGTCGCGCGTACCTGCATACAGCTGCCGCATACGGGCCCGCGCCGGCGTCTTCGCGTCTGATAGGAAGACCCGAGTGCCAAACGCGGCCTTCGCTGCGTGACCTGGCCCTTCCCGCGGCTGTCGGCTCCGTACAGAGTCGGTGGTCCCTGCTTGGCAATGCGTGTCCGCTGTGTGAGTAAAAGGTGTTCGAAAGAGAAGAAACGAAAATTATTGGCGCAGCGCGCGTCGGCATCTGTCTGCACTGTTCTGATCCACGTCGTCGGCGGCGATGCGTTGTCGGCTTCAAAGTCGCGTTCGCGCGCGTGGTGTGGGAGCGTGTCCGCGAGGTTGTCAGACGGGAGAGGCGAATAGAATAGTACCGAAACCACTAGTCGCTAATGGCCATCCAATTTCACAGAGTTGGTATTGGAGGAGGCGAGCATCATGTGGATGAGACCCAGGCGCCGACAACGCTGCATGCAACGGCTGCACTGCTCAAGAAGGCGATGTTTGGGAAAGACAACATGTTCGGCATCGAAGGCGGCCTTGTATCTACAAAGCGCAGTTGATGAGCACTTGCCGCGATGATGCAAAGCTGCCAGCTAGGATGGGAACCGCCATAGCAAGAGGTGTGAATCCCAGAATAGTAGTACGCTTTCCAAGCTCGTCCGAACTGATATCCAAGTTAATTTTTCAGGTTCCTCAGATCTTCAAGTGCCAAAAACGCGGGGGTTTCGATGGATACGCTAGTGAAGAACAGAGACGAGTGGATGGTGGGAGTACGGGAACAAGAGAGATGAACGTCTGCTTCTGGTGCACGCGCTGAAGCAAGGCGGCGGCACCAAACAAGTTGGCAGTGGGTGCAAATAATGATGTCGGTATGTGTGGCGTGCGTCATATGCGAGACGGTCTGTCCGAAAATAGACGGGACTGCTGTCACCATATATTAACATACTGTATCATGTAATGAGATCCACTTGCTCAGATGTTTCCTTGTTCTTGAGGCAGGAAACCTGTTCAGAGGCACGCATTTGTCACGTCTTACTTTGTATCACCAAGGTCATGCCACCAATGTATTTGACACAGGCATGCATGAGCAAATCTAACCATAGCTACAATACATCAGTCAGACTGCTATCATAATTGCCTCGAGTCCTACAGCTTCTTGTCTAGTCATTCTGGTCATTTGTATTGACATACTCGACGGCGAACGAGTCCGACCAATCGGCCGTAGTCTCAGCTCTGGGCTTACAGGCGCCTGACCCGATGCGCTGAGTGTCAGGGTCCTTCCGGCAGACAGAAGTGTCGCATGGGGATATTATGCTAGCGTACGACGGGGACAGCAACCGCGCAGCACAAGGCGCGTACTGATAGCATTGCAATCTCGATCAGCGATCGACCCCACGCACACGCGCAAGCACTTGACATTGAACACCTCGTACTGCCCCGCGCCCGGCACATGTTCTCCACCGCATACCTCCCGCACCTGGTCTCCTCGCTCGCCCTCACGTCGCTCGGCATCCACGTCCTCCGCCAGCGCAGGGACGCCGAGTCCGAGCGCGCCCAGCTCGCCGCCCAGCTGTCCATCCTCGAGGACACCGCGGCGCGGCTGCGCGCGGGTGGACGCGTCTCGGGGCGCGAGGTCGAGCGGCTGCTGAAGCTCGCGCGCAGCCAGCGCACGGGGCGTGGGGAGGAGAGCGTGCAGGCGGAGGAGCAGAGGGAGACGGCGAAGGAGGAGATCGGCTGGCGTGACGTGCTGCTCGGGCGGCGCGCGACGCGGGAGGAGGCCGTGCGCGGAGAGCATTGGGACCGGCGGGACCTGGAGCGCGGTGAGTGCCTGTGTGCGCGTTGTGATAGGCCGAGCTGGAGCTGACGCGCCCGCGCGTTTGTGTGCAGTGCGGAGGGAGGTTGCAGGAGACGGGGAGGCACGCTCGTGAGGAAGCGAGCTGGCTAGAACGCGGTGTGCGCCATCCCGTGTCCCGGTGAGGATCGGAGGCGAAGGCGACCGCCGTGCACCCCGCCTTGTAATTACGACGGCCTCACAGGCCGCGACAACGCCAGACTAGGCGGTGGGGTGGATGGCATGAGCTACAGGACGTGTGCGCCAGACATGTGCATGCACGGTGGATCACGGTGGATGTGATGACAGCGCGCGCATGCTCAGGAACGGAAGAGTATCTATCGACGCTCGCGGTGACAGCATGTGTATTTCGAAGTGTGGTACGCGGACGTTAGACTTGCGGGTGCCTATGCCATGGTCTGTCTGCGGTGTCACTGCCCGTGCCTCCTCTTGCAGCGTGATCAGGTGTGTACTTGCTTCGTTTGCCCCCACGCAGTCGCCGAATAGAATACTACCGGCGCAAGACACCTCCAAGCTACATGTTGTACGGAGAGGCCCATGGGCTCGGCTGCTTTGATGCAATGGCTACGGCAAAGACCCACGCACGGCGTATGTATGTATGGGCAACGATGGACATCCCCGTCCCAAGCGTGTCTGGCTCGCACCGCACCCAAATAGCGCGGGTGTTCTTCGCGGAATCGCTCTGGCCGCAGACTAGCCACACCCACCACTCCTCCGTGCGGCCCCGACGGGTGTTTGGAAGAATACGTCTATTGATCTTCACCGTATCGCCGACATGACCACCGGGAGAACACGGACCACCACCGTCCTTCCTTGCTTCTGCGCCATGCGCCATGCAACAGCTCCCTGCTGTGGGAGCGCCGGCGGTGCGCGTCAACACCAGCACTAATTCCATCTCGAAAGGCTTTTCAGATCTGAATCTGACTAAGACATTTTCCCGCTTCTGTTTCTAGATCTCCATCTCCATCCTTTTTCTCCGTGGGACACTCCCGCACGCGCGGCTTCGTAGCCGTGTGCGGTGCGTGCATGGTGACCGGTGGGCTGCTGCCTCTTGACCATTCCCTGGTCTCTAGACCCGCGCATGACTATCTGGCCCAGGCCCCCTCATGGCCGCTCGCGCATTGCACGTTGCCACCTGTTGCGTCCGCGAGACAGCACATTGAGAAGAGGGCAAGGCACAGGACGTACGCTGGCCCAACATGCATGACAGGTGTGAGTTGTATGCGCATATATGTGTCCGCGTTGATCCTGGAAATCATATTGTGTTTCGCGATGCGCAGAAGGGGCCTCCTCGGTAGACTACACTAACAGAGGCAGGCAACCGTCTCGCTTGCCCGCGCGTGTGAGACGGGCGTTCCCAGTGCGCAGTAGTGCGTACCGGGCATATGCCCAGCGCAGAAAACGCAATTTCAGCACTGGATATCAGCCAGTGCCACTGCCGGTATCCGAGCTCTGTGGTTCTGCGCGCATGGGCAGCCATAATAATATCTCACAATTGATTGGACCCGTGACTACATGGCGTTCACAGAGATGTTACAGGGACACGATGATGCTGCACTAATCCTCCTCCTCAGACATTTGCAACTCCTGCCGACGCTCATCAAGTTCAGCACTGTGCGCGATATTGTGGTTAGATGCTGAATATGGCGAGGCTGCGCAAGTTACGTACACTTTGTCCAAGCGTTGCCATTCCCGACAGCAGCGCCCCAATGGAGTATCCCATTCCGGATCTGTAGGCCTGATGATGTCGTCATGATCGCTGTGTCCGTTGAATCTGTCCCAATAAGTCTGAATTTGATTTCTGGTGAGGTGAAAGTGTATATCGTTCCCGCATAGGTTCACTCGGAGCGAATGTCTGAAGTGTCGGCGAAGGAGGTCTTTGTCAGGTTGGAAAGCCCCATCGGGTATGGGTTGTGTCCAATGATAGTCTCTTGCATTCAGCGCATCCATAGACTCCGAAGAGCATTCTAGCTCGTCTGTGTCCTGGAAGAAGACGATCCTGTAGTTGTCCTGTGAACATCCCATAAGTTAGCTGTCAGCTGATGATTAAGTCAACGTTGCGTTACATCAACATCGATAGAGAACTTGTTCTCGTAGAACAACTTCGCCAGATCGCTTCGCATAATCATGATATTCGTGACAGACTTGAAACGTGAAATGTCCACCCTCTCTCTGTTAAGTTCGTCCCGCATCACGGCCTCAAAGGTCTCATAATCCCGTCCTACATCGTCCTGAACGCCCGTGTCACGTATGAGTCAACACGCCGGAGAAAAGAAATGCGGGAGACGTGCCACGGGAAACAAGGCCCCTACTGGAGGTACAATCCACAAGGAAATCGTGTCGTCCGATAGGCCACTGGTCATACAAGTTTGATCTCGAATTTGAAGCTTGTTGAAGTCTGTGATATCTTCGACGCTTGCAGTCGTCCAATCCTAACGGGCTTCTCGTGAGAATCAATGCAAAGGAATCAAAGGTGTGCCGCACTCGCCAATCACATTCGAATGCGTATTCTATGATATCCAGCATAGAGCTTGTCGTTTCGGTGGACATCGGGAGGTAGCAGCTGCGCAGATCTGGCATAGACCAATAAGGTGAAGCGTATGCGCGGACCACGAGACACTTTCGTACTTACCCGGAAGGAATGCGCCATATACTCCTGGTTGGAGGACATCGGTCGAAACACGAGGGAGAGGATTGCCATGCCCCATCACCCCATACTCTAAGAACGAAGATATCCCTGTGAGCGCCTTGATGTTAACAGGGTAAAGCAAGAACTCAGAATAGTTTCTGCGGCCAACGTGATTGCAGCCAGGGCCTCTCTTGCGAGCCTCGCTCATCCAGCGGTAGACTGTACTGAGTGTGATATGAGACTTCTGATGTAGGCGAATAGCTGAAGTACAGTATGTGAAATAAGTGCCAGTGACCACTGACCAGTTGTGGTATCTAGCATGAGGAACGTACCAAACATGATGACGCGGTTCTTGGGATTCCATATGACGACATCTGGTTTCGGAGTCCTGGCGTTCGGAGAGAGAACTAGAATATTGTCAAGCTGGTCCACAGTTGCAGTGGTCATCGCAGTCGGTGAAATGTGCTAAATGAACAGACCGCACTTTGGGCTTTCGCGTGCAATTCAAACGCGAACAGTAGGCCGCTAGTCCCGCTGTATGTTGAATATCTCAGATTCGACTCTCAGGCTCTTTCTAGGTAGTCTACAAGAGGTAGACCTTCAAGTAGTACGACCTATCGGGTGGATGTGGGCCGGTCACAAGTTGCTAGTTGGGCTGTCGTTCGAGACGGCATGAAATAAGCGCCCCGGTTGCCATCAATGCTTTCCTTCGGCACACGTACCACAGCGCTGTGGTTGCGACGGGGTGTACGGTACACCATTTCAAAGTAGTTGTGAAATGTCTCTGCATGTTGGCGGTGTGTCGCCTCTGAGGTGAGCCGCATAATCATCCCATGTCGTTCCACCGTCGTATAGGTTAAGATAGCCCCGACGACCGATGGCGGGGTGGCAGCGCCATGTATATCATGAGTTGCATACAGTAAGTATGGCATCACGGCTGGACAACGCCTCGTGCTCTGGTAAACAAAGGAGCCGCAGGTGTGAGCAGGACCCCAGCTAATCCCCTAAACGCTCTGCGCAGACCTCATTTCGGGGGGTAGATAAGATAAGATTTATCACGACCTAAGCGTGGGAATTCGACGCACATTGCATATTTCGATGTATCTTGGAAAGAACTGTCTACTCACCGATTCTGGGAGAGATACATAAAAAATGATCTCGTAAAACGCAAAATACTGCTAAAAGTGGGTCATTTTTAGGGTCATTTTCGGGGTTTTGAGGGATCGGAGGGGATTTTCCGGGGTCCTGTGTGAGCACCCGCCGCTGCTCATGCATGCATATCCAAGATCATTCTCTATTGCGACGAGTATTCCAGTGGGGACTTTACTCAACGGATTTTCTTTCACATACCGTCTATCTGACGTCAATGATCTCCATGCTAGGAGCAGAATTATAGTTGGAAGTAAACATCGTATCGTGTCAATCACTTGTGACGGCTACATGCATGAACGGGCGTGAGCTGTATGTGCATGCGCATGCGCATATCTGTGTCTGTGTTCACGTTGGTCATGGAGATAATGTCTTGTTATGCGATGCGTACAAGGGGCTCCCACTGAACACTAAAGTACCGTGGGCAGGCTCACTTTAACCTCACCTGTCTAGCATTCACAAAGTCTCATTTACTCCACATACTATATTACTGACGGTCACTACCTCTTTCTGCATATACACGCATACGGCTGGGAGCGAGCGCAGTTCCGGAGTGTCCACCGGCCTAGTACACCCCTTCCCTCTCACTCCTGTGACGGCCAGGTCATGTATAGCATGAATTTCTGACCGCTCCTCTACCTCGGCATCCCAGAATCACAAGCATCGCTTCAGACTTGGTGGCTCTTCACTCCTCAAGGATTCAATCCATACGCGCCTTGTTGCATGCTACGGAGCCGGTGAATACGAGAGACAGATGGCTCATGTCTCCATAATGTCACCTCGAAGATCTACTACGGTGTCTATGTACGATAAGAGAGACTCTCCTGTTCTCCTGGTCAAGATTTGACGGGGCACTCGTTCATTGCCCCCTGAGACCATACCACGCGGTGAAGGGACTCTTGCGCATGTACGTCACGGTTAGAGGATGACGATCATTTCTTTCGCCATATCAGCTGCACATGTGGCCGCATGGCCCCCACCTTGGATTGCGTCTCTCATAGCTCTCCCTCGAACACGTATTTGGTTTTCCTCCTGTGCTATTTCTTGTAGTCCAGCTGCTCAAAACACATGAGCAGGTGCCTAAGCCGCAAGCATAGCTTCCACTAATCAACGCTGACGGGTCAAATGTATGCATTTGTATGCATTTACAATCGGAGTAAAATCATGTCATCACTCGCCACCTGTTGCATTCACGGTCCTAGCCCGCAGGGAAAGTTCTGTTCTTACCTCTGGTCCTACATAGCGTTCACAAAGATGTACAGGAACACGATGACGCTGCCCTAATCCTCCTCCTCCTCTTCCTCCTCCTCAAATTGCAGCTCCTGCAAACGCTCATCGAGTTCAGCCCTATGTGCAATATTGCGATGAGATGCTAAACATTACGAGGTTGTGCAAGTTACATACAGTTGGTCCAAGCGTTGCCATTCCCGACAGCAGCGCCCCAACGGAGTGTCCCACTCTGGATCTGTAGGTCCGATGATGTCATCATCATCGCTGTATCCGTTGAATCTGTCCCAATAAGCCTGGATTTGGCCCCCGGTCATGACAGAATGTATGTCGTTCCCGCATAGGTTCACTCGAAGCGAATGTCTGAAGTGCCGGCGAAGGAGGTCGTTGTCAGGTTGGAAAGCCCCATCGGGTGTGGGTGGTGTCCAATGGTAGTCTCTTGCGTTCAGCGCATCTATAGACTCCAAGGAGCATTCTAGCTCATCCGGGTCTTGGAAGAAGACGATTCTGTAGTTGTCCTGCAAACATTCCGTGTATTAGCAGCCAGCCGGCAGTGAGGAACATGTTGTATTACATCAACATCGATGGAGAACCTGTTTTCATAGAATAACTTGGCCAGATCACTTCGCATAGTCAAAATGTTCGTGGTAGATTTGAAACACGAAACATTCACTTTCTCCATATTTTGATCGTCCAGTATCAGGGCCTGAAAGTGCTCATATTCTGGTCCTGTATCGTCCTAGGCACTCGTGTCACGTATTAGTCAATTCGCCAAGAGGAAACTCCGGGAGACATGCCTCAGGAAACAATACTCCCATCGGCGGTACAATCCACAGGGAGATTACGTCGTCCGGGAGACCACTGATCATACAAGCTTGGTCTTGAATCCGATCCTTGTTGAAGTCTTTGACACTCGCAGTAGTCCATTTCTGACGGGATCCTCATGAGAATGAATGCGAACGAACCAAAGGAGTACCGTACCCGCCAATCACATGCAAGTTCATATTCTACGAGATTTAGCATGGACCTTGTCGTTCCGATGGGAAGCGGCAGGTAGCAGCTGCGTAGGCCTGACATAAACACGACTTAGTACATGCGCGGGCCACGAGACGCTTTCGTGCATACCTGGTAGAAATGCACCATAGACTCCTGGGTTGAGAAGAGCGCTGGACACACGGGGGAGAGGATCACCGTGACCTATCACCTTATACCGTAAGAACGACATTATTCTTGTAAGTGCTTCGATCTTAGCAGGATAAAGCAAGCATTGTGTAAAGTCGGCGGAATCGTAGCCAAGGCCTCTATTCCGGGCCTCAGTCATCCAGCGGTAAATAGTACTCAGTGTGATATTAGACTTCTGATGTAGGCGGATAGCTGAGGTACATAACGTGGATTAATGACTAGTTGCGATGCCTGGCATAAGGGACGTACTAAACATGATTTTGCCATTTCTAGGATCCCATATGACGACGTCAGGTTTCGGTATCCTGGCGTTCGGAGAGAAGACAACGATATTTCTAGGTTGGTCCATAGTTGCAGTAGCCAGTTGGTGAAACATGCTGCATGAACTCAGGCCGTAAATAAGCGCGTCCTATTGCCGCCGGTGTTTTCCTTTGGCAAACGTACCTTCGACAAGTACCGCATAGTGGCTGCCGGAATGTGATGCCTTGTATACACTTTAAAGTGTTCAGAAGCAGTGGTCTTAGCGCAACGGGCTTTCTTCATATCGCATCGTGACGCTCGCTCATGGAACAAGACATACGCGTCGCGGTGTACGGTATACCATTTCGAAGTAGATGTGCAATGTCTTTGCGTGTTGGCCGCAGCGTGCTATCGCCTTGCAGGTGAGCCCCAGGTTGTTCGCATGTTGTTCCTACATGCATCCTACATGCTGATATACCCTCCACGACCGACGCATATCACGAGCCGCATACAGTAAGTATAGCGTCACGGCCGGAGAACGCATTGCGCTCTGGTAAACAAAGGTGCCGCAGGTGTGAGCACCCGCTGCTGTTCATGCATGCATATCCAAGATCACTCTCCATCGCGACGAGTATTCTAGCGGGAATTGTGTTCAGCGCATCTTCTTCTCGCGTACTGTCTCTCTCAGACGTGAATAGTCTCTAAGTAACTGACCAGAATTACGGCTGGAAGGTAATGAAACACAGGTGTCAATCGCTTGTGACGGCTACAATGTGGCGATCAGGTTCCCGTGAATTGCGCATACATGCACGAAGCTCACGCCCTCCGCCCGGCTCCCACTAGCTTCGCGGACTATTGGTACAATGCACATGCTGCCGGGCCTGTTGCGCCTGGCTTACTCGCGATGTCGATGAGGTGCGGGTTATCTTTATATCAGCGTTGCCGAGTCCTGGGCCTGAGGGGCGACCTCGTCTTCTACTTCTGCACTCCTATTGTCCCTCGCTTTCAGTCTGTCGGTTTAAAGATGATAATCTGCATTCGCAATGAAGACGCGAGAAGACTACTGTACAAAGGGGCGGAAACCGGAGGTACGTGCAGCGATAGAGTACATATGACGACGACAATGCACTAGAAACAACAGGTCCGTGGCCGAAATCGAAACCCTGCACGACTAACAGGCCAGAAACAGCCTAGGCAGCAGATGTGTCGGAAGAAACAGAAGTAGAAGCGCGTTCGGCGTCGTTCTCCTCATCAAAGTCCCAAGCAGGAATAGTAGGGTCGGTGTCGTCTGCATCGACCTTGACGAACGGCGCCCCGGTGTTCGAAGGCTCCGTAGTGTCTGTCGCCTCGCTCGAGCCTCCCGCAAGAGCAGGATCGCCAGCGGCCGCTGCGTCTTGCGAGGCGGTATCTTGCGAGGCGGTTTCGGCCTTCAGGTCCCTTGAGACATCGTGCCACGACTCGGTCGAATCCGTGGACCCGGTGCTCCTGTGCTCGCTCGCCGCGACATCGTCTGATGGCTTGCCGGCGGCTGGCACATTATCGGGTGGAGGCGACTCAGGCTTGTTCTCGGGCGCCTTATTCTCGCTTTCCTGGCCATCCTGCTTCGCTTCATCTGCCGCCGCACCGCCACCGCCTGATGCTGCCTGAGATCCACCCTCGGGCATGCTATCGGAGGTGCTCCCAGGGCCCGGAATGGTGGACCCATTCGGATCAGCACGAGGATCGGCTGTTTCTGCTTGTTTGTCTGCTGCGTTCTCGCCGGTGCGACTTGTGGACTTGTCGAGGTCGTTCCCATCACTGTTCTCGCCTCCGATGGCGCCAGTGAGAGTCGCACTTGCCGTCCCCGGCACAACGACCGTGAGCTCCGGCTTACCGCCCGCACCTGCGTTCTTAGGCTGGGTGTTTTCCTCTGTGGCCTGTCCTGCCGACGTCGACGTGGTCGTGACAGCGTCCGCTCCCACAGCACCAGCCTGCACTTCCGCACCTTTCGTCTCATTATTCGCCGCACCTGCACTGCTATCGCCAGCCGAAGGAGCTCCGGAGGCCGAAGGCTGCCCCGTGGTCGGTTCGCCAACTTGAGGTGCCGTAAGAGAAACGTCAACCAGATCAGCGGCATCGGATTGCGAAACTACGGGAGTGTTCGCGCCAGTACTGGTACTATTGTCCATGTCATCTCCCACTTCTCCTGCTCCCGGCGTTGCTGCCGTTTTTGGAGTTCTTCTTGTCGTCGAGAGGAGTTCCTGGTCTAACCTCGCCTTCTCCTTTCTTATCATCTCCTTTTCCGCCTTCTCTCTCGCCTTTCTTTCCCTTGCCGTCTCCATCTTGCGCCGTACCTGAGGTGGCTCCGGCTCCCTTGACACCGTCTCCGCTTGTCGTTCCTGTGAGGGGGTTGGCGGTGGTGGTGTTTCCGACCGAGTTTGTGCCTGTGCCTTCGGCTTTGGCGTCTTTAGCACCGGCGCTGTTAGGGGTGTCACTTTTGCCAGATGCGACTGAGGCTCCTGTGGCTCCGGCGCCGATCCCTGCGTTTGAAATACAGAGATCAGTCGACTGTTGGGCTTGAGAGGGGAGAGAATGGGGGAGTATTGACCTGGAGACTTCACCGTCTCCTTTGATGGCGGCGCAGGCGCAACCGTAGTCGCAGACGCGTTCCCATTCGCCTCGGACGGTGCCACGGTCGAGGATGCGGCGGTGCTAAACGCGTTGTTGACTGCCGACCCGGCAGCGGCAACCGTGGGCGTCGGGCCGATCGAAATACGGCGGGGAGAAATGAGACCCGCAGGCTCGCGAGGCGTGAGCGACGGAGATGGCGGGCCGTCGGTAATTCCGAAGATCTCCTTGATGATAAAAGACATGTCTCCATCCTCGACGGACACGGTCGATGGGCTGAGGACGCCATTCGTCGGCGTACCACGAGACGTCTCACGGGCTGTTGCGAGAAGGAGCGCGGTCTCGAGTCCGAGCTGGCGACCCTCCTTGATCGTGAGGGGCTCTGGCCGTCGGCACATTGCGATATACGATGGAATAAGGAGCTTGCGGTCGAGCTCATACGTCTGGTACAGCTCGATCTTCTGGAGCGGCGCGATCGTGAACTTCTCGAGCTCGCGACAGCAAAGCTTCTTGACTTCGGGAAAGCGCCAGTCATATGAGAGCTTTAGGATGGTTGACCAGTCGTCGACGGTCGCGTCATATATTGAATATTTGCTGGACCCCAATGTGTGAGTTTGACTGAAGAGGGAGAGCAGGAGTAACTCACGGATTGTAGAACACCCAGAGAAGTCGTGAAAAGTCTTGAGCTTGAACATCCTCCAGCGGGAAGGGATGGGCGTCCGAGGAGCCCTTTGGGCTCTGCCCCGGCGGCGCCGCGATAGCCAGCTTTTCGCGGAACCATGCCGATTCCCGTTCAAAGAAATATCTGTGTACACGGAAAAGATAGTTCTCAACCTGGATCGTCGTGGTCAGCAGCGACGACAGCGAGATCAACGTGAAATCCGCATACGAGGAAATGAACGTCCCCGCCCGCCAAGTAGTATTTGGGGTGGCGCTTTACCCTCTCCACAAGCGTGTCGACTGCGAGAGCGTGAGGGTGTGCCATCGTGGATACAGATATTACAACAGGGTGGGGGTCGTGAGTCGTGACAGGCAAGGCCTGGGGAGAGATGTGAGTGGGAAACCGCCCTATAGACCGTCGGAGGGCGTGCTACACGTGCTGGCCTCATGTTGAGAGCAGAATAGGTGCGAATAATACGGCCTTCGCTTGCGATCAGACCCAGATCGTTCTGTTCCCCCTTACCGGCGTCTATCCACGTTGTACGTACAATATGGCGGCAATTACAAACGTTACAATCAACCATAGGACAATGATACGCATTCTATAGGCACACGTTGCTAGCACGTAAGAATGTCGACTGTGATTCAAATAAACCACGCTGATATCAATCACCGCGATACATACGAATACGACTGACACAATAAACTACAGCATCAGAGGATTCAGAGCCGACCACGGTAAATATCAAACGCGTCTTCATGACGTGTCGAGCCCGAAGGCATCCGCGACCAGTCGCGCTGTGCCAGACAGGCCTCCAGAAGTAGGCTTTCGGCTGAATTTTCGTGACGGCGCGCTCCCAGCGACAACAAGCGGACGGCCTGCTGGTGCGCTACCAGCACTGCGCCACCGCCGCGCCCGGTTAGTCTCTTGCGTCTCTTTGAACGGCGCGCGCTGTGGGTTTGCATGCGCGGGCGCCGGGTATGTCCCACGCTTCGCACGGAGCTGCTCGCGCAGCTGTGCCACGCGTGTCGTAGTCTCGAGCCCGAGGAGCGTCGCCTCGGCGAGCGTCAGCGCCTGCGTCCGCTCGCAGAGCGCAGTGTACGCCGCGAGCGTCCAGCGCCCGCAGATGTCGTACGCGCGTGCGAGCGCGACGCGCTCGACGGGCGCCAGGTCGAGGGTCTGCAGCTGGCAGACCGCGAGCGCGCGCACGTCCGCGAACTCCCAGCGCGTGGCGAGGTCGAGGATGGACGTCCACTCTTCGGCGCTTTGTGCGCGGTGTGCGCTGTATGTCCTGGCGGGAAGACCAGTGTGTCAGCACGGATGAGGAAGCGAGTGGGGTGGGCCAATGCCGGACGTACGGCGGGTATAGGACCCACAGGAGCCGCTCGAAGTCGATGCTCAGGATCCCGGCGAGGTACAGCGGATGCTCGTCGCTTGAGCCATCGTCAGCGCTGCCGGCTGGCTTAGGCAGCGTGAAGAGGTCCTTGAAAACAGGCGAGTGTCTGATGAACGTCGAGCGGAATACCCTGTAAAGGGTATTCTCGACCTACAACTCGGGTAAGCTACCGCCTGGGGCGCAATTTGTGAAGAGGTGCGCACCAGAAATACGAGGTTGCCATCCTCAAAGTAGAACTCGGAATGGTACATCGGGAGGACCGACGGTTCAACTGGAGTTGCAGTTCGCGAGGGCACAGCCATCTCGGATGCACAAGCGAGGGCGTTTGCAAAGACAAGACGTGTTTGCGGCTTTTAGCTACGATACAGATACGTGCTGGTGGATCAGACTTTCTTCACCTCATCACCTTCCTGCACATTGACCCCACAGCACGAGGGGAACAACAGGATGAGGCACACCCCTGATGCTCTGCTGCTCTGTTGAGTTACGATCTGCGAGGGTGCAAACGGTTATGAAGGCGGCGTTATATCAGAAAGAGAGACCAACCTCGACACCACGCACTCCGTCAAACTATTTTCAATTGAGAAACAGACCACTTCACGACGGCCCAATAGCCACGCCTTTCCTTCGTTTAGCAAACACGCTCTCGGACGTCTCAAAAGCGGGCCGTCCGAGGATCGCAAACATCACACGCCCCAACGATGCCCCAAAGCGCGCGCCCCCGCCCAGCAGTAGGTCAGCCCACAAACCTCCCACGAGCGTGACACCAGTCCTGTACGCCCCCTATGAGAAAGACGTCCAGCACAACGTCCTGAACGCCCTGCGCCCCGAACAGACACAGCGCCCACGCTCAGTGCCGCACCCACGAACACATCCACGTTCAGCGGTGCGTCCGACGCGCCCGCGTCGTCGCGGAAGAGCGTTACGCCCGACAAGTACACCATTGCGTGCGTGTAGTACCCCGCCCTGCCCGCAGCGCGTAGAACGCCTGCCCAGTCGCCGACATGAACGTCGGGTGCAGCGTCGACGCGCGCACGATCGACTCCTCTTGCGTCGGCCCCGCGAACTTGGATCCCCGTCGGGGTGCGTGGCGAATGCGAAGTTGAACACGCCGATGCGTCGCGTGGGGGGTGCTGCGCCGCGTGGTCAATAGCTGGGCCCCCTCCAGTGCGGACACCTCGAGGATAGAGGTGTCAGCGCGTATGCTCCGGCCGGGGGAGGCATGGACGCCCACCCAGAAAGCAGGGGCGAGTATACATCACAGTCTGCTTTGGGAGTGCAACTCTCGTGCTCAAGTAGTGCTTGGTGCTGTCCAAGACATAGTTTACCTGCCCTGAGGGCCCCGAGTGTTTCTGTGCTGAGACGTTACCGCTCGTAATAGGCTTCAGGAACGTCGCTCTGGTCTTCACAGCCCACTATGCCCGTCTTCCCCCTTCACATTGGAAAAATGGCCGCCACATGCTTCTGGCCGGGGTCGCAGCGTAGATGACATGTACAGATAGTGTGTAGAGCTTCGTACCATGGTCTGCATTGTAGATACAATCATTTTGATCACTACGTCAGTCTTGTGGGCCCTGTCATTGAACAGCCACCGAACAGCTGGGAGTCACTGTATCAAGCCTGTTCATTTCAAGTATACTCAAATCGGGCTTACCCAGATTGACCATTCGCGACAGGAGAATGTCCTGCAGCGAGTGGAAGGTCAGACGTTGGCGACCGAGAGTACGGTGTTCACTTGTGATGGCAGACCATTGTTCGCAGGAGTTTATTCAGAGTCAGAAGCGTTCTCTCAGTCGGTCGTTATAGCTTGGCCGTATCCATACTGCACGAGTCACACGATCCTGAAGAAAGTAAAGTGATTGCCAGAATGTCGTCGGTTTATCCAATGTCCATCTCGTTCGGGCGCTCACAGAAAGTCGGTTGCCGCAATTGGAAGGTCTTGTAGTTCATTCGGATTCGACCCCAAGGCACCTCAAATACAGACCGCCGGCTAGTAATTGGTGATTGGGATATATGCTACGTAGCATCACAATACGTGGAGGTAATAGTAGTATGTCGAAATCATTGGCATAATGGCCGACGAAATATTTTGTGTTTCGTGTGTCAGCAGGTCATTCATACCCTTGGTCGCGCAGGAAGGAGATGAAGCCGCTGCCACTCAGGACGCCTTTGAAGTCCTGAGATGGCGGCGTACGTGTTTAACGTTCGAAAGCGGATTCCCGATGACTCGTTTCTGAGTAACCATGATGTCAAAATTATCAAGAACGGGAAAGATCAGCGCCCTTACAGGTGTTCAGTTCACAATGCTGGAGATGTTATGGGATCACAAGAGCACCATGTTCTCGTGAGACTAATAAACTGTCCTCTGGACGAGGCGCCTCCGAAATCTTCCTTGAGCGGTCGGATCCAGGGCTGGTCGCAGTCCAACAGTTGTGGAGAGATCAAGAATAGACCCCCAACTCTCAGACGTCTGTTCGTCGTGGTGGGCGCAGATCTTGGGCGGCGCTCAGTGTCATTTATATGCGACTGGGAAGCGAGCATACTGTGATGAGCAACGTACGGGACACAGCAGCAGGACCTGTTAGGGGCCGATATCCAAAATCCTAGCAACACATAGTGCATCGTCACTGGAGTGCCCGTAAGGTTGACGAGCTCATGAGGCTTGGACAGCCTGTCCACACACAGATGATGGCCAAGCAGGAGGCCTCGTAGAGAGTTCCCTTGATCTATTACTTGCCAACAAACGAATGGTCATATCCGTTGTGAGTTGCTCCAAGACCAATACCCTTTTCGTTGGTAAGCGCAAGTGGACAGCGGCCTATTGATAAAGTCACATCGATATGCATAAACCTACATTACACAAATGGAACAACAGGCGATAGAATACCCATGACACTATAAGTACAGCCGATCTCGCGAGCGGCCGGGAACTACAGACCACACCGATGAAAAGAGTTAGCAGCAAAATTATAGTGCATATATGAGACGAAAGACTAACCTCGAATGAACATCCTTCGTCAAGTAACATCCTATGCTAGCTCCGGGACACCAGATCCATCATGATGACGTCCGGCCGGCAGCCACAGGACCCGTCCGCCGTTCGGCAAACACCCTCTCAAACGTCTCGAAAGTGGGCCGCCCAAGGATCGCAAACACCACGCGCTCGAACGACGCCCCAAACCGCGCGCCCTCGCCCAGCAGCAAATCCGCCCATATGCCCGCCACCAGGCCAACGTCGTTGCGGAACACCCCGGTCCCGAAGCTGCCCAGCACGACGTCCCGCACACCCTGCACCTCGAACAGGCACAGCACGCGCGCCATCCGCTCGCGCATCACGCCCGCGATCCTCTCCTCCACCGCCCCGCCGTCGTCTGCGCCCACCAGCCGGGCGGGCAGGCGCTGCCGCACGACGCCCGCGTTCACCGCCGCGCTCGTGAGCACATCCACGTCCAGCGGCGCGGCCCACCCGCCCGCGTCGTCGCGGAAGAGCGTCACGCCCGGCGAGTACACCATCGCGTGCGTGTAGTACCCGCCGCGCCCGCCGGCGAGGTGCAGGGCGTAGAACGTCTGCGCGAGCGGCGTGACCAGCGTCGGGTATAGCGTCGACGCGCGCGCGATCGACTCCTCCTGCGCCTGCGCGCCGTTCTTGAAGCCGCCCCCCGGCTTCGTGGCGGATGCGAAGTTGAGGATGCCGACGCGCCGCGCGGGGTCGCTGCGCTGCGCGGACAGCAGGCGAGCCCCCTCCAGCGTGGACACCTCGAGGACGGAGATCTCCGCAGGCGTGGTGCGGCCGGGGGGACGCATGGTCGACCATCCGGAGAGCAGGGAATCTGGGGAGTAATACTTGACGTTCCTCCTGGAGAGCGCGACGCCGGCGCTCAGGTCGTGCTGCGTGCCGTCCAGGACATAGTGACCTCTCTCTATGGCATCCAGTGTCTCCTCTGCCATGATGCGCAGCCGTTCGCGGCGCACATCATGTGCATCGCTTTCGCGTTTCTATTCCATGAGATGTTATTCATCCGCTTCACGGTAAAGGTGGATGTCCGTTGCTGTACGAACCTGTCTTTGCGGGGCTACGGGCATTCTGGCCAACGATCGCTTACCGACTCGCGGTCCAAGATACTTGAATACGGCCTCCAACGTGGAGACCCGATTGCGTGCAAGCCGACGATGTCCTCCTGAGACTCTTGTGTATGCTATCGGCCTTGGGGCCATTGAACATGAGACTCGCAAAAGACGAGACATGACTCGCACCTTGTCTAAGTTCCGGCCTCCTCAAAGGCTCCTGTCTTGCCTCAGATGAGGAGCAAACTGGACTTTCTCCCGAGTAAGGTAGATTGAAAGCACCGGCTCACGCGTCAGTGTGCTTTAACACGGTGGTGGCGCGCAGCCATAACTGTAGCATCAAACTGTCGAGACCGAACACAATACGCCGTGCTGAGGCGCATTTTAGACCTGAATGACGAGGAGAAGTTCAAGACAACGAAAGTTGGAGCCTGTTAATACCTGAAAGCAAACTCTACAAGGGCCTGCAAGACCGACAGAGTTATTACTTGGCAAGCGCTCGCTCATCCGGTGCCAGCTTGCTCGACGTAAACGGCGCCATACGCATTCCAAGCCGACCCAGGCAGAGCTCAAAAAACCTCGGATAATATAACGATGTATGCGGCTACCTTAGCCACTAGACTATTACAAATTGTACACTACGCAATCTTCGTCTGGGCGTATTTTGCATAAGAGATTGTCCAGCTGTACGTACCGAGATGCCTGCGGTCGAGCGTGTACACGGAACTAGAATCGGGGGCTCGTACAAGTCGATGGGCGGGAGGCGAGACGTGAGCGAACAAAAGAGAGTAACAGGTGGTGTGGCGATACAAGAGGCCACCGGCGCGCAGGGCCGGTTCATGAGGGTCTATGTTGGCATGATGAGTAGATGAGTAGACGGAGAGGCAACGAGCGGTGAGGTGCAGCGGGGATAAGCTACATGGCGGAATGGTAGGACGAGGGTGGGTTGTTACAAGTTACACTTGGATGGGTTGAGAGGGTGTGGAGACAGTGCAGGGTCGCGGCAGCGCCGCGTCTCATCGCACAGTCGCCGTCCAGCCCCTGAACATCGTCAGCACGCTCAGCGGCCCGCGCTTGTTCTTTCGCACTCCGGTGTCGTCCACCCACCGCGGGAAGCAGTGGACGGAGCACGTCGGGTCTGGTAGGGCCCGAGAGAATATGTAAGGGTGTCCGTCCGCGTCGAGCGAGTATGGGTACGCGAACACCGTATTCTTCGCGTTCTCGGAGAGGAGCGGCTATCAGGAACGAGGTGTAAGATGTCGGCAATAGACCACAGTAGGGGTAAACTCACATAACCAAAATGCTCCCCGGTCACCTGTACGTGGTTCGTATCCGCATCCGCATGTGCAGGATGGTCGCCAGCTTCCTCCTCCATAATCTCATCCCAGCTTGGTAGCATGAATGCGCCCGTCCTTAGACGCGGAGAACCAAGGGCGACCTCCTGTTCAAGGTTGGGGTCTAAGATTGGTTCCGCCCCAAATGGCGCTCCAAAGTCCTGCATAGGCGGACTGCCTGGCTCCGACAACGACGACACCGACAGCGGACTGTGCACCCGTGTCGGCGACAAACCCGGAGTCTCCGGCTGCGGAGGGGGGGATACGGGCAGAGGAGGGAGCGCACGCAGCGAGTAGAACCGCATGGGTGTCGAGAGATCCACCGCGCCATCTTGCGTTACAGCATCAGATGTAGCTTGTGCCAATGCGCGCTCATGATCCGTCTCGACGGAAAGAAGGGTCCTATCAAACGCCTTCCCCGCGCGCGGCCTCGCATATGAAATAGACGCGAACGACGTCGGGCTCGCAATGCGGCTAAGAGGCATGTCGTCCGAACCGGCGTCGCATATGGAAGCCGCATAGCACACGTCCGCAAACGAGTCCGCCGGCGACGTCAGGAGCAAGTCGTCCAGGGCGTCCAAGCACGAATGGTCGAAGTTCGGGACAAATGGCGAGAGACTTCGTGCGATGCTGAGCCTCAGCGTGAGTCGTGAATGCACAGCGGTGTCCGTTTCCTCATGCTCCGTTGACACGGCGCCAAGCATGGATTCTTCGTCTTCAGCAGGAAGTGTGTCTGAGTCGGACCGATACGATGGCGACGGCGACGGAGTACGCCCCGCTTCGCGAGTGGAGTCCACGTCAGGTATGGTGGGGAGCGACACCTGGTGTAAATGCATGGGCGGTAGAGCCTCCACCGAAGTGTATGGGGGAGAGGACGGCAAGGCATGGTCATATGCAGGCAAGCCAGGATCGTCGTCGCAGTCTTCATCTTGATCCAATTCCAAAATGGAGGTCGCTGCGCAATAGTCGTAATCGTCAGGAAAGGGAGACTGAGACATTCGGGCAAGCTGTCAGAGATGCATCAGATGGTATCCAGGGATGAGTCGTTTCATATGACATACGTCGTGGGCCATAGGATGCGGGGAGAGCAGAGCTGCAGGAGTATGACCGTTCATCGTAAACCGGTCCTCGTGGTTGAATGGACTGAGGTGCACCAGTTCGTACAGGGGAGGGAATGAGCGATATGAAACAGCGTCTACGTCCTCCTGATCCTGATGAAGATCCAAGATAGATTCCGCCACATCAAGGGCTAGAGATGTACTGAAGGGAGCGGCGGTGGTCTGGCGAGACATCGCGCACTGCGAATTGGGCAGACGCGTCGTGGAGGAAGGAAGCGAAGAGGGTCCTAAATGCCTATCCCGACTACGATGATAACGCCGCGGGCGCGAGGGCTGAGGCAGATGGCACTGCACTAACCTAGCGAAAAAACTAATATAGGCTGAGATGGGCGGTTGAAGGCACTGCCTGCGCGCGGGTCGAGTCGGACAATCCGTGGATACAGATACCTGGAAGCAACCACCGCAAGGATAGGGAGGATACAAAGCAAGTGTGGTCGAAAGAACCGGTCAGCGGTCGCCTGAAGATATGGGCGACGAGGAGAGGGCCATGCCAAGGGCCTCTTTTGTGAACGATCTAATTGTCAAATGTACTAGCTCGATAACAGGCGCTAGGTCGGCGCACGTGCTGGGCAGCGATCTCGGACCGGCGACACGGGTCTCGTGATCGCGTTGAATGACGCGCCGCGTCGCGTTCGGCTTGACTGACAAAAGGACATCTAAACGCTCACGTACTGCCATGGCAACGCTACCGTCCAACAGTGTACGAAAGCCAAGAACCCAGATGCTTGAAGAACGAGAGCAGACTCTGGCCTTGACTTGATCAAGCATGAGCTTGACAGGTAGTGTGCACGAAGACAAACATTACAAATGGCATCAAAGAGCCATATTTGGAAGGCATCCCACCCTTCCTAAGCGTACAGGTGTATGAGGACATCTGACATCCTTGCTCAAACTAGCTATCTCAGTAAATGGACTGTCATTCGCCACTCGTGTCCATCTTATGGTGTTTATCTGCTTTGTCCGCGCTGTGCACCATAGTACTAAGAGCGCACGCATTCGACGACTGGCAAGAGTGAGCCCGTAGTGTGGCGCATATACTTGCCTCGAACGACTCGTTCCTGCCCGAAACTTCCCCGATACAATTTACAGCGGTGCCTAAGCTAAAGATTATGATAGCTTACTTCTCAGAGGTACGTGATGTTGAAGCTGCCTTGAATGCAGTCATTCTACCGGACATTGGTTGCCTTCCGTGACCACGATGTGTATGCGTGCATTCGTGATCAAGCGAGTCGACATCTTCCTAGTAGCGAGCACCGCAAGAATATCCATATACCGGGCCTTCCGCTCTGCTCAGCGTATATATGCACCCAAGTACCATATTGAAGCCTCCGGCCACATGTAGTGACATCTCCTATTTTATGCTGTTTATGCGATTGTCCCGCTTACGCGTTCCTATTGCAATGAGCGACATTTCCATTGTAGACATTCCCAACCGAGCATTGACATCAGTATGGGCTACCGCGTAACCTGGCGATATCATCCAATATAATGGAAACACCCCTACGCTTTCAACTTGTTCCACTAAGCACGTTTCCTATCCTGGTATGTGGCTTTCCTGATTGAGCGGGTGCTTCCCCGCGACCGGTCTTCGGCCTTGGTATTTTGCATGGCTCCTATGTTCTCGCGTTCACCTCAGACTTGTACGAACGTACCTTCTTTCGGAGCGTTCCCCAAGAGGTTGTTCATAGTCGCTCTACCTCGCATAGCAAGCGACCTACAGCGTCTTACGACACCGACACTGCGCGAGAACTGGTGGAGCCGCGGTCAGTGGTTCGTACACAACCCTCACCGAGTCTTTTGAACATTCAGACGGCGTTTGCGTCATAGTGCAGCTGAGCAATGACTCACATGAACGATCAAGAATTGTCCCCCAATCGCGCGACGTGCGGCTTCTATTGTGTCTGGAGCGTCGCGGGGTCGCATCACGGAACAAATCGACTGTCGAAGATCGCTGTATGGTGGACGAAGCGTGCCGGGTTCTTGGATAGCCGGTGCGACGACTGGCGATATGTGCAGCCGAGACATGGACCGACCGCCTGACCGCCCCGCAGCCACGAAAGGCGGGGTCAGAGCGGGGCAGGCCGGGGCTGGGCGCGGAGAGGGATGCGGAGAAGGAGGGCAGGGCGGAAGAGGGGCCAGTGTGCGCGGGGCCAGAGCGGCTCAGCCTGCGGCCGATTCGGACGTCGATCGGAGACCATCCTCCCTGCGGCACTTTCACATGTTTATCCCCGCATCCTGCGCCTCCTCCCCATGATCATTCTTGCGCGGCGCACCAGCTCTATAAGCCCCTCGCCGACACGCGGGAGCGCACGATGAGGCTGCCACTCTGCCCATATTTCCCAGACGCCGTTGCTGTGCAGCCCCTGGCGGTGCGACCTATTTAGACGACGGTATGATAGATCGCTTGTCCTAGCGCAACGTACGACGCTCAGCATGCGCCTGTGCTAGATTCCACAAGTCCCGATTGGCTTGGCCCCATAACGTCGGCGTGCGCCTTGGCGAGATTCCAGAATGTCGCGCAACGGAGACAAGAAGCCCGTCGGCTTCGCGACTCAACTGACCGCGGGTGGTATTGCTGGCGCAATGGAGGCGGTAAGTACACCATCGTATCGTAAACGCACGGATGACCAACTCACGCTATCCAGCTATGCTGCCAACCGCTTGACACCATCAAAGTCCGTATGCAGTTGTCAAGATCGGGCAGGGCTCCCGGGGTACGCGCACCGTTATGTCTGCACCACACGCCGCTGATCTAGATGGCCACGAAATCAGACAAAGGCCAGAGGATTCATCGCCACGGGCGCCTTGATTGTCCAGAGGGAGACCCCGCTTGCCCTGTACAAGGGGCTCGGTGCCGTCCTCTCGGGCATCGTGCCCAAGATGGCCATCCGCTTCGCGAGCTTCGAGACATACAAGGGCTGGCTGGCGGACAAGGAGACGGGCAAGACGAACGTCGGGAGCATCTTCATAGGTGCGTCGCCCCTCCCGCATCGATAGCGCAGCCTCCAGGACCGACCCACGTTGGCTGGCAGCCGGATTGGGCGCGGGGACGACGGAAGCCGTGTTCGTCGTGACGCCCATGGAAGTCGTCAAGATCCGGCTGCAGGCGCAGCAGCACTCGCTCGCGGACCCGCTCGAGACGCCGCAATACCGCAACGCGGGCCACGCCGTCTACAAAATCGTCCGCGAAGAGGGCGCGGGGGCGCTCTACCGCGGCGTCACCCTGACCGCGCTCCGGCAGGCGACCAATCAAGGTGCGCGCCCTCGCTAGCTAGCCGAGTGCAGGCTGCTGACGGGCCCCGCGGCAGGCGCGAACTTCACCGCATATCAGGAACTCAAGAAGCTCGCACACAGCCTGCAGCCAGAGCTGGCGGACCTTCCGTCCTATCAGCACATGGCCATCGGCCTCGTTTCTGGCGCGATGGGGCCCTTCTCGAACGCGCCCATCGACACGATCAAGACCCGTACGTACTCGCTAGCTATCCTGCATCCTGTATCCTGTATCCTGTCGGGGCCCCACACGCGGACGCACGTTGCTCACCCTTGATTTGCAGGGCTGCAGAAGGCGACCGCCGCGCCGGGCACCACAGCGTGGCAGCGGATCGCCGCGATCGCGGGCGAGATGTGGCGCGAAGAGGGCTTCCGCTCGTTCTACAAGGGCATCACGCCGCGTGTGCTCCGCGTCGCGCCCGGGCAGGCGATCGTGTTCGCGGTGTACGAGCGCGTGCGGAGGACTATGGAGACGATGAAGGGGTCGTCGGAGGACAAGGCTTTCAGCGAGTAACGCTTTCTGGTACCATACTATTTATTGGACGTTCTGGCTACGTGGTTGGCAGTATTGCTATGATACATTGAGGCACCGGGGATCACGAAAGCAAATCCATATATGAATATGTCGGCTCGGGATACCTTGAAACAAGCTTTGCAGGCGAGATTGCGCATTGCCACTCGCGAGTCGATCGCGGCCTCTTCAGAGGGTGATCGTCACCATAGCCGGTGAAGTGTCAGCTTGTCTGCACCCCGGGAAGATTCTTAGGTTCAGTGTTCACGAAAGCAAACAACAATCATCTCAGATGTGGTCTGAAGCAACAGGCTGCATCATTTTGGCAGGCTCGCACCTTGGTGTAAGTTTCGGCCTTCGCACTGTTACATAAAGGAACACCGAACACGAGGGAGACTTGCCCATAAACATGGCAATGCCTTGCCAAAAGTGGACATGTCTGTGTCAATCCCCAGGGGTCGAGTCAAAGGGTCTCTGGAATGGGGCTATGTTGCAACACTACATATTCAGGATTCACATATATGATTTCTTCATATACTCTACCCTCTGCTGTGCCAGCAAGGAATGTGAGATGGCTAGAACACACAACACTCATGGCAGCCTGAAATGCTACCTGCATGTTCCCGATCGGACAGGCGCAAGAACTGGCGCCCGGCTACGTCTCAGCCTGGAGGGCGAGTTGCTTCGTCGAGGTGAGCGACTGCGCCGTATGCCACATATATTCCCATCTACGTACTGCAGCGGCATCTACCTGGACTACGCTGAAACACATTGGTTACGATGTCTAATCACATTCTCTGCCAGAGTTTCTCGCTGTTAATCCCACTCTGAGCCGCACCCAGCTCGACAAGCTATACGAACAAATCGTCACATTGCCGGGGTGCGAGTGGTATACGCGCAAGCATCACTCCAACTGGTATGGAGGAAATGTCAGGCGCAACAACAGCCGCTACACTCATATCAAGGCAAATGGTAAGAATATGACTCGATATTCATTAGGATGTGATTATGACCGAAGACCTGTAGCAGTGAAGCTGCATCTGTTGCGAAATTTGCTGCAGCAGAATGGTAATCCTAGCGCCTCGACAATTGTCGAATGGGCTACTGCTCTTGGGGAAGACCCCCTCACGGTATTCCACTGTGTTCTCGCTGAGCTTGCAACAGGTTTCATGGTAGTTACATGACTCGGAACTGCCTGAATCAGACATACTATACATACAACACATCCCTCCTTGTGAAACACCATCAAGAATAGATACATACATGGTATATATGATGATGAGCATACACTATGCTGCATAGTCGAAGTCCGGGAACTGGTCCCCATAGGGATCGGGTGCAGAAGCACCATACAGACGCGCAGCGTCGATCTCGGGGTAGCTTTCGAACCTGAACAGCAGCAACATCGGTCAGTGCGAGTCCCTCGACGTCAACACAAAGCAAACGACACCCACGCGCTGGCGTCGCCGTCGCCGGCGATCTTGGGCATGTACGGCGCCTGGATCTCGCGGTTGCGCAGTCGCTCCCAGTCGACCTCGCGGAACCATGGGTGCGCAAACACGTCGCCTGCGCCGTGGTGCAGGTTGCCGTAGCGCTTCGACGGGTCGCGCTCCATGAACTTCATGATCAAGTCCGTCGCGCTCGGGCTGATGTTCGGCCATTTGATGCATGCGGGGCCCTGCGCAATCTTTTCGTACAGCCGCACTGGCGTGATGTCGGGCTCGTGGAAGGGCGGCAGGCCTGAGAGCATCTCGTAAATGAGCACTCCGAGGGCGTACCAGTCGACGGATTTGTTGTATCGCATGTGGCCAATGATCTGGTTGAGAACGTGAATGAATGGACACGAAAGAGTATCGACCGGAGGCATACCTCAGGCGCCAGATAGTCCGGAGTACCGCAGAGGGTCCAGACAGTCGTGTTGCAGTACTTGGCGAAGCCGAAATCTGCAATTTTGATATGGCCATCGAAGTTAAGAAGGATATTCTCCGGCTTCAGGTCGCGATAAATGATGTCGAGCGAATGAAGATAGTTCAGCGCGAGAGCGACCTCCGCTGCGTAGAATTTTGCTACAGGGTCCGGGAATCTCTGCGTGCACGTTACGGCGAGCGGACGACACACAAAAAACGCGACTTACGTTAGATCTCCGGAGTAGTGTGAAAAGCTCGCCACCGGGGACAAAGTCCATGACCATGTAGAGGTTCGCGCTATCCTGGAACGTACCCCAGAGGTTGATGATGAATGGATGTTGCACTGCCTGCAGCATCATCTGTTCGTTGCGCGTGTGCGAGACCTGTTTTGTCCGCACAATCTTTTCTTTGCTGAGCACTTTGATGGCATAGAAGCGCAGGTTGACTTTGCTCCGAACTACGAAAATGAGCAGTTTAGTTTCGGGTATTTATCCAGGCAGTGACAGTGACAGTCCAGGCAGTGTCTCCGCACAACTCAGAGAAGCTCGACGCCTATTCAGTGTGCAGGCACGACTGCGGCCGGGCGCGCTTACAATTCGCAGCCCCCTCCTCATTACGCTCGAGGATCCCTTGAGCGAAAGATACTCTGAGGTCTTGCTCGCGCATGTTTGGTGTAGATGGGGGCTTCACTACACACATCATCAATGCGACTGCACACCACGTTTAGACGGAGGTGGAGGAGCCGCCATCCAAACTGTGACGGCTAGAGTTCACCTACAGGTACTGCGTTGCCTGCCAAGTGACCATGATAGTAACACTTAGTAATATTATACCAAAGCGAGGTCGTTTCATGCCGTCATTGAGCGTGCACCCCATCCGTCATACGCTTGATTAGAATTGTGATGCATCAATGACGGCCGTATCGGAACTCGGGAAGGCTATCGAGACGGGCCGTGTCACGCGGGACAGACCGCCCTTCACGTACTGCGCTCGAGGGATGGTAAGATGTGGTACAAAAATGGCAGGAACATTGTTCTGTGGTTTACGGCATGTAATCTGATTACTCGTCTTTGACCTCTGTATCGCCCCCAGGTGAAGGGTAAGAGACAGGTGGTCCGTTCCCGCATACCAGTCCTCGCGTCCCACAGAGATACTGACAGAGTATATCTCGAGAGGGGAACTTCGTTCGTAAGAAGTTCGAATTCGCACCATGAAGGACTCATAGCCTTCAGAACGATATGCTACCAATGTGGCGCGAAAGCCTATCCAGGGCGGGGTACTCACCCAAGTGGACGCGTCCAAAGCTTCCCGTCCCTAGCGTGCGCTGGATGAAGAAATCGCTTAGGCGGTACGAGCCTTTCGGTTTCTGATTTTGTAGGTGAAGGGGGAGCTCGATTAGTCCATCGTCGCGTTTGTCCGAATCTTGGCCCTCGGCTTTCCGACTCCATGCGCTCGCGGAGGTGCGCTCGGTGGACAACGATCCGCGGTGTTCCTGTGAGATGGCGGACAGAGAGTTGGAGGAGAACGAAGACGATGGTGAAGAATGCGCGGCAGCCTTGTTGGGCCCGCGATGCCCCAACTTGTCTGTCATGCGTTTGAACATGGAGGCAGTGGGAGAGAGGGAATGAGCGTCAGCGGACGGAGATGGGTCGGTACTGCCTGTCGATGTTGTTCCACTGCCATTGTTCTACATCTGGGCCATGTGGGAATTGACAAGTATGGTCGGAAGCCCTGTCAGGGGTCCTGCAGAACGGGGATATCTGGCACTTTGACTACATCGACGAGCACTGGACCGTAGACTCGAGCAGAAGGGAGCGGGCGGCGGGAAGAGGCTGCATTCACAGTGGGGGGCGTTTATGTAGCCAGTGAGTGCATCTTGGTAAGACAATGCGGTGAAACGTGGGGGTCGCGAGGTGACTATCACTGGGATCCAGACAAAAGGTGCTGCATGCTAAGTCAGATATGCGAGACCTCAGGGCAACATACAAAAGATTTGTTGAGGCGTTTGGGGCAAAAAGAGAACCGTGGCCAGACTCAAAAGTTAGGAGTGACTGAGGAGTCGAGAGGAGGCGCGTCAAGCACGTGACCGACGCGTCTACGGACCCCGCGCTACCCCGCGCCTCTTGGGCCGCCACGACCTCACTTGCACCGAGCCGGTATGACCGCAGATGTTGGTCGCTGGCAATCTGTTCTTTGCCTGATTTTCTTTGTACTATCAAGTAAGTGAGACTAAGTCCCATCATTTTCAGAGACTGCATTGAATGTGCACAGATGCTGCAGTTATAATTCCATCATATATACAAATACCTCTCCCTGTGCTTTCGACATTACAAAAGCTCCTGGTACTTCTGCATGTCACCAATTCATCACCCGACCCTGTGAGGAAGACCTATCTACATCTGAATTTCATCACCGTTCCTCTTCTGTCCGTGTTAATACTACTTGCTACTGGTGCGATAAATGGCACTGTTATACGCGATGGTATAGTAGGTGCAAATGGTGTCAAACCTCTTGATATCATGGCCCTTTTCATTTCCTTGGTATGTGAGACCAACGGTTTAATCATTGTGTCCCGAGCATCAATGCGTTGCATATAACAGGCGTATCTGTCAATATCTTTGGATGCTACAGGCCTTTTGAGATTTCTTGCATTCAAGGTTGTCCAGAAAGGGGGCTCCTCCGGACGCAAGCTTTACGCGTACCTGTACATCTTCTTTCTCATCTGCGGTGCCATCGTCGGTAATGTGTGTGCGAGCACCCTCAATAAAAACAGGACCTGATATATGCGCATCTTCAAGGATCCAGTGATACTGTCTGGTACTGCTTTCCTTGCATATATGACCAGAGTATCGGGGTGCGCGACCATCGTGGCTGTTTTGTTTTCGATTGTTGACCAGGTCTCTCAGTATTTCGAACCCCACAGCTTGGATATTCGCTCAGTTCGCAGCCGCAAACATGGGTGCGTACTCAGGTTCAATATCTCTCGCCACACATTGATGTGCCCCCTTTACCTCCAGCATCCGTCGTCCTCGTCTCTTCTAACCCGACCAATCTCGTCCTCTCCGGCGCCTTCGCCCTCTCCTTCACTACCTACACCGCACACAGCATCCTCCCCTTCCTCGGCGCCGCGGCGCTCGTTTATCCAGTGCTCGTGTTCCTCTTTCGCTCTACAGATCTCGTCCCGCGAGCCATTGATGTCGACGCTGACAATGATGTCGGTGCGGCGCTTGTGGACAAACAAGGTGCAGTTGTGGGCAGCGCACTCCTACTGGTCACGCTGGGTGTCCTAGTGGGCACGAGCACGATCGGGGTGCCTGTCTGGGAGGTCACCGTCCCTCCCGCAGTCCTCATGCTGTTAAGAGATATCCATCACGACTGGTCTCGAGGACGGACTGTCGTGGCGTCGCGTCGAAGATCCGTCCCACCCGACTCCGCGTCCAATGACGCAACATCTGTCAGAAACCAGCTTGAACTACGAGAAATCCCCTCTCAGCCGTCCATGCCAGAGCCGTGCCGCTCGCCAGCACAGTCAATAACGCTCCAGGCCGTCTTCGACCGCAGCCGCACCCGGCTCTCGTCCTCTTTTCCAACCGTCGCCGCGATCGCACAGCGCCTGCCCATCCCGCTGCTCCCGTTCGCCTTCCTCATGTTCATCCTCGTCCAAGGTCTGTCCGCACACGGCTGGGTTGAGGTCCTCGCAAGTTGGTGGGGCGCGTGGGCTCGTAAGACCGGCGTGATGGGCGCCATCGGCGGCATGGGTTTTGTCGCATGCATGTTCTGTAACGTGAGTGTTCGTGTTCCTCAAACCAGTGCGGCACTCCACACGTGCGATGACTATGGTTCCGCGGCAGGTATGCGGCACGAACATCGGCGCGACGATCCTCCTGGCACGGGTCTTGCAGGTCTGGATCGTCAGCCAACCCGGGCTTGATCGCCGTGCCCGCGAAGGCGCGATATATGCGCTCGCTCTCGGATCGAACTACGGGGCGTTTACGCTGACCTTCTCCGCGTCGCTCGCGGGCCTTCTCTGGCGCAGCATCCTGCAGCAAAAGGGCATTCGAGTGCGACCGCGTCAATTCCTCATGCTAAACTTACCGATCGCAATCACTGCCATGACTGCCTCGTCCGCCGTCCTCCTGGCACAGGTCTATGTCACGCGGGGCAGGTAATGAGTGGATTGCAACGACGGCATGGGTACAACAATATTGCACTACAACGGTACTGAACGGGCATACAAATAGGTTACAGGCGCCAATCACTGAAAAAGTCCATGTCTGATCGCACGACGGATAGCATGTAGTCGACTGTCGTGCCGCCTTCCTCCTCTTCCTCGTCTTCCTCGTCCGCGGCATGCTGCTCAGCGTCATTGTGCAGTGCCACATCTCCGATTTGCGCTGTTGGCTGGTCGGTAGACGTTATCGTTTGATTCGTTACGTTATTCCCCGCGCTCTCAGCACCCCCTTCCCAGCTGAAATCCGCTTCATCCGCACCAACTAATGCAACCTCCTCGCTAGCAGCAACGGCTGCAGCGTGCGCGTCTTCAGAGTCCTCAAACTCTCCTAGCGCCTTCGTCAATGCAGTCTCGTCGGAGAATAAACTCCGCCAATCAAACTCGCCCTGTTGGATGACGATGTTGTCCAACGACCGTTTTTGATTAGCCTTACGGAGTAAGGCTTCCTCGACAGTGTGCTCGGAAATGAATCGATATATGTGGACATCGCGAATCTGACCAATTCGGTGCGCTCTGGGAAACCATTAGATGTACATTTTCAAATCATGTATAAATATCTTACCGGTCTTCGCACTGTCGGTCCATCTGTGGGTTGAAGTCACTGTCATAGAATATGACGGTATCGGCTCCTGTCAGACTGGCATCTCGCGTTAGCTTGCTCGTGGGGATGAACACGATTATTTATTGTACGTACTTGATGCCGACTCCTCCGGATCGCGAGGAAGAAATGAAACAAAATATCCTAGAGTCGGAATTGAAGCGCTCCGTAATGTATTGACGATCTTCTATCTTGGTTGCGCCATCCAGCCGCAAATAAAGGTAGCCGTGCAAGTTGAGGAATATTTCGAGGATATCAAGAATCTTCGTCATTTGCGTGAAGATCAGGATGCGATGTCCACCTGCCTTCCGCTCTCGCAGAAGACGTGCAAGCTCTTGTAGCTTGCCACAGTCGTATTGCAAGAGGGAAGGATCAGGAAAGGCTATTTGCAGCTTGACGCTAGCGCGATGGAGGACTGTGTCGAGTTGTAGGTCGCTTCGTCTCGAGAGTATAGTCTCGTCAAAGCCGGAAAGCGCAATGGACGGCATATCTCGGGCGACGACTACGGGCGTCGCGAATGCAAATTTATCGATGACCTCCGCCATGTCTTCCACCCGTTTCGCGTATGACCTGACTGTGGTTTGAGCAAGGGTAGGCATGCTCCACGACGTCGCGGGCAGCTCGTCCAGAGGTCGTAGAGGCTCGTATAAACTACGTGCGATGGCGATGATCTCCTCGCTATACAGTGGTAAGCGAGAGCATCGTAGTCTATTGACATAGCCAATATGCATCCATTTAGCAATGGTTGCAGCTTTCTGCTGCCAAGTCCTATAGCGCCGATAGCCTTCGACTGTCCGCACGTCGTGCGGGGGCGGCTCTCCTGGTAGCTCGGTGATCATAGGCAATTGTGAGGTACCATCCAGACGACGAGTTTCGAGGGCTGCGATAAGAGATGTATTCTGATGCTGGCCAAATTGCAGGCCCAGAAAGTCCAGATTGAGGCGATTTTCGTCACTTGTGAAGAGTCGACGCCTGATCAGCAGCTCCTTGATCTCGAAGTCCGCAATTGCAGACCGAGCCATCGCGAACGATGTGACGATTGGACGAACTTCAAAAAGGTCAGGATGGTTGACAACCTTGCGAAGCTGCATGAGGATGTTCGCAATCTTCTGATATACACCAGACTGCAGATCGTGCCGAGTCTCCGCACGGGTCATGAACTCGTCGTAGAGGAAGCGTTGTCGTTTTGACAATGGACACATCACCAGATGTTCGAACTTCTGAGGAAGCTCCTTCTCCACGTCTCGCTTGAGCCGTCGAAGAAGGTATGGACGAAGCACCGTATGAAGTTTTGCCACCCTTTGCTGCGTTTCGTCATCCATAGTGCCCATTTCAATAGCTTTCTCCAGAGGATCTGCAATCCATCCTGTGAGCGATCCTGGTATAACGGGTCACTGAGGACATACTCGAAAACCAATCACCGAACTCTTTGAGATTGGCGAAATTAGTACCAGACATTAGAAACTGGAGCAGTGCCCAAAGTTCTGTAAGATTATTTTGCAGTGGAGTACCAGTAAGGAGCAATCGACGAAAAGAACGGAACATAAGCAAGATATTCCAGCGCTGAGACTTGAAGTTTTTGATCATATGCGCTTCATCTAGGATCATGTAATACCATGGTTTGCGCTTGAAGACGTGAGCATCGCGGCTGGCGAGAGTGTATGACGTTACGCAGACATTGAAGTGGTACTTGTTATTCCACCCTTGTCGTAGCTCCTTCCGACGCTTGGTGTTGCCATGGTAGCTCAAGACCTTGAAGCCAGGCAGGAATTTCTTGAACTCCATCTCCCAATTCAGCAGCACACTTGTAGGAACGATGATAAGATGTGGACCCCAGATGCCTCGATCGCAAGCGAGATGAGCGAGCAATGAGATTGTCTGTATGGTCTTTCTGAAAGAAGCAGATCAGCATCACATGCCTATGTACCATGTATATGACAGACCCTAAACCCATCTCATCGGCAAGGATGCCATTGAGGTTATTAGTGTGCAGACTGGCAAGCCATTCAAGACCTGCTTGCTGGTACGGTCGCAGGCTTCCTCGTAGCAAGAATGGAGGCTTGACCTTGGACGAAAGATCCCATTCGACAGGTGCGACGGCATACAGCCGAAGATACATGGGAATGGAGGACACCTCTTCGTCCTCGCTATTGGCGTCAGCCGCTTCTGGTGTGCGCTCATCATCCGGGACGGTAATAGGGGATGGCAGAACGTCGACCGATCCAATGGCCCGAACAACGTCGGGAAGAAGGCCTGTAGAATCTGTGAGGCTGGCATCCTCTTTGATCTCCTGCGTCGACTCAAGTTGGTCGAGGTGCAGTGCGCTGTCGTCCAGGATCCCACGCGATTTCATGTCTAGGTCATTGTCCGTCGAGTCAAGCAAGGTAGCAGATGTCGACGACGGCACAATACGCTCATCGGCACGTCTGTAGTATGCTTGTTGAGCAGAGGCGCGAGCGGGTGTGGCATCATCTGGCTGGAGAGAAGGGCTTGAAATGATGTCGTGATTTGAGCGGTGCGAAGTAAGGGACAGTATAGGTGTGTTCAGGCCGTCGACGACGTCGTCCGGAGCGTCCGGATATTCAAGGTCCATATCCATCAATGATACGCTCGGGCTTGCGGTCGTATTTGGTGAGGCGGAGACCATAGGCGTTGCATCTGTGCGGTCTTCGCTCTCACTATGAACAACGGATTCTTCAATGCTCATGGCGTCATGATCATCCTGCGATTGCGACACGGATGCGCTGCGGCTGATGCTCTGGTCGGTTGTCGTAGACCTTGACCTCATGAGAGACGCGATGTCGTCCTCCGCGAGAAGAAAGGCTGAGTCTACTCCCGGATCGTCTTCCGTTCCATCCACTTCCGATGACAATTCGTCGTCACTGTCAACGCCGGCCTCGGAAAGCGAGACACCATTAGCCTCCGGTGACATGGGGGTCCAATGATGCAGCATCGCTGATACGCTGCTTGAGCGGCTGCGTGAAGCGGCCTTGCTCAAGTCGAGTTGCTGGGCCTCCAAGATCTGCCCGGACTGGTCCAAAATTGCATCCAGATGTAGGTGGCCACGCCTACGCTCCTCTTCCTCCCGCTTCAGTCGCTCCTCCTCGCGGACATGCTAATGTACAACATATAATCAATTGTGAATCATGAACGTGCCGCAATGTACGGAGTTATCACTTACGAAGACAGCCTTCTTCCACTCAACGATGACGAACTTGATGGTGGCCTTTGCTAGGGCACGGAGGCGCTTCTCCTCCTGCACCTTGACTTTGTCCTGCTTTAGGGCCCTACTCTCCCAGTACGCGCGAACTCGGCTCGCAACTTGTGCGGCCACTTGGCGGCCATTGATCGGCCGGGACAGCGCGCGAGACCGCATTGCATCCACGACATGTGACCATAAGTCGCGGCTCTGGCGCGAAGCAGACGCGTCTGCACTGTGAGACAGACCAGACGTATTCTCGCCGATGCCCATCGCGTGTGGAAAGAATCGACCCTGCTTTTGTAGCGAATCTACACGGTCCCAAAAAGCTGCGGCGCGCTGCACAAGTTGCTCCACAGTCGCAGCGTCGACATCATTGTCGTCGAGTACAGTATATGATGAAAGTAGTTTGACCAAAGACTGGTCATGCTTGGCAGTGGGTGGGATCTGACCCGGATGAGTGTAGACGGGATCAGGGGGGCGCACAATGAGCTTGATGCGCTTCACCGAGGGCTGCTTGGCCAAAGGAAATTTCATCTGTGAAGGCAATAGTTTCGCAGACGCTATATTTGCATGACGATCGGGCATTCGCTTGGACCTAGACATATGTCGGGGCACCACAGCTGAGATCGACGCGGGCGCTACTGTTTGCGAGACATTTGCGGCCGACGAGGCGAAAGAGGAGGATAATGGTGACTTCTGCACGAGTCGTCGCTTTTTGGCTGGAGGCTGCTCTATGGGGACGTGCGCGCTTTCGCTTGTTCTCTTCTGAACTTTGGAACGCGTAGATGGAGTCCCTGACTCAGCCTCGACAGCCTTCATTTTTCCCTTGCCCTTCGCGGAGGCACCCGCGGAAGAAACTGATGCACCCGTACCATTGACAACCCCGTCAATAGGCTTTCCCTTGCCTTTACCTTTGGTATTCGCAGCGACAAGTGCGGTATCGGGAGATGTGAAAGGTGCCACAGTCTTTGTGTTTTTCTTCAAGCGCGATTGAGGCGCAGACACAAAAGGGGCCTTGAGAGACTGCAACCGCTCTGTATGCGCTCTGCGCGTCTGGCGAGATGGGCCCGCTGACGAAGAGTGGTCGACAAGATCATATCGTTGCCTAAACTGTTGCACTTTCAGCGATCGACGCGACACGACATAATGGCCGAACGAAGTTACCTCTTGGAACACTGCAGACGTATCCGCTTTGGCAGCCTACTCATGACGTCTCAGCATAGACATTCGCACCCTATAACAAGCGCGCCGCACCTTTGGATCGTAAGAAACGAGCGTCACGAATTTTTCAAGATGAAATGCCTCCCGGACCTACAGTGAAATCTCGTGTTAGAGCCTTCCCGTACTCCATGACACGGTAGATGAGTGGCGGGCAGTACGACTTCTCATCGTTCGGGCTCTGCGCAGAGTCGGTATCGAGGGTATACAGCATTCCACGCGCAAGAGGATTTACTACACTTGCTCCAAATCTAACACTCACATGTAGTACGCATGTCCCAATAATGAGAGGATGACCCTACGAGCCCCATGGAATGCAGCGAAATACAACCCACGCAGTGGCCGCTGCCGTGCCATGATACGGCCCTACCGCCACGAGTTCCTTTCACCCATTTCTCAGCTCGAGTGAGGACCGTCGAGCTTATTGCTCGAACACCCTCAGAGATGCATTCCAGTGGACTCGCGGAAGAATACGGCGATTTCTATTTGCCACGCACAGTAGAGTACACTGGTTGTATATCCATAACAGTAGATGATGGACATACCAGGGTATCATGAGCATCAAGCACAGTCCCAAGTGCGTTCTGCCTATCCAACACCCACTCTGCACGTTCGCGTGCTACGCGGTCGGCCCCAGCAGCACAGGGAGCAGAGTCTCCCGCTGGTAACGCACTCTTGGTTCTCCGCAAAAGAGATCCATTTGTGTTATTCGCGACTGTCGACCGCACCCTGGCACTCATGGTTGACTGGCGGGCGTGAGATTAAGCGCGCATAGGTCTCAGGTCAACTTGGCTGATCTCGGTGAATACTGCACAGTTCCGCGAAATTGTTGGATTGAGATACACCCTGTGCTGCCAGAAAGCGAGGAGGATAGGGTGATGAATGCAAGCAGCACTGTGTCGTCGTCGTAAGCAACCTCGAGAGACCGGACGCCATTTTGCGGAATCATACAGGAGTTGTTTGTCCATGTCAACAACGGGACGCCTTCGCAAATGTAAGGGTCTTTGAATAAGGCTTATTCAGGTGAAATCCTGGTATTGTCGGACAAAATCGGCTATAATTCTAGGCACTAATGCTGGGCACTTTACAACTGACGAAATACTGAACCATTTCGAATCTCATACATTTTGTCATCACCTACCGCACAAGTTACTATCTATTGGCAACTGCAGTTACTGGTCTGCAGAGAGGGGGCGCGCAGCATCACGGCTGACTGAGCTGACATTGTCCCTAACTGTCCGCAGGCAAGCAGAGGACTGATAGCCAGGCCCCTCGTTCTGTGTATCGCCAGCCTCTCATCTCATTCACTGGTCACGATGATTTTGGTCTACTGACAACACGGACTACTCAAAGTGGATAAGATGTACGTATTGCATCCTTATGCACGGGTACGTGAGAACCTGCGCGATATGACTTGATGGCGGAACCGGTGCATAAGGACAGATAAGAACAGAGCAGACGTCTCGGATATTGTGTGACATAGACTGCCTGCGACGCCTCAGTCAGAGTAGTATGGCATCTTCAAGTTCACTGACCACCACTCACCTCCCTCGTCTACGCGATGAGCTTGCGCAATGGAGAGCCGAACAGCCAACAGACTCAGGCTTCAAGTCTTCCCTAGAGGACATCTCCAACAAACTCACGAACTTAAACAGTTTGACCGTCGCACCCAACAAAGATATATTTGTGGCGTTTCGAACGCGCCCTCCGGTCGACGAGGAAGCAAACAAAAAATTCGCGCTCCCACAAAGCGCAGAAGAAAGCAACAGCGATACGACGAATGCAAGCAACAGTGGCAACGCCACAGTGCAAGGATCAGCCTTCTGCTATGGTATTACCGCCACCAGCGCAGAACCCGGTAAGATGGCAGCACACGTCCCTGGCATGAAGGTCAGTTCCCACAATGTCCGGGTCGGAAAGGTCCTCAGCTGTGACTCGCCACAGTGTTCCAACACTAACGCACAGGGAGTTTGTCTCCGACCTCGCTTTTAGGCCTGTCGTAGAGAACGAGGAGGTATACCAGCGCACCGTTGGTGCTAATGAAGTGGGTCAACTTCCAGGCTGTCCGGCGCAATTAGTCTGATCTGGGACAGCTCCTCACCCTGGCTCTATCTGGCGGAATAGCCTGCATCCTTCCAGACAGGCTCAGGAAAGACGTACACGATGGAGGCGATCGAACATCGCGTCGCTCGGGACTTGTTCTTGGTTGCGCGAGCTATGGGACGACGCCTGCTCGACGCTGGGCAGAATTTTCCTATCGAGTCTTCAATGGACATGACCGACAGTGACTTTTTCGAATTCAGCGCGACTTGGCTAGATTTGCTCGGTAAACACGCGGTAGACCTACTTGAGCCTGCAGGCGGTCTTCCAACAGACGCTCAAGGCAATGTCGTTCGCAAGGACATTTCAATTCAGGAGAACAAGGTACACGGTCAAGCATGCGTCGTTGCATGTTGCACGAAACAAAACTGATGTACTGCTCAAGGCTGGTGACGTCCGTCCAGGCCTCATATCGACTCAGTTCAAGTCCTCCGACGAGCTTGAAAAGCTGATCGTCACCGCACTATCGCACAGGTCCGTCTTGCGTATGTGCGCATAAGTTACATTAGCTATGATCTCGCAGGCAGGCGTACATCCGCAACCGCACGCAACGCACGGTCCAGCCGTAGCCACGCCGTCGTCACCATCAGGATCAAGAATAAATTACTTCCCTATGCGGACGAGGGAGAACTAATTCTAGTCGAGTGAGTGTTAGCTCTCTGTGCTTGGGTAGCCATCTGAACCGACGCATCGTGCAGTCTAGCCGGCAGTGAACGATACGAGGACTCCAAGTTGCACGACAAGCAGCGCATGAACGAGTCCCGTGAGAACAACAAGAGCCTGATGAACCTGAAGGACTGTGTGCGCGCCAAGGCGAAAATGGCGAACGAGGACGGCTTCGTGCACATTCCCTGGAGGATGAACAAGCTCACCATGCTGCTCAAGGTATGTCTCTCCCGCTCTCCCGTTCTTTCGTTCTCTTATTGGATGCTGACTGTTGACGCGCAAAGCCAATCTCTGACCCCGAAGCCCGACGTACGCCCCGCACGCTCGTCATCGCGCACGTCTCGCCACATATTCAAGATGCCACGCGCAGCTTCAACACGCTTGCCTACGCGGCACCCTTCCGCATTGCGCCGCCACGCCCGCGCGGGTCCGCACCGTACGATGCCGCAGACCCGCGCACGTGGGACACCGCGCACACCCGCGCGTGGCTCACGGACGAATTCACGCAGCGCACCCGCACCCGCACCGTGGCGAACTATAAGGTCCGCGCGAAGACCGCCGCGCGGCGCGGGCAGACGCTCCCTCCGCCTGGCCTTGGACCCGCCGCGAAGCCCGCGGTAGATATTGCGCGTCTGTGTCCCGAGAGCATGACCGCGACGCACTTCGCGCGGATGTACACCGTCGAGTTCGTGCAGCGCTGCCTTGAAGCGGCGAGCGATAGCCCGGAGGCCACGCCAGACATCCTGCGCAACGCGGCGGAGGACGTGATGGGCACACTGACGTACCTCCTCCTGGCGGCGAAGACGCGGACGCGGAACTCGATCATGAAGAGCCGCAAGAAGCTTGCATTGGACAGCACGTATGGTGAGTATCCTGGTATTTGCGCTAAAGACAATGCTGAGAGCTCCAGGGCTAGGGCGTATGGCTACGCGTACGATACCATCGGCGGATGCAGGCAAAGAATTGAAGATACCCATGCACCACGCTTTGAATGTTTATTCAGATGCGGAGATTGCGGAGGCAGCGCAATCCTTGGGCAGCAGCTGGGACGAGACCCTTCAGGCGGCAACAGTAGAAGCAGAACAACAGCACGTAGGGGTGTATAAGACGCAGGCAGAGGTTATCAATCAGATGATGGACAGGTGGAAGGCTGGAAATGCAAACGGGGAGCGAGTATAATATAAGCTGTTATCGTAGACATAGCGGTACATCTCGAGCGTGGTGCCATCCGCTATCGTCATCATCAAATCGTCGTGGCAGCGAGCGCACAACGTCTTGGGGTTCTTTGTGTGGGAGTGAGGGCATGTTTGTCAGTGTGTCCCAATGGCTGAGATGCACACCATGGCCTCTCCGGACATCAGTGTCTGAGCATGAGACCATCTGAAAAGCCGTCTGACCTGTATTGTAGGCAAGTATTCGAGCATCTGCTCGACTACCATGACTTCCCACTGCGCTGTAGTGCAGCTTGAGCAGCCTCGGCGAGGGCCTGCTCATTCGCTTGCTCCTGATAAGTCATGTTTACGGTCGACTGTCTTGAAGTCAATCTCAGTCGTAGAACTCACCTCGTTTTCCTTAAGCTGCGTTGCTTCTTGCGCTGCCAGAGCCTATTGGTAGCATGAACTGTTAATAGATCGCCGACACTGTAGCACAGTCATCCTAACCTCTGAACATAGGCAACATAATCAACTTCTATAGTTCAGGCGCATACTACCTCACTTGCCTTTTCCCCTCTGCAGAGTATCCCGGTGCACTACGCCCATCATGACGATCCCCCAGACGCTCAGCCCGGCGAGAGAATAGACGAGTGCGCGGTGGAGGATATCGCCTATGGACATTCGCAGTCTAGGTGGTGTCATGTCCGCTAGCCTCGGCGTTGGAAGTTACGAGGTCTCTGTGAGGTCTTCTTTGCAGAGTCTACCGAGACCCTCGGTTCACGTTCAAACGTGGTCGACAGTCGAATCCAGGCCTACGGGCGAGCCATCGACAGGGCATTTGTCCATCTAATCTTATCTTGAAGCTTGAATTTGTACTATACTCCTCCCGTGCAGAACTACTTACTTGAATTCTACAATCGCGACTATGCACTTTCGGAGACGGAAGCTGGGATAACGATTGCTGTACTTATTCAAGGATGCAGGCTTTATCCATCCTTTCCCCCTTATGTCAAATGCTGCTGTTACCGACGGACCTCGAAGACATCGTACTCCAGACCATCCAGTATACCCTCGTTCGAGATCTCCACGTTTGCGACCTTTGCATGCGGTGGACCCGTCCAGAGTGCCTTTTTGCTGTAAACATGCAGCACCGCTCAGCATCGGGTAGCGGCACCACTATGCGGGAGGGACTCAAGAGCACGCACAATCTGTCTAATGCCGACTCCGATCCCTGAGCCACACCCTCAACATTACCTCTCTATGCACGATATACACCATCAGCACTCATCGTAGTTTGGCGACGGATCAGCTTGCACACCTCGTCGTTTCGAATCCATCCAACCACTCCAGTATCATGCGCAATGCCTTTGGAGAATGCTCGGAAGTAGACCCCTTGTACTCGCCCGCTCACTAGGAAGTGGAAGGATCTGTAGCTCATGACGAATAAGCTGGTGTATAGTGCAGAGTGTATTGATAACGGGTGTTTTGAAGAAATTGGACTGTGAGATCGTCGACTTTATACGATGCGCTTCGGCGCGGATGACATCATACTAGCAGATTTGACTGACGAGATTGCTCGTCCAAGCCGCGAATAAACAATGGTTATAGAGCTACTTATACATGCCTACGTCCCGTTGACCTACTAGATATATATATTGTCCGTTTGCATTGTATACTACAATGGTCATGCCCGCTTTACAGCTGTGTCAATCCGCATCTCGAGCGTACACCCCCGCCATCCGAGCAGCATACACAGTAGTCCAACCATCAAATCGACGCCAAGAGCCGATACCCTTCCGCACACGAGAGATAGAGATAACGCAACCTGCGCACTAACCTTTGCCACTGCTAACCACGGACAAAGCGCATCCGGCCACGCGTTCCCCCACGGCACGGCCCAAGCGCCAGCCTTTGCCACCATATAACGCGCCTGCGGCGGTGGCAGCGCGCACATCGCTTTGCCCCCTACATCCAACATCCAGCATCTGCACTGCACACCCCCTAAGTCCACATACCCGCAGCAGCGCCAAAGCACCCATGGACGCCTTCGCACACCCATACGCCTACACCTACCCACTTCCGCGCGCCCGCGGGCGTGTACACAAGCCAAAGCCACGCATCCATCACTCACCACTTGCCGGTCTGCTCACGCGGTGGAACCACCGCCACGCAGACAAACAGTTCGCCGCCGAATATGGCACACCGCCCTCAAGTTCGAGCGAGGTATGTGCCACTCGTGAGTGCGCCACAGCAGCGGACTGAGCGACAGCGTGCAGACCCCACCGAAATCGGTGCAGACGCCGGGAGAATGTGCTGGCTCCCTTGTCAGAAAGCACGCGAAGATGCTCACGTCCAAATTGCAGCATTTCCGTGGGCTGCTGCGCTGCGCGCAGATGGACCTGCGCGAGGCGAGACAGGTTAGCGCATTGGCGGAGGATCTCGAACAGACACTCGCCATGGTCCGGACGATTAGTCCCTTTGACACAGAGACGGACGCCCCGGTCCCGTTGCACGAATGTTTGGAGGAAGCTGTACCCTGGGCGGTATATATCACTGATACCCGCTTCGCATCGCCGCCACCACCACATTATACCCAAGAAAGTGATAGCGAGCAAGAATTACCGTCCTCCGAGACATTGTCCTCTACATCATCTACATCCCCTAGGTCCTCAGCGGTGTCTTCGTCCTCCGCGTCCTCTGCGCGTTCCAGCCCTGAGTCCCAGCAGCAAAAGAACAACGTCTACACATACCCGTACGCAGAGTCGCAGTCCGTTCCACCAACCACTTCATATACCCAAGCACGCGCGACTCACTCACCGCTCGTGCTCGCCCCTTCGCCGCCGCAGTCACAAGCCCCCGCGCAAAGGCCTCCACATGACAGGCCGACCGAAGTCTACTGGGAAGACCTGCTAAACCCTACCCCAGCACCCATGCGCATGGAGATCCCGCCGCTCGCCCCAGACGAGTACTTCATCGAGCCCGAGGGGTCCAACCTCCTCGCTTGCTTACGTCCAAGTGCCACCCTGGAGCCGCCAGCAACTTCGTCGTCCCGATGGGTATACTATCCGGACGGCAAACCTGACGGCAGCATCCAGGAAAACAATAGGACGGTACGCAAGCACAGGGCGTCCCCTCGCGCTAGGGGGTCTGCGGGTGCAAATCGACGGACTCGTCACAAGACCAGGGATGCAAACTCCTCCGACTCGGACGCGGCCTACCGCGGCGATACAGAGGAGGGTCGCGAAGGGCAGCACGGGCCCGTGAGAGGCCTGTCCAAGGATCGGTGTACATCGCGGGCGCATAACCGCTCACGGCAGCCAAGAGAACGTGCCTACTCACCGTATCCGTCCACATCGCCGCGTAAGACGAGCCGATAGCAGACATGAACGCCTTCGTCGTCGTTTCTAGAGCTCAATAGTTGCTGTATCGCTCATGTAAATGTTCCACAACTAATGCGGAGCGCGTCCGAGTTGACAATGTGCCGTCCGAGTCCATTGCCTACGGAGTAAGATTGAGGCGCATGGGTATGAGAGGAGGAGGATGCAATGTGTGCGTGAGGGACATCCAAGAGGAGGACGCAGTGGGCAAGGGAGTAACTGTCTCTCTCCGTTGGGAGCCATAACAATTATATACTACCACAGCCAACACTTTATAACAGGTGAGATGGCCGAGCGGTCTAAGGCGCCAGACTAAGGCTTATGTGGTTTATCTGGTCCGAAAGGGCGTGGGTTCGAATCCCACTCTCATCAGTCCACTTTTTTTTCGTCTAAATGCTTTGCCTTCATGTCCCACCACCCACACACCCAGGCTCCTTCCCGCCGTCTTCGGGAGGTGAGGGGGACTTCATTCGAGGGCGGAATTCATGCTAAGTCCCAATAGCTTAGGGAAGATCATATCATAGATCCCATCACATATATCACGTGCACTATTCAAAATTTCAAACTCCACAATCTTAATCCCCCTCACCTCCCTGTGACGGCTGGCACAAAACATTGGTAAACAGCGGCGCTCGGAGGGTAGTCCCCTCGATTGGGCGACTGGGCGCTTCATGAAATATGCTACCTACATGACATAATTAAGATTCGCATAACCTCGATTTGAATCTCCTCGGGCAGCGTGGCTGATGCTAACACAAAGCGCACATGAGGCAAAAGATAACGCAGGCGGTAGGCATCCCTGTACTCCGTACGAAACGCACTCCAGAGACTGACACAGTGCGCTTCATCCCAGATAATACTGATGATCCGAGATGCAAAGTCTTGGTTCTTCCATAGACGTTCAAAGCCCCCGCCCTCCTTCATCAACAATTCGGGATTGATAACTATAGCGCGATACTTCCCGTCTTCGATATCCTGGCACACCGTTGAGGTACGTCAGCCATATACTATTGGTTTAACAACATACCTTGAACAATTGAGGTGTTGCTGTCTCTGCGCACACAGATACAGCCTTGATACCTACCAACTCCAGCTCGGCTACACTCTGCGTTCCGAGGATATTAAGTGGCGTCACTACGATCTGTATTCCATCCTCTCGGAACAATAACGGCATCCAGAACGTGAGTGTTTTTCCCGCACCCGTTGGTGCAACACATATAACATCCTTTTCTGCCCTTAGGATCTCGCGCGCCACCTTCGCCTGCCATTCGCAAGGGTCGCGGCCCAGCTTTGCAAACGTCTTCTTCCGGATAGCATCAATAGTCGGCAAGGAGGGCTTGTTTAGAGACATCGCAGGCAGCACTAGTGTTCGCGCGCACCCATGCTACCACTCTGTACTCTAGGCAACGCAACCGCATGTCCATTTTGACGGAAACATATATCATATCATTTAGTTCTATGCTTTTACATTTTGGCCGTGATCTAATACTATATGGAGTAGGTCCGGCTCCGAGCGCCGCTGTTTACCAATGTTTTGTGCCAGCCGTCACAGGGAGGTGAGGGGGATTAAGATTGTGGAGTTTGAAATTTTGAATAGTGCACGTGATATATGTGATGGGATCTATGATATGATCTTCCCTAAGCTATTGGGGCTTAGCATGAATTCCGCCCTCGAATGAAGTCCCCCTCACCTCCCGAAGACGGCGGGAAGGAGCCTGCCACACACCCAGCCTTACACCAAGAATTCTTTCGAGCCATGTCGTCAGGGATCCGTCGTTCAAATATTTCTCTTGTCAAAGGGTACAACATCATTACCGTTGCATGTATTCATTCGATGATATTTGCCCATCGCTGACACTCATGTCACACACACGATCTCCACAAGAAACGATGATGATATTACACAAATGAACGTAAACGATAGAACAAATCGAGACTACATGACAGCATGGTAAACAGCAAGCGACCCCGTGGTGCCCACCATTCACGCTGTCGCGTTGTTGAAGATGAGCAGGTTGGGCGTGCCCTTCGGCACTGTGTTGAGGACGTTCTCAGTCGCGAGCGCAATCAATGCAAGCTTGAGCTGCTTGGGCGTCAGTGTAGGGGGCAGCGGGACGGGGGCGATGGCCTCCTCGACGAGCGCCGGCGGCGGGAGGAACGTCGCGACCCAGCTGGGTAGCACACGGTGTGCAAGGGCGTAGATACCAGCGAACGACGGCGTCGCGAGCTGCTCCTGGAGGGAGGCGGGCGTCAGGTCGGCTGCCACATGCGGGTTGAACGTCGTGCTGGGGTAGATCGAAAGGAGGTATGCTAGTATGCCAGCAGTGTGGGGGGACGCCATCGACGTGCCAGACAGCGTGGCGGTGGCGTTCTCATTGCCGATGTAGGTGGAAAGAATGTTCAGACCTGCTAATGTGTGAGCCAGTGAAGCAAACCTAAACTGATGAAAACGCTTACCAGGGGCGAAGATATCGACACAAGGACCGTGGTTGGAGAAGTAGGCCCGCTCATCACCGAGCGTAGAAGCACCGACAGTGATGGCCTTCTCAGCAGCAGCGGGCGAGTTGCCACAGGCATCCCTGTTATCGTTGCCTGTACACCGAATTAGGAAACCTAGCCAGTGATTTCATGAAGATTTCTTACCAGCAGCAACAGCAAAGTGAACACCATTGTCAACAGCGCGGTTGACAGTGTCGTCCAAAGCCTTGGACTTGCCGCCACCGAGGGACATGTTGGCAACAGAACCCTTGTGCGACGTCTTGCCAGTCTCCTGAAGCTCCTTGAGTGCGGCCGCAGCCTTGGCCTTAGCTTGCTTCGCAACATAGACAACACCTGCAACGACGTCACTCATGGTGCCGCTGCCGTTGCTGCCAAGGACCTTGACGGCGATGACGTTGGCGGCTTTGGCAACGCCGTACTTGCGGGAAGCGATGGTTCCAGCGCAGTGCGTGCCGTGGCCGTTCGCATCCTCGTCGACATCGTTCTGAGGGACAGTGAGGCCCCAGCTAGCGCGGCCCTCGAATTCGGTGTGTGCAACGTTGACACCCGTGTCGATGACGTAGACATCAACGCCCTCACCACCATGCGGGTCGTACTCGTACTTTCTGAAGGTACCAAATGTCAATCTGGTGCGGTGACTTATCCGTGCAAGACCCTAAAGCAAAGTGATTAGCATTGCTATGTCATACGACAAGAATCCACAAAATATTCGAGATATCTGCCAGCCAAAGCAATTGCAGCCAGCGAGACCCCTGATCACCAGACAAACCGACAACCCAACCTGCCCAAGAACAACTAGGCGATGTAGTCATGACAGTCTAGTATTAACGCGTGTCCAACAACGAAGGTTTCACAAGACACATCGTCATAGCAGTCAGTGGTCACCAATGAACGTCTTTTGAAGACCGGATGACAGTCGGTAGTCATCCGACTGCGCGATGATCCCAGTTTGGACATGACAACGGTCTGGAACTTACCCAAGGTGCGTTCTTCTGTGTCTTCACACCCTCGGCACCAGCGTCGATCTCGAGCGTGCGCACAATCTGGTCCATCTCGATGTACTCGACCTCAGGCATCTGTCGTATCCGCTCGACGGTGCCTTCACTGAACTTGCCGGAGTAACCCTTGATGTGACCGTCATACACATGACGGAGGCCGCCCTCGAGGTCGTCCATGAGCGGGTGCGCCTGCTGGACATTCTGCAGGAAGTTGAAGTGGTTCTGCATAAGCGCAGACGGCAGGTCGTCGCGCAGCATGACGATGTACGAGTTGTTCACCGTTCCGTGCGGGTGGTCCGCAGCGACCAGGGGCGCGAATGACAGCGACGCCCGCTCGCGTGGTAGCTCATAGGGGTGCGTCGAGAGCGGGGTCGCATACCCCACCGCAGCGAGCGAGAGGGCGACGAGGGAGGTAGCAAGGACTGAAGGCATGATGATCGTCGACTCGGACGAGGGGACGGTGCTGTGCCAGAGCGTCGCCCGCGGTTGATAACGGGTACGCGTACCGTATTTGGTCGTGTATATACTGTGGCTGACGCCATCTCCCCGCACCACCCCAGTAATGGTCATAACTGACTCAATACCCGCCACTTATCGCACTGCTTTACTTCCCGAAACAAGCCCGCTATGCTGTGCGAGCACAGTGAGCTCCATAGAGACGGTCCACCTCAGGTCCTCGCCCCCGACTCTACTACTCAAGTACTCACATATCGTGTGCCCGCTATTTACAGAAGAAGCAACGTCCGGCGCATATACGGGCGCTCCGACAAGCTACCCCACGATCCGCTGAATTGGTTCCTCTCCGGCGCTTCTTTCCCACGCCCTCGTCTTCAGCGGCGCGGGGCGTTCGCGGGGTAAGACTTGGCCAAGCTCATGTATATTTCTCTCTCGAACATACGCAGACGGGCTGCTGGTCATCAGGTTCAACGATATCCCTGCCAGCGTACACGGGCCGCGGGAGTCCGACACTGTTACCCGAGCAACCCCAAAACAAGATAACGAGTGACTCCGAGCGCGGATACTGACGCCGTCGGCATCAAGTTGAGACCATACCACGCAATCTGTGACCATCTGCAGCTGCCCAGGGCGCAAAGATTCCCGTGTGGTCGTGAGAATCGGGGGCAAAGCTGAATGTGGTCGACACCAGCTGGTTTCGGGTCGTGGTGATCCACGTTGTTTCCCAGATCTATGAATTTTGAGGCTGGCAGATGACATGGTACGTGTTGAACTTTATCGCGACTAAGGAACCGAATTGAGGCAGGAGCCGGCATGCTACTGACAGATGAAAAATGCATTACAAGCTGTGTTTGTTCTTACACAGAAACCAGTGCTTAGACACGAAGCAGGTGTTAAGTTGATAACTGACACAGCGTCAGTATGGCTAAGGAGCTGTTGGATATTTCCCTACTCGCATGCCCTACATCTGCACCTTACATGACGTCCTGGATGCTGCAATCAGAATGACTGCAAAAGCTCGAGGCTCGTATTGTAGGTCTTTTATATGAATGTCCTGACGACACGTCCAAACATCATCGTGCTATAGCATCCCCCTCTTTAGAGAAACCAATATTCATCAGACAGGTAAAGTCGACCAATGTAAGGTACGCTCGTGGTAGGCGGAAGTCTGCTATGGTACGGTAGTCGGGAGGAGTACCCTGCTTTTCGAGATGCACAATGACTGAAAGTCGTATAATATTCCAAAATCATATTCAGAATCCAGCGGTGGATCTTAATCGCAGTGCTGACCTCAGACCAGGCACTGACTTAATACTCTTGGTCCCACTAGAACGTTCAGTCCGCAAACATGTAGTCCAGTTATTTGGGAGTTTACTTTTGGATACGGCCTTGGAACGCATTGACCTTCACTCCTCATCCGCTACGGTGATTTTCTCTAAGATGCTACGGTAAACTTGGATGAAATATTGGTCACTGGTCACGATCCTATTAATATACACCCAAGTGCCGCGAGAGACACGTTGATTCTGCAATCTTATCTTTGTGATCTATGAATAATCATGGCTTGGCAGTCCTTCTGGAAAGGATGATGCAGTTTGCTATGTCGTCGATGTTCGAGTGAGGCTCAGTGAGCAGCTTTAGTGCAACGGTTCAATCAGGGCTTCAGCATTACTGACCAATCAAATTGGGCTGGATTGATGGCGGTCGGCGTCAAATTCGACAATTCGGCGAAGCGCGACATTGCCCGTTGAACACCGCCCAGCTTTCTGCGACGCCGACCTGCGTCGACCTGGTCTGTACCGAGTACCCCGCACACAGATATCTGTACTCTGCTGTTACGACGCGTAACGAGACTTACCAGCACTAATCATCATCGACGCAGCAAGCCGCATCCGTACCTCTTCGGCATCCAACCGCACCTCGGTCCATGAGCCCTCTCTTCTAGATCGTCACCTCCGTGATAAGCTAGATGGATTCACCTAATCACACTGCACATAAGGACGACGCGGACCGCAGGCCCTCTTATCGCACACTCTCTGACCGTGCTTCCGCCGCCTCGTCGCTGCGCGCCATGTTCTCTGGAGCGAGCACCCCCAGCGGCGTCAAGACACCGCGCACGCCCGGGCTGCACGAAGGCGAGGAAGCACGACTCCTCGTCGGAGGGAGAGACGTAGAGGCAGGGCCGGCTGAGTATGGGTCAAGAACACTGGGTGAGTGTGTCGCCTTGGATGGTCTGTTCCGCCGCTTTGAGGCTTTGGGCTGTCGCTGTGTTACAGCTGCAGCTGGAATTGCCGTTGAATGCTGCCCTCTGGGGACGTTGAAAAGCTGCCGTTAGCTGCCGTCCGAGCTCGTGAGACAAGTCAGACCCTGAGAAGTAGAAGTAGTGCCTCGAGCGCGCTCATGCGGCTCAGAGACGTGCTTCGAAGTCCCGAGGTGGTAGTGCCCTCGCATATGCTGTCGAGAGTTTGCAGCCGGTGTTCGCTTTGTGCTCTATATTACCTGGCTGAGGAACATGGCCCCGTTATCTCCTGCCTAATTTTGGAACGCGCTACCCATTGCGCGTTGGTTTCGTGTGGACTCAGGTTGTCCGGTGTCTGGACAAGTATGGCATCTTCCCATTATATTTTCATTTGGTCCGCTGCTATTACGCCTGGAGATGACTCGCAGAATTGAGAGACTTGCTGTGAGCTACTGCGCTTCGCGCGTCTCCTCGTGTTTCCCATGCTGCCTCGCCTCAGGAAGCGCTAGAATCCTTTGGCTGGTATAATCTATGACAGCCAGCGGCGTCGGGCGTATTGGAGGTGTGCCCGCCTCCTCGGTTAGGCGACAGACTTGTTCGCGTTATCTACTTGTATGCCGACACTCGTTTGTCAATCCCCAGCGACGTCGAAACCGGTCTCATCATCGAGGGCAAGCTGCAATGCTATGGTCGTACCTACAACTTAGGGCGTCGGCGTCCAGATTGCTGGCGGACCTGAGATCTGTACAGCTAAGCTGAGGTTTGCGTTGCTACCCAGGCTCCGGGAGCGTGATGCGACACCCGAAACAAATGCCTTCGGGGAATACATCGCGAATCTATAGCTCTATGCACTGTCTCTTTGATAGCCGTCTCTTTGTCGTGTCCTCCTTGCCGTCAAATACATGTGTATATGTCAAATATCGTGATTTTAGCTCCATACTTCTCTTGTACAAAATAAGCTGGAATAGACAGAGCACTGACGTTCATCTGGCTGTGCAGAACCTCGCCCCAAACCCCCGGTCCGTCGCAAGACATCAGTATGGGCAAAAGTAAATTATTACGTCCCCTCGACGGCTTGGATACCCCGATACTCTTGGCCGCTGTGAGCTCTTATGTCCTGTCTTCAAATTGAATTCGTGTTAACCAGCGCGCCAGACTCGGCGGTGATATGCTCGCCGGTCTCACAGTCGCCTGCATGCTTATCCCACAGTCTGTATCCTACGCGACATCGCTTGCGCGTTTGAGCCCCATCACCGGTCTTGTGCGTACCTCTCGCCTGTGACCTTGTGTATTGATGTGGTGTGCTGACGATGTGATGTTCACTTTAGTTCTCTGCGTCCATACCAGGGATTATATATGCGCTCTTTGGGACATCACGTCAACTGAATGTCTCGCCTGAGGCATCGCTCTCGCTGCTGATTGGGCAGGCTGTCGATGACTTCCTTCACGACCCCCATTTTGCACATTACGGCCGTGATGCGGTCGGGTTGGCGGTGTCGACCGTGGTCACATTTCAGGTATGTGCCCCGGATATGGTTTGTGCCGCAGGATGTATCTAAACGTGGTGCATCTCGGTAAGGTTGGCTTGTTTAGTCTGCTACTGGGCCTTTTCCGCTTAGGCTTCATCGATGTGGTTCTCAGCCGAGCGCTGCTCCGTGGGTTTGTCACCGCAATGGCCATCGTGATCATGATGTAGGTAGCGTCGACAGATGGTAGCATATGCGTGCTGAAGTTCAGATTATTGTAGTGAACAGTTGATACCCATGTTCGGCCTAACAGCGCTTCGGGGCCAGTACCAGTTGCACACCACTCTTGACAAGATTCTGTTTATCGCGGAGAATGTATGGCATCACGGACACCGGCTCACGATGCTGATCGGCTTCGGGTCACTCGCCATCCTGCTACTCATCCGGAGCTTCAAGGGCTTCTTCAAGCGATACATCCTGATATATCGTCTTCCGGAAGTGCTGCTTGTGGTTGCTGTATCAACAAGTGAGCGCATCGAATCAAATGCGCGCGGGCAAAGCTAATCAACACCCACAGTCCTGTGCGACAAATTTGACTGGGACGAACGTGGAGTCGAAATCCTGGGGAGTGTCCCTGTCACCACTGGTCACTCGCTGGTCCACTTTCCTCTACACAAATCTACGCTGCGATATTTTCGGCGGACGACATCGCTCTCGGTGTGAGTCCAATTCGGAGTGGCATCACACTGCCATCAGGACTAAGGGGCGTTTGCCAGTGTTTGTGTCATCATCGGATTCCTCGATAGCATCGTTGCCGCCAAGCAGAACGCCGGACTGTATGGATATAGCATCAGTCCCAACCGTGAACTGGTCGCACTCGGTGCTGGAAACCTGGCTGCCTCGTTCGTACCGGGGACATTGCCGGCATTTGGATCTATAACGAGGCGCGTCTCGCTCCTATGAGTATTTTTGCCGCCAATGTCGCTAACTCACTTGCAGGTCAAAGATCGCGGGCGAGGTCGGCGCGCGGACACAGATGGCCTCGATGATCTGTTCCATTGTGGTGCTGCTCGCTGTGTTCTATATTCTGCCCTGGCTGTACTATCTTCCCAAGACAGTACTGGGCGCCGTGTACGTCTGATGTTTCCATGTTAGTTGACTAGATTCTCACCCTCAACTTCGACGAACAGAATCTGCTTGATAGTGTTCTCGCTACTGGGTGAAGTGCCCCACGACGTGAAGTTCTATTGGAAGTAGGTCTTCGAGTTCATCTATCGCACCTTCCTGTTAATCTTCATACTGTGTAGACTTCGCAGTTGGGTGGATCTCGGGCTAATGACTCTCACGTTCGTATTGACCATCTTCTGGGACCTTGAGCTTGGCATCGCTGTGAGCCTGGTCATCTCGCTATTACTTGTCGTACACCGGTCCTCAAAGACCCGCATGACCATATTGGTACGTGAGTCTGCTATGCGCATCAGACTGAAACCTAAGACAATTACTGTTAGGGCCGCATCCCTGGCACTGATACATGGAAACCAGTGGATGAGAACCCGGAGGCGCAGGAAGATGCTGCTGGTGTGTTGATTGTGCGCATACGGGAGAACCTTGATTTCGGTATGTTTTGATACGCAACCCCAGAAGCTAAACGTGTGCTAATGTAGACCGGTTCATCAGCGAACACTGCGCAATTGAAAGGTGCTGATAGTGGCTACTGTCAATGTGCTACTGGCTGACCCTATCATGTAGAACGTCTACGTAGGTTGGAGCTGTATGGCGTCACGAAACATCACCCATCGGACGAGCCGCGGCGCGAGAGCGCCGACGTCCTCGTCTTCCATCTGGCAGATGTGGACAGCATCGACGCTTCGTACGTTCTATAGCCGCATGCTTTATGACGTGCCTGACGTCGGTCCCACAGTGCTGCCCAGATATTCTACGAATTAGTCGATACATATCAGGTCAGTGCCGGTCGGTGCCATATTCGAAGTCAGAACTTCCCGCTCATGGGAGAGTTGGTGTCATATAGAGCCGAGGGGTAGGCCTGTACATCACGCATTTGAAGAAGGGCCCGCGGGAGTCGTTCGAGCGCGCCGGGATCATCAAGTTGCTCGGCGAGGATGCTTTCTGCAAGGACGTGGCAAGTGCAATGCATCTCATCGAGCAAGCTGCTCGGGACCGACGCGAGCCATCAAGGTGGTGACCGCAGTGCGCCCTAACGACCGACGACCTACATGCCTATGTTCTCACGCAGATCGAGTAGGCAGACTTTGATGCACATACAATGCCACACATCCGCATACCTGACGACGGTCTGTCATATGGCCTGTCAGGAGCAATCTATCTAGATCATGCGGCTCTGAGTTCATGAGCCATACCGCGTAGCCCCCAATCGGCGGAGCAGAGAGCAAAGGTGAGGCTCTGACCTGCCACCAACAACGAATCATAATTGAGACTGCGGACGGCACAAAAGTTCAGTTCGCCTTATTAGTCAGCGCTTAGCCCCCACATGGGCGTGGGTATGCATCCAGGTCGGTAGGCTGGTTTGCTGCATGTAGGCATTCGACATGGGAAGCAAGCACAGGTTGTATACGGGCGGTGCCTGTCCACAGATATCTATCTTACACTCCTCCTCGCGCGGATATACAGTACAGAGCGTATCGTGCAAGTGCTGCAATAACAATAAGTCACGACTAAATGCACTCTACCGCACGATGCGGGAAAAACGAAGCACATATATGGCGAACGGATGCAATAATAACGAAGGTTGGAATCGTCGAGGTGTCGTAAGGAATGCTTATAGTGAACGTCCATTAAGCGCAACCCAAAGTCTACTCAGATGCTCGTCTCGGGAACCTGAAAGCCTTGCCAAAGTGAAATCGCAGGTGATGACATTGCTGTGGGACAGCGCTCGCTAGAGTCAAGGCGTCACTTGAAAACCGTGACAGCCTGGCCTGTGCAGAGGACAGCAGTGTCAGCGCGATCAAAAGCATGCAGAACAGGCCCGCTACGCACCTCGCCCAGATTAAAATCTCCGCTTTGCGCGGTATCCGCGGGAACATCCGCGATTTTATTACGGTACGACAGACGCGGCACAGGCCGGCGCGCGACGGGCTCGTTGACAGACTCCCAGCAGAGCGAGGTCATCGCCTGCCATGGATTGCGCAGGAGCTCGTCGTCGAGCATCATGAGGCACGACTTATCGAACGCCTCAGATTTAGGGAGAGGTGCAACACGCTCGAGCTCGGCCTCCACCATGCGGAGTGGGTCCTCGACCGGCGATGGCTGGGGTGCAGACTTGATTTCAGGCTCAGGCTCAGGGAAAATGGAGGACGGGGCAGTAGATGCGGTCGACGCTTTGCGTCCATGCATAAATAGGGAAGCCGAATCAGAGAACACAGAACTCGCGGAGCTGGCGGACGAGGGCGTGGGGCTGGCGGGGCGCCTGGACACGACGTCGGCTGGGGCAGAGACGGGCTCTTCCTCAATGTCATCTGGGACGGGGCCGGCGGGCGTGCGGGGACTGAACGCGGTGGGAGGGGCTTCGCAGAGGGGGGTGAAGAGAAAGCCCCGCTCGTTAGCGTCCCAGTCTGCGGTGAACGTGAACGATGTTTGCGGGGTCGGACCTGCGGAGAGGCCGGGCGTGGCCAGTGGTAGCGGCGACGCGGGCAGGACAAGGGTTATGCCACTGACCAGTCCTCTCCGGCGCATCTTCTTAATGTTCAGGGGAGCTACCGGGACAGCCTGCGGATGAGGTTAATCGCAAGTCGCAGTACCATAGACAATGCACATACTGGGGCAGCCTTCCTCGGGAGACGCAAAGGTTGAACCTGTCTGTTCGTGATCCCAGAGAACCGCACGACGTTTGGTGAAAGCCCAAGCACAGGGGAATCCAGCATGCTCCAGGCACTGTCCGTACTTGACGGAGATGACACAAGGCCGACGGAAAGCTCGGGTCGCGCGGCGACCATGTCCAGCGAATTCTCAAAGCGACGTCGACAAAAGGCCATTGCAGGTATTGCAAGGCAAAAGACGTGCTAATAAAAAGAGAACTCGAAACAGAATAAACGAAGGGCGAAAGGCGAAGGCGAAGATGAGTGACCAGTCGCGGGCTTCTTAAGGTGTATGTTGCTAGAGCAGGATCACAGGGGTGAACCGATGACAGTTGATGGGCGTGGTAGCGACGCACGAAGACGGTCAGTGCAGATTGGTCGACGGTATATACGATGGGGGATGGCGTAGACACATTCTGTGCCCATCACCCGCTAAGCGGCCTCTTAGCGTGATCGAGGCGGGTGATGTGGACATTGAGCTTTCGACAAGCGAAACAACCTGCTCACACCCCAGTCCATATGCCATCCGCGAGAATCTGCGGCGTCACATGATTGTTGCCCGCCGTTCCCAGCGTCAAGGATGTCAATGATGATTGACTGAAGACAGCTATAGCTGGAGTCGAGTAGACATATCAATCAATACACTACCGATGGGACCGCTATGCATGCTTCGACGCACCAACCAATCAATTTCAGTTTAAATGCGGATAGGCGCTCCATATATTGCCGGAGTCTATTGGGGGCTATGTAACCAGCGACGGATCGTGCGGGACGGGTGGTGTCCTGCGTGCACTGATACAAGAATATTCAGTACGGCATCCATAAGGTAGCATCAGGAAGAAAATGCACGGGCCGTTCACCATCCATCAGATGCGGAAAATGCTGCACGAGGGGTAACACAGAAGCACCGGGGACCAGGATTTAGACAGAGTATCAAAACAACAGCATGACGATCAATTCCAACTGAAAACCCGCGATCCCGCACCGACGCAGGTTGTAGCTTAGCGACGTCGTTTTGAACATTGCCGCACGGTGCACTTCAGCTACCATTCTTGATCCTCCCAAGCGATATGCCATCCCTTCCCTCGGCCATGGTGATGGCCTCTCCGAGCGCCCCCCACGCCTTCATGTCCAGCTTGCGCCATCTATCCTTCTTATCTTCCTTGCGGTTGGCCCGAGGGCCCGAAGCCATGGGCTTGGGCTGATAGTACTCGGACATAACAGGCAGCTTGGGATTCCAGTAGTGCGCATGTTCGTACGCGCCCAGCCTGGTTGCCTGAAACTCGTGCTCCCGCTGGAGTGAATTCAAATTGGACGTAAGGCGGTGTGCGAGCCCGCGCGACTGTGCAGAGACGGCCAGCAACGATAGGGTGTTGTCAACTAAAGCAACCATGTCAGATTGTGTACAGCGTCAGTCAGTCCGGCACAGCACTCACTCCTCCGCTCCCAGACGCAATACCACCTTTCGAGACGTCGCCTCTCGGGGTCAGTAGTACTGACAGAAAGATGACGGCGAATCACTTGAGCGGCGACCTCAAAAGTTGGTCGCCATAAACGTCGTATTCTACTACATGCAGCACGCTTGTGCAGAACAGATGCAGCCGCTGTCCGTAGGAAAAGTCGGTACAAACCGGTGAATGTTGGAGGTAAAATGATACTCTCCATGTCGGCAGGAAATTTGCGAGATATGAACGAGCTGAAACCAATGAAGAGGTGTCAACTGTGGACGTTACAGACTGACTTGCGAAACTAGGGAATCCCGAGTTGGTAGAAGTTAGTCACGTGTTCCGTGACGTCTCAGAATTTTGGCCCTACAAACTCGGTCCAGAGTCTTCCTTAGTCTTCAAAGCACGGCTGTGGCCAGAGTGCAGTGATTGAAACAACTTCCATCTGGCGCATGGTTTCGGTACTATATGTACGTTGAGTTTTTTTATTGTAGCTCGTGAATTCACAAAAAGGTTCTCTGGGCCCGTTGAACAAGCTTAGCCATTCATCGGTAGTAGTATTACTTCGACCCCTCGGTAGGAATCCGGATCTCAGGCATTGCACGATATCCGGATGACACTCGACATGTACACGAGCGAACATTCAGCGCTCATACTCGGGACAGGCCTGTCAAATGTTGTGTTCACGAGCTACGGTACGTAAATGCGCTGGAGCCCGGCCAATGTCAAGTATGCATAAAGCAAGCGTTACACGTCGAGCTGAGCGTTGCGGCTGCTCCAGTCCTGTCATACCGCGAGTCCGGGATCGACCACAAGTGCAACCCCTTGATCACATCATGATACGTATGGGGTTCTTTGTGGACCTTGAATCTTGATGTGGACTCCCAGCCGCGCCACAGGAAGGCAGGGTACCCGCATACCCGCGCACTGCGGAGCCGTTCTACGCCAGAGATACATTCAATGCGCGCGAAGAGGTTCCATTACTTGTTAAACTTCTGTCAGCGCATGTACTGCCCCACGATGCGCGGCTCACGCTTCGCACGTCGACGCAAAGCAGTCGCATCTGCCGGCTCTTGCGTCTCGGAGAACCTAGACTCCGAGGCGTCGCCGAACGCCACGACCTCATAAGAGGATAAGAGGTCGAAGGCTGCGCAGGTATATGTTTTCTCATTTCTGCTCGGCGGCGCGCGCCGCCGAGCGGGCCTGAGACGCCTGTCATGCCTGGCTGTTCACGTTTGTCTAATATCTATCAAGCTATCAGGTCATCAACCTAACTGGAGTATACGAAGTACCTACCCTTGACCTGGTGCTAGCGTTTTGTCTGATCCATGGGCAGCGGCGGTGTCACCTGCGAACACATCTCAGCTGTTCTTACGAATCTGTGTTCGTTGCCAGACGGATGCTAGGGACGGATACTAGGGCCGAACGTCTATGGGCGTCACCTAGTACGCCCTGCTTATGCAATACTGGTCAGACGATGATCTCCATCCGAGTTGTACGGCCAGGTGCGTGCATGATGGTCGTGCCCTTCTCTTTGTGGGTCGTCGCAATATACTTCTTTTTTGTATAATATCTTTGGTCGACTACCGCCTTCATCGCTTAGTATTATAACCTACTTTGAGATGTGGGGCAGGAGGACCTACTACGGCTGGGTATTTCCTATCGTCTCAACATCGATAAATTTCTCTGCAGGAACTCACAAATAGACCGGGTTAGAGAGTTGAAGACTGACCTCTCTAGATCACTTCACCACCGGGCTCTATGAGGCAATGAGGAAGGTCGCAGACAGCAATGTGGGACACGAGCATCTGCCCTATGTGATGGAGCGACGAGCCTACTACGGAAGCTTAACCACAAGTTCTATGCGAGGGTAGGCTTATCCTTGTTGGGCTTGCTGCGCACTGGGTGCGCGAACCACTCGTACTCGTCTCACCACTCACGAGAACAAAGGTGCCGCGAGCGTAGTGGCGGACGTTCTTTGTATTCATGATGGTGTGGCGGGACAATGGATGCGAGCCACTGGTCACTGAGCCAAGCACAATATAAAGGAGGGTACACGGGTGATTCTGTTTCAACGTCTCTGACTGTCCTCGTCTTCCTGCTTTCGGGAATCTGTAACTCTAACCTCCTATAGCTTCCCAGTTTCAAAGAATTCGCAAAACACAATGATCGGACGTGTCAACTCGCCAGCCCTTTTCTCCACGAACGGGCCCGCCGGCGGGTCCAATACTGTTTCTTCGTTCCACCAGGCTGTGGCACATACGCCTTACGACGCTGTGCGCCAGGATATTCTATCAAGGGTCAGTTCGCGTTATTACATGTATGCACGGAACAGCTTTGACTTACTTTGTCATAGCCACTATCGCCCTCTCTTTCCCTGACGCATACATCCGCATCAGACACGATGTTCAGCCGACTCACGGACTCGACGGGTGGTTTCGGCAACCGCATGGACGACTTCACCGAGACGTGGACCAGCGTTTCAGACACGATGACATCCTCTTCATCAAATTGGTCGTCAGATATCCCGGACAACGAGGTCGATGATGTGGCGGAAGCTGAGCCTGAGCCGCCTGACGTCGTCCAGTCATACCAATTCCGCGGGGTGTACTTCGACAGCGTGCGGACGATCGTAAGGCCAAATCCGCGATTCGCCGCGAACGCGAACATATACCCAGCGATGGGGATGGCAGAGTCCAGCGTGTCGCTCGCTACGGCAATAGACTGGGCAGAAACTGCGGTGCCGTCTGGCGTCACCTCGATGTCAGGCAGTTCAACTCCCGAACGGCCGTTGACGCCTCCAACTGCTATGGATGCTGTTGAAGCCGCGAGGTGCGTGGCTGAGCAAATTGCGGTGCGGCAGCACTTCGAGGAAGATGTCGAGTTCCGTGACCACGAGTGGCTCCTCGAACAAGCGGGGTGTGGCCGTGTTGAGATATGGGTTACAGAGGAGCACAGTATGGAATATCCTGACAGGCCAAAGGTCTTCTCCCTGCCTTCGAGTCCCCGCCACTGAACGCAGGGGGGCGTCGACGTCAAGAGACGATCGTCCTACATCACCCTCCTTTTATTCTGCAGCGTGCTTTGTTTCCTAGTTCTGGTTTCGTATCAAGCCTTTCTGTGTGTAATGTATTGCCAAAGCATTGTTCAGATACTGCACCGTGCGAGTCAAGGGCTTTGACTCGGCGCCATTCAACGCCGGATTGACCCATCGGGATCTGCCATATTAAGTAACTACGGCGCATTCCCACGTGACTGACTGACTTGCTGTGCCAGGCGGGCACATCCTGGACCTGGATACGCCTCTACCCTCTCCTTCCCCTCTCATAACCTTTCCTCACCCAACAACGAAATTCAAGGCGGAGGCATTGCTCTGCACTTCGGCCAATCGCGCCTGTACACCGCTGGTCTTGTCGCGGCTTACCTAATTACTCCAGACCCACGGGTACTCATCCGACGGGCTGTTCAGCGCGCGGCTTTGCTTCCGTCCACGCAGCACCCGATCCTCAAGTGATAAGCCGAGACCATTGTTCACGCCTTTCTTTGTCCTCATCCGACCTCTGGGACAGGCCTAGACCAAAGTGGAAGGCCGCGTTGGCGCGGAGTCACTACTTTGTGCCACTCTCACCCATCCCTTCTCGCCTTTGTTCTGCCACCCCCAATACCTCAGCCACCTAGTTGCGCCTTTGCGATGGGCATCGACGGTCCAAGCGCCGACATGGATGCTTCTGAGTGGGAGATAGTGGCCCCCGAGTGGTGGAGGACCTCGTTTCGCTCTATCTCATGGGCGTTTCCACCGACGAGACGGCAACGTCCTCAATCGCGGATGCCAGTCTTCAAGCCCCTCATCGCAGGATCTGGGAGCTACGCAAGGCCCCCGCATTATCACGATCTGCTGCATAGGACCAGGCGGAGAGAATTGGTGCAGCAGGTTACAGAGGAGGAGTTGGAGCCCAATTCGGCGCTACCAGGTGTAAAGTGCGCTGAAGAGGCGATCAGGCCGTACGAGATCGACGTCGGAATCCGGTCTTCTGTGGACACCCCGCGGGTGGACTACCGCCCATTGTTTGCAGGCCTCATCGAGGAGGAGGAGCTAGCGCTGGCACAGCATCGATGGAACGAGCAGGTGCAGGGTTTACTCGGTGGTGTCCTCAAGCCGGCGACCATCTCAATAGAGATTCCGTCGTCACCAGGGCCCGACGCAAAGCTGTGGGACCCTCTCGACAGCCCATCCAGCGTCCCTGACCTGGACACCGCCAACTCAGAGCTTTCAGTCGAAAGTGACCCGCTACCGACAACTCCACGAGGTATGCACGCACAGATCCCGGCATCGATCCTTACTGGCGATGTCGCCTCTCCCCACCCCAGCAAGCCGCTGAATGCCGCAGCGGTGTCTTTTATCCCGTCGGCACCCACGCCCTCGCCACCCAATTCACGGTCTCCTGACTCGGCCATCCACTCACCATCGCCGATTCACGAGTTTGCATTCCCCTCCCTGACCGCGGACAATCCAGCGGCCTCGCCGGCGGCGCGCAAGCGTCTGCTACTTCAGAAGGACCCCGAGGGGTTCTACCACCCGGTCGAGGGGTCAGAGAGCCGGGTTGATAGCCACTCGACCCATTCAGTGACGCCCCGCCGGGCGTCTGCGGACCTACTCCCGGCTTTCCTTGCAGATGGCGCGAACACGGCGCGGACGCGTAACCGCATGCCCTCACGCACCCGCGAGATGGTAGATCGCGCCCGGTCAGGGCGTCTAAGCAAGAAAGCGGGTAGTAAGGGTAGCAAGGATGCTACTGATACGTTCCCCCCGCCTTCAGTGTCTCTCACGGCCAGCAAGCCAAAGGAGAAGCCGAAAGGGGAAACCTCGCGGACTGCTGCTGAAGGTGACGGCTGGATTCGTGATGTTGCGTCTGATCCATGCCGTACTGAGGATGGTTGGATTGCAGGGAATCCTGTCAACCCCACTCAGGCGACCGCGAATCCACCGCGCACGAACGGGCACAAACGTCAGCAGAAGCAGGGACACAAGCGCTCCACAAGCAGCACGTCGTCCTTGACTGGTTCGGCGTCGGGTTCAAGCGGGTCTTTCTCCCCCGTGACGCCGTTGTCGAATTTCGGGACGCTACCACAGACCGCGCCGTCGTTTGCGCAAATCCAAGCCGTCCCTTTCGCCGGACCGCCGCCGTACATGCAAGCGCAGCTGGAGGCGCAGATCGCCCAGATCCAGGCGCAGCAGTGGCAGATATACGGGCGTGGCATCGGCGCAACTGCGCTTGCACACTACGGCCCGCCATGGGCGTACTTCCCCGCTGCTGCCACCGCGCCGCCGCCATCGCTATACAACGGGGCGAAGGGTGTCGGCATGATGGGTGTGCGGTGGTGAGTGCTATCTTGCCGTCGGAACGAACTCATTGCTGACGAATACTTTGGAACGTGTAGATGGTCTCCTCTCCGGCCTTTGCGGGCCTTGCATTGTTTCATTCGTAGTAGTTTTCGTTCACATATGCTGCCCTTAGCGAACGTTCCTCTCATGCTCTTCTCGCCGTTCAGTTATTTGATATAAGTAGTTTATACAGTTGCGGTGCCGTGAGTGTATCTGGTTCACTGTAGACAGTTCTGGGAGCTCTGGGACCGGCCCGCACGTCTTGCAATCGGACTCTGGTGTCTTGTGTTATACATGCAATGTTGTACAGTTCGAGAACGCGAAATAATATGTATTGAAGTCCCAAGTGAGTTGATGCATCTGTTGTGTTCGATGGCACATGCGCCCCCATGGCTTCGGCGAAAGTGAAGGACCATGCACGTTCATACATTCAGTTGGTGCTACAGTACAAGATCTTCTCTATACAATAATGTGCAATCATCTCGTGTAGCCGTTGTGGCATGCGGAATTTACCAAGTTGCTGCGTCCGTTATGTATTGCGAACGGTTGCCGGACACTTGCAGTTGACGGACCCTGTGTCTTCCCATTGCTGCTTGCATGCTTAGTCCAGGGGGGATCATTCTCCTGCTCTTGTGGCGCCTTCGGCCGCGACATACGTGCCTGCTCAAAAGTGCGAATCAGAGCATCGAGATCATCGGCGTCCGAGATGAGGGCATCGGGTTTTGTGCGGGTTTGCGACAGGACTGTCTGGGAGAGCTATGTTGATGTGACACATCAGAACCCGCGCGTGATTTGTAGGCAAGTACCGCACATACCCGTATCGCCTCAGAGTCATATCGTTGGGCCTTACGAAGTTTGCTCGGGGCGGGCGGGCGACGGCGTTTAGGGCGCAGGGAGGGCTTTGCTAGGCTGGGAGCCGGTGCCTCGTAGTCCGCAGTGAGGGAGATGTCGCCGTACGCCGTGAGGGTGTCAGGTTCGTCGTCGCTATCAGCCAAGCTTCCCATTTCTGCGTGAGGCTCGCGCGCGGAAGACAGCATGTCGCACGATGGAATGGCGTGTGCCTGCCGAGCGGGTGTCTAGTTACCATATCAGCCTGCATGACATTCCTGGAGGGATGCATATACGCACATTATCATAAGGCATAGTCTTGAGGCAAGTCGCACCTGTGTCGATTGTTACGCCCAGTAGTAGATAAGTCTTACGTTCAGGCATTTTGATTCCGGCCAGGACTGAGACCAAATCGTGTCCGACCACGAAGATCGCGATCGCAGGAGGACAAAGGACCGGAACGTCCTGATCAAGCTCGAGATAGGCAGAACATGAGCAAATAAAAGAAGGGTCAGGTAAATAAATCATAGTAACGAGCCGGGCAATAGAATCTCATGCTTAAGAATGACCGCCTTGCGACTGGACATAGCACCACAAGAAGTTGATTCCCATGCAGAGTCCTTCGTTCACTTAGACGTATGGACTTATTCTATACAGAAACATTTCGTCTCTATCAGCCATAGCAGGATGTAGAAGGAGGAACCAAGGCGGCCTGAGTGAAATCAAGAGTCAACCACTGAGAAGTCCGCGGAGAGAATGAGCGCTCGACAACATGAGCACGTGATCGCGTTTGTTGCGCCACGGCGCGTCGCGTCTCTTGAGTCTGTCATCTCTGGGACTGCGAACTTTTGAATTTCGCACCCTTCTGGCTCTCACAACTCTCACCTCTTACAACAGAAGTTATCTCTCCCGCAACAGAGAGTTAGGCTCACATATAAGATGTCGCATCGCCTGCTTTATCGCGGTGCTCTCACTTTGCCCGATTCACATTTACTGCTCGATGGCGTCAGCTTCACGGCGGCGCTTTCTACGGGGGAAGACGAGATAGGGAAAGATTCCAGCAGGAACTTGGGATTAGACCTGCTCAACCACCCGCTTGCACTAGCTTTGGAGAGTATGCGTGGTCGACCGAGCCTGCACTTTCTTGGCGCAATCAAACTTTCGGAGGTCTGGATCGACGAGAAGAGTACAGGTGTCGTCAGCATGTAAGTCTCACATGAGATTCATGCGAATGATGTGGTTTATGTAGCGCCACTGAAGGGACGTCCATCCACAAGCAAGCCTTACCAGAATGTACTTCGAGACGTTGTTCTGCCTGGACGGAGGCATCACTCCATTCGGCAGGAGTGAGTACGGCTTCCGTATAAGCCTCAGCGATAATGGTGCGTCTGTTAGTGTTGCATATACTTCAACCTCTCAAAACGGCCCTGGGTAAGATGATCCAAGTGCGAGCGACATCCTCGTATACGCTCAGGTCTCGGCAAATGACTGCGCTGCTAGCATGATAGACCATCCATCAACCTCAAATGCACCGTCAGAGCCGATACAAATTGTCGCTGCTCGCCTCCTCCCTGGTCCACCTCCTGCACCCGTACCAGCTCGACCAAGACCCGACGACCCGACACCTCGCATTCCGCCCTCTGCCCTTGCATCGAAACGGAAGCGCGACATATCTCCCGCAGGACAAGATAAACGAAGCAGAACCACAACGGATAGGGGCAAGGAGAAAGCCACCGCTAACGACATTGACGCGGAGGCGTTGCGCAAAGCGCGTGAAACGATGAAGCGCATGCCGAAGCCTTCGACGACTTCGACTGCAGCACCAGTAGCCGCAAGGGCAAATGGCAAGGAGAGTAAGAGGGGGGAATTCAAGGTTCCCAAAGTGCCACAATGGACTGAATCAGTACCAAGTCCTATGGACGACGGGGATATGTTCGGGGCAGGCTACGCGGCGGGAACACCGGCCCAATCTCCGGAAGAGCAGGAGAAAACGAATAAAACGGCAAGTCATTCTCCGTTTGTCGTCCGACCAGGCATGCTCATGTGTGTCCTCAGGTCGTCAAGCAGGCTACCGTACGCTGTCTGGCGGATCATGCGATCAACAAACAGCATCCAGAGTTCAACGACCTATACCAGACCATCTATCGTGGAGCATCCTTTGCCCTGGTGGGTGCATCCGCTTACTTTCAACCTCGGCCTTCCTGACGTTCCGGCTGTCGTCACTCATAGCGATCGCAAATGCGCACAGGACCTGTGGATTTGTGGTCCGTCTACAAGTTTGTGGACGCGCATGCAAAATTGTACGTGCTAAGTCCAGCCTAGGACAACCTGCTATATCAGCGATCATCATCTGCTTTCTCTCGCTTTGCTGCCAACCTTTCTTGCTTTCGGACAATTATACAACAATTCTCGTCAGTTGTACATTACATCACATCAACACATATAGGCGAAAAGCAATTACAATTAATTGTGATTTCTTGAGGTGCTATGATTTTTTGAACTTACCTTGATCTGACCCGGAGACCACGGATGCCATCGCAAGACGCTGAAAGGGCTGAGAATGCCCGTCGTGTTGCTCCGCACCCACAATAGACGTGTATGTAGATAAAGTATTCTAAACAAATCTGTCAGAACCACTTCCCCCCCATGATCTTCCAAAGCCGCTCCCGCATCGAGACCCGGATGCGCTCCTCCTCCTCCTTCTCCCGTTCACGCTCGCGCTTCTTCTCTTCCTGCTGCTGCTCCGCCACAGCCGTAAGTTGTGCAGGCAGCGGCGTGCGCGCGACGTGCCGCGCCTGTTCGAGAATGCGCTCGCGCCGCGAGAGGCCGACCTTTTGTGGGGGCGGAGGCGCGGGAGTGTGCGTGTCTACTACCGATGCGGTTGCGGCGGAAGAAATCAGGTCCTCCTCACCCAAAGCTGCAGTCTGCTCGACAAGCGAAGGCGCCAGCGGTTCGCTTGCTTGAACGTCTCGGTCCGGTACGTCAAGCGTTTCCGCTTGCACCGTGCTGTCCTCCGGCTCCTCCTGAACATCGATACCGCGCTTCCTCTGCCACTCGCGCACTATTTGCGCGCTCTTGGTGCGTGCCTGCCGCATGAAGCGCGTCTTGTCATCAATCGCGCTGTCTCGCGGCGTATAGAAGCCACCCCATGCGCCGAAATGCTGGAAGACCCCGATGTCTACGCGGGAACGCGTGTCCACTGCGCCCGGGATCAGGACAGCCGTTTCTGCGGGGAAGCGCTTGGTCAGACCGGCCTACGATGCGGAGGAAGGAAAGGTGTCGCACTTGAACGCTCGACTCTGACGTCGACCGTCACCGTCTCCTCTACCACCGCCTCGTCTGACTTGAGGACATCGAGGGACTCTTGTGTTGGGTCCACGTAGTTCTGGGGCTTCAGAAGCCGGTAGAGGTCGTCGAGACCGACGCCACCCTGGCGTGTCGAGTTCACGAGAGGTACCTCTATTTTCAGGACGGTAGGGTCCCGCGGGACACGGTCCATGGATTCCGAATCCGCAAAGCGTGCCCAAAAGTAGGGTAAATATATATTTGGGACGTTCGTGTCCTGAGCGAAGAAGAGTGTATGGTCAGCACCTTCCGGCGCATGTGGCGCACAGATTCCATGCTCGCATGTAAAGCACGACAGCTCATGACTGGGCAAACTCACCCGGCCAACTTGGTACTCTCGTATACGCCCAAACTGTCGCTCGAGTCCTCGAATAATTGCGTACAGTTCTACCATCGACGAGATGCCGTCCCATGGCCGCACAAATATTGTTTGCAGCCTCGTGCTGACATTCTTTTCATGCATGGTTTCTGGACTAGATGCATGCAAGAAGAGGTCCGCCGACGAGGATGAGGCCTCTGGAGCAGCCTCAGTTTGCAAAGCTCGTCGAGTGCATTGGCAGAGAGCCGCGCGTGAAATATTAGGTCGCAAACATAGCCCCGCAAGTCTAAGGTCAGCGGGCAGCATGCTAGTCGAAGTCGACGCTGGCGATGAGCTTGAGAACTACGCTCGGCATCAAGACCTGCAATACGATCGAGTCACGTGCGCTATGCGATTGTCTTTTGACTTGAGCTTCAGGAATCGGGGCACTTGAGAATCTTTCATTATGATTTGATGTTGAAATTGTATGTTTTTGCTGCTGCAGCACTCGATATTTCCTGAAGAATTGTTTGTGTTTCGAGAACATCAGCGCTGATATATATATTGTGGTCTTAAATTGGTGAAGTCAATCAAGTCGTGAGAGACAATATCTTCCAATTATACCATCAAGCTGTCGGATGATAGCCCTCAACTATTTGCCACAAACCTCCCTAAGTAGCCGCAATTCATGGCACAGGGAATACTCCACCACGCCGCCTCCAAGTTCCCGCTTTGCGCCTTACAGACAAGCCCTTAATGCTTTGGCAGAACGCACGCGCACCCCGCTACCATCGCTTGTATTCTCATTTGCAATCCTTCACGAGATCACGGCTATAGTCCCCCTCATAGGCTTCTTCTATGGAGCACGCACGCTGAAAGCGGGAGACAGGCTCATAGCATCACTCCCCGAGCGCATCGATGATTCCGAGTTGATAGCTCCAGGAGAAGGCTGGATGGCGGCCAAGGGCAGGGAATGGTGGAGGGAGGGCACATCATGGGCTGAACGCGTCGGAAGGCGGTATGGCATATTCGGATTTGAGAAACGCGATCATGGCGAGCAAGTCGGGGGTCCCGTGAAATCAGCGGTTGCAGGAGGCGTCTCAGCCGACGTGGCAAACGCGGTGGTTGCATACTGTCTAACCAAGGTACGTGCCTTCGACTTCCAAGTATGCAGCGAACGCACTCAGTGCTTATGATCATGAATATCAAGGCATCCATGCCCGCACGCGTTGGCGTTTCCCTTTATTTGTCTCCAGCGTTTTCCCGCCAGGTGGTCGAGCCTGTACGCAGAGCAGTCATCCGAGTGTTCCAACGTCAGTCCAAGTGATTGTGTAGGGGGCAAAGCCTTCGATACCTATGATAGCACAGGAATTTGAACTCTGGGCTCAGGTTGTGTAAAATGACAGAGTATCAATATGGGTTATTTATGAATATTGATATCCAACATCCCGGCACCGAGTGTTTGCTCTCAGCAAACGGATCTCATCTAAAATCGATCAGAATTTCCATGCCAGAGAAAACCTCCGGCCGATCGACGCGCCACTAGGAAAGCGTGCGAGTATATGCAGTGAGTCCCTCCGGGCGGCGGCTATACAGTGTATTAACACAGACGCATACACAGCACGACCTGCGAATGTTCGTGTTTCTGAGCATAGTTGGCTAATTCTGTAGCAAGCGAACCCTGAGTTGGCGATTGGATTGCCAATACATGAGTCCATCCGACAGAGTGTGAACGACCGACTTTAGCACCAACATACGACATGTGCTTGCGGCCAATGTAAAGCTCGCCGCGATGGTGTGTTGGGGTCCGGGTGGACATTTCTTATAATCTCAGCCGATCAGCGACAGCCAGTGCCCACAACCATCGACAGAACGGGTAGAAAGGTATGCATAGAGGTTTGACATAACAGACAACATATTGATACAGGCTCTTCGTAATCAGAACAAAGTGCACAACGACAGAGCACAACAACAGAACAGAAAAAAATCAAGAAAAATCATGTCCGATCTGATAGCCTCCAGAAGCCAGGATATTCTCCACATTTGGGGCGTCCTTCTCTCCTGGATGTTGTTGATTAACGAATGGTAAGCTTAGTGCTTCGGGACTGGGGCGAGTGCGCTCAAGAATCGAGCGGTAGAAGTCCGCTTCGGTTTCTCCACGGGCCAAACAAGTGGGCTTACGTACATGGCGTGGCGCCAGGTCGGGTGGTACTGCTCGGGACGGTCTGAGTCTTTGGGCGGCGGCCGAGGAATTGCCTGCGCGTCATCTTCATGGCCTGCAAGAGCTTCTTCTTCTTCTCTCCACATATCATCCGATCTGCCAGCATCCTGCCTTTGTGCTGGTTGCGCCGGCCTTCTCGCCGTGGCCGGTCGAGACTTCACGAGTTTCTTGCTGGACGCGCCGGCGCCAGCCCTAGAGGTGGCACTGAAGCTGACCGCGCCGTTGCCGTGGTAGCGTATAGTCCTCTCGACGCTTGTGGCCGGGTTGTCGGAGCGCGTAACAGGCTGGCCTTCGAGGCCATATGTCAAACGAGCGTGTTCCCTGATTAAACGAGTGTGGTTATGGTGGTAGTGGTGGTCTTCGGACTCCTTCTCGACGAGTGTGTCCTCGTCGCAGTCGTCTTCGGTGTGCTTGCCTTTTGTGTCGCCGGCGACCTCAACGTCCATGGTGCCGGTGGTGGCCGCGTTGTGGCGGCCCCTCCACGCCCCTGGGGGCTTGCCGTGTGTAATCTGCCACGACAAAGGGTGAGTGTCCACTGCTCGTCAGCCACGAGAGGACGAGACACGCAGTGCGCTGACCTCTTCCAGTGCGGCGCGCATTTCCCAGGGTAAGGAATCCCGCGAAGGCGTCACAGGCGTGACGACGATCTGAGGGTTCGCCACGGCGTTCATGGTGTCGAGCAAGTTGAGGAATAAGCACACGACTGAGAACTGGAGACAGTGCTGCAGTGCACTGGGGGATACCAAGCGTCGTCTGCCTGTCCTTTATATTCACGTCCGCCGTCCCCGCTCTTCACTTGTAAGCCGACGTGGTCACACTTCTGACCTCGCAGAGTCGGCAAAAGGTACCGCGACGCAAGCCTCGGCGGTTCACGTTTCAACGCGCTCCACCGCGCTTGTGCATCTCATTGGCTAGACCAGGGATCGACAAGAAACAGAACAGATGAATTGCGCGAACAATGCAGGTACCGATACAATGATAACCCACATCAGGTCTGAACGACAATCTCCCAATCGCTAGTGACGCTCAAATCGGGATCCTTGACGACCAGCACGCTTGTGGTGCCCTGCCTCTTCTCGGACGCAGTCACACCGGGCGTAAACTCCCAGTAGAGATCCCTGCCTCCAGCTTGGACTTTGTTCGGCTTAGACGCCAGCCCGAAGACCACGACGCGCTCGACGCGTACTCCCAACATCTCCTTCACGAATGAATTTGCAATGTCGTATGTGGCTAGCGCTACGCCATCGACAGCCTCCGAGGGCTTCTGCGCGGCAAGATTGCGGCTGCTGATGCGGACGCCTCTCGCTTTCTTGTCTGACGTCGCGACGAACTCTCGCCAAATGAACTGACCGTCCTGATGGGAGAATGTCACTCCGTCATCCAAGTATAGTTCTCCGTGCGCTTCTCCAGCGGCGTTGAGAGCCACCCGTAGCGTGAAAGGATCGTACTTCATGAGAGGCGAGGACCTCCTGGGTCGCTCGCGTGTCGAAATGATGGAGCCACCCCGGATGAGCAATGGAACTTTCTCGAGCTCGGCAGGTACGGTGACATGTTTGCCCTTAGCCGCGCCTCGGTATGCATAATGGTTGAAGTAGTCGTAGTAGACCTAGACCGTCCAAGGTGAGTCAACCACACCAACGTTTGCTTCCATACACACTGACCTGATCGTCAGGGAGATACACCGAAGTCTCTGTGGCACCCTTCTCGCAAATCGGCTTCACCAACAACCCAGAGCTACCCACAAAGTACTGATCATCGAGGGCAAAGCCCGCCTCATCATGGGGGAACGCGACGTAGTGCGGCCTCAATACAGGCAGGCCCGTCACACTGGCCTCCCGGAAGGCGGTGTACCAGACAGGCAACATGCTGTACCGCAAGCGCAGGAGGCTGCGGATGATGCCTTTGTAAGGCTCGTCCAGAAGATATGGCTCCCGCCGCTTGGTGTCGATGTGCGCATGGGCGCGGAAGAACGGCGAGAAGATGCCCACTTCGTACCAGCGAACCAGCATCTCAGGTTCTGGGTTGCCAAAGAAGCCACCGACATCGGCTAGAGACATGTCCGTCAGAAGAGGTGCATGTTGTACCGGGAACGATAACTTACATCCTGCAAAGCTGAAGCCGCCGATATTATTGGCCAGCACCATGCGCACACCGACGGCCATGTGTTCCCAAGTACCGAGGTTGTCTCCCGTCCACATCGCACCGAACCGCTGAGAGCCAGCATAGAAGGAGCGAGTCAGGACAAACGGCCGTTTTGGCGGGTCGGAGCGCGCCTTGAGGGCCTGGAACGTCATGTTGTGCTACGTGGTGGGTGAGTGCCTGTATAAGAACCTGTTGAACCACCACTCACGAACAGCATGCCGTTGATGTTGTGGACGTCACGGTGCTCCCAACCGCCGTAGTGCACGTTGTCGCGGGGCATGCTGATTTCGGGCCCGTTGAAGACGGAGGGCTGTTACTTCCAGGTCAGCATTTGAGTATCTTATGATTGATCATTTTCTCATACCTCATTCATGTCATTCCAGATGTAGGTATCGACAGTACTTTCGGTCCAGGTCCACTTGTCGCCTTGCGGAGCGGTCTTGAACAACGACGTCCACCAGTCCCAGCTCTCAGGGTTGAAGCCGTCTACCCAGGCAGCGCTGCCACTCCAGCACCAGCCTTCGTAGTCGTTACTTCCACCCGGCGACTTGACGAGCACGCCGCGCTCTTGCGCCTCCTGGTAAACTGGATAGCTCGCCGCCCGCTTCAAGTGGGGATCGACGATCACCACCATCTGCGCCAGCCATGAGTCCAGAGACGCCAACTATATAAAAACATCGCAAACCTTGCGGCCGACCGCCTCGACGTCGCGTGTCATGTCGACAGGGTCGGGGAAGTATTTCTTATCCCAGATGAAGTACTTGTGCTCCTCAGCGTACTCAATATCAAGCCAGAAGACATCCACTGGCATGTCCTCGAGGTCGAAGCGACGCTGCACGTCGCGCACGTCGTCTGAACTAACGTAGTTCCAGCGGCATTGGTGGTATGCCAGCGCCCAATGCGCAGGCAACGCCGGTGTCCCGGTGAGGCGTGTGTACTGCCCGAACACGTCCGCGGGCGTAGAGCCCGGCATCAGGAAGACGTCGAGGATGCCCGACTCGGAAATCCAGTGCGTCTCCGTCGAGCGCGGCGTCGGGTGTGCGACGTCGATCCACGTTTCGGACCCCACAGCGTTGAAGATGGCGACAGTAGACGCCGCCGAGTGCGCGTGCATGACGGGGATTGAGCCGTACAGCGACATGGTCGAGTCTGCGAGGTACTCGAAGACATCTGCGTTGTACAGCCGGTACGGTTCCGAGTAGAACGCATTCTCTCCGGTCGTAGTGGGGAGCGAGAGGCGCGTCGCGTGTTGCGGGATGCCATAGACATGTCCGTGATTGGGGAAGGAGATATCAATGGACAGTGACTCTGGGCCTGTGTCCGATGTCAGTGACTCATCCACACGGGCATATAATGGTCCCAAATACAAGACCCGCAACATACACGTGCGGGCTACTTGCGATACATTCCAGATCGCATACGAGCATACCACACGCCCTGATATCGATACCTGGGCAAATATATATCACGACCAGGTACATCGCCTATGGTGCTGATAGGGCTGACGAAGCTATTGAATTGCTTGCCGTCTAAGAGCAGAACATGTCTGCCGGCTCTCTGACGCGTCATACGCTCATCGGCGAATTATTAGTCGGAAGACCGATGCAGATATATGCCGGTCTTCATCACTTGCCTAGGCATCATGCATAGGTGTGCTCACGACGAAAAGGCAATGCCCAGCGCAGATCACGCATGAAAAAACGCAAGGTGACTGAGGGCACACCGTAATTGGTGTAAGGCGATTTATACACGTACCCTTGGGCTTAGTGTCTGTCCACGAACCAAATTGCTCTTCCCAATAGCCATCTTCGGTCTCGCCTTCGAACCAGGCGCGCGAGTTGACCTGCATCACGACCTGAGAATCGTCGCCCTGAGGCTGCTCCACCGGCAGTTTCTCCTCCGCGGACTCCTTCGTGCGGAAGTGCTCCATGTGCAGGAGGCCTCTGCCGTTCAGCACGACTTGCTCCTTGCCATCCCGCAGCAGAGTCACCTTGAGAGGCTGGAACGCCACGACGACCTCGATATCCTTCTTGTCTCCATAAACTGCACGCACGTCGGACTTGCCCACCGACCATTTGATCTCCGGGCTGATATCTGGTTCTGCTATAAGGGCCCACGACGCCGCCTCATCGTAGTGCTTGCGCAGGCCGTTCACCTCGTCCATACGTACCCTTACTACACCATCCTTGTGTACTCGCACGTCGAGTCCAAACTTGACGTCAGGATAGAGCAACGACTTCACGCCAGCCGTGAAGGACGCCTGTCCAGGCAAGACTGAGATGGTTGACGGGTCTATTGAGTATGGCGAGCTCCAGGAAGGATTCTCCTGTGCCCGTGCAGAGAGTGCGCGCCCCCGCCTGCAGAATGCGGCCTGGGTGCATGTCTTGAAGTCCTGTGTCTTGACTGCTAGCGCCGCTGGGACAGCCACCAGCACTAGCAACGAGCTCAATGCTCGCATTTTGCGCTGAATGCAGCTGAAGGGTTTAGGCCTGTATCACTTCTAGCCGTGAAGCTTCTAGCGGCGTATAATATGAGGGACTATGCCGCGAGGACCGAGACAACAAGATTGCAAGCTGTACGTCGCAACTGCGAGCGCTCAATATGCGGAGATGACGGCATGTCACATGTAACTCGGTCCTCGAAACTTCAAGTACATGTTTCTTGCAGGTCTCAATAAATATCAACATCGTTATTCTAACTGTGTTCCTGCTTAATACACTTAACACCATGCAACAGCCCTCACCGGACTGCCATCACATCCCGCCAAATTGAGAGGCAGCAGGGAAACCACTGGCGCCTCCCACCCACTGTCAACCAGCTTGTCCAATCCAGTCAGATTCTCCACAATGATTCCGCCTTGCCCCAGAACAATGCGATGCACCTTCCCCGTGTCGCCTTCGTCGGGGGTAAACTCGTCCGGACTCAGCGTGTCCGTCCCGATCACTCGCACGCCTGTCTCCAAGATCCGCCGCGCCGCGTCCGCGTCCAAGAACGGATGGTCGCTGTAGCCTGGTTTGCCCCAGTTCCGTGACCAACCCGTGCACAGGAGCACCACGACGCCCTCGCGCATCTGCCTCGCGTGTGGCTGCAGGTCTGACCAGGTGATTGGCTCGTGCGTTTTCTTCGTACGCATGTCGACTACGACCGCAGGCGCGGCTGCGAGCAGCGAGAGATCCAACGCATCCACCGCGCGCCCGTCCGCAAAAAAGTGGTAAGGCGCGTCGATATGCGTGCCCGTGTGGGAGGCCATTGTGAGCGTGTGCACGGTCGCGAAGGCACCGTCGGAAACGTGCGTGAGGAGCCGAGCAGTGTAGGATGGATGTCCTGGGCACGCCGGTACGCCATCGGGGATGAGGGGGTGGGTGAGGTCGATCACCGTGCGGGATGTTGCGACATGGCCAGTCAAAAGCGCAGGCGACGGCAGGTTAGCTCCGGACATCGTGTATTAGTGGTCGCATGTTGCTAAACGCACGAGCTTTATTTGAGACGAAGTAAGAAAAAGGGTTGCATGGATCATGCCAGGAAAAACATCGGAAGCCGTCACAGGATATTTCGGAACACGATCCGACGCATGTCACAGGGATGATCCATGGACTGGCGGCTGTGTACATTGGGCTCGTTTCAGATCAAAAGGAGCGCAGTGGGTGCACCAGAGGTAATGCGGGTGAGCGACGGAACAGCGTCTGTACTCCGCGTGAGGACGGAGGCCACCAAGGGCCGGTATGTGGTGGCAAGGGAGACTGCAATACCTGATACAACCTAAGATAATCAATGTCCAATGGAGGCTTAAAAATCGCTCTATAGATCCGAGAATGCTAGGCAACTCACCTGGTCAATATTGCGTTACCATGCGCCCTTTCGGTATCCGCATGCGCAAATGGGATCTGAATCGCCGCCACCAATCCTCAACAGCACTATACCGACCATTCAAGAACCAACTGAATCACCGCGACGGCACCTCCAGTCCCAGAATAGTACGATGCGCGTACAGACGTCAATGAGCAACAGGCCCCATAGGCCCTGAAACTGACAGAGGTAGGCCATGCCAATTGTTCAGAAGCTCTTCGCACCTTCTCCTTCTCTCGAAGGATGTTTGAAGTACATATTGCATTGAGACCAGCCTGTAGGCAAATGCATACCTAGTCTATCGCCAAGCCGAATACGAATCTGCGTCTGCCCCTCGTACGTCTCTGATTATGGCCCTAACGAGGACATTGTGATATGGCGAGATAGATGATATGTAAGAGGACGACGAGACTTTGAGGACGATAAGCGTGATGATGGAGGTTACAGTTGAACCATCCTCGTGGCATGCTCGATTGTGATGTGACACGGTCACGTGACGCAGTTCAGACGCGCTTGCGACGCGTCTCCGACTCACCCTCAGCCACGACCTGTGCTGTGTAGACGAGTTGCGCCGCCATCCAGCACACACCGCTGAGATACAGAATGTCTCTGAAGCTACAAACCCCCTCCGAATTCCCTGCATTCCCATTCAAGCCATATGATATCCAACTTGACCTGATGCGCCATCTTTATGCATCGGTAGAGGACCGGAAGATAACCATCGTGGAAAGTCCTACAGGCACTGTGGGTAACCACTCTTCGGAACATATATGAAGCTGAAATTGTGAATCTACGTAGGGAAAGACTCTCAGCTTGCTATGTTCATCCTTAACGTGGCTCAAGGACGAGCAGGAACGCGCACGTAAGGGCAAGCTCAGTGAGCTTGGCGAAAGCCACGAGGGTGTGTGAAGTATATCTATTCTGAGAGGTATTCTTAAATATGCTGTGCGCTACAAGGACCGGACTGGGTGCTCGCGCAAACACTCGATCGTCGCAGGCGCGAGTTAGAAGCAGAAGACCGTGAGTATGCAGAACGCCTGGGGAGGGCACGCAAAAAGGAGGCAGAGATGCGGAAGCTTGCACGTGCACGGGTGCGAAAGAAACAGGCGAGTCCACCCTAAGACGTAATGTCCGCGCTGCCGTTTACCTGCACCCTGCATTACAGAAAGTCGCTCCCGACGAGGGTGCCCAGGATGACGACGACAGCATCTTTCTGCCGGAAGATGATGGGGCAAACGCCGACTCTGACGATGAAACGAGCAATATATCCCCCGCCGTACGCGCGCTCATGAGCAAGTGAGCATGGAGGAAGGTTGATCGTGTTGTTACTGAAGAGGCTCCCAGATTACGGCAAGGCACAAAACCATCAACACCCGGATCTGACGCAGAGGAAGAGCCTGGGTGCACAAAAATATATTATGCCTCCCGCACTCATACACAACTAGCGCAGGTTCTACATGAACTGCGTAAGCTTAAACTGATGTTGAGTGTTACCTTGGCTTCTGCACCAGAGGAAGCGGCTGCAGTATCAGGGAAACGCCGGCTCCCTGAGGTCGAGAACGATGACGACGTATCTCTTGGCGAAGATTCCAATGCCCGAACAGTGTCGCTAGGATCTAGGAAGCAGCTATGCATCAATGATGAGTTGCGCAAGCATTCTGGAGATCTAGATGAAGCATGCAGACAAATGCTCAGTGGTGAGCCACAGTTATCCTGAGGTTTCCTCATAATGTTCTCAGTCCCGCTCACGAACACCAGAAAAAGGGAAGAAGCGATGTCATTATCTTCCTCCGCCGGAGGACGAATCGAAAATGCTGGATCTGCGCGACCAGATACTTGTCAGTTGGCATTTTGTCATCTTGAAACGGTGGTATAATGTTCTGCGACAGGCATCCCCAAAGGACATCGAGGACCTGGTAGCGACAGGTCAAGATTCAGAGACATGTCCATATTTTGGTTCGCGGCGAGCTATCCGACAAGCGCAAGTAAGCGATGATCCAAAATTATTCGGGTACGACAGTGGCTAAGTCTTCTGCACAGCTAGTTTTACTTCCATACAATCTACTCTTGCAGAAGACAGCGAGAGAGGCACTTGGAATTGATCTCACTGACCAAGTAGTGATCATTGATGAGGCACACAGTTAGTTCTCCATCATACATCTAGCGTTCTTTGCCTTATCGCCATGCTTTACAGACCTGATATCAACCCTGCTATCTCTATCGACCACCCGCCTGCCCCTACGCACCTTGTCTACAGCTCGCCAGCAGCTTTCTATATATCTCTCACGCTTTCGCACGCGACTCACGACTGCGCACGCACTGCATCTCACGCGCCTCGTGGGCTTGCTGGACGCTCTCCAGCGGTATGCCGATGAATGGCAACAGACGCAGCACGCGGGCGATGCGGATCGTCAGCAGACCGACAAGCAGCATACGCAGGGGCCGAAAAGCGGCAATGAGAAGGCTCGCGGCGCAGGCGTGGAGGTCATGACACCCGGAGAACTTCTCCATAGACTTGGTCGGAAGACGGAGGGCGTGAACTTGCTCGAGGTCGAGACTTACTTGCGCGGTAGCAAGGTGTGTTCGTTGTAATATGTGGCGGGTTCACCTTCACGAACTGATCTAACAGATAGCACGCAAAGTATCGGGGTATTCCGTAAAGACTTTGGAGAGAGCGGCCGGTCACGGTGAGTGATCTATCCAGACTCGTAGCGCATAATGGTGGCGTGTTTGCTTGCTGAATTCGATGCTGTGGTTCAGACCCTGTCAAACTGGCGAAAGTCTCTCGACTCTCGAATACAACACCGCCATTGCATCTTGTGGAGAGCTTCATAACCGCACTTACAGCCTCCAATGACGGTAAGTCGCACGAGGCATGATGGTGAAAAGTGATGATCAATTGATACGCTGCCTAGACGGTCGTGTTACATTGTCCCTGGTCGATGGACAAGTAGAAATCAAGTATCAGCATTTGAATCCGTCCACCCATTTTCGAGAGTTAATCGATATTGCCCGATCGATTGTCCTGGCTGGTGGTACGATGTCCCCGGTAAGTACTGGTTTGGCTCTTCCACATAGTCGTTTATGCTTCATGACTCGATGATTCTCTAAGGTATCAGACGTGATACACCAGTTATTTATGGGACTCGAACCTTCCCGTATCAGGACATTCTCTTGCGGACATATCATCCCAACGTCTAACTTACAGACACTGGTTTTGAAGAAAGGACCAAGGGGCGGGGATCTACTGTTCAAGTACGAACAACGGGGCAATCAAGCTATTGTACGTTCCTCTATGCAGATACCGAAAAACTGATGAACCATCGAATTATTTCTAGATAGCAGAACTCGGCCAAATCCTTCTCAACTTCGTTAACGTGGTTCCAGGAGGCATGGTCGTGTTCCTTCCGTCTTACAGCTTCCTTCACACAATGATGTCTGCATGGGGAGGGAGTGGCTTGATGGAGAAGCTCAAGTCCAGGAAGCGGGTATGTGTTACTGTTTTTGGCCATGCGTAAGACTACCCATTTGCACAGGTCTTCTCTGAACCGCAGGATGCTGGCCAAATCGAGGCTGTGCTACGGGAATACAGCGAAGCGATTCACCGGACAGGAGCACTTCTGTTTGCTGTCGTTGGCGCCAAACTGTCTGAAGGATTGAACTTCACCGACGATCTCGCTCGCGCTGTTTTGATCATAGGACTCCCCTTCGCCAATCTCGCATCCCCGGAGCTTCGAGAACGCATGAGCTACGTCAACAGGTTGGAACAGCAGCTCCGTGCGAAAGGTGATGCTGTGACCAAGGGGGCGAGCGCCACAAAGGACGCAGCGACAGAGTTGTATGAAAACATGTGCATGAATGCTGTGAATCAAAGCATCGGTAAGTAAAGCTGATCGCAACGTGGTCTGTCAACGAAGACTCATGGAACACGTTTGCATCGTGCTTTCCAGGGCGAGCCATTCGGCATCGAGGTGACTGGGCATCGCTGATACTGATCGATGGCCGCTACGCTTCATCGCGAATTCGCAACAAACTGCCAAAGTGGATCGGCGGAAACACCACAGTCACCGAGACTTTCGGGCAAGCAATGCGAGAGATGGGCAAATTTTTCCGAGAGAAAAAGGTTGCAGCATCGTAGTCGTAGAGGCAGGATTGTAGCAAGACCCTATGTCTCTTGCGACAAACAATGCCGAATTCGGACGCGCCTGGGAATGACGACAATCGCTCGGAGTGGACGTTCTGGATTCGTACGGTGAGAGTTATCGGGTGCAATGGGCAGGCCGGTAGAACACTCCACGACTGATGGGACTGTTGTACTTCTGATACATGCGGGGGAGGCACACCTTAGACATTCATAATTACTGGAACGTGGTAAACAGTGCATTGGGATCCGATACTTATCATCACGCTGCAACATAGAGAAAGTAGAAAGTAACGGGGTGTAACAGAGACGGGTCAAATAGGATGCGTGATCATAGTGGATAAATAACGGCACTAGATAGTGCAGTGTTGGTGTGGCTTGTTTAGTATTGTCGCCCAGACTCGCGCTCGACGATCTTCCAGGCGGCACTCTCGCAGGCCGGGCATCTGGTCCGATATAGATTCTGTATCCTTTGGATCTCTTGATAGGTCTTTCAAAAAGATATCAGTGCGAGCTACATCAATGGAACAGTTACACACCCTTGGGCAGCCGCAGTTGCGTGCTGTGTGGCGGTGCGCTTTACTCAATGCGCATTGAGAGGAGCCACAATCGACCTTGACCCCAGTCTCATGCAATTTGACATAATGCTGTTCGACATAAATCGGCTGGGGAACGATGCCTTGAAAGCAAGAGACTTGCCTGGCATCCGCGGTATTGATCTCCAATGCTAGCGATCAGAGGGAGTCTCAGCCACGCGTGTTAGGGAGTGATGTCGGACACATTTGACTCACCATTCTACGGAACACATTATAGCAGTAGCAGTGATAGCAATAGACTGTAATGGACTGAGGGCTGACAAGAGGAGAGTCGATGAGGGGCGGAAGTGTTCTTGATGAGCAGACGGTTAGTCTAAGAGAGGGTTATATAGTCTTGCGAAAATAAAACTGAGGTATTGGCCACAATGGTCAACCTGCCACACAAACAAACGGGCCCGCGCGGCGCTTCGAATACTCGCCCAACGAGCGCCAAAGTTCTATAGCTCGGCAGACACGAACCTGAGCGTCTTGTGACCTTGTCCTAACAAATGCCGTCTCGGATAACGGAGTAATCAGGCGAAGAAGCATCCCGAAAGGGAAGAATCTGGCGGGATGCTATGAGAAATATGACATTAGGTATTGATTTGAATGGCCGTACCGGCGGCTTGAGCAGATGTTCCGTGCGGCAGCGGCCACGTTGATCAGATCGAGAAAGGCCCGCGGAGATCTTGGTCGTACTCGTCCTATCTAGACAAGAGACTGAATTTGCGCCGCTGCAAGGTATTTGGCTTCCAGCCAACTTCAGCAGGTCCGAGATGAAAAGACGATCAGTCACAGTCATCTATCTGAGACATATAAAAGCTGCTGGACCCGCTCGACTCATCTCCATGACGCTGAGGTATTGCGCCGAAGACCGAGACTTGCAGACTTGTTCCGTTGAATTGGCGCGATACACGACGTTGAGACATGTCGGGCGCGAAACTCACTGACAGTGCTTCTATGTAGCCACCCCATCCACCCGCTTGGCTTAGATGCAAGGAGCTGGCGCCAAGATCGATTTACAGAGAAAACGCAGAGCTAGAACATATGGAGCAACCTGATGTCAAGGACGGTCAACCATCGGGCCTTTCGATCGGCTTCGAGCGCTCGTCGTCTGCGCTACGACTCCGACCGATAATTCAAATGCCAAAGCTGTGCTTATGATGCCTCCAGGCAACTGCACAGCGGACAATAGAGCAATGAGAAGTGGGCGAGAAAGCACCAGGACCACCTAGCACTCATGGCGCGGGGATCACAAACATAGGAAGTGCGCCGGTGGACATTCACATTTAGCTGGGCCGCCCGCTGACTCGACCACAAAAGAGGCTGGACGGGCGAAGAAGACCCCCAATTCTCCCCACTCACCGCCAGTATCATGGGCATGCGCTTTCCGCGAGCCAACAGAGAAGCATCCGTTTCACACGTGGGTATCGAACCAGGCAATGACTTCGCTGCATGACCGCAGCGCATCCTATGGAACAGAGGGACTCTTAGTGAGGTGTATCAGCAACAGATACGGGAACACGCATGGTTCGCACCTTACACTACACTCCGTCACTGCGGGTATTCGTAGAAACCCTTGCCGCTCTTCTTCCCATACCACCCTGCGTCTACCATGCGCTCCAGGAGAATACTGGGGCGGTATTTGGAGTCCCCAGTGCCTACGTAGAGCGTTTGCTGGATGGCTAGGCACGTGTCCAGGCCGATGCTGGTTCTCAGGCGGAATACGGATAGAAGGCGCCGCGTTTCATCAAGATGGGCGCGACAAGGTACAGGGCACCGATCAATACTCCAGTACAAGTGACTCGATCGAGACTCACAAATCGGCTTCACAGAGTAGAAGTAAATGGTCCAGAATAGTGTGTGAGCGTAATTGCAGAGGACGTAATCAATTGGTAAAGGGGCACAAACCTAATTGCAGGGGACCCATCGGATGATTCATGCCCAGCTTCAGTGTCTTGTCGATATCATCTCGCGTCGCCACGCCCTATAGATATACAGCCGTTTGTTGACGTTCGGAACACAAATCCCTTGCGCCACGCATTACCCACCTTCTCTAGACACATTATGGCCTATCCGCGGTACAGAATTATAGCCGATCCGTTTGCGGAAAGCACCCCAAGATGATCCACAGACAAGGCGCAGTTGGGGCAGAGAGGGTGTTGGTGTCCGTGACAGCATGAGATCCTTCCATGCTCTGAGGGCACGCTGAAACGCCACGCACCTCATTGATGAAGGGCATGAGGAGCGCATTAGATACGAAGCCTGGCACATCCTGCGATGTGGTCACCTCTACCACGAAGCTATCAATCACTGTCCAACGGCGGGCCCGTAAGTGCGCGGGTGACGTACCCTTGCCGCATGCCACCGCGAATGCCCGGGCGCGCTCGAGCGTCTCCGGCGACGTTTGAAGGGCGGATATCAGCTCCACGAGTTTCTACTCATTGTGGAGTGCAGTTCCACACAGGCAACCGTCAAGATGTGGTGTGGTAGAAGAGTCAACGCCCGATAAATTGACCGTGTAAGCAGATGTCCGGTACACGTTTTTCGTGAGTCCGCATTACGTACCATGACTGGCACAGGATTGAAAAAATGAAGACCTGCGGACAATTTGTACGTCTTTCATACTGTCTGGCACAGCATCGACGCACCGACAACTCGAGCTGCGCTCTTTCTGCCCTGCTCATCGGCGGCAGAGTGGCCCTCTGGAATTGTTGCCGCAGCAATCTTCGTGATACTAATCGATGACGTATTGGATGCAAGAATCGTAGTTGGAGGTAGTTCAGCAGATAATGTTCGGAACAAGGACTGCTTTAGTGACAAATTCTCTGATACTGCCTAGCACAAGTAGTAAGTAAGGAATGATCACGCTCGATCACAGCAGATAAATGAGAAGTCTCTGATATATCTCCTGATAGACGAGTGATAGTCTTGTGCTGACATATGATCTGCTGAATAGAATCATCGTCTTGCCAAGGCTTTCACAATAATGCATGGTGTAGGTAGAAATGGGGTCTTACAACCTAATAACCAAGACTTCAATGCGCGTAGCGCGCTCTATCCATCAAATGTCGCGAGGTATGGTGTATATGCGCCTCGTTCAAGTCATCATAGCGAGCTCCCGAATGACCTCGACTGAATCTATGAATAGTATGCCAGATGATATCGACTCGCTTTCACAGCCTTGCGAACGGCCTAGATCGAGAGGGCGAGGTATTCTCAACGAACGCAGGTAAGCTATAGTTGAATACCAACGGGAAAAGGAGGGTGGTACGGCCAGCTCACTGGTTCCAAGAGTCTCTAGACCCAGAACCCACTCATGTCCTGGCTTTCTACCTGCCCAGCGGACAGAGTAGAATCACATATACCACGTCAGCAGATGTCGCCAACAGCGACTATTCGCACACCCATCTGCACTAGCACCGCACTACACATGGCCAGACTGAATGGATGCTAGACGGACGTACCTCAACGACCATGTCGACATCCCTCATCCCTTGGATTGCCTTCTCCTGGTCAACCACGGTGACTCGTTCGCGAGCCTCAGAGGCCTGCTCAGCTGTGATCCTGCCCTTTGCGACGTCCTTCGCGAGCAGCTTGTCCATCAGCTTGAGCCCACTTTGAATCTGCGCCGTCGAGCGGTCGTACAGCAGGACTGGTACACGTGCATGCAGCGCAGACACATACGTGATACCGAGACCTGTGGAAGTTGGTGTTCACCGTGAGCCTCTCGCAGAGCGCAAGACGCGGTACCCATCTGCCCAGCGCCGAGAACGCCAATTGTGCGTAGTCCGTGTGCGAGCGCCATGTCTAGCTTCTTCCTCGTCAGAGTATCGTGTCCAATCCACTGTCCTAGGGTTTGTGCAAGTCACGCAGTAAGTGGTTGGGGATCAAGGGGTGTATTTGATCTCAACCCATGCGGCACATGGTTGACCGGTCGACTTGGGGAATCATCGATCACATGCCGACGGTTCCGCCCATACGGACCCACATGATGATGGCTGATGCGGGGAACGGCATAGGTTCCGGCACGTCGACCTCGACTTCCCCGCCCTACCGAGCACGACTTCTGAACTGCCGGCGGGATATTCATGTCTGCGTGACTGTAGATTGATGTGCCGCTATGAGTATAAGAGGTCGATTGTGTCTAGAAAAGAGTACATTGGCTGGGTATATCACATGTCAGAAGCACCGGATATCACGAGAACGGTTGAAGATATCAAAGAAGACTGACGAAGAATCTAAATGTAATTAAGCAGTACCATACTGATCACTAGTATATGTGAGTACAAGAGAAAGAAAAAAGAGATAAGCACTATCAGGATAAGGATATCATCACTGATGGTCTATCATAACTGCTCCAGCACCCTCAACGCCCCGCGCAGCTTGTCGTGGTCGACGTTCCCTCTGTTGAACCGTATGTTGTATTGTCGCACATCCGATATAATCACCACCTCATCCACGCCCAGCCGTCGACCCTCCTCGAGAGTCAGCGGCTCGTACCTGCTGCAGATCTTGACGTGCGCATCGTAGAACCAATCGCTCAGGTGGTACTGCCGCGCCAGCAAGATCTGGTCGACTGAAGATGCGTGCTCAGTAAGCCGAGCGACGACCAGCGCCTGGATGTCGTCGAACTGCCACTTTACTGCGAGCTCGAGGACAGAATTCCACTCTAAGGTCGTCTCTAGATCGGGCTTTAGCATGCTCCTGCGGTCCAGCGATATCATGCTTAGCGGGAGCGGCATAGCGGAGTTGCGTATCGTACCTTGGGTAGAACATTGTGAGGAAGCGGGCAAAGTCTAAGCTTGAAATGCCTTCGAGGAAGATCGGTCGCTCATCCGACGTGCCTTCAGAGTCCTCGCCAGCGGGACTGGGCATGGAGAACATGCCTTGAAATACGTTCGACCCATGTATGAAAAAGTAGCGATGCACCTTGAACAGAGTGCCCTCGACCTATGTACAGCGCAAATCAGCATATGGTACAATGTGTGCAAAGAACGACATACCAGGAAGACCACGTTCCCGTCAGGGATGTAGAATCGCTCGTGCCTGTTCCGTGATGCGATTTCTGGCGCAACCTCAGAATAGGTTAGGCGGTCCGACATGTCGATGGAGAGCGCGCAGGCGGTCTACAACTAGTAGTAGAGTTCCCTGTGGCTGCTCTCGACAAACCACGACCGCGTCTGATTTGATACGAATGTTAAGGTGATGACTGGGCAAGGAGCCTGGGAACTTGGAACTTGAACAATGCTTATCTTCGGCAGAAGCGCTACATTGGCAGCAGGGAGATAATACGACTACCCTTCTGCAAGTCAGAAAGCCACTCATACATGCGCCTCAACTCTTTAGAACCAACGAAAAGCAAGCAGTAGCCTTGTTGTATCAGGTTGAATGCCACTTCATTACAGGTCGACTTGCCAAGATCAGGAACGTTAGCTATAGCGGAGTTTGAAAGGCCACTCCGATGATGCCGCAGCAGACGCGAAGGGCGCCGCCGGCCCGCGGATTGCGGGTGCACTGGCGGCGCCTCTGTCGTGCATGGTGCGGGGTAAAGTAGTAGTAGGGCGATGAAGTAATGCACGGGTGTCGGTGAGCCGCTCTGTAGGGACACCATCCCAATGTCTTAAGCGGCTCCGAAAATCAAGCTTGCTGTCTACGGTCTCTACATATCTCCTACTCCCTCACACACTGGAACGTAACTGCTCAACCACCCCTGCTTCTTGCATACTGTCAATACGAAGACGTCAGACGTCTTCGCGTTGATACCACAGTCACCACTCCCCCCTCCGTCGAATGAGGAGGGAACAGGGATTAGCCCATGCCAACGTGCGAGTTGCATCCCTGAATGTTGAATTGTCAAAGACATCAGGTGAAATGCATTCGCGTCCCTGAGACTGCTTTCCAAAAGGATGTATCGTACACGTAGAAATGCTTGGCAGCAGTGCACGCGCTCGAGCTGGAAGGACTACGAACTATGTTCATATCGCTAGCAAGCTCCTGAACGTGGTCGTCAGCACAAGCTCATGCACAAAACAGTGAGCGTCACATGTTTTCGAGCTCGTTCCGTGCTTTTTGTTTCTTCGTTCCTTGTGACAAACAACTCCATGCTGTCTTTTCGTACTCACGCACTGCGACGACAGCCGCAATGATCTCCGCTGATCCCATACAGTGAATTTCATCCGGCTTTAGCATTGCATCACGCGAAGCAATGTCCATCACAGCGTCCAGAAGAACGCTGCCGAGTTTGTATCTATATGCCAACGCGACCTGGTTGGCGAGGGGTGCAATGGCACGTAGACGGGCTGCGACGAGCGGTAGGATGTTCTCGATCTGCCATAGCTTCACAAGCTTCAATATCGATTCGCACTGCTCGGTTGTCTGTATATCATGGGTCATGTAGTCCCTGTGAGCTTGTGTCATTCACCCTACTGTGGTGTCGAGGATACCAAAAGGTCTCGTACGTGGCATAGAGCACAGATAGAAAGCGTTCGAAGTCTAAGGCCTTTATCGTTTGTAGATCGATTGGGAGGTCTTCGGATGAGCCGTGCACCGGCGCGGTACCCGTCGGAAGCGAGAACATATCCTTGAAAACCGGCGAGTCGCGCTGAAGGAAATAGCGATGGACTTTGAAGAGTGTGTCCTCGACCTAGGGCTCTGTCAGCTTAAGCCTCCCAAGCATGTTATGAGCGAGACCGGTAGAACCTACACGGAAGATAACGTTCCCATCGTCGAAATAAAAGCGCCTATGGCGGCATGGCGAAGTGCCGTTTATGGATTCTGATTTTGGCTTCATGGCGTGAACTTCGCCTGCTTACGTGCCGGGTATGAGAACGTGTTATATGGTACAACAGTGGCTCTAAAGATCGTTCGGAGGACTGTCGAGGAGGTTCAGCCGATAGAGGTCGATAGAAGCCCTGTCCCTCCTAAGATCTGCAACACGTGTGAGAGAAGCATCGTGACACAGCGCTTACAGGCCATATGCATGTACATCACCCGATGAGACAGTAAAGTGGACGATGACAGTCGCAAATGGCATGAGTTGCTGCGGTACGTCACACATAGTCTTTTGAGCGAACAGAACCTAAAACAACTTATTGCGTCGGTGCAGACTTACGTACCCTCTTCAATCTTTCGAGGTAACTTGCAGGTGCCATGATAAGCTTTGAGTTTATTTCCCAGAATGGCAACAGACATACCTGGGAACAGGTACTTGGGCGACGTCCTCCCATCGTGCCATAACGTCCCGACAACCTTTGAGGGATGAGGGCATGAGGCGCCGAGCGCTGCTATGCGTCATGCTGTCTATCTGTACTTTTTGCGAGGGAGATCTATCAATATTGGTTTTGCTGTAGTTATATGACGGGAGCACGCTAAGACCTCATCAGAGGCCACAAGAATTGCGTCGAATTACATTGATTTGTGGCACTTGACAAGGCTTTAACAAAAGTCAAAATTGGTCGATAAAACGACGAGGGGCCCTCGCCTGCCGGCAAAGCGTTTCCTTACACATAAGACAGTTATGAGCTTCACATGCTGTGAGCACCCGTTGTGCGCTCCGCTTTGGGTCTATCCTAGCAAAGCGATTGCTCTCCTTGTCCTCCTTTTGGTACTCGCGCAGTGTGACGACAGCTGCAATGATCTCCGGTGATTCCATACAGCGAATTTCATCCGCCGTTAGCTTCTCTTGACGCAAACTGATGTCCACCACAGCGTCCAGCAAAATGGTGCTGAGATTGTATCTATGTGCCAACGCGATCTGGTTGGCGAGGGGTGAATTGGCACGTAGACAAATTGCAATGAGTGGTTGGATATTCTCGATTTGCCAAAGCTTCGAAAGCTTCAAAACCGATTCGCACTCCTCGGGGGTCTGTATATCACGGGTGATGTAATCCCTGTGAGTTGTGTCATTCCCTACTGCGGTGTCGAGGATACCAAAAGGTCTCGTACGTGGCATAGAGGAAAGATAGAAAGCGTTCGAAGTCTAAGGCCTTTATCGTTTGTAGATCGATTGGGAGGTCGTCGGATGAGCCGTGCACCGGCGCGGTACCCGTCGGAAGCGAGAACATATCCTTGAAAACCGGCGAGTCGCGCTGAAGGAAATAGCGATGGACTTTGAAGAGTGTGTCCTCGACCTAGGGCTCTGTCAGCTCGAGCCTACCAAGCACGTTATGAGCGGGACCGGTAGAACGTACACGGAAGGTAACGTTGCCATCGTCGAAATAGAAACGCTCGTGGCGGCATGGCGAAGTGCCGTCTATGAGTTTTGATCCTGGCTGCATGGCGTGAACTTGTCCGCTTGCTGGGTATGAAGGACTGTCGATGAGGTTCAGTCGATAGGATTCGATAGGAGCCCTTATAAGCTTCGCAACACGTGTGAGAGAAGCAACGGTGATACAGCGCTTACAGGCCATATGCATGTACAGCATCCGATGAGACAAATAAGTTGACGGCGACAGTCGCAAATGGCATGAGTTGCTGCGGTACGTCACACAAAGTCTTTTTAGCGAACAGAACCCAAAACAAATTATTGCGTCGGTGCAGACTTACGTACCCTCTTCAATCTTTCGAGGTAACTTGCAGGTGCCATGACAAGCTTTGAGTTTACTTCCCAGAATGGCAACAGACCATACCTGGGAACAGGTACTTGGGCGACGTCCTCCCATCGTGCCATAAGGTCTGCTTGAGGATTAAATGATATGTCCTTGGCGACCATAGGGCAAACTGGCGAAGCAGAGGCAGCTGTCGAGAGAACATCCTCGGTCTCCAGAGAACCTCTCTTAGCCCGCTCTTTAGCCAGGAAAAGGTACGTCATGAACGCGCCCAGACTTGCGTTTAAACCACGGATAGAATGACCATGTCCACATCTTGAGACTCGAGCAGACATCATCAGAAATCCCGCTTCGTATTGCGCTCACTAAAACCGATACATCCTGTACCAGGCCGCAAATAGCACAGACTGCATAGTCTTCGCACCGCAGCCCTGAGGGTACATTCGCACGATAGCCCGTTCAATCCTGCCCACAAACACGATATCATTTAGTTCTATGTTTATCATCCCCACCGATCCAGCACACTAGGTTCACTCACCGCTGCTTCGCCATCATCGTCACGCCCTGGCTCACGAATCCCTTCATGAGCTGTGCGCCGAGGCCATCGTACAGCCCGCTCCAGCCGCGCTCAGACAGCGCCGCGCGCCATACGCTTGCCATCGTCGGTGCCCCGCCCTCCGCCGTTGGTCTGCGCCGCGCCTGGACGCGCACCTTCGCAAGAACGAGCGGGTAGAGCAAGGCAAGCGCAAGCGCGTTAGCACATGCTCCGTCCATGAATGCGCGCAGAGCTGCGCACGCGGGCGAAGACAGGACAGGAAGACGGATGCGGCGGAGGAGCTGGTAGAAGAGCAGCGTGAGAGCGGGAGTGAGCGCAAGCGGGAGCGTCGGCGCAAATCCTGTGCATGGGATGATGAGGGCATTCATGCAGGAACACCTGATGTATGAGAAAAAGACGAACCCGCCCAGAACCCAGGAAGGCCATGTTCTGCGTATATCTCCTTCGCAAGTTCCACAAGACGTCCAGCCTTTCTTGTCGCCTTCTCCTGGACTGTATCAGAGTGCGCTAGTTGTACCTCACGCTCTTCGAGTTGTGCATCCTCGTTATTGCTGGTCTGTAGTTGCACGGTGAGAACGGACAGGGGAGTTGAGATTGCACGGCTTGCGACGCCGGCTAGGAAACCGATGACGATCTCGGTGGGCACGCTTAATAGGACTGAGCGAGTCGGGGCCGTCAGTGCTTGCCGCAACGCCGCAATTACTGGGGTGTTGTGTCGTGCGTGACGTCGGGTAGCAAGCGCATGCAAGACTGTATCAAAATAGAAGTAAAGAAAGCTGGCAAGTCTGATCAGACCGTGGAAGCATCCTTCGAGTCGACTACGTACTTCGATAGAACGGTAGACGCGGTATCTGTTGCGAGGCCCTCATATAAGCCACTGACGCCTCTGGTGCGCAGGATGTGCTTCAGGATCCTAAGTGCGCCTTGCAGGTCTGTTGTCTCTACTGTTAGACCCCGGAAAAGCAAGACAAGACGGAGGGCTCACCACGTGAAAGCGGGTCGGATACGGTTTGCACCTTTGTCGCCACCAGGTCTAGCGGGTATGATATGGCATTGGCAGATGCGCTGGCGAGAGCTCCGGAACAGGCTTGTATAAGTGGAGGCAGAGAGGACGTCATGTCGGTGTATGCACTTGTATATTCTGCGGATATCTACAAAACCACGCGAGAGAGAATATGCACGTTGACCAGAAGATGTATTAGACGTACTATTAATGCTTTGAATGCGGGGATAAGTCGATGACGTCATGCGGGGCAGCCTGGAGAAACTCACCGCTTCCATTCTGGGCATTGGCGCTTTAATACAAGACTAACTATTAAGCCCCACTTGAGTGCCTGGATCGCTATAGTTGGTCTCAGCTGGACGTCACCAGATACTCAGTACTGGAAGTGTAACAGCCATACATGTTCAAACTGACATCTAGTGTGTATTCGAACTCAAGGTGCATTAAAAGGATGTACACTGTGAACGAGACGCAATGAATTGACGCAATAAGGTATGGAGCACCTATCCGAGCAATAGAAGATCCGTGTGTCAAGGGCGCACAATTACAGCCTAGCCTGAGGCGCGCGGGTCTCTTCCCTAGCTCGCAGACGGTCGCGGAGCACGCGTCTTAACAGCTTACCGCTCGGGTTCCGCGGAATGGCGTCGATGAACTCGACGCCGCCCACGAGCCGCTTGAAGTGCACCTTGTGGTCCGCGACATGCTGTGCGGATGGTTCGCATCAGCCCAGCTCCTTTGTGCTCCCGTGGCGGCGGTGCGACAACATACCTTCGTGATCTTGTCCTTGAGCTTTTGCGCCTCGGCGGGATCCTTCTTGATACGCTCTAGCGCTGCAGCGCTCGGGACAACAAAGGCGAAGGGGACCTCGCCGCTGTATTCATCCGGTTTCCCAACGATGCAGACGTCGGTCACTTCAGTGAGCTCGAGCAGGTGGCCCTCCAGCTCGGGCGGCGCAACTGTCCGCAAGTTGATGTGAGTACGCTGCCCCAGCGCTCAAGCGGAGATCTCACCCTGGTATCCCTTCACCTTGATCAGATCCTACGGGGTGGTGAGCATAAGGCTAGACATCTGCAAGAGAAGCTGGGCATCCTGACCTTGATACGGTCAACGACGAACAGCTCCTTTTTCTCGTTCACGTATACCTCATCGCCCGTATACACCCACCTGCAGTGGCACAGTCAGTCCTGGTGCTCACGCACGCAGCGAAAGTACACACCCGTCCCGGAAGGTCTCCCGCGTTCTGCGTAACGTCAGCCCCGCACACGCGCACAGCATCACGACACACTCACGCGTCCTCGTTGTTCAAGTACCCCAGTGCGTTCGACGGGCTCTTGACCGCAAGCTCGCCCGTCTCGCCATACGGCGCGAGCGAGCCGTCCGGGCGCACGATGCGCACGACAACGCCCGGGAGTAGCTCCCCCGCGCTTCCGGGCGTGCCCACGTGTTGGTTGATCTGCGGCAGGCTGATCGCCGTGCTCGTCTCCGTCATCCCTGCAAGCCCATGGGAGTCTCAGTCTGGCAGCGGCGGCGGGGAGCGCACGACGCACCGTAGCCTTGGCCGATGCTGCAGTGCGGGAGGCGCTGAGCAAGCTGTCGCGTGAGCTCCGCAGAGAGTGGCGCTGCACCGCTTGCGATAAGCCGTACACTACTGAGGTCGTACTTCGCCACTGCGGGGTGCTGCAATGGACGGTGTGAGAGGCCCATTGCCATGATCGCGTCAATCACGGGGCACTAACCTTGCAGAGCGCGACGATCATAGGGGGAACAAACCTTGGCGGGTCGTGTAAGCACAGGAGCGGGAGCATCAGGTGATATGCCTTACGTTAGGAACGTGATGCGGTGTCGCTGAATGCTCTCGAGCATCGCGAGGAAGTCGAACTTTGGGATGACTACAAGCGACATCTGGAAAATGAATCGTTCAGGCTGCAGCTCAGCGAGGGAAAGACATTCGTGTGGCGTACACTGACGAATATGGTGCAGTGCATGACAACTACTTGACCGTAGATATCTGCAAGCACATGTCAGTCTCGACAACGGAGCCCAGCCCATAGCAAATACGTACGATAGAACGGCAGGACTGAAGGTGGACTACTGTGTAAGCACAAGTCGCGGAGTAAGGACCGCGCCACTCTTACCAGCAATGCCAACGTCCCCGGGTCGGTACTTCTTCTTGTCATCCGGCACTTTCTCAGTTTGTACGTAGGTAGTGAACTGCAACACATTCGACATCACGCTGTAGTGCGAAATGCGCACGGCCTACGCCCAAATTAAAACAATAGCAGCAGGTCCAAGGGAAGCTTTACCTTCGGCAGACCGGTGGTACCACTCGAGAAGCTCAAGAACGCCAGCTTCGTACGCGCTTCGCCCGGCTTTAGTCGTCGCTCGATAAATGGCACCGATCGTTTCACCCCCTCGTCGATCAGCTGTTGCAGCGTCAGATGTGAATACTTGGTATTCGACTCCTCGGCGTTGAACAGCACGATACGATCCATATCCATGCCAATGCGCTGTGCAGCCGCAAGAGCAGTGGGGAGGTTCCAAGGATGGACGATGAGGAGCTTTGCATCGGTAGTGCGCAGCTGGTAGATGAGCTCCTCGGCGGTATAGGCGGGATTGGCAGCTCTGACGGAAGAAATAGTGTGCAATGTCAACATATGCAGGGTGATGGGCCTTACGTTATGACTGCGCCCACGCGGAATGAGGCCCTGGCGGGACGTCTAGTTTCACAAAACCAAAACAAGAAGACGCGAAAGGATCTTACCAAACAGCAATGGGGTAATCTGCGATGCGTGTGAGAATACGTCGCGCCAGACACAATAGCCACCAACGCACCGACATGATTAGGACTGAAAATGCAGACTGAGCGGAGTAAGTGCTTCTGTTCTAATTGAATGCAAATATCATACCCGCGTCATCCTCGGCTGTAAATAGCGCTCGTTAGGAGAGGTAGCCGTACATCATATCGTGAGGTCATACTTGCCTATCTTCCAGCGCGCGCTGAACTCATTAGCAAGCGCGTTTGTGCGAAGGTTGATCTGCCGGCCGAGAACTTATGTCAATAACGGGAATTTGCACTCATCGCAAGCATACCTCATCGAATGTGATCTTCCTGCCTGTTGCATCCTCAATCAACCAAGCGCTATGGTTGCGCGGGGCGGGCCTGCTGGGATGATCGGTATCCAGCATAAACTGAACGATAGTCAAGTCATCCGGAATGTGGGGGAGCTCCCCGTTACCGTGAATTTCAGCCATGGGTCTATAGTTGTTGCTTTACAATCCAACTGCAGTCTGTCAGCGATAATGCGGGAGAGAAGCAATGCATCATGATAGAGCAGGCTGCCTACGCTATATCATCTACTAGCGGGCGCTATAACCCTCATCGCTGGCGTAAAAGATTTCCATCACGGGAATCGGCATAATTGGTGGCCGTGGCGGTACAGTCATCAATGGGCTATCATATGCAAGGCCACTGTGTGGAGGTTATCGTTTGCAGAGCAGGAAAGAATCGCGAATGTGTCGCGGCTTCCAGTTCCTGCGATATAGAGCAGGTGTTCAGCGACGTCGATAAGGACAACAAGTTGTGCATACAAATTCTTGCTGTACGCTTGACTTGACCCGGGCTAGGCGCATCAGTGATTCAGATCAACCAGGGCGGGCCGAACCTGGTCATGCATAGGCGCCTAACTTAGCCCTGAAAGGGAAGATATTCATCTGCGCAAGAGTCCATCATTACTGCTCACTCACTGGCTCGAGGTTGGCGCATGCACCCATGTTTAATATCTCAATGCTACTTTGTCGCGCAGCGACCTGCCAGTGCTGTGCTGCTATGTCAGGGATTCCAGCGGCGCCGGCAAACGAAAAGCATAGGCTACGTGGAGATGACTAGCAAGCAAACGCAGAGCTGAGTCCAACCACTCTCATCCTCCACCAAAGTCAGCAGTGGCATAGAATCTTACAGTTCATGCCTGGATTTGTTGACGTTGGTCTCTTTTGCACGGCGTTGCAGCTCCCCACTTTGCACCAGTCGAAGGGGAATACTGCATTCATCGTCCAACAAGGGCAGCTCGCGCTTAATGATAAGTGATTTGAATGCTATAATATGATATCCTCATCGGAGACCCATGTCATAAGGAGCGCCTCTGCAATGACTTACTTCAGCTACGCAGCTTGGGCGTCTCGCGTGATCTGTGAGACGTACATCCATGAAGCACAATCATGCTATCCCGCAGCATCCAGCGTGTTTCTCTGCTTCGTTGATTTCAGCACGGCGCTGAAATATGTGCTTTAGACACACTCCGAGTCTCGATGTGTTTGGTGCGTACATATATCTAGCACTTCTTCACAAAGAATAAACCGATTCTCAACGCTCGGTTGTTCATGGTACACGCATAAATCAATCGTGAACAACAAGTGCACATGTCTCTTACACATACATTGATAGGCTGAAACTTAGCCGTGCGTTCCATGGCTGAATCACGGTTCAACACGCATAAGGCGATTTCAGGCGCTGATATGTTAACCGCTCCGAGCTCCTAGATCGAAGATAACACGAGCTTCAATCGCAAATCATACAGAGAGGCTGCGGCTGCGCAGTCGCAATGGCAAGAACGGCACATTGTCCGGACTAGCCTCGGCAGACACCTCTTACAACGTGCCGGCTTCAAGTGAGTCAATTGGTTCGAAGCATGCGATTTTGTTACAGGATACCCGATACAGTAGCATGTGCTTGACCGCGCCAGAGCAGAAAGAGTATTATCTACTTTCCTAATTCCCCTCGAGGTCCTCACCCTGGTACCACCGAGAGCATACTCTTCAGACTGGAATGTCAAATTCTCAGTGTATCTCATTTCATAGTCTAGGTGTTCTCGGGCGTGAGCGTCCACTCTGGACACCTGTGGTGAAAGTGGCCACGGGCCGTTCGAACACTCGTCCAATCGGCTTCAATACTGCGCAGGACAGCCTCGTCCTGATTCATACTTCCTCGAGGGCCATAAAGACTCGCCTGTATCGCTCTCTCTTCAATTCTCTGCTCTTCCCTCCTTCGTCTCATTCAATCCATTCCCGCTACACCATATATGCCTTCTTTAAACTTCGCTCATGCAGAGGGCATTTATTCTCTCGCTGGAGCAATAATATTCGCTGTAGCATATTTGCCTCTTCTTCTGACGTTCCTTTACAGAAGCATTCGTCTCCCGACTTTCGTACACTTCATCCTGACACTGTTCTGCTCCGGTGAGTACACGGCAGCTCGTCAGACTTTCTACACCGAGTCGACGTGGTCCGCTTCCAGTCCGCACTATTGCCTTTATCCTCCGTGCGGTGCTCGCCGGCTCGTCCCTAGCCGCGCAAAACAAGAACTTGGTCATCGCAGAACAAGTCATCTATAGCGTGTCCTTCTCCGGTATGCTCTACTCGGCCTACACGCTTGTCCTCGATCGGTGAGTCGCGGGTCAGTCATGACGTGTTCCCGGCTATTATAACATGCACGCAACAGCGAGGCAATGGTGGAAGTAGCAACCCTCATACAAAATAACGTCCCGGGGCCTCTCAAAATCGTGTTCAGACTTTTGCGGATGCGGATGCTCATACGCCTCATACTGGTTTTGGCGATCGTCCTTGGTATTATCGGCGCGGTACGTTCGTTCAGTATACCGATTAATTATATCTGTGAACGTCGGACATCCGTTCGTGCTGCTTACGAGTGCTGTGCGTTTACTAATGCGGCGTCTATAGGTCGATTCGGAGACTACCACCAGCTCCTCCAAGTACAACAAGGGAATTAAGCTCCGCAGTGACAGCGTATATATCTTCCTCACCGTCGTTTGTGCGCTGAACGTCAATACATTCATGTTCAGCGCAGCCACTATCATGGGTTACTGTGAGCCATCTTTTCCATAACGTCTCCTGGATGCCAGCGAGTCGATTGGCGGCTCACTAGTGCTTACCCAATACTTACAGCTCAGAAGCCTCCTGGAATACAACCAGTAGGACTACGTAGGATCAGCACGACCTACGGCATTTTTATCCTTCTGGCCATCGCCATCTTGCTTCTCACTCGCGAGGCATTTTATGCAGGGACCGAGAGCGATCTCTCCAAGGTTATTTTTACTGCTCACATAAAACTACCAGCTCACAATGCGACTATTTAGCAAAACGACGAGAAATTGTGGTATCCACTCTCAGCGCTTACTGAATATGTTGCTGCGGTGTTGTTCTTGATCCCGGGCCTGGTACCTGCGCGCAATGAATTGCCGGAGGAAGCACGAGAGCTCTCATTCCTCCCTTAGCGGTCACCGGTGTAGATTTTTTGGATTTCAACGTCTGCTTATCTCGTTGGGGATGATAATTTTCTCCGAGTATACAACGCTACATATCCAAACGAGATACCACATGCCCACGCTCTATGCACTTGTTCCATATCATGCGCGATCGGATACCATACGTTTGTGTCGCCCTGCAGACGGATACAATACCTGATCGATAGCAATCGCGTACACATGCGACATTCTTTAGTGGTGTTGGCTCTTGAATATGCCCAGCCGACACCAAGCACACAAACCGTAGCATAAAAGCATAATTGCACATGCAGCCCCATGGCGCCAAAGGAGATACATGCGCGGGAACACACCAACTGAAAGCAGGCAGAAGCCTCGAGGAAAGTGGTAAAGATGTCAACAACAGCTATGTGTGGAAGATTGTGAATGTGGTATATGCCGATGAAGACCGTAGTAAGTGACGGGGGATGAGTGAATGGTGTCGGCCAGCAAATGGTCAACGATAAGAAAATGGATGAAAAAGACAATCCCGTAACAATGGGAGCGCAGACGGCGAGAATGGTTGCTGGAACCGGAAGGGTGACCGAGAGTGCTTGATTGGGGTACTTGATTTTATGCAGTACACTTGCTTTCGTCCGACATGGTGTTCACCGTGTCGGACGATGCAAATGGTACTGATGACGGGCTTATTCGAGCCACGTCAATTATCGGCAATTTCGACATTGCCACACCGCAGACCGTCAGGACTACGGCGCGCCCAAGGCTGCCACGAAAATACGATCAGAGTCTGCCCAGAGAAAGGCTGTCGGCACACTTACTGGGCCTGCTCAAGAGATGCTGGGTATCGGGGTATCTATGACATTCTGCGCATCTCTTGACTGCAATATGAACGAAGCATCAGTATGTGATCATTCAGGACGCGGCAGGCACAGCTTACGGGGAGATTTCCAAAGCGATATGAACTTGGTTCCAGCTAAGGACTCCAAAGGGCTGCCGGAACGAGCTGCAGGCATATATCTAGTTGGGCTCGCTGTTCAGGGCAGGCGAAGACACGCTGATGAATGGTCAGATGACGTCCTCGAGGATTCCACATGCAGGGATCCTCGGCGTCCGCGCTTATGCTGCATGTAGGAGTGGTCGCGCCAAATTCGGGACATGGGGATCTCACACTCGTGGAATTCCATATTTCACTATGAAAAATTAACCTTGTACGATTCCATGATTATACAGCACAGCCTATATTCGAATATGCGGAGACGAGTCCGCGAACAACATTGGGCGCAAGCTACTCGGTATCAGCTTGGCACATGTAGAGCGTCCATAATCTGCTCAAGGCCCTTATTCCCACCGAGTCGAGCAATCTCATTTCGTATCTGGGTCTCCAAGGAACGCAGTATGTCAATGGTGTAATCGAAAGACTTCGTGTGGTCACGCAGATAAGCAACGGTATGTACTTTGAGGGTCGGTGTTGTGGGACGCTTCTGTAGCACATCTGCAAGGGATTGAAAGTTAAGTACAACATCGCACTGAGCTAGATTCTAAAAACGTACTCAACACTCGTCGGTTCGACGTATCTGATCGTACAGCGTGTACAATCGGGAATGAGAACTTTCCTTCTGTGAGGTCCTCCGCGAAGCCCTTGTTATCCGCGTACTGCATATTATCCTTGTAAAAAGCCATGTGGGTCCTCTTAATACAAAATACGTACCTCCGAACTTTGCAGGTTCATGTAGTCGTCCCTAATCTGGTAGTATACACCGAAAAGATTCACGAGAGGAACATAGTCACTGTACAACGGTTGCACGATCAGCACCATCGTCGTGCAATAACGTGCATCGTTTTGGATAACAGAGAACTGATGAAACCGACTACGTACACGTCAATGTTCTTTGTCGAGCATGCCATCATCAACTTTATGGCTACTCGGAATAGCCCGCCCGTTTCTAGAGAAATACTGTTGGTCAACATCATCATTTGAGATCGAGAAAGCTCACTATTGTTGACCATAGCTACGTATTCCTCTTCCGTGGGACATTGCAGGGAGTCACGCCACAGAAGCTCCAAGCCTTGGCCTCGATGCAAGGAAAGTAGCTCAGCTGTAGGAATTCATATCAACTTGCGAAAGATTCCCCGAGAAATACGCAATGCATACCAGTTACAACGCGATCAAGCTGCCTGAACGGTATCAAGCGATGTGGTTCCGAATCGCCGCTGTCTACACCGGAACGTAGAGTAAACAGCTCCTGGTACGCAAGGAAGTACGCGTAGTTGGCGGAGTTGATCGTTTGCGGTATGCCGTAAATCTTGTGTGACGCTACCAAGTACGGTGGTCAGGAGGGCGGATTCATACACCGCCGTTTTGTGATACATACCTGGTACTCCTCGGCGTAATTGTGCATCATCCTCAATGTCATCTATTCTGAACTTCAGTCACGACAGGCGAGCCTCTATAACAAAGCCAATGCCTCACAGCAGACTGGCAGTGTGTAGCATGCTGATGACCCGAGATATGATCATGAGCTTGTCCTTCGGCACCTCGAGCCATGCATTGAACGCCTCGAGCATGAGCCCTCGTATTTCCTTTCCTCGTACAGAATTGATGTGGTTAAAAGGCTCCAGCAGTGCCTGATACTGCGTCAATATCTGGAATCCACCGACTCTTACAGCCTCACTCACCATTTCGTTGCGCTCGGACCAGGCCGCGGATTCGGACAGAATCTCAAGTATGTTCAAGAATTGATTAGAGGCCATTGTTCACAAATAGAGAGAATCTCTGAGTCAGGGCTTCTAATCAGGATGGTAGAACCTCGGGCTTGGTGCGAGATGGAGGTCACAACTCATAGTCATTATGATCGAGCTTTGGTCCAGTAGGCGCTCGTGCACCATTTGGTCTTGCACCTTTCTGTCGCCGTCGGACTGGGGTCATCGTTCTTTCTTTCTGTCTAGCTATTTCTTAGAATTTAAACTTGCCAAATTGCTCTCGAAAGCCAGCCCGCAAATCTCAAGGGTAGAGAAAAGACCTCCAGTATTATGGGCAAATCAGACATCCAGTCATGGATTGCCTCGACCTCGGAAATCGACGACTCTGAAAACACGAACGGGGAATCCAGTCAATCTCAACGTGGATGGCGGAGAGAAGACATTCTCTCAGACTGGACTCGCTCCCTCGAACTCGCGCGCAGTCGTCTGCTGTCGAGCAGCACGAAGGTGCGAACACAGTTTCTTCGTGAAGAACTCTTAGGTTTGGCACGGCAAGACGGTGCGTAGCTGCATCTTGCTGTGTTTCAAATGATGTGCTCATGTGCTCCTTGCTAGAATTGAGCCTATCCCAAATTCTGGACATCTACAAACTGCTGACTCTGACATATTCTCGCTATGTCGACACACCATCCCGAGAAGCGGTCGAAGAGGTCGGAACAGAGCTGGTGAGGCGAGATGAGCTCCGTGGGCGGTCAGATGGAGATCAGGATGAAACACCTCTCGGAGTTACCGAGCAAATCATCGGCTGGCTATCGACAGAAGTGAGCCAGATCGCACACAGAGCAAGGTACGTGCCCCCTCGATCCTCAAAATGAACTGATGTGACCGTCATGCAGTTCTCATGCAGCAGCAGATGTTTTCATACTATTGAGCTGGGCATGCGGGCTTTACGTCGTATGCCTAAAGGTCAACCCCGAGTTTCCGTCCTCGATCGCATGGAACAACCTACTTAGCGCCGTGGCTGTTTCGGTAGACATGCTTCTGGACAGGACAGCGCGTATTAAGCCATCAATCCAAAAGGGCACGCTCACTCGCGTGCGACGTGCTCTGCGATCGGTAGGTTCTGCTAATACTGAGGCTGAGTGCGATGATCATATCTTGTCCTACAGTGCCCAGAACACATCTCGACAGCCATAAGGACCCTGCTCGCGAAAGGCAAGACATCTCAGCAGGCTCTCCATGTCGTCCCGCTCCTTGGCATATGCGTGGACGTCAAACTTCGGTTGAAGAATGTCAAAGATGAAACCTTGAAGGCCCTAGACTCGTCTCTCAAGGTCGGCATCTTGTTACTGAATATGCTTCTCATACTGAGTCAGCGCTTCGCAGACCGATATACTGAGCTTTTATGCAACTTCTGTATTAATGTCTAAGACGCCAGTACCGATCCACGCAAACGTTCGTACTTCCTTCGCCCGAGAGACGCCCGGGGGACTGATCCCACATCATTAGGCTGCATTCCATGACTTTATCGAGGCCGTCGTGACGCAAGATGACCTCACTAGTTCTGTCCTGCCAACGATGGAGAAGGCACTGTTACGTTCGCCGGAGATCTCCCTCTTTGGTGAGCACTTTCCCCTCAATCGCGTGCTTTCTCGGTATCTCAACACCGGCATCTAGTTGTCACCCAATTCTTCGACGCTTATCGCTACCCTGTGGAAGGCGATATCTTCCGCAAGGTTCTCACTTCGGCTTTAAATAGCGCGAAGTCTGCAAATCCTCTTGTGCGCAAGAACGCCAGTCTCTTGTTTAGGGCAATGATCAGCAAAACATCCAGTAGTGATGACCTGACTTTTTCCGTTTCTGAAACGTTATCTCTCCCGAAGTCAGGCAAAACTACGGGACCTGACCATCGAATGGCTTTATACTCCATGCTAGGATTCGTTCGCCCCGCGACTTCTGCGTCTACAGCAATCATGCAAACCAGCCTGCCATTGCTCGCGAAGGAAACACATGATGGAGCCATCTCTGTGCTAACGTCTGCTCTGGTACCACATCTGGTCTTCTGTCTGCGCGAGAACATAGTATTGCCAGGCGACGCAGTCTCTGTTATCACTAAGGAGTTGATGGGCGCAAAACCGGTCATCCGACGCGCGTTTTGCTCCTTGGTAGGTGATGCTTTCTGGCAGTTGGAGGTGCTGCATACGGAGGTCTCGCTATCTCTCGCGAAGGCGGTGCTGCCCGCCCTTGACACTAACCTCAAGACAGTCGCAGCGGCGCCGTTGACGTCAGCTGCAGGGCCTCTTGAAGGATATACAGCCGTTGCTGTACTGTTGGGACCATTTTCTCGCAGTGGCAACTTTGGTAGATCGTTCGAACTTAATCCCTGTCGTATTTCGCAGGTTTCCCTAATGCATTCTTGTGTACCTTGCAGATGACGTAATCGCTCACAATGCAACCGTGCAGTCTCTGATGACCGCGGGAAGTAAGCCGTCGTTCCTGCTGTGGGACAAAGTCTACCAGAAGCTGAACGGCGAGGATGACGAGAAGTGGCTCCTTCGCGCGGCGCAGGCGTCGCTTGCTTTCTTCCAGCGTGAGCTCTTGAGAAATAAACAAGCATGGTTCGTGTGCTGTGCTCGTCTGTGGGGTCCTATACTGACGCACTCCATCGGCTTGAGCAGCGCCATGATAGGCATGGTCTTCCTGCACCTGGTCATCAACAGTCCATTGCCTCAAACACGAAGAGAAACCCTCAAGACGCTGGAGGAAAGCGTGGCTCAGCTTCCTGAAGTGGCCAGTGTGGCAATCGTGTCAGCGCTGTCCGCCTATGTTTCGAAGGAGAAGGCTTCATCAGCAAAGGTACAAAATGGCAGCAGCGAGGAGAACGAACCTAAAGTCAACAGGGAGGGCCGCTTGTCAGCATTCTTGTTAGCTGCACAGGCGTTCAGTGAGGAATGTGATTCAGCGACCAGGAAGACTGCTCTGGTACGCTGCGTCGTTCTTGCGCACCATCCAGCCCTGGGTGAGTTGGCTTTCCCTCGACAAACGTATATGAACTTGAACCCCTCATGTTAGGTGTTGGATCTCGTCAGATCTGGATCGAGGCGTGTCAGAAGGGGCGTGTAGATCCACTCAACCTAGTTGTCGAACGCGCGGACGAGCTTTTCAAGGAGATACAGGGCGCTCTCGACTTCCGGTCAAAGGTAGCGACGATCTCGTAATCACGTTTCAGTTACAGTCTAATGCAAGGTTTGACTAGTCCTACAACGCTAATATTGCGGATGCCGGGCATCGGGCTGTAACAACTATCGTCTTCGTCGCCCCGGAGGTCATTCTGCCCCGTATTATCGAACAACTACGCGCTGATATCAACCCGAGTGAAGTCAATGCTCTGACTGATCTAGATCTTGGTATCTGGGCTACTCCGGAGGGTCAGACGTTCGTTGATGGTATACATTCATTCTTAATTATTTAGCTACCAGTCAAATTGATTCGCCCCACCAGTACTATCGTCAAAGAAAGCGGATGAGCCCGTCAAGAAGGGCAAGGGATACAAGGACGCACAGTGGGAGGCTGAAGTGCGCAAGTCTCTTGCCAGCAAGAAGGCGGCGTCCAACTCCACCCTATCCAAGCAAGATCAAGGTCTTGTAGACGCTCAGCTCGCCAAGGAGAGTCAGATACGACAAAGGGTCGTGGCTATAAAAGCTAGACTTGAGCGCGGTCTGGCCCTCGTTCGCAGCCTTGTGGCAGCTCACGTAGAACAGCTGCGCTCTTACCTGTCATCCATTGCGGTTTTGCTCTTAAACGGGGCATTTGGCAAGGCGGTCGCTCTGATCGGCCATGCCGCTTTCGAGCGTTATCTTGTAAGTTTCCAGTTCTCCTCTCATTGCTACAGTTCTGATACAATGTTTAGGACCTAGCACAAGTGTGCTCCGAACGCTTAGACACATTCCGCGCTTGGGTCGGTGTTGCAACTCTGCGAAGTCTTGATGTTGAGGGTATCCCAACAGATTTTTGCACCGAACCTCTGAACTGTGTGTAGATCTCAGTGGATGATTTGTCTTCGTCTCATATGCTCGACAGCTCTCGTGATCCGTGTTCTCTACAGGTTGCGCACTTTATCAGAGCAAGTTCCATTGGACGCCGCGACCTTCTCCTATGCATATCCTCTATTTAGCCAAGTTCTCCTCAAGGGTGGCATTGCTCTGGACGAGGAAGATGATCCGCTAGAACAAATCGCACTTACAGTGGATATTATCAAATTCCACTCGGGAGAATGTACGCATTTGTGATACTTATCTCGGCCGCAACGTTCTCATATTTGTATCAGTCTTGGATTCGATGTTCCCAAGGGCCAGAGCTATGCAAGATCTCCTCCATGTCATTAGGAACCAGCCGAAGCTAGCCAAGAATGCCTCATCCGCTCTTGTTGACATTGGTCAAGCGATGCAGGCAAATGCCGCTCGCGAGGAGATTGATGTATTACTGCATGGGACACTTCAGCAAGAGGTCTATGTCCGCAATTCCTGCTTACAAGCTTTGCAGGTGAGTGATTGAAACTTGCGGCATGGAGCAGAGGACCTGATCCCGCAACAGCCGTTTGACTTGACAGATCTCGACTGGTCTCCAGAATTATGGATTGTGTGTCATGACGACGACGAGCAAAATGCGAGGTTAGCCCACCATTTGTGGGAAGACAACGGCTTGGACGTTGCGGAGAACTTCATGCACGACTTGCCAAGATATCTAGGTGAGTCGCATTCCCAAGGAACGACATGCGAGACTAACCACTCTTTACAGAGCATGAGCATGGTTATGTTCGGTCTAGTACCGCCGCAGCGCTAGCTGATGCCGTTGTCAATCACTGGCCACAACTTGCGTCTGACGTACTAGACAGCCTACAAGCATTCTACCGTGAGAAGGTCTGTGTGTCTGCTCCCGGAATATGAACAATCACCTCATCATGCATATAGGCGAAGGTCATCGCTCCAGAATTCGACGAATATGTAAGTACGTCAAGCTGCGCACAATTACACCGCTCACCTGAACATAACTCAGGGCATGGTCATCGCTCAAAGTCTTGACAGGTCTGATCCATGGCCTACACGAGTGGTCATAGGCCATACGTTCGAACTACTTGCGTCTGCCTTCTCTGCTAGAGATGTCGAGCCATTCTTCAGATTCTTGATTCAAGACGAGGCCCTAGGCGATCGCAGCGCCGATGTGCGCAAAGCGATGCTCAGTGCAGGGACAGCGGTCATCGACCTCCATGGAGCTTCGCATCTCCCCGGGCTCATCTCGATGTTCGAGGCGCAACTAGAGAGCACAGGGCCTGCGACTGAAACAGCAGATTTTATCAAGGAAGCTGTGGTCATTCTCTTTGGGAGGGTAGCTCGGCATCTCGACCCTTCGGATCGTCGTGTCCCACAAATCGTCGAGAGGTTAATTGAGGCCCTAGGAACCCCTGCTGAGCAAGTTCAAATCGCCGTCTCTGATTGTCTATCAGCTCTTGTGAAGGTAATGGAGTCGCCCATCGCACCGTTGGTGGACCGCCTTCTGGCCGACCTGTTTGATTCCACCAAGTATGCCGTCCGACGTGGGGCTGCGTATGGACTTGCGGGTGTTGTCAAAGGCGCAGGGATCTCTACCATCAAAGATTTCAATATCATAGAACGGCTCAAAAGCGCAGCAGAGGACAAGAAACGATACGAACCTCGCCAGGGAGCCATGCTCGCCTTAGAGACATTTTCGAATACTCTCGGACGGCTCTTCGAACCTTACATCATCCACATTCTACCTGTCCTGCTGGCGTCATTCGGTGATGCAACCCCTGATGTTCGAGAAGCCACTCATGATGCTGCACGGGTCATCATGGCGAATATGTCCGGGTATGGGGTCAAGACGATCCTTCCATCGCTCCTTTCAGGCCTTGATGAGAAGCAGTGGCGCACGAAGAAGGGCTCCATCGAATTGTTGGGCATGATGGCATACTGCGCACCTAGACAGCTATCACAGTCCTTGCCAATCGTTATTCCGCGTTTGACAGATGTCCTGACGGACTCGCATGCGCAAGTGCGGGTCGCTGCGAACAAGAGTCTTAAACAATTCGGCGAAGTCATCAGCAATCCAGAGATCCAGTCGCTGGTACCGGTCTTCCTCAAGGCACTGGTTGATCCTGGAAAAACACCCAATGCGCTGTCTTCTCTACTCAAAACTTCTTTCATGCATTACATCGACCACTCTTCATTGGCTCTCGTACGTGATTTGAGACCTATTTCCTGTTTCAAACGTTGATCTGTCGTCACAGGTCGTACCCATCATCGAGAGAGGCTTACGAGAGCGGAGTGCGGACACCAAGAAGAAGGCCGCTCAGATTGTCGGAAATATGGCTTCGTTGACAGATTCCAAGGACTTCGTGCCGTATTTGTCTCAATTGCTCCCACTGGTACATGTTGTCCTTGTCGATCCAGTGCCAGAAGCACGCGCAACTGCGGCCAAGGCTCTCGGTACTCTTGTTGAGCGACTCGGCGAAGTCCACTTCCCAGACCTGGTCCCCGGCTTGTTGCGTACGCTCAAAACGGATACATCTGGTGTGGACCGACAAGGTGCTGCACAGGGTCTCAGTGAGGTACTGGCTGGTCTTGGTATGGAGCGTATGGAGGGATTACTGCCTGACATCATCGCCAATGCGCAATCGCCTCGCAGCAGCGTCAGAGAAGGATTCATGTCGTTGCTAGTGTTCCTGCCCACCACTTTCGGGAATCGCTTCCAACCTCACCTACCAAAGATCATCCCGCCCATTCTCAGCGGACTGTCAGATTCCGAAGACTATGTCAGAGAGGCTGCAATGCGGGCAGGTCGTATGATCGTCACTAATCACTCCAGCAAAGCCATTGACTTGCTACTGCCCGAGCTCGAACGCGGGATGTTTGATCCCGGTTGGCGCATTAGGGTGTGTGTATTTTGTCCCTATCAGTAAACTAATCTAATGGCACCTGCAGCAAGCTTCAATTACTCTGGTCGGTGAACTACTCTTCAAAGTGTCCGGCATCAGCGGCAAAGCCGAGATCGAGGAAGACGAAGAAATGGTTGACGCCGTCGTGGTCGAAAGTTCTCGTCGGGCGCTCGTTGAGGTCCTCGGAGCTGAAAGGCGGGACCGTATCCTTTCAGCTCTGTACCTTGCTCGCCAGGATTCTGTCAATGTTGTCAGACAATCTTCCGTACATATCTGGAAGGCATTGGTACACAATACGCCACGGACGGGTAAGAGTATCGATTCTAGACGATGCGCAGGGACTAAAGATTGTTCCTTCAGTGCGCGAAATTCTTCCTGAGCTGATTAGCCAAATTGTCTCGCTTTTGGCTGGTGACGAGGCTGACCAGCAAGAGGTGAGCATTCTTGGACCATGAGAAGACCGCCTGACTGATGAGTATTGCAGACGGCCGGGCGCACAGTTGCGGAATTGTGTCGCAAATCTGGAGAGAAGATCTTGGGCGAGATTGTCTCCATTCTCAAATCCAAATCAGCGTCGCCTGATGCGAAGACGCGTGAGGGTGTATGTTCGGTTCTTTGTGAGCTTATGTAAGTGTAATGCTCTCTGGGATTGCAAAGCTCTCAACCTCCACTGTTTCAGGGAAGGCACAGCGGACAGTCAGCGTGAAGGCAACGAAGATGATATCATCGCGATGGTACGCACTTCCTTGGTCGATGACGAGACCAATGTTCGCACTGCTGCTGCGAAAGCCTTCGACACCCTTCAAGAGCACATTGGGGCAAAGGCTATCGATCAGACAATACCAACGTTGCTAGAGGCCCTCCGGCAACCTGGACAGAGCTCTGGCACTGCCCTGCAGGCGCTCAGAGAAGTCATGGCTGTAAGCAATCCGCATGTCTCGAGAAAGGCTAGATCTGATGATGCGGTTTCGCAGGTTCGCGCATCCACTGTGTTCCCAGTGCTGATACCAACTTTGACTGCTATACCGATGACCATCTTCAATGCACATGCATTGGCATCACTTGTGACGGTTGCCGGCACCGCGCTCAGCAAGAGATTGACGGTTATTCTCACTGCACTTGCTAAGGTCAAGGAAAGCCCTGATATCGAAGAGAATGAGGAACTTCACAATGCCGTTGGAGAAGCAATTCGTGCTCTGCTAGGATCCATCTGCGACGCGGAAGGATTGAACACGCTGATGTTGCTCTTGTTGGGATGGTGAGCACCACACGCTTTATATGCGATTATATGCTGAAGTGTACTACAGGGCAAAGCATGAGACCGTACCAAGACGCATGACTGCGTGTGAACTCTTCGCCGTATTTTGTGAGGAATCCGAGCTCGATTCATCACTGTATTGGGTCGACTGGATACGTCAACTTGTCTCTCTGATGGACGACACCGAAGTTTCTGTGCACACTGCAGCCCTGAAATCTCTCGATGCCTTCGTCAAGTCTGTGCCAAAGGATGAGCTAGAGCCTCTGGTGGTGCCACTCAGACGTACCATTGAAGGTACTGGCGCGCCGGGTAGACCTGTCCCTGGATTCAGCCTGCCCAAGGGTGTCGCACCTTTGGTACCCATCATCATCTCAGGCCTCACCACAGGGAGCAATGAGCAACGCGAATATGCTGCCTACGCCATCAGCGACCTTATCGAGCGTACGGAAGAAAGCGCGATTAAGCCTTTCGTCGTTCCTTTCACAGGACCTCTTATCCGTGTCGCTACGCAAGCCACAACGTATCCTCCGGCTGTCAAGACCGCCATTCTCACCGCGCTTTCCACCATGCTTGATCGGATACCTGCCTTTGTCAAACCATTCTTTCCTCAGCTGCAGCGCACGTTTGTGAAGAGCGCCAGTGATCCGGCCAGCCTTGGAGTCCGCAACAAGGCGGCGCAGGGTCTAGGCATGCTCATGCGCAGCCAGCCACGAGTGGATCCTGTCATCACGGAACTGATTACTGGCGCGAAGAGCAACGAAGACCCCATTGCAGCAAGCCTCATCTACGCTCTAGCGTATGTGGTGCACAGTGCAGGGTCAAATGTCGGGGAAAAGGCACGAGAAGCATGCGTGAGCCTGATTACCGAGGCCTTCCGGGAGCCCCACGAAGGTCAGTTGGAGATTATGTTTTTGCTGATTGGATTGTTGACCTGAATCGGCCTGTAGAAAATTATTGTCAAGCTGTTGCGGCTCTCTTCTCCGCTTTATCCTCACAAGCTCAGCTTCTGAAACCCGTGGTCGAGTAAGTATCACACATTCATATCAATGATACTGTCTAAGAATGATACTTCGCAGTGCTTACCTATCCGCGGGCACACCGCCAACCGTCCTCAGCTCCCATTGCATTCTCGCCGTGGTATCGCCTGACGACGAATTCCACTCTGGCGACGATGATGCGCCCAACGTTTTCCAGCAGCTGGATGTCCTACGCACTGTGGCTCAGAAGGTCAAGGAAAGCACTTCGAGCGACAAGCTATCCGTTGCACGCCCCGCTCGTGAGGCGCGAGAGGCACTAAAACTACTAGACGACGACGCCCTGCAGGGAGTCTTCTGATAGCTCAAAAGCATGTTCATTTATGTAGCATAAGCGAGGGATTTCTTGTGTAGCTATGACATTGATGATTGCACGACCATTACACGCACATGAAGCCGAAAACTGACAGTGACATCTTGCCAACGGATATGATTTCATTGAGTCATATAGATCCACACCCGTACATTCATATGGAGATTAAAACTCTTGCTCAGCCTTTGGCTTCTAGCATGGCCTTCTGGTTCATCGTCCGCGAATCTAGAACTGCCATTTCTATGTCTTGTTTGCTGTCGCCGATGTCACATGCATCGTTCCCCTTCTCACTTGTGAGTTCCGCTTGCGCGACGGCTCGCAATTTGTCCTCATCACCCCGCGAGAGCTCCTTGTGCCGGATCATCAGAATACTCGCGAGCGTCGCTACAGCTGCGAGACATGCATTCAGGATGAACACAGTGCGAAAGCCACGCGTATACCCATCGAGGATATCAGCCGCCATAGCAGGCGTAATGCCAAGGGCGGCCAGAGAGCTGTCGGACGGCGAGGAGAACCTCACACCTAGTAGGGTGGGGTCGTCGACGATCTTCTTGATGGTCGCAGAGGGTAGCCCGAGGGACGACATGGACGAACGCAGTGAGTTGTTGCTGAAAGAAGGTCAAGGCACAGCATCGAGGTCATATCCGATGCGGGACGTACATGATAGTCGCTCCTAGGGCAAGAGACAAGGTGCCACCAAGCAAACGAACGAACTGGGAACAGTGATGTGAGCGTGATGAAGGCGGTCGATATAACGACTGAGCCACCAAACCGGCGATACATACGTTTCGCACCGCAGTTACTACGGACATGTCCCTCCTAGAAACGCTAGCCTGAGCGGCAACCGTCGTCGTCTGTAATGTCTACGAATACCGCGTAAGCTAGCTGTCTATCTTGATACTGCGTCCTTTAAGGCGAGGCCTCGTTGGGAATGTGAGAGAGCATGCTGATATCAGCACAGCGTACCTGTCCTGCGCCGAGCCCCGAGAGAAGCATGAAGAAGACCAAAAGGCCCTTAGGCGTGTTGCTGGTCACAGTCGACAGACATCCGCATCCGATTGCCCATACCGAGAACCCTGTGTGAATGATGGTCTGCGCAATGGACTAAATTAGCGTGTGGGCCAAACTAGAATGCCACTTGATCTCATACCCTGTACTTTCCGGTCCGGCTTACGAGTTGTCCCTGTTCGCAATGTAATGAATGAGACAAGAACGTGTTTTATGTACAGGGGCGGCTGACGTACCGCGACGAAACTAGCCGTTGTCTGGCTAACGAGAACGGGGAACAGGAAAACACCGGACCGAATGGGGGAATACGCCAAGGCAACCTGGAAGAATTGCGGAAGGTAGAACAGCGCAGAGTAGAATATCATGCCACTGGAAGGAGCAGGTAAGAGTCCATCGCAGGAAAGCCTCTGCTGTTACACAAGCTTTACAAGACCTGGCGACGTACTTGATGAACATGGTGACATATACACCGGTCACCGTCACATGCTTGAAGATGTACACTGTACATGAAGTGGTCTTCAGCCGATGGGCACGGAGGGTATGGTCTGGCACGTACTAGGCACGATGGGAAGCCGCGCACCCTTCCACTCCCAGAAGCAGAAAAGCGAGACCACAAGGAAGCCAGAGAATAGCGGGGCCAGCACCACAGCGGAAGTCCATGGAAACGTCACACCACCCTTGAGTAGACAGGCCATGACGTGTCAGAGATCATATATGTGGATTGAATGCTATGGACGTACCCAAATTAGCGGAAGTAGAACCAGCGTGCACCCAGCCAAGGTTAATACGGCGCCGAAGTAATCAACAGCGAGGAGTTTCCTGGGAGGGACATGGTCGCTCTCATTGCCCACGCGTTGCAAGGCAATGTGAAACCCACTAACGTTCGGAAGTTGCCTTCGACAGGCTTGACCGGGAGGACCACAAGCACGGCACACAGCGCCGTGAAAGAAATAGGCGGCGTAACCCAAAAGCACCACTGGAAATGGCGCATATAGCTGGTGTAAGCACACGTGGAGGCGTTTTAGTGATACGAACGCTCACCCGCCAGCTAGCTTTCTCAGAAAGTACACCGCCGATGAGCGGACCGATCGCGAATCCGAAAGCTACAACGACACCGATGATGCCCTGGTATTTCCCCCTGCAGGCGTGCGTAAAGTCGGGTCACACGACACAATGGCAGGCAGAAACGTACCTGTCGCGGAGACTCACAATGTCCGATATGATGATTTGCCCGATACTGACAATCGCACCGCCGCCAGCACCAGCGATTCCACGAAATACTATGAGCTGAATGATCGAACGCGAGAACCCAGCGAGAATGCTGCCAATCATGAATATAGACATGGACAGACAAAGACTAGCTTTGCGACCAAATATGTCGCTGAAGCGACCATCTACATTGGAGCATCAGCTATGTATACGCGTAAAGCAGCAGCGCAAACAGCTTTGTACGTACACAGTGGCTGAAATGCAGTCGATGTGAGCAAATATCCCGAGGGGACCCAAGAGACGATAGAGCCGGCGTTGAAGGCGTTAGAAATCGTTGGCAGTGCCGTTGCGACCATAGTCGAGTCTAAGGTAGAGACAAGAAGGCATAGAGACAAACCACAGAATACAGAAACAACTTTTTTGAGAGGCAACAGGTTCGTCTGGTCCGTCAAGAAAATAACGTCCGCTTTGCGCACAGCAGCCTGCGCTTCGGCCTCATACCCCTCCTGGAGCGTCTGAACGGCCGTTTTATCGTCATGCTCAAACGTATTGGGCATATATACAGAGTTGATTTCATGAATGTCGTCGTGTGCCGGGTCTGCCATGGTGGAACCTCCGTGGGCGCTGCCGGACAAGGGCGAGTGGGGAACAGCAGAGGACACGCACTTGTCGTCGACTATATATCGGCAGCAGATGCACGCACTTTGCACGGGCGGCCTCAAGTTTCGTGCACTCAGGGTACTTATCACGGTCCGAGAGTCAAGTGGGAGCTGCATGCCGACACTGCCGAGCCCAGGCGTTCTGATGCTTACCTGGGTTCACCATTGGCTGCAGAGACAAAGACGTCACAGTTACATGACCAGATCCTCTATGAGGCGAGAGTATGCGGTCGCTAACAAGTCCTTCGTACTGGACAGCGTTCACTCTGACTGTAAGAGGCTGAAGAGCAAGAACTGATGTTGCAAGCGCCTAACCGGCCCCCCTATCACGACGTGACATTATCATGTGATCGCGTTCTGTCACGCGTGCTGCCATGAACGTTCCGGACTTCCGACGCGGGCCAACCTAAATATGGTTGCTATTCATCGATATCCTTTCTGAAAACAGGCTAGGCAAGTTCTTGCATATGATGTGATGATAGTCTATAGTCCTGTTCGCTTCTTGCGGTGACACATCATACAACCCCGTATTATCGAGATGGACGATGTCGAAATCCACATATGATTCACGACTGAGGACCACATCTGACGCATACTTTTGGACTTGAGGACTGCGCGGCATAACTGTCGCGCGGGTATGACCATTGCAACCCCGGTTTACCTTGTGCAACCCAGTGTCTGCGTTTTTCGAACGCACAGCGTCCCTGACCCTCTCCTGCTGCACAGGTCTTGTCCTCACCTTTTAGTTCTTGAGGCAATAGTGACTGATGCGCACAAGGATAGTGACAATGCACCTCCCAGTGACTTCGTGGAAAGCGCTCTACTTACATGATTGTACGCTCCTAAGCCGTGGAATCCTGTAGACTTTGTCTGCGAGTGATCTCAAGTCAAAATGTGGCAGCCACCACGGACGCGCTGTGACCAACTTACTTGTCACGTTATGACGACATGCACTCTCATTGAGATGCATCCTACTCTCATGCTGCTCGGTGTGAGCCTCCTTTCCAACTCTTTTCGCGCAGTCGTAAGATCGCAGTAGGTCACTTGGTAAAGTCTGTTACAAAGTGGTGTGTTTGACGATAGATCTTGCTTTTAAGAACTCTCGCTTCCCGTACAACCCCTCTATGTCACTCCATTTCTCAGATGCCATTCAAGAGACCCGCGCCTTATCCCCACAGAGAATCAAGCTCCCAATCACATTCCGAATCATCCACTCCGTACTTGCCGCCCTCAAAGCACGCACGTATTTCCACATCTGCCAATTCACTTGCTCGTGTGAAGTTATACATCGTCCAAGCCAAATTTGATTCGTCAACTCTTTCGGAGCTGTTCCTACTTGCGGAGAAGCATGCCGGACGTCTCTGTCGTGATGCAAAAGACGCCGATGTGATTGTGACTGCAATCAGCATGCGAAGACGATTCGAGAGACATATACCGTGGGAGCTGGCGGTGCGTTGTTTCGCCCGAGGCACTATACCATTCGTACATGAAACATCCTGCAAACTGTCTTCCATCTTTCATGATTGATATTTGGGCGTTGCGAAACCCGATATATACACCACCTCATTCACTTTGATGTCATAACATCACTTGCGTTTTGTCATGCATCAAGCGCATATACTCAATGATTGCCTCTTGTACTGACAAGTTTTCAAAGACACCAGCTGACCTTTCTTTTGCGGCAGAAAGCGAAAGCCGTTGTAAATCCGCAATGGTTGCGAGAATCGGCCAAGGCAGGGAAACCACTGCCATGCGGCGACTACGCAGCACTACAAGACTTGCGAGTCGAGACCGCAGAACACTGCCCAGATTGCAATCTCTCTTCATGCGCTTGCTCGGATTCTTCGGCGGCTCCTGATTCATCCCTGGCAACAGGTCTCCAAACTCCGCCTTCTTCGTCAAGCTCAGCTGCCCCTCGGGGGTCGCCTATGTCTGCGGAGGCGCCGTCGACATCGCCCGGAACCAGGAAGGTACGCTCAGAAACATCCGCCAAGAAGCAGAAACTGAAGTGACAATCGCAGACGCCAAACACTCAGATCGACATCCCTTCTAATCTGCTTCCGCCCGATCCTTCATTTCCAACTGACATTGCAAAGCTCGATTACGCTTCCCGCTACGCCTGCCAGCGTCCGTCTCCACTGGTGTGCCCGAATCAATCATTGGCCAAAGAGTTGGACATCATGCGGCGCTCCCGCGCACTCGAGGGTGAGGAACGAAGCGCGCTCAGCTACGCGCGGGCAATTTCTGTGATCAAAGGCGCGCATAATTCGCGCATATATGGGGGTGCAGCCTGACACGTGAGACTTACAGCGTATCCACACCGCATCACGTCCGCACACCAGGTTTCCAAGCTGCCTTGTATAGGGACTAAGATCGGTGCGATGGTATGATACCCGCTGGGTCCCTTCGAACAGTCTCCTTACACTCTCTGACAAGGTGGAGGAATTTGTCGACAAGGGAAGGATTGGCGAAGCACGTGCGTCAGAGGCCTCCGTCATGGCGTACACGGCTGACCGTCGCTCACAAACAGAGACCATTTTGAAGTCCGAACGCTTCCAGGCGTTGTCCCTCTTTTCCTCGATCTACGGAATTGGCCCGACTACGGCGCGGAAGCTGTGTTCCCTCGGCCTTCGTTCGCTGGACGACCTGGAGATATACTACGGTGTGGAACGTGCCTCCCAACGGCCCAGCCTCGCGCAGGGTGGTGACATTGTCGAGGTAGAAATGCAGACGCGAACGCAACGGCATGGGCACCGGTCCGGAGAGAACAAGCATGGGCGCCTCGGTGCATGGGGAGGTGAAAAGGGCGAGAGCAACGAGGGACTAGGCGATAGCTGGATTAGGATCGCGCTAGAGCTGAGAGAAGACCTTGCCATACAGTACGTGTTGCAAATCCGCATAACCAACTTCGGGCAAAGAGCTAACCTGCTGCGCCCCCAGGATACCCCGCGCCGAGGTGGAGGAAATGAGTCGCGTGGTTATGGACGAGCTCGACGAGTTGGAGCCAGGGTGTGTGAGCACAATCGTGGGCGGATACAGGAGGGGAAAGTCGGAGAGCAGCGACGTCGATATTGTCTTCACGCATCCCGACGCAGAGCGCGTCAAGGGCCTCTGCAGGCGTTTGGTGAGAAGACTTCATGAACACGGTATGTACAGTGCTAAAAACGTGCCGTCTTCTCTAATTGCTCCCTAGGCATGGTTTCGCATGTAATGCGTAAGGCCTCTGACGTCTCTTCTCGCCGCATGATACTTAAAATGCAGCTCATAACAGACCTCTCGGGATTCCATGGTCACAATCCACTGCGGAATACTCACTGGGACTCCCTCGAGAAAGCATTGACTGTTTTCACATTACCGAAGTCTTCGTCCTTACACAACGGCATCCGACGACGCCTCGACCTCATATTCGCTCCTCCAGAAGTCTACTGGACTGCAGTCATAGGCTGGTTAGTCGATGTTTGCTGCCATGCATCACATCTGGCTGATCTAAGTGCGCATAATAGGACTGGCTCTATAATGTTCCAAAGGGATATTAGACAGTGGTCAAAGGACAAACTGTGCGGACCGCGCTCTAATGTCTTGGATTATACTAACCTCGCTGCTATGTAGAGCGATGAAATTCGATAGCTCCGGAATGTAAGCGTCCATAAGCGTCGGGCCTTATTGTGTTGTCTAACGCACACCTGCAGAACTCGAAGATACGACTCTAAGGCATTTTATCCAAAAACAGAGAAAGAAGTCTTCGATTTGTTACGGCTTGAGTGGATTGATCCGATGTGGCGTAACGCAGACGTTTGAGTCTCAGTCACCGTGATCAAGTCTCAATTACAAGTCAAGCGTAATCATACCATGTACCATTCCTGTTACTTATCTGTGTAGCCTGCGAGCCGTGCCTTCGATTTTCGACTTCGGATGCGTTCGTACCATACCGCTCGCAGTCCATTGATCTCAAGTATTGTCATACCTTATAAATGTACAATACATGTTTGTGTCAGATGTGGGTCTTCACGTGTCGAGCGGGTGATTCAATCAATTGGCAAAAGCTGCTATGTCTGTGATTGCCTTGCCGAGAATGAGCGTGTGGATGTCCTGTTATCCCGTCATTCAGTAAGGTTTGCTATGATCATATAGAGATGCGAGACATACATATGTTCCTGCATCAAAGCCGACCATCAGTGTGTGGTTAAAATAATGAAACCTGAGATACGTACCCTCATATGTATTCACGATCTGCAGGTTAGCAGCGTGTCGGCCAACATGATATCTTGTGGCAACGTTTGTGACGTGTCGCAGAAACTAGTAGTGTAACAACTCACTCGTCAGAGCACGCATTACCACCAAGAATATCCAACAGTCTTCGAGAATGCTCGAGTGCCTTGCCGCAGTTGTTGCGCTTCACCATGCTGATCATCTCCGGAGCCAACTTTCCTGCGTCCTTCAGACGTCCGACCTGTGCGTGCGGATGAGTCACCACCACCAATGCTCAACTCTACTCGAAACGTACTTGAAGACTAGCCTGCAGGCCAAGCGCCGCCTCTGTATGGGCATCCACGAGCTTCTTCTGCACAAGCTGGAACGATGCAAGAGGACGCTTGAACTGGTGGCGCTCGAGCGCATATGCCCGCGTACGCGCGATGCTGTCCTCAAGTGCGCCGATGGCGCCCCAGGATATCCCGTACCTACCCCATCGGAGGCTCAGCCTCAGGAGGCGGGACAGCGGACAGCTGCTTACCGTGCGCTGTTGAGACAGGAGAAGGGTGCACCCATACCTGAACCGTGAGGGAGGATGGCGTCGTGTCCGACCTTGACATTGTCCATGAATATAGAACCCGTCGCGGAGCATCGCAGGGCAAGCTTGTGCTTGATAGCGGGTGCGGATAATCCTTCCATTCCCTCCAGGTACGTCAGTACTATGTAACTTCAGGTTATCCTATAAAATCCTTTCACCTTTTCCAGGACAAAGCCGTGGATCTTTCCATCCCACTTTGCCCGCGCCCAAATGATGAATATGTCTCTACAAGCGCAAGGGACGGAAAGTTCATTAGATCAGGACTAGTGATAGGGCGGCGAGTCAAGCACAACTCACGCTATGGGAGAGTTGGTAATCCATGTCTTCGCGCCGTTGATAACAAAGCCCCCATCTGTCTCCTCTGCAGTCGTCTCCATTCCAGCAGGATCTGAGCCATGATTTGGCTCTGTGAGCCCCTGACAGTGCGATAGCAATATAAATCCTCGTAGGCATCGCACATTCTCATCACGGACGCACGAAGCAGCCGACCAGCTCGCCCTTTGCCAGCCTTGGAAGGTACTTTTCCTTCTGCACATCACTGCCGAATTCGTGGATCGGGTGCATGACTAGGGATGACTGAACAGAAGAAGTCGAGCGATAGCCGGAATCGACCCTTTAGGCCATTACGTCGTTAGCCAAAGCAGGAAACGCATCACGGAATACGCGCATACACCTACCTCTCAACCTCGCGTGCGATGAGACCATATGCGACGCTGCTCACACCGGCGCAGCCATAACCTTGAATCGTTGGTCCTAGCAGGCCGAGAGCACCCATCTCGGGAAGAATGCCGTGATCATAGTCTAGTATACTTGTGAGAATGCATGCAAAGAAGAAGAATCTAACGTGCGTCGAGCTCCGAAGGAAAAAGCATGTCGAACGGGTAGTGCATATGGAAGGTCACGCATCGCACACTAATACGTTCTCGTGACGAGAGGCGCCTAATGAATTTCGAAAGACTTACTTTCAGTCCGTTGACCCTCGAGGACGCGTGGGAGGAGGTTCTCCTACTGAGCATGGCGCATACATTAGCAATTGCGGTCTCATCGAAAGCATGCGTGCGGCGAACTGGCCTGGCAGAACGCACGGGCGGTGTCACTGAGGAAAGCGACATCTCAATGCATATATCTCCATTGCATGTAGCACGTTACGTACCGAATGGCAACCTCCTCTTCCGTCAGGAGACTTTCGAGGTCGAGTGGGTCCTGCTACCGCGTTAATGCCTCGTCATAAGACTGTAACCAAAACTTACCTCCCAGGCAAACTTTACAAATTCTTGATGAAAGAAGATGTGCGTTAGTATTTACTTTCGCACACAACGACATAGATCTGTATAACTCACTCGTAGACGTCGAGGCCGCCCTTTTCACGAGACGATCCAAGGACTTCGTAGGGCACCTCCCGACCAGACGCGAGCTGAGCACTGGCGTCCTGCGTATAGAACTTGCCACGTATGAGAGAGACATTGCCGTTCAAACGTGTATAACAAATGGGAGTCAAGACGAAGTCCCCCGCTGACGCTTGAATGCGGGGAAGAGGAGACGCCCATTATGCTTCGGAGTTATCCGGATGCAAATGCGATCACGTGATGCAATCTAGCGTCCCTCAGCACGCTGCTGCAGTAGAACGTGAGTATGTAGGGTCATGCCTTGCGCTAGGATATATGTCGTAACTTACGCAAGATTGTGGGTGAGATACTACTGTGATAATATATCCCGGCTGTTAAAGCTCTATTGCCCTCTCTGGGGTCTCGAAATCGTCACCGCTAGCGTCATATGACGAGCTGCGATTAAGGCTCCAACCATTTAGTTTATGTTTACAGCTGAAGTGTAAATAAATGGTAAATAGTAAACAGATGGTTTAAACTGTTTGCAAACAGTTTTATACATTTATAAAATACCTATGATAACTTAAGCAAACCTTCCCTAATCCAATGCTTTGTGCACATCACTTGTATGATAGGTGCAGGAACAGAGCATCAGACATGTAATTCATGTGCGTGTGGGGTAAGAAACACAAATGTATATGTGAGCATTCAAACTACATACTACGACAATGTACATACAAGGTTCACAGGTGTGTTGAGAAGTGAGCGTGAACCCAGGCAGAAAAATCAACTAGCTACTTGCATGACGGGAATTGCCGGGATCGCAATCATGTTTTGCAAAGGACAAACCAAAAAGTAAAGTAAGAAGTAAGTAAGGCACTCGGCTTCCATAGTACCAGAGAGCAGTAGCCTCATGGTGGGAATATACTATATTTGGTATCCCCGACCCCCCGACTGTTTATACCATTTATTTTACAATCTATTCACTGTCTATGCCCTGATCGTAAATAAATATATGTAGTAAACAGTGGAAACCATTTATAGATAGTAAACAAATGAAATGGTTGGAGCCTTAGCTGCGATTAAAGGATAATACTGGCCTCTATGATACTATCAACAAGAATATCAGATAGAATGAAGGCACCTACTGCGCGCGTATAGAATTGACGACGTCCATCGTTCTTGCCCTTTCTTGCGCTGCCTACTTATCGGCTACCGAGGAATGTCGATACATTCGGTCGAAGGCATCAGGAACTCATCCTGACAATCTGCTGCCGATTTCGTGACATGACATTGCTTCAATCTGACATGTATGGAACGTACTCTATGCCGAACAATTTCTTATTTATGAGTCATAGCTCGCCCCGATGAAAGGCTGTTGCTCATATTAGTGAGCAGCGGTGCGGCTGGCGATGATATGATTTTCACCTTCGTCATAGTGCTAACACAGTTATCCCAGATTGGAACTGTAATACACATGAGGTAAAACCTTTGATATCAGTTATTGCTGCTCAGCGAGCGCAGCCCATTGGCATTTGTCGAAAAGACCTAAGCAAAGAATGCAATATCCGGTACGATTAGACTAGCACTTCGCTAGCAGCAGTCCACCTAATCCCTCACGCTTCTTATGCCAACTGGTGATCCGGGGAAATGACGGTCTGATCCTGGGTGCATGTATTATTAGACCGTCCTCATCCAAATGTGAAGGGGTGTTATCCGAGGATAGACTATTCAGAGAGCTTCGGAGCCGTTGGGAAGGACTTATGATAATGCGAAATCGGAAATCAGTCGGCTGATGTGTCCTGTGTAGCATTTTGGAAAAGTCCAATTCTTTCCAGTGTGAAAGTGGAAGAAGTAGATGATAACGTACAAATCTAAGCTGTGACTACCCATGCAAGCCGTCTGCTCCCGGTCAAACCTCGGCAGCATCGGAGGCTGACATTACAATCTGTGGTTTATGTTGACTTTTGTATCGCAACAGGGACTGATCTGCTCCACCAGAGACTGCTCTGCTGCAAACAAAGGTCACCGGCATTGCATGCCGGGCTCTGCCGGCTCATGCCGCTAGATTGAGACCCTGAACACTCCTATGTGCGCAAATTCTCTTCTGAGTGCAGACAGCTCTTTCTATAACCGAAGTGCCAACTGTGAGTGATGATGATTTAAATTATAGTACACATGTGCAACTCAAGGGTTGAACGTCTAATGAGAGTGAGGCAACACCGCCCTCTAGGAGTGACTGGGGTCCTAGCGTCCGACAGACTGGTAAGGACAAACACCATCAGTGGCGCAGAGCAGATCAGTCCCTGTTGCGATACTTTTGGGTATGTCGGGCAAGCGTCGCTGCCGGCCCGGGTCACGTGGTCGTGCGCCGGTGTGGGAATAGGACTTATGTAGGCGTCGCGCGCCGTAGGTAGCCCCATCGGTTTGTAACCTAATCACCCATTGATCCCTGTCCATCGAGGACGTTGTCTGCCGGCGGTCTTTCCGGCGTCGTTCTCACAGTTTACACCATTAACGACTCAACGGCATACTCGGATGACTGGGAAACGGACTGTCATCCTAGCCTTTTGCTGACTAACTTCGCCAGTTATTCGAGCAATATAGATGTGTGACGGAGGTGCGCGTATTCGGTATACAGCTCGGCACTGTTGTTCTTAGACACATAACTGGGGCGGTTACCGATATGAAAACTTCGTACATGCTGGTGGCATTGCATGCGCGAACCACGTCGTCTAGTACCTGCCATATCGGCTCAAAACCTCCCGGCGCTCCATGGTCATCTAAGTGATCGCATCTAGATAGATAAACCCTCCTTCACATACGCCCACGAGAAATTGGCCGGGGCAAGTAGTGTTGTTAGCAGAAGTCAGCCACTCTGACAAGTGGTACTTCTTCCCGCCAGGCAACTGCCGTGACAGACGGCGGAACTTCCTGATATGGTATACAACACGCTGCAGCTCCTATTCTAGATGTCTCTTGGATCCTAACATAATGTTGAGCCATCTGTTATGAGGAAAGATTCGGCCCGTAATTGCTGAAAAGCCGCGAAGGTTATGTTATCACAAGACTTGCTACCAGGCAGTGTCACCACGTCCACACTTGAGTGTAAATTCCACCTGGAATTTGCTGTGTTCCGCAGCAAGTGGCAATTGCCATTCTGTCGGCAGAAGGCGGCCTCTGGGAATGCAGCATGCCGCCCACAACACTAGGTTCAAGGGTACATCAAATGTAGGCCGTCCGATCACGATGAAGGACATAAGCTTACTCAGCCAACCGCCCAACGAGCTCGCAAGAACCTGCCGTCGTTGCGCGAGAACGCATCCTCGGCGCGCATACGCCGAGGCCGGCGTGTGTGACAGGCATATAGCAAGGTTCGAGCGATGTATGGCGCAATAATTGGATGACATGGAGACCTTTCTGATTGATGTGCCGTTGGCATGTTCGAATGCACAGCTACCCTGGGCCGCAACCTTACATACTAGTAAACCAATTGCAGGCCAAAATCCGGCCCGGCACGGGTGCCAGCATACGGTGCTTGCCATGTATCCAGCCGGTTTCAGGTTGATCAGCGGTGCTAGGGTGCGAGATGAAGACGGCTGGGTAGAGACAAACGGTACTTGCCACGAGGAACTCTGAATGTGACCCCGGTAAGCCGGACGCTGCTATGATCCCACGCGATCGAAGGGAAAATGCCAACATCGATGTGCTGATCTTGCCCCATCCACGCACAATCGCCGACAGAAGATAACAACCCTGCTGAATAGGGTCAAATCCTCTCATCCTAGCCACGCGATACGCGGACTTTTACGGGAAGTCGTAGCCCAGCAGCTACCACAGGACCCTGGAAAACCTCTACCAGAACCCAGATAGAAGGCTTTGGAATGTTCCGAGCACTTCAGACTCACTTTGTCTGGATGACTCTCGGATGTATCGAAACCCGGATGGACGCAAACGACCAAGGTCAGAATTACTCGAGCTCCTATACACAATTGCCCCGATCGCTCCCGGGTCGCAGGCACGACTCCGAAGCCCGGGAACATCTGAACGACAGAAACATGATCTAAGTTCCCACGGTTGAACCTAGATCTGTCATCTCACTAATCTCTGCGCGCCTTCGTCATCGCTCTCTCGTAATTTCTTTGTCCGCGATCGAGAAGTTATCGAGCGTATATCAAGGGGGGTCGCGCCTGCATAAAAGGCCAGCTAGTTGCCATGTCACTCGTCCACACTTTCCGCACTGCACTTGCTTCCACATCTCGCACAGTCCCTCGCACCATCCGCCCCGCCGCGTCCCGTATCCCCGCCCGCTTCACCCACCAGCCACAACAGACCCGCACAATGGCCTCCGCACAGTTCCTCGAGGAGATCAAGAAGCGCCGCACGTACTACGCCATCACGAACAAGTCGCCCATTTCGGACGCGCGCATCCACGAGATCGTGAATGACATCGTCCTCCACGTCCCGTCCTCGTTCAACTCGCAGTCGTCCCGTGTCGTCGTCCTCCTCAAGAAGGAGCACGACAAGCTCTGGGACTTCCACACGGAGGTGCTGAAGCCCATCGTGCCGGCGGCGCAGTGGTCCGCGACCGAGGGCAAGATCGGCTCGTTCAAGGCCGGATACGGCACCGTCCTGTTCTTCGAGGACCAGGAGCCCATCCGTAGCCTGCAGGAGAAGTTCCCTCTCTACCAGGACAAGTTCCCCACGTGGGCTGAGGTGCGTGTTCGAATGCTTTCAGCTCACCCGGTACACATGCTCACGCTGCACACATGATGCAGCACACCTCGGGCATGATCCAGTTCGCGACCTGGACTGCACTTGAGCTCGAGGGCTTCGGTGCTTCCCTCCAGGTGAGCTTCGGGCTACACCGTCCCTCGAGGAACTCCGCTGATGGTTTTCTAGCACTACAACCCCCTCATTGACGAGAAGGTCAAGGCGGAGTGGAACATCCCCGCGACTTGGACCCTCATCGCCGAGCTGCCGTTTGGCACGCCCCTCGCCCCTGCCTCGGACAAGGCCTTTTCGCCTGTTGAGGAGCGCGTCAAGGTCTACGGCCAGTAGATTACTGAGGGGCAGCGACGTCGTTCTGGCACTCCGGCCCAGACTCGAGTAGACATGTTTCAGTTGCGCAGATTTCAATCGTTGTATAATGGTATCGTGCATCATGGTTAAGCTCCGTTGTGTGACATAAGGAGTCGAATGCTTCTTGGTTTGTCCTCCCCACGACGTGTCATTTTCATTGCTTGCAAATTCTAGCAGTATCATGGGCGGAATTTCCACTTGCAGCCGATTGCTGGAAGGTTTGTACGATTGTGGATGCAATAAACCTTCCTGCGGTTTGATCTCGAACCCAGCCGTCTTAGGCAAAGTACTGCCTGGAGAACGAAACATGAGAATTCGGCCTTCGTCTTGAGCGCTTAATGAAGGCAGATGTGCCTGAATCAAGATGCTCGATGGCGATCCGGTCACGTTTTGTAGAATGCTGACCTATCTCGCGCGCGCTCATCTCGATGCTTGATAAAGAACATGGTAACGTTGCTACTCACGTCAGCGAGCATGAAAAAACGCATTTGGCCATGACGAGCAATACTCGCCTCTACTTCCTTTTTTTTTTTTAAATTATATATATATATTCCTCGGGTTTAGACTCCATACATCGTAGGTACAAGTAGAGTGTAACCGAGCCACGAATGGCTCCTAGCAGCGGGCTCCGCGCCCTCGTACGGAAATGCACCGTGGAGTGCAGTTTGCTCGGTGTCTCTGCCCTACAGGTAGTCTCCTGTGAGCAGAGTTGATAATTCCTTCAACCTGCGCGGGCTACGGATATCCTTACCTACAGGTTTCGGGCGGACAGAAATGGACGTCGCGTGAGGAGCAGCGGGTGTCCGGTCCTCGCGCGTCGGTTTCCTGGCATCTACTTCTTTCGTCGGCACGCATAGTATTCTTTCATCTCCAGTTTCCTTATGCTGTGGTAACGAGGCGGCCAACTACGGTGCAGAAATCAAATTATTTGCCAGTCATTGCTGGCCGAGCCACAACGCGTAGAACAAACCGGCTTAGTCGCCGCATCACGCAATAAAAAGAACTTTTGCTGATTTGCATGGCCAAATGAATGATTCACTGACGTATCCAGTATTTCCCAGCGATAGTATCTGCGACGGCACCGAGCCCAAGAACGAGGGAGGGGCCTATCACAGTTGACAGTGAAGTCTCCCTCGCGTCGGGGTCTGCGAATCTGTCCGGAACACGTATAAGTACCCACGCCAATCTGTGATATGCGAACAGACAGATGCATCTCGCCGACGGTATGTGCGGCCGCCGTATTTTAGTGTAAGTTTGTCTCACCGGACTGGCCGGCCGAAGACGTCTGCATTGGACACACGGTGTGTACTTTTCGCAGGAAGAACTCATATGTCATGCCCACCCTATAAGGTGCGTGAGGGCCGAGCGAAGGTCGTAGTGATCTTCTGCATTGCCTCGTCATCGCGTCGACATCATTCGTACTACGCATGGTACGCCCTCTCACTGTTTCGTCCACGGCCGCAAGTTTGACATAGACGCTTCGTGCATACACCACAGGGCCAGTCGACCCTCTAGTCTTGACACACCCTCGACTCAATGGCTAACCTATGGTTCGCCTCTATACCCGCACTCCACGCGATCAACTCCTACGGTAATTTTGAACCACGTATACAGCATCTGAACTCTAAACAGAAGATCGTCGCGTACAGGTAAAACGGGCTACGTATGCACCTTTCTCGCCTGACACGCGCGTCCATTCAGAGATGCGCTTATTAGTGAAATCCGACCATTTCATTTGAATGTTGCGACCACGCATATCTCGGATGATGCAGTAAAGGTAATTGTAAATGACAAGATTGAATGATAGCCCACATAAATGAATGGCATAGTCTTGGAGCCGCCGTCCACGGAATATAGACTGACCCCTCACAGATATAATATCTTAGACGAGTTAGTCCGTGCAACGTCCACCCTACAATCTCTGAACTTCCAATCACTATGCGCAAGTCCTCGACCTATGAATAGTGAGTAAATATATCCCGTTAACTTCCGAGCATTGTAATGCACACTCACCAGGTCATTATACTCTCACGTCTACTTATAAAAATCGATCGTTGACTGGTGCCAGTGATGCTGCAAGTTTTCTCGATGCACATGTCCCGAGTAAACGACATCACTTCCGAGTCCACTGAGTTCCGTCTTGATTGCCTGCAACTTGGACACAGAATGATGCCATCTGCCGGGGTCTTCGAGGAAGTCAAGGGTGCAACTCATGACAATGATAGCTGAGGTGTAGTCAAGAAGAGCACCCAAATCGCCTTGACCCTGGGTGATAGCGCACGCAATACCGTTCCAGACCGGGGCCAACGTCGTGAAGATGAACCTCGTGAGATTGAAAAGGTCAGGATGAACGAAGTGGAGACGTGCAGTGAACCCCTGGAGTATGGGCCTACGTCGCGTGACTGAGTCTTTCAACAAGACGTCAACAGCGAGGTGTATCTGGATATGAGCGAGAAGTAGCGATGATACTGCGAGAATGAGGCCGAGCATGTTCGTGCCTACAAAAAGGATGGTCCAGACGAATCGAAGTAGAATCAGGATAGATAGTACTGAGCGAGCCAATCTTCTCAGCAGGTAATACTCCGCGAGGCGTCTCGTACACCCTCGTTCGAGACCATACGAAACCAGCATTTGGAGTGCAATACTGATCCATAGGGAGGGTGCTGGCGGCAGTTTCGAGAAGACGCAGAACAGGAGCACGATGCATGTCGGGAGTATGAACATGGGTGTCAATATGGATTGGTCCACAAAGAACAATGCTGGCCCTCTAGGGCCGCTTGGCAATGTGTCACTGTCGAGGGAAGGAGTAGACACAAGCCCCGGGATGTCAAACCTCCCCGCGGACACAAGCTGACTGATCTTAGCCTTCTGTGCTGAAGGGCAACATTGGTGGATTTTGACAGCCAGAAGCCAAGCGAGGTCGTTCTGAATGTTCTGCATTGCCTCCAAGAGATTCGACATTCCGATGAGTACTTGGACATGCTGATCGAAGCGTTGTAATGATCGAAAGACAGCCCTTGTATGGGCCAAGGAGTGAACGAGAACGAAGACGAAGTCGGCATCATCAGCAGTGAAGCTGCAGCTCGAAAGCTCATGCTCGAGTACATCATGAATTCCAGTGTCGAGGAAGCGATCATGGCAGGGAATAATCTTTCGCGCGAGGTTAGACAAGTCTTCAGCTGCCTGCAAGCAGGTCAAGACGCCTTTAGGACTACCAGAGAGTCCATTGCAGGTGGAGATGGATGTCACTAAGAGTTGCAGGGTTTCGACAATATCGACGGTCTCTGTCGCATGGGTTACAGTATCGAACCTGCGAGAGTCTTGCGAGCATGAGACAGACACATCATCGATCACGCGAAGTGCAGACTGACTACATCGATCCAGGTTGACATATAACGTCGCCAGCAGCGATGCAATGCAGACAGCATGATTCTCGCTAGTAATTGCGGTTGATATATAAAACGAGAGGTGGCGGATGCAATGTTCAACTGCAGGAAGGGTCTTCGGTGGGTTCGGCGATGGAAAAGAATGGAACGAAGGAGCTGTGGGGCTTTCCACGCACTGGAGGCTGAGGTACAGTGCCTCTAGACGTTCGGAGGTGAGGTTCAGGAATCTCGGAAAAATAGTGTCGACATTGTCTTCGGACCATTGCAGCTGCGAAATGTACTCTCGATATTTACGTATGATGTTGTCCGAGTCGTGCGATACAAGAAGATGAGTGAAAGCGCGTGACCGTTGGAAACAGTCGAGGATTGGCAACGTTTGAAAGGAAGATGACGCTCGTATTGCATACAGGCCAGTGTCATGGAGCCGCCGATGAACAGCCAGAGTAGCTGCCCTGCCTTGGCTTGCCTCAAGCAGCATTGCTAGCTCGATGTGAAGGCGTTGGTGATGTAAAGTATACAGCAAGCTCGGAGAAGCCAGGATGATGCTGCACGTCAGAAGGAGCTTGCAGCATGCAATTGCTGGTTGAAGGTAGTGGAAGAGGGATTCCAGGATGGGCGATGTGCAGAGGCTCGATCGGTGCCGTGTCAGAAATTCTTTGAGGGATTGGTGTACAAGACGGACATAATAAACTCCTGTCTCGTCTTGAGCGAAGTCGATCAAAACCCCAAGGGACCGTGTGAGGACTTCTTGTATGTCGTGGTGTAGCAACGCGTCATCATAGTCTGGTTCTGTCGCAAGCATAGCGTTGAGCTCGTGGAGCTGCAGTGGTTTTGCTGTGAACAGGATCCACTGTAACGTGCGGATAGCGATGTCGCCCAATTTGTCCATGCCTTTATTCCTGCGGAACAGCACCTCGAAATAAGATTCGTACATCTGGTCAAGGCCAGCGGAGGAATGGTGAAGTGCATTGTTAACCTCTTCGGTTGTCGGGTTTGGCATGGCAGCAATATGATCCGTGATGACACGAACATAGAGAAACATTCCGGCTGCAGCATGATAGATTTCGTCTCCTAGTGATTGCCTGTTTCTGATACGTGGCACACGCTTCTGCAGCTGCTCTAGCCTTTCACCGACATATCTCTGCAAATCAACCTCTGTCGTGCCGGTCTGGCCGATATGAAGAGACGGCCACGATTTGGTTCGCCGGGAAACATGTGTCTCAGTCCTGCTAAGATAAAGGAGCTTTGTTCCCCTGCGATTGCAGGACTCCAATAGGTCTAGCAGACCGCCTTCAGCAGTGACCTCGTCGTCGCATTCATCTATCCCATCGAGGATAATGCTGATCAAGGTACTCAGTAGGGAACACAGTCAAATATTGAAGGATATACTAACCGTACTGTTGTGAAAGAGCTAAGCATCGTCTCGAGATGCGAACCTAAGTCGATCACTGAGAATGGATAGTCGTGCGATTTGCTCAAGATGGCCTTCAAGAGTACCTGAATATCATCCATGTAGGCGCATCGATCCTCCATCGTCAAGATCTGCGCCAATAATGTCTTGATGATGGGCGCTGAGGCTCGTTTCCTGGGATCCTTCGCGTCACAAAAGAAATACAGTACGACTTCATCCGCCGTTCGTTGTGCACGAGATTGCTCCACGAGATATGCAGCCAATGTGCTTTTCCCTATCCCAGGTCCACCATAGAGCCAAAGACGAGATCCCTCGGACCCGGAGTCGGTATCGGCATCTAGCCACGTCCTGACGGTAGGGTTCGTCAACGTCCAAGCACATGTGTCCTTGAGTCGTGGCTGGACCATCCGCGACAAGTCATCGTCGAAGTTGACGAAATGCAAACGGCTCAACAGACCGAGGAAATCCTGATCTATGCAAGTCACACCGACAGAAGTGCATAGTCCGTAGAGACCCAAGATAACCACTCACGTCGACGATATTCTACCTCACTTTTCTCATGGTCACGAAGAAATTGTGAGGCCTCTTTAAACCTCTGCGCGATACCTTCGAATTCTGCGGCGCGGAATTGTTGCACCAACTTCGTTTTCGCGGTAGAGAAGTCTTCCGTAGTGATGCCTTTGAGGAAAGCACGAGACTCTGCGGGAAAGACGTCAGATCCACAGCCACAGCCGCTTCCAAGTATAGGGGACGAACTAGAGTGGAGGATACCGCAAACCTCTGTAAGATATACCACAATGCCCTCGAACGCAGGCCTGGCGGGACTGGGAACTTTTGAGGAAGGGTGAATCTCGTCTTTCAGAGCCGAGGGGTTTCCCCTTTGCACCGCGTCGTAGTCCGTTGTCTTGGAATCGGATCCTTCTTGAAAAATCCAACTTTGGCTATACATACAAATACGAGGAAGATTGTCCGAGATGAATATGAGGGCATCGCTTATAGCTATGCAGTTTCAACAGTTAGAAGCGGCTGTATCAGAAGTATGCGCTTGCCTTCATGTATTCGGATCCGAGCTGTGGCACACTATGCCCATTCGCATGCAATTAGTAGATAAGGACTCATCGTGCAAAGTAACAGTGACTTACGTGAAGTATAACCTTGATCGCTGCCCAAACAACTGACGCAGGCCAAGCTCCGCTCTCAGTTGATGCCGCCGCTTTAACTACCGGAGACACCTGGAGCACAAAATTGTTCAGCTTCTTTAGCCACGCCTCCGCTCTCGTCGGCCCCCTTGAGTCTTTCAGAGCGTCAACTACTTCCCGTATGCTGTCGATGACGTCCTGTTCCGTGATATCCCTGAAGTAAGCACTCTCAACCGAGGCTGTAGCATTGTTATCAGTGGCGACTTTAGTCGTGCCGATCTTGTGAAGGACTTCATGAAAGGGTTTCTTGTCCTTGTCATTGCCTGCGATATTTATGGCAGCTCTCTTCAGTTCCAAGCATATGGCAGGAAGAGAACTATCGTGAACGCCTTGACGCAGAGCCATTGGGTGAGGGCACAGGGTAGGACACAACCACCATACGTAAGGTCCATCATGATGTTCACTAGTGGGGCGTTTAGTCGCCACTCGGGGATAGAGTTCAAACTCCACAGACCATCAATCCACGACAGGGAGCGCTCACCGGTCTAGAAGTAACCTTTCTAGGTGGGAGAAACGATTGCTTTTGACGAGACATCGCGGGCGCTGAGCAAACAGATTCGCGCTCGATAACCTCCCACTGAGAACACGAACATTCAAGTACTGTCTTGTCATTCATACTTGCTCCGTTTTGCATTGAGGATATCTCCAGGCGTGATTGTTGTGTCTTTCCTCGTTCCTTCGCACTCCAGATTGAACGATGCATGACCGTGACACGGACCCAGTTTCGTCCTAGATGCGTCACAGACGCATGTCAGCCGAACTAAGCAACAGGATCACCGCAGACCGCAGCCTATAAGTATGCCCAGAGTTTAGAAAGGAGAATTTGCGCTGAGAGAGTAGGTCCAGCCGCACCTGTCAATCCTCGTGACGCATGCGCATGTTTGGTAGTCATCGACAAGAGGTTGGAACTCCGAGACTCGCAAACACACTGACAGAACGTTGGGCGTCGGCATGGCCGTGCGCAATAAGGGAAAGACACGACGATGTGAAAATCTACACATCCACCTCTAGAAGGGATACATACTGTTACGCGCTGGTTAGGTAACGCGAGTCAGCATATGGTACACAGGGTGCTTTACTCAATACAGAGTTCAAAATTCAAGTTCAAAAGCGTTTGTCAGTACACTGCACCGTAGCAAAGTCCACCGTCCTACGGTAACAGAGTATTCAGAGTTCACAGACCAGCGGCCGTCAGCAGTTTGTCAAAGTCCGGAGTTCCAAGCCCAGTGATCTGTCAGGTCTCATTCAGCGACTACATGCACTAAGCCAGCGCAAAGAGAACAACGCACCGGGTCCCACCCGCTCGTCGCATAAAATCCCGTCGTGCCCCCGCTGCACGCGAGGTTGTTCCCCGCCGTCACACTCGCAAACGCGCCGCTCGCCGCGCCATACAGCCACGGGTTCAGCCACCCGAGCGTCGCCCTGCCCGCCGTGAGCAGCCGGTCGTTCAGCAGCGCGACGATGCTCGCGACCGTCGGCACCGCCGCGCTCGTCCCGGACACCTCGAGCGCCGCGCGGCTGTTGTAGATGTCGTACAGCGTCCCGTACGCCGCGACGTCCGGGAACGCGCGGCCGGACGCGTTGTACAGGCCGCTGCTGTTGCCGCCGAGCTGCGTGAGGAAGGCCGAGACGGCGGCGGACTGGTAGGACGGCTGCGGCCAGTAGTTGGAGAAACCGCCGCTCGAGAAGGCTGCTGCTTGCTCGTTGGGGAGGAGGGTGGTCGCGCCGACAGACGTGACGCTGGGGTGCGTTGAGTGCGGGTATGGTGAGCAGGCCAGAGGACTTACTAGGGGCAGCCGGACGGGAAGGTGGGCACGAACGTGGTGCATTCGCTGTTTTTGTTGCCCGAGACGCCGCCGTCGCCAGATGCGAAGATCACAGAGACGCCGCGAGCACCAAGTTGTGCATACGCGTTGCACAGGTTGCTGTTCGCGTCGATTCAGCAGGGGCCTGTGATGAGCATATAGAATACTCACTACGCAAGCTTCTGCGAGATCGCATTCTCATTGTCTCCATAGCTCGTGGCGACCACTGGCGGCGGGGACTCGAGCGATAGCAGGTAGTTCGCAGTGTCGAGCAGGGCGTCGTCAAATTCGCCTCCGACCGAGAGGAATGTCACAGGGACACCCGTCGCAAGACCAATTGCGTACTGCACGTCAAGATTCTGTGTACACTGGTCAATACTTATACTCCCGAGAACGTCTATAGAGAACACACGGCCTCGACGTTGAGTTGTGAGTTATTTGAGGTGCTGTTACCACCATTCACGCTTTGAAATGTGAATGTAGTGGAGTTGCTCATGTCGGGGCGATACTCGGTAAGGAACCTCTGATAATCAAGATGAGGCTATGCATGCACTCAGAACATTGTATGCCATACCTGCAAATCAGACTCCTGCGGGATAGCGCCTCCATAAGCGGTAACAGCGATACCATTCGATGTAGAATTAGCAGGATCGGAAGGAATGTTATAAATATACTGCAAGCACCACGGCGTCACGGGCATATTGCCAGAGCCGCACACGGCGGACGTGTTATCAGACCGCTGGACGGGGGAGGTGCTCGTAGACGTCGAGGAAACAAAAACAGGAGCATGACCCGTGCCAGAAGGGAACCTGCAGCCCATCAATCAGCATCAGAGACCACGACGCATTGGGGATACGGACGTGGTTGTGGGGTGCACGAAGTCAATGTGCGCAGTCAACTCCGCAGGGATAGAGTAAGCCAGCGTCCGGATTGTCTGGAGACCGGTCTGCTCGTGCGTGAACACGGAGAAATTCGCGGAAAGTAGGTCGTTTGCTGTGCTGGAGGGCACGTCGACGCCAAGCCAGTCGCCTCCCGGCGAAAGAACATCGGCATTCAGGCCGTTCTCGTTCAGCCATGCCTGCACCGCGGAGGTGCTCTCTGAAGCTGGGGCGACAAATGACGCGACCTACCCGAGTCAATGAGGGTTTCCGGCGAATTACCAGAGGATGCTGCTCACCTCATCCCTGCTCAGATGCTGACCATAACTCTCACTGGTCGGGTCGCTAACGCTGTACAAGGCATCCACCAATCCATCGACGTTGTTCTGCACGAGCGCGATTCGTAAACGGATTGTCGCGTCAGAGTCAGCAGGTCCGCTCAGGACAAAACCGCTGGGCGCCGCATCACGGGCTTCGTGCAATTGAAAGTTTCTTGAGAAAACACGGCCAGATACAAGTCCATAGCAGCCGAACAGAACAGAAAAGAGCGTGTGCAAGCGCATACCGAGAGCAGAAAAGAGCGAAGCGTTACAGCCAGATTTACAGGCCTTGATTTGGCCGTGTCGTCACTGTTCGAAAAAAGGTGAATCTTGAGTCTTCTCCCGCCGCAGCCGTAGATGCGAGCCAATGAAGCATGTTTGATGAGCCACAGCCCCACTCAAGGGCTCGCGTGCACTGGCAGATCGACTGTGAATCACGGACGGAGATGTCCATGGACGGTGCACAAGCTGAAATGTCCCGCAGTATATTGCAAGGAGGAAGTGTATGTCTCGGCGCCGGGTGTAGGCACGCTATGTGTCTCTGACGCTACGATGATCTGCAAGTGCAACACCGAATCGGCTCAATCTCACGCTAGACGACGCTGAGGGAAATATATGTGACCGTGTGAACTTTGAGAGTGACAGAACGATTACTGTAACACGGGGATAGACCTGGACTACTTCGTGTCCAGGGATCATGATTCTATGATGATCCTTGACTTTCAGATCTGCTTTCACATTCTCCAAATTGTGCTTGCGAGAGCGGTCTCATCTATCCGGCTTTGCTGAATATGACAGCAACATACTGCTTTCGCTGGCTCGGATGACATTGTCGCATACGGACAATGCATGGGCATTGGGCGCCGCATACTCCCGTATCTCCTGGAGCGCATGGCTAGAGCACATCCGCGAAGATTCAGTTACGGATTTTGGACCATGATATGGTGGTTGGGTGAGCACCTCTATGATCGGTCACAACATGCTGCGGCGAGTCATTCGTGATGGATACGAGCATCCCTGCCGGCCGGAATGCTTACTTGTGGTCTTCTCCGGGGGATGATGATGTCCGCGGCGCGATGCGTATATGAGGCTAGAAAATCGGCGCATGTTCACAAAACCCACCGCTCTTGAAAGCGACCGTCACTACCGATGCTGTCTCCATACCTTGTTCTCTCTTTTTTCGCGCCGCTCGTTCTTGGGAAGACAACTGCTCCGAACTTGCAGTTGCATGAAGCTCTCGACAACGTCCCTGCCGGCTTTATGCTCAGTGGGCCTGCTGCACCAGACACGGTCCTAAACATACAATTGGCGCTTGTCCAAAACAACGTATCTGGCCTGGTAGACGAACTATACAGCGTCAGCGATCCCTCCAGTGCCAACTATGGCCAGTATCTGTCCAAAGAGGAGGTACGGACAGCAATTCCTTACATTCACCACATTTCGGATTCCACTGACGACCCGACAGGTAGAGGCTCTCGTAGCCCCTTCATTGGACAGTGTTACTGCTGTGAATAGCTGGCTCAGCCTGAATGGGCTGAATGCAACCATCGCGTCCCCAGCGGGCGACTGGTTGGCAGTACAGGTTCCCGTCAGCAAGGCGAACGAGATCCTCTCCGCGAACTATTCCGTGTTCACGCACGTCAGTACCGGACTTCGAACCGTCCGCACGCTCGCATACTCCATCCCGACTGACCTGGTGGGCCATCTGGATCTGGTACGTCCAACCGTCTCGTACGTCATCCGGCGGATCTGGTCCTCTGGAAGACACGAACTGATCCTGCTCAGCTTCCCAGATCCTTATGGAAGCACTCATCCTGTCGCTTTCTCTCGTCCGGTATCCGACATAGACCTAAGCAACACAACTTCGTCTTGTGCCAATCTCTCATCCGTCACCCCTGCATGCATCCAGTCCCTCTACAAGATACCCAGCACCGCTGCCACAAGCAATTCTAATCGTCTTGCAGTGACAGGGTATGTTGGCGAATGGGCAAACGAGGCAGACTTGCAGGCAAGTCGCAGGTCTTGCACTGTAGATTGCAAAGCTTCGCGCTGAAATAGGAGCTTATTAGATGTTCCTGGAGCGATACCGACCTGACATGAACTCGTCAACGATGTTCATGCTAGAGACAGTCGACAACGGTTCGAACAATCAGACGCTGGCATACGCTGGCGGAGAAGCGGTGCGTAGCGGACATGTCGCCTTCAACGCAAGACTCATAGTGATCGTCCTGTGCAGAATCTGGACATCCAGTACACTCTGGGCCTTGCTACCGGGGTTCCCACTACCTTCATCTCGGTTGGTGGTAATTGGTCCACTGACGGCTTTTTGGGATCTCTCCTTGATACCGCAAATTACCTATTGAGTCAGGATTCCCCGCCCCAGGTCGTCAGCACCAGTTATGGCCTGGATGAGAAGCTCGTCTCCCCAAAGTTTGCAAAGTAAGTCATGAGTCGTGGATAGTGCGCGGCTGTGGCTCACGAAGCTCTTGCAACGTGCAGTACACTCTGTAATGCTTATGCTCAGCTCGGTGCTCGTGGCGTCTCCATGCTCTTTGCTCCAGGCGACGCTGGTGTGGCCGGCTTTGACCATACCGAATGCACAACCTTCCAGCCCACATTCCCTTCCACTTGTCCATAGTGAGTACACCCTTCCCAGGCTCATGCGCCATCGTCATCTGTCTTCTAGTGTTACCTCCGTTGGCGGCACCGTTGGCATCCCCGAGACCGCCGCGAGCCTCTCGGCTGGCGGCTTTTCGAACATTTTTCCGCGTCCTAGCTACCAGTCCACCGCAGTGCCCGCCTACCTCTCCGGGCTCGGCAGCACCGACAGTGGGCTCTATAACGCGTCCGGGCGCGGGTTCCCCGACGTCGCCGCGTACGCGGTCTACTACGACGTGTTCATTGCGGGGGAGCTCATCGCCGTGAACGGCACGAGCGCGGCGACGCCTGTGTGGGCGAGCGTCGTGACGCTTTTAAACGACCGCCTCATGGCCGCGGGCAAGCCTGTGCTCGGGTTCCTGAACCCGTGGCTGTATGCGGGCGGCGCGAGCGCACTGACGGACATCGTGTCCGGCAACAATAGAGCGTGTGCGAACGACACCGGGTTCGACGCCGCGGTAGGATGGGATCCGGTGAGCGGAAGGATTCTGATGTGAAGCGTCTTGTGAAATGGCTGACGATCGCCGAACACAGATCACCGGGCTGGGGACGCCGGATTTCTCGCTCCTTCAGTCGGCTGTCGGTCTGTAGCTGGCGCGTCCCATTCGAGCCGTTGCCGCGTTGTAGTCCTGCTTTCCCGTACATGCGTATTTCAATATGATACTGACGTAGCGCGATTGCATGCAGGCTCCTTCCCGCCGTCTTCGGGAGGTGAGGGGGACTTCATTCGAGGGCGGAATTCATGCTAAGTCCCAATAGCTTAGGGAAGATCATATCTTAGATCCCATCACACATGTCACGTGCGTTACCCAAATATTCAAACTCCACAATCTTAATCCCCCTCACCTCCCTGTGACGGCTGGCACAAAACAGTTGTAAACAGCGGCGCTTGGAGCTGGACTTCCTCCATATAGTATGAGATCACGGCCAAAAACTAAAAGCGGAGAACTAAATGTCATAATATTTGCTCTCGTCAAAATGAGCATCCAGCTGCGCTGCCTTGAAAACAGAGTTAAAGAACGGGTGAAGATGAACATGTTTGCTATCTGCAATGCCCCTACACAAGCCCCTCCTGCCAACCATCAGCGCTATCCAAAAGAAGACATTTGCAAAGCTGGGCCATGACCCTTGTGAATGGCAGGTGATTGAAGGTTGCACGCGAGATCCAAAGGATGCCATATGTGTTGCACCAACCAGCGCAGGCAAAACACTCACTGGGTTGACCAATGCTCTGCAAATACCTCGAGAAGCTGCGTGAGAACATTGACGTGCATGGCTCCAAGACACGGAGGCAGCGCGTTCCAATGTGTCTCGGACGCGTCGCGTTCTGGCTCATGCGATCGCGTTTATTATGTAATGTAGGTAGCATATTTTGTCAAGCGCCCAGTCGCTCAATCGAGGCGACTGCCCTCCGAGCGCCGCTGTTTACAAATGTTTTGTGCCAGCCGTCACAGGGAGGTAGAGGGGATTAAGATTGTGGAGTTTGAATTTGCACGTGATGTCCACATGACATTCACGTGACATGTGGCGTCAGTTCTAGTTTAGGATACAGTACTTAGGATGTAGCATGAGTACCACCGTCGAATGCAGCCCCTCTTACCTCCCGAAGACGGCGGGAAGGAGCCTGGATTGCATGGCATTGTTGTGTTGCTCATGTATTGCTACCCCATGGGCATCGCGTGATTGCACGCTTATAGGCATTTCGGCGCTCATCAATATCGTTATAGATTTGCGATCACATATCTTAATGCATCTCGCGCTCTCCGCGCTATCAAAGATTTCTCCTCAAACATCGTTCGAGCGAGCGAATGTGATCGCCGCACCAGATGCTCTACGGGTGGACGTCGTCGCCTATCCAATTCATGACCTGCCGGGACGCGGACGGCGCTAACGTCCGCTTTGTGCTCTGCCGCGGTCTCAAGCAGGGCGCACGCGTGCAGTCCCGAAGCGTAGATTCTTTGATGCGGCGTCTTGTCTCCGTGTGCGCTACAGGAGCGCGGGTCCGGTTTCTGGTATAAGATACTCGAGATCGAGTACTGGTAATGGTGGGCTGCCTCGGACACGCTGACCTGCCCAGCATGTTTCTCTCGGTATGCTTCACCATTATGTTAGGTGCTACTGCTTGCGCCACACCTCTACGGCGGGGCATGCGCGTACACGAAGCTCTAAAGTCCGTCCCATCTGGCTACGTACTCAATGGCCCAGCACCCCCCGACACAGTGCTCACCTTCAAGCTTGCACTCGTGCAGAATGATCCTAACGGCCTTGTAGACGCGTTGTATGACGTTAGCGCTCCGGACGGTCCGAAATACGGCCAGTATCTCAGCAAGGAAGAGGTATATCGCTTACGATTGTCGTCAGTCTACATGACGGCGTGCTGATGCTTCCAGGTGGTGTCCTTTGTATCCCCGAGGCCGGAGAGCACGGCAGCGGTGAACGCTTGGCTCAAGGAGAATGGGTTGATCGCGACAACGATCTCCCCTGCGGGCGACTGGCTGAGCATCAGTGCACCCGTCAATAAGATTAACGACCTGATCGACGCGGAATACTCCGTCTTCACGCATCCGAGCACTGGGATGCAGACTATCCGGACATTGTCGTATTCCATCCCTGCAGATCTCATTGACCATCTCGACTTGATCCATCCCACAATTTCGTAAGTGACACTGCGCAGCTTTCGCTTTACTTAGTATCCACGTGTTGACGTTCATCTAGATTTCCGAGTCCGTTTCGAAATGCGCCTGATGTCAAGCTGACGAGGCCAAAGCCTCATCTATCTGCGGAATTGCCCCGCGATAGCTCTCCTTGCGGGCCCTCTGGTCAAACACCCGCCGTCGACCCTGCATGTATACAGTATTTGTACGATATTCCAACCACTCCTGCCACGAACCCTTCCAATCGCCTCGCGGTTACTGGGTATGATGGAGAGTGGGCGAGCAAAGCTGATTTGCAGGTAAGCCGTTCCTCAGAGGCCGAGGGGTGGTGTTAATGGTAGTGTGGCGATATAGCAATTCCTGACACAATACCGACCTGATATGAACAATTCGACCACGTTCACCTTGCAGACACTGGATGGAGGGGTCAATCCTCAGAATGGCTCGGCTGGAAGCGAAGCAGTTGGTCATCACTCGATTAATAGCACGAGGCGGTGCAGCTCATGTATCCGTTTTGCAGGCCATAGACGTCCAGTGGACTGTAGGGCTTGCCACAGATGTCCCTGTCACATTTATCTCCGTTGGCGGAGACTTTCTTGACGCGCTTCTGGATACTGCCAACTTCCTCCTTGGCGAGGACAGCCCTCCTCAGGTCGTGTCAACGAGCTACGGCGACGACGAGAGTGCAGTCTCGCAGAAGTTGGCGTAGTATGTGCTATAATAATAATCGCACTGACAAGAGCCTACTCATATGACGCCCCTTGTAGCGCTTTGTGCAACGCATATGCTCAGCTTGGCGCACGCGGTGTCACTGTGATCAACTCCTCCGGCGACGGTGGTGTCTCAGGAAACCACTACTCGGAGTGTACGACCTTCGTTCCGACGTTCCCGTCTGGATGTCCTTTGTACGTCGCAGTACTCCATTGATGATGGGTCGAGACCACTCACAGCACGCAGTGTGACATCGGTAGGGGGAACGACAATCATTGGCACCGAGTGGGGATCACCGTTCTCCGGTGGAGGCTTCTCCAACTACTGGAGCAGGCCAGCCTACCAGTCCGAGGCGGTCTCGCATTACCTTTCCCTACTTGGTAGCAATGACAGCGGGCTGTATAATGCCTCCGGGCGCGGGTACCCCGACGTGTCTGCATACAGCGTCGCCTTTGACGTCATTGTGGACGGGGAGGTAAACACCGAGGTTGGTACGAGCTGCTCCGCACCAACATGGGCGAGCGTGGTCGCGCTTCTCAACGACCGGCTGGTGTCGGCCGGCAAGCCGGCGCTTGGATTCTTGAATCCGTTCCTGTATTCTAAGGGCGCTGCAGCTTTGACGGATATTGTCAATGGGAACAATCTGTGGTGCACTAACGATACAGGATTTGAAGCTACAGTTGGGTGGGACCCTGTATGTTGTACTCCGCTGATACGCCCTTGCGAAGCTGATGGGACGCGACCTTTACTCCAGGTCACAGGTCTTGGCACCCCGAACTTCACGAATTTAAAGACTACTTTGGGGATTTGATGTTACGGATCGGGACGTCGTCAGACTACCGTGGGCTAGTGTATGTGCCTTTGTATTAACATCGCCGTCCGAAGCATGTATCTCAGGACATCCGGACATACGACCATGTCTCTTAGACACAGGCATGTCAGCAGTGAGCTCAAAATTGTATATATACCAAGTATGAACGTGCCAACACTCGTATGCGTGAGAGTGTTGTACAGTATGTCTGGATTGACAGGGTGGCTGCACTTGTTGCAGTGAAAGACTTAACCTACGAGCGCTACGTGGCCCTGATCGGAGTATCTGCTGATCCAGTTCGGCAAACGGGGTGGGATATAGAAGCTCCTCCTGCTTTATTAGCATTAATGCTACCGCATCTTGGACCCTCTGATACAGCCACGGCGGGCATACATAAGCAGCCCGATTGACCAGGACGAGCCACTATATTCGGCCCGCGGACAGTATTATAAATGCTTCACAGTGCTCCCATCCGGTTATCTGCGCGGCTCGCCTGTACTTTCTCCCGGCGGTCCTTAGCTCTGCTACCACGACTTGCATCCCCAGCTCGTCTCTCGTCTTTGCGCACAATGTCGACTGCACCATCCACCCACAAGTTTGTCGTCTACGCACCAGACATGACCGACCCGGACGCGTTCCAGCGTCGGCTGTCCGTGCGTCCCAGTCATGTGGCAAGAGCCGACGGTCTGGTCAATTCGGGCTTGATAAGTTCGTTCCGTCCATTTCTATATTGTGTGTTCCTTGACAAGTCCATATCTTGAATATGGTCTCGTTTTCAGGGGTCGGCGGTGCAATGCTCACGCCAGAGTCCATCGCATCCCCTACAGCCGAAAAGAAGATGATTGGGTCTGTCATCATCTTCGAGGCTGACAGCATTGAGACCGTAAGGAAGGCCATCGAGTCGGACATCTATTACACTGGCAATGTCGTGAGTGGTTCTGCAAACCAAGTCCGAGTGACTCAGAGTTCACGCACTGCCGTAGTGGGACAAGGAGAAACTCGTGATCCTCCCATTCGTGACTGCGCACCTGTAGTCTGGATGTTACTGCATTGAGAGGTAAATAACTTGTGTAAATGCCTCTGCCTTTGCTCAGCGTTGATCGATGCTGACACCTTGCGCGACGTTCTCAGATCTATCACTAGCGCGCCAAATGTATGCGTCTGTAACATGACTGAAACCTGTCTGCCACCTATTTTTACTCCCTGTATACGGGTGTATGCATCGTCCCTCTGCTGCAAGGGGCTGTCGTCATGCAGCTAAGCAATATCTCGCAAGTGAAGGGCCTTCCACTGCATCGTGAAGACTGTAGCTTAACAAAATGGAGTCAACTGGTAGTGCACCACGCAAAGTTGGCGTGATCTTTCCGTGAGATACGTCACGCGTTCATAAGTGTTAAATCCAGAAATGATATTGATGACATCTTATATTTTACGCCGTCTCCCCTCCGGGTGGTCTTCAAAAGTCGTGTAGGCACACATGAGCCAAACGCTCTGTCGTGTATTGAAGCAACAGGAAGGGTGCCAACTCGTGAAAACTCGGCCTCTCTCCCACAAGAACGCAAGAGATCTCGGAGACATTGTTTGCCTGTCGCCCCCGGTATGTTTTGCCAGCATCCCGCACACCCAGCATCGTGGCCGTGACTTGCGAGGCAGGTTTGGCATACGATGAGTGGCTAGTCCCTGCTTGAGTGGTGCGAGGGGTTATTCGACTTCTTCCACTTTGGAGACATCTCAGTCAGCATCTAGCTGCGGGAGGTAGATGCTGGATGGCCTGGCACTCGCCTGCACATATCATCCGGAGTTTCCCTGTTCGTCTGTCGCCACGTTCAGTGGCAACGCGTCGTGCGGTGTCTCCCGCCTGCCGAGAAGAGATGATATGTCCGGTACCTCTTATCGTGTTCTGGCCGATGGTATCCTTGTCTCGTGTCATCGCAGACTCGCTTAATCTTGCGGAAGTCGTGGCCATAATCCTTGGTTTTGCGCACCGTAGGGGCATAAGGTCGTGCGGTCTCACGGTCCCTGGGGCGTACGCGAGGTGGGGGGTTCTGGCCGCGAGTACTCCAAAGGGACTAAGCCGAGCAGGACTGCTTGGCGTTCTGTGCGTACATGGGGTAAGTACGTAGGGCAAGCGGCGTGGCCGTTGGGTACGTATGCGATGAGTGCAGAAGGCAGAGATGGAAGGGGAAGGGGATGCGATATTGCGCTGCATGATTGACTGGCATTTGGAGGCGTGGCTTGTGATCGCCGAATATCTGGCGGAGCGATTGCATTGCGGAGATGAAGTGGAGGTGAAGGAAGGTCGCCCTCGCCGGCTAGTGACAGCTCTATAGACTCCGTGTTCGTGGGCTGTGTGGTTTCTCCCAAGGGAAGTGAGGTTTGGAGGTTGTATGCGGATGTGCTTGAGCTAAAAGCGTCGGGCATTTATTTAGCAGTGTTGAGGCGGTGTTGATGTGCATGGCGGACATGTGTTGCTTGCTGTTCCGAAGGCTGGTGCAGTTCCTTATATACGTCTGAGTGTGCAATGCATCGCTCACTTTCGGTTCAGCCGTATAATGCAAGGAGCATTCATTTGTTGCAAGCATTGTTTCTCTCCCGGCTCCATGGTCTGGCCTTTGTATCTTGCGCTTGCGTTGTTCCTCTGTGACCTGCGGGAAGAGTCGGCTTCTCGTGAGCATAGGCATTGACAATACGCTCCAGGAGATCTGACAAGCCACGTCGTTGAAGAACACAACTGAACAAGTCTACAGCCACAGTACATGCGGGGTTCTTCGTCTCTAGTGTCGATAAAATGTTGACGGCCTCTCGAACCTTAGGACCCGACGCTGGCATCATCACACTTTGGTGCTCGTACAACATGCAAAATTGAACGTCGTCTGTTGTATGCAGACATTGGTAAGCGTAGACAATCATAAAAACATGGTGTATCTTCTGAAGCAAGACCCCAAGGGTTGCGGTCCGCCCACAGGTATTTCGTCGGCAGTGTCCCTACTATCGCTGCTCTCACGAGGTCCGGTGAGTGATCAGATCTCGTCATCTGAATCCCCACCTCTCGGCTTCGAGAGGAATCGCATTGGGTCCCGGCCTGTATTGCACTTCTCTGCAATTCTAACTCAGCATGGTCCATCCCAACAAAATGTGGCTGCACATACCCGAATATAGGAACCGGAGGTCCTGCGTCCTCCAAGTGCGTCTCAGTGGCTTACGCGATGAGGCGAAGGTTCCGCCTGGTTGCGTGTGCTGGTGAGACGAGTTATTGTGTTGGGCGACCTGCGCCGCCTTGTGAGTGACCGCATTCTTGTCCTGCGAGAATGCCGCCCTGCAGGCGTGCGTTTTGTTGGCGTGTGTGCATCGAGTGTCGTCTTGAATCATGGCCTTTTGAGGCGTCGTTATGAATATATAAGGGATGGGCCGGGTAGGTCGGTCTGGTATGTGATGGGGGCGGGTAGAGAAAGGGGGTGCCCGGCGCGCCGCCACAACAAGTGTTATATGGGCGCGTCGCGTGACCGTGGGTTGCAAGCCCTGATCTACAGAATATACTTGTATTCACTTGCCATTGTTCCCCAAATCGACAGGCACGGTTTTTCTGGGAGCCGTGCTGAGAACACACACGCGTTTAGGCTTCTATATAGCATCAAGAGCTCCAATAACCTGCTTGATCTGTGGCAGCCGAGCTCACTGCAGTTCACTGAGTATCGTGGGTCATAAAATATTGTAGGCTACTGTACCGCAAACAAAGGGCTGCTTCACGACCGCTGGAATACTGCCATCCATGCTCACGCTGCACAATGGCAACCACACTGACGTCGCAGCTTTGATTGAGAATTATGTGTCGACTCGCGAAGTTCCTCCAGCCTGCTGCAATGCTTCACTGAACCGAAGTGACGTGGACGGCCGCGCATGTTGGTCAATTCTTATCGTGGTTTCCCTCCATTGGATTCCTGCCACTCGCGCCTTGAGCGCGGCAGTCAATATGCGCCACAATTGCCCATGAATTGCTGCCTTCACCACATTGAATCATTCTCTGTTTTTTGTGTCTGCTAATTGCACCGCAGGGGTTTGCATCGCGAGACGGGGAAGCCCTTCACTGGTGAAGCGTTGTGTGGCGAGTTGCCCAATGCATGTCAACTCGTGATATAAGTTCCGTGATCTCTTTTGCATAATGACGACAAGTAGTCGTCCTAGTAAGCTTGCATATAGGCGTAGGAAACCTGCTTGATGGTCGCCACAAATATAAGGTGCGTTGATCGCCCGATTACTCACGCGCACTGATTATGGTGTTGGCATCTGCAAGCAGGAATGCCAAAAATAAGTGCTGCCAGGGAGCTATTCTTGCTGTGCCGTTGGAGATGCGACTGCCAACTCGAAACAATAATTGACCGCCACATGAGCCGATTTTTGATGACTTGATCAATAGACCCAATGTGTGGGCACTGTTGTGCCTGCATAATAGCTCACATGCAAGACACCACATATATGGCATTCGCCACCAATGAACGGGTATAAACTGGTGCGAGCCTGCAGTATCATATCCTCACTCTCGGCGTCCACTAGCTTCGTTTCTGATAAGCGAAAACTTACTTGACTATATAAGCATTCACGGTGCTGGTACAAGAAATTGCTACTTACATTGCCAAATTTGTGGAACGCCAGTATTGGAGGCACCGCGGGAACAATCCGCACTAGACGACTCATTGCGTGGCCCAGGCCCGTCAGAGCAGTTTTCTCACAACAGCAAGTGGCATCCGGAAGGAGCCCTCTGCGAATGTACCAGAAATGTCACGATTGTTGACAAACTACTTCGATAAAACCCTCTACATCGATGGGCCGGAACATCTGGAAGGGCCCATGAAGAGCAGCGAAGGATCATCCACTGCCTACGAGGTTGTCCAGATCAGTGGTAGTTTCAGCACCACATGGCGCGAAAACATATGGGATCCCGAACTTAAGGATTACGAATCATGTTGCAATTATAGGCAGGGTACGAAGGCATGGCTCACTCCCCAGAACCTCAAGGCCGTAATAAACCCGCTCGCAGTTCAAGTGATACACTTCAAATATGTCGACTTCTGTGGCGCAGATTCAGTCGGTTCCGAACTGCGTATGCTCTTCATCACGCATAATACCCGGGCCATGCACATTGCTATGGACCGATGCAGGTTTACCGAATTCGAAGACATACTGCTCTTGTATAAAGCACTAGGTGGCCGGCCCGGTTCTTTGCTGCTCAAAGATATCTGGTGGAAAGGGAGTCCCCGTTTTCAACCGCTAGACGCGCCAGCGGGGCACGGCAAATACCAACCGGAAACGGATCCTCGCTCAGACCGCGCGCGGGCGGAAATCCTGGCCATACGCATGAGTGTGCTGATTGAAGACCGTCCCAGTGACTCTAAGCACTATGATATCGCCATTACAAGCAACCACCAAGTTTATATTTGGTTCCCTTATCATTTTAGGCCCAGATCTTGGGCAAAAGAGAGTGTCCTGATTCAAACACCTAAGGGGGCCATCTGCGAATTGCGGCCCATTGATCAAGACACGAGCATTCTGACGCTCGTGAATGCGGATAAGCAACTGGCACAGAAATTCTCGCATTTCGCTATTACATGTGTGCAAGTGCAATCAAAACCCGGACAAACCTCGAGCCCTATATTATCTGCAAGGCGCACGGGCTACATACTTCAAAACACATGCTTGTACGAGCTAAGCTCGAATCTCTGGGAAGGGACCGTTGTTAGACTCAGCCCTGCTTGGCATTTTTGACGTCTTGGATGGGGGACGCAATGCACCCATACCTACAGTCTCCACTGACCGGGTTGTGTGGCTTAGCATTTGCCACTTATATAGCGAGGCCGATTGGGAGTTATGAACATGGGTGGCTTGCCTGTTTGATGTAGGATGTCTTTGATGTGTAGTCAATGGATGCTAGTCTTCCACGTAAGCACACCGACCACTGACGAGAGCTCCCGCCCTTGGGTGTCCCCAATGTGCGCCCGGCCGCTGACAGTACTGGCTCGCCAGTAAGCAATTCTAATCAACGATAGCAACAATGTTCCACAAGCCAGACAAAGCACGACTGTATTATGTACTTTTTGCAGCTATTAACACGGAAGCTCGAGACTATACCAGGCAAGACAATACAGGGTCATCACAAACGAATGGCGGTGGGTATGGGGTTCAACCAGCAGTCGTAAAACAGAGTAACAGATCGTCTATCACCGTGCACCACCGAAGCGGCACACGGCAGGGGAGGAGGGCGGAGAGAGGGCGGAGGACCATACGAGCATATAACCTGAGGTCATAGGAGTGCGCATAGCGGGTGGACTAACTGACGGAGACCGCGGATGTATGGATACTTGGCGCCGCGCGCGCACAGTCGGCTATAGGCGCCTCTGCAGCTCTTAGAGCGCAGGACGCCGGGGCACAGACATGGACGCGGGCTTGCAGGGGGAGAGAGCAGATACAGGGGAGGAGAGCAGAGAAGAGACGAACCAGAGAACCAATAAAGGGGGCCTAAAATATACAATCTTACCATCCACCACACACTATACCACAACGGAGCCGCGCCCGGGGGCCCGTAAGAGTCTAGCACAACTCGATTTCCCACTCGCCGCCTTCACGTCCGCGGCCAGGGATGTTCTTCAGCGCGATGCGCACACGGCGCCGACCGCCGGCGCTTGCGCCAGGTGAGCCCGCGCGCGAGCCGTAGCTATACCCGCTATCGCTGAAGCTGTCATAGTCGAACGCCGAGTGTCCTTGCGATAACGAACTGAACTCGTCGTCCGTCAGGGCGAAGTTTCCTGGGACACCGAGGAACGGGCCTAGGGCGTCCGCATCCGCATCCGGTTTCGGCGACGGCACGCTGGATTCAGACGTCAGCGATGACGAGATCGAGCTGTCGTCCTCAAAGTGCACTGCCGGCGGCGAGCCTGCTGAGCTGACGGAGGCCGAGGACGTGGTCGATGAGACAGCCGAGGACAGAGGGTGTATCCGCACGCGAATCTTGCCGTTCTCCGCGGAGCTCGTGTCGAAACTGATGTCCAGCGGTCCGAGTACCTCGGTGCCTTCAATCTCCAGTTTCCGGGTCACCATGGGCGCTGCAGAAGCGAACCGCGTGCTGTCGTCCTTGTCAAGGTCGAAGTCGAGGTCGAACTTGTCCATGTCAAGATCCATGTGCGACGCGTCAAACGGCCAATCGGTGTCCAGCGACGACGGGAAGATCGATTGCATGTCGAAAGGCGGCAGGGCGTTGATATGCGAGAGTGGGAGTGAGAGCGTGTTGGGAACTTGCGAATGATGCGAGTGCGACGGCATCGAGAGTAACGTCGGCAGCGCGCACAATAGGACCTGAAATGAAACATGCATCAGTATAGCACTTGCGGACAAGCAATCCACCAACCATCAGCCCCAGGCTCGCTCCCGACTTCTCGGTTCGCGTCGATCGCAACGGCCCGACTTCCTCCATCTTCACATCCGACTCGCCTGCAGACGAAGCCGAGGGCGCAGGCGATGGTGAGCGCACCACCGCTTGCCGTTCGAGTTCCTCGGCGAGCACGCGTTCCCGTTCCTCCAGTGCGGCCAGCTGACTGCGTAGCTGCTCCACCTCTGACATGAGGTTCTCGTCAGATTTTGGCGAGGCGGATGTTTGCTGGGTGAGCGCCAGGAGGCGTGCGTTCTCTTGCTCGAGCTCCGCGACGCGACTGTGAAGAGAGGGCACATCAGTACGGCCGTCCATAAACGTCATAGAACGTACGATGTAGAGGATAGCCGGTGCACGTGACATAGTTCGGCTGCGACTTGAAGTAATTCCGCGACGATGCGGACCCTACTGTCCGAATAGACTTGCAGGCCAGATGATCTTCCACGAGGCTGTTGCAAGAAGACTCGGACATGCACTAAATGCGCAGCTGTGTAACGGGGCGAACTCGCGAAAGAAGCATCCGAAAGGGTGGTTCTGATGCGAGAGCGCCAGAGCTCTTTCCCACGCGCCGATGCGGATCAGAACGTGCGAGATTACAGACCGTCAGTCTGCATGCAGGATGGCATCGCAAGGCTGGTAAGTTCTAGCAAATGCCATCTAGAAATCGCGAATGCGCGTCTTCACCTCATGGGGGATGGCGTCGCGAGCTTAAAGCTTATTCGCGTGACGTCACGCTGCAACAGCCTCAACGTCCAAAATTTTTGAACGAGTGTTGCAGTCGGCCAACTTGCGTAAAGCCAGGAACGCCGATGCATCAGATCGGGCGCACTGAAAGAGCATGCCCCGCGTCGGGATATCTGCGGAACCGCCTAAAGACACAATCCGCGTAAAAGGGATATGCGTCGGCTTGCGAGCAACGAGGCCTCTGCAAATTTGATGAAAATGCCCCACGCTCCGTCGCGAAAACACGCGCTTCGCATACATGCGCGCAATGCAAGACGGAGACTATTCTTCATCGCGATGCAGGAAAAAAATGGAAGCACGCAGATGCAGATCGGAGGACGTACATTTCCATAGTCTCAAACTCCTCCCGCTTGCGCTGCCGGCTGAGGAACGCTGCCGCGCGGTTCTTGACTAACCGCGCCTCGCGCTTGCTGAGCCCTGAGACGTCTGGAGGCACGAAGTCTTTCGTGCTCGTGCGCTCCCCGCCGCGCACCTTCTTGCTCGTGCTGCCCGCGCTCGAGCAGGGCCGCTTCTGAGGCACGGTGCTCGGGTTGATCGAGATGCTCAATCGCGGCTGGAGCTGCTGCTCGGGTGCCGGAGAGGGCGAAGGCGAAGGCGACGGCACCGGTGCGTTCGGCGGAATGTCGAACACCTGGTGGGTGGGAATGCAGAGCGTCTGCTCCTTGTCCCCGTGGGGTGTGGACATGCGGCTGCTCTTGAGCACGCGCTGCGGTTGGGGCGCGTATATCGTGGGCATGTACGCCGTCGCGGGCACTGGCATTGCTTGCGGCGCGTAGAAGACACCGGTGCACGCGGGCTGGAGGTGCGCGTCCCAGGGCACGGGAAGCGTGTGAGACTCGGAGGGCGGCGAGGAGAGCGCGTCGGGCGCGATGAGGTGAGACATGGCGAGGGCGGGCATGCGGGACATGACGAGAGGAGTTTTGCGAGACGGGGCCGGGGTAGGATGGCGAGGTTGGGGCCGTCGGGGACGGATGAGGCGACGTCGAGGGTGGTGGATGGCGGGGAGGGGAAAAACGAGAAAATGATGGAGGGGACCGGGACTTATATCGCCTGGACGCGGGAGACGACGGCTGCAGGGGCGTTAGCCGACCAAATCAGGCTGATGTTCCCCCGTTCCAATCTTTCCCCTTCCCCTCCCCCAGCCGTACCGGGGTTCTCTTCGGACACTATATGTACATATCCAAGATATCTACTCGTCGTGAACTGCGGCAATGGGGTGCGACTATCCCCACCCCGGTCCCTCTTTAACCGCGACAAAGACCAGGCGCGCCGACGCTCTGCCAGGCGCTCATCACGCTCCTGGCTGTTCTACTTTAAAACTTTGATGAAGTCCCCAGATGCTCTCCGCACTTCTGAATATAGCCTCGGACATGTTAGCTGTGCATCGTGGACTGATGAACCGTATGTGAGTGTCGTTGCCTGAGGCCTGAGAGTCGACGTGCGAACCCTCGGTCGGTGTCTTTCACTAGGTCGTCCAGCCTCGACTTAGTGCGGTCCTGCACCGGGATGAAGTCCTGGTCGTCATTTTCGCGCGCAATGGAACGTTCTCGCTGGAAACATCGCGCTCTCCGCAGGCACACGCTGATACTGAATACCCCGCTGAGCTCGGCCGTTTAGCACATGAAAATGTCATTTCGCCTTACGGACTTTGGCTTTCCTTATCGAGCACTAACCCCTATTCCAAAATGGCTTGTGCCGGACGCACGCAATATTGTTCACTCTTTTCATGCGGGCGTGCCCTGTGTTGGAATGCTGCGGCGAAGCACTACAGGCCGTCTTCGTCTTCGGACTGCTGCTGGTTTCGATCACGACGAGATCGCGTTCGCGACCGCGTAGGTCCTCATACAACCGCTCACACTTCGCACACTTCTGCTCATGAAATCAGCCTCCAAACTAGTTACTCCCTCAAGCGGGCGGAGCATCACCCTGTGTGAACGGTGTCTGGACAATCATGCGAGTGGAAGTGTATGTCTGCCGTAAAGGCCATATTGTGTCCGCGGCGTAACCCCGCACTCGCAGGTATCATCTCACACCCTTCCAACTCGCTCCTGTCTGATGCGGCTCTGGCCGTCTTACCATCACGCAATCTAGCACTCCTCTCCGTCCCCATCTCGCGCCTGATATCCCGCGGGCGCCCCATCGCCGGGCTGTGCCCGTCCCCAGCTTGCTCGCGCACAGATAAGTACCTGGGCACAAGCCCTCGAGCGATAGAGCGATATATCGTATCCACCGCGCTCTCACACACCGCTCACTGAAATTCGGGATCTGCAGGATGCACCGATGGCCAGACCTCAGACCCGCGGCCCAAGGCCAGATCTGGCATGCTGCAGTAGATATCCACACCCAGATAGCCTCTCCAGATGCGGCGATCGCCCCTGCGCTATGCTTGCTTGTCCTCCGAAAGGCTAGTTCTTCCGTCCATATTCCCCGGAGCCTCGTGGCCGCTCACGAGGGCATCGACGACGCCGAGGTGGCTTCTTACTAGTAGCGCGCTCGGTCCCGGCCCATGAAATCTTTACATATTGTGGTGCGAGACAAAAGTAGCTGGGCCGAAGCACATGCACATCACCATTTTATATATCGCCTGGCACACAGAAACACGATCAGTGCTCAGTAGATAGCAGTGATCGTCCTCTCGTGAATGGATACATACGCCAAAATGAGCACTCGCCACTGCACGCCCGGCAAGCTCCCTTCAGAAGCCAGACCGATATAGCACTCCGGACCGTATCAGCACCTGCTTGAAAGACAAGGGTGAGAGATAACATACGAGAGCTCTCCTGTTTCATCTCTAATCTTTCACCTTCTTCTCTGCCAACCACAGGGCATGGTCGGAGCCCGAGAGTGAAAAAGCGCCAATCCCGAACACAATGTAGACAGGTTTGGCAAGTGTTTCCAACAGCAGGCGTTCATCACTGCACATATATCCGTAGCTGCCCAACAAGCGCAACATGCCTTACCACAGGTAGACAGACACCGCTGTCGCCTTCTATCCCCTACGATCTGCCCGTCGATCGCCTGTACGCAGCCAGCCAGAGGGAGTCCGTCGGACGTCGATCACCGATGACTACGGCACAAAGATGTGCGTGACGCACAGAGTGCATACAGGCAAGTAGCGGCGTGTCCGCAGCGCCGATCACCACATGAGTAGACGTGTGCGATCATGTCCGCACTATGTCCCCCGGAAACTTGTTGTACCCTCAGACGGGTCAGAGCGGTCGCGGTCGCGGTGTGCGTCAACGAGCAGACATTGGTGAGCAGCTAGTACGCGCCCAGCAATCTGGGGATGTATCGCGGGGTGAGCGGCGCTCCGGGCGAAAATTGTGCACGTTCGGAGCGCACATAGAGATGGAAGGTTCGACGCCGTCGAGCCCGAGTCGTGAGGATATCATCAGGTTGTCAATATCTCATCCAGGCAGTGTCTGTATGCAATTAAATGCTGTTCGTAGGTCCAATGGGCTGAGACTGTATGAATTGGCTAGAGCACAGAGTAGGGAATGTATGCATTGGAGATGAATTATACCTTGACCAGCATAACATAATGACGTCCTTAGGTCTCGCAGGCACGGTCATGACAATCATGTCTATATCTTCAGTTCCCAGCTGACCCCGCAGCCACAATTTCCTCCTTTTGCCTAGATTATAAACATGTTAGGATATCGCTCATATGGCATATCGCAGTGTACGACAGACGGGCCGAGCGCCGCCTGAGTATGCACACTCACCTGTGGGTTGTCTACGATGAGGAATCGGCTGCCGATGATTTCCCTGACGAAGTCGACAGTCGCCCCATTCATGAGAGCCATCGACACTGCGTCCACCACGATGTGCGACGGCCTCACAGATGGATGGGAGAACAGACTGGATGCATGTCGGCGACGGTCAGTTTAAGCGGGCAGTGAACACACGTACTAGTCATTTGGTTCTCTTCCCTCTGCGTACGTCACCTTGTATTGATACCCATGGCACCCGCCGCTCTCCACGGAGACTCGCACCCCGGCTTTCGGATTGTTCCTGCGCTCTGTTATGGAGCGTAGTTGCTGCATGCGACACGACCGTACGCACGACAGATAGGGACTCAGTGGGAGACAGCAGTACCAGCATCCTTCATAGACGTACCTCAGCTGCCCGCTCGGTAATCACAAGTCGCGCCTCCTCCGGAGGGACGTAGTCCACCTCCGGCTCGTCTGATTCTTCCTCGGCTTCCGCACTGTTCACAGCTGTTGGGGTCGGGTACATTAGCAGAACCGAGTCTTGCCCCTGTGTGCGCTCGGCGGGCGCAGCGCGGGAAGCATGCGAAGAGGCGAAGGTCCGAGATGGCCCTGCGAGCGGGAAACGGCTGGTGCTAGGAGGCGAGCGCGGACACTCGCGCGCTCTTCGCAGGTACGACGAGCATAGCCGTGATGACGCTGGAGAAGAGAAATAATTGCGGTTCACTCGAAGTGGACGCAGCGCACGACTGGCGAGGTGTGACGGCGACATGGATGTAGATGAGTAAGATCGAGGTCGGGCTCAGCCACCGCTCTGCGAAACAGACGCTCAGCACTTCTGATGTCTTAATAAGGATATACATGTCGAATCGTTAGCTGAACGTTACAGTACAGCAGCTCTTACGACATATAAGAGCGTAGACACCGGACATGGGGCACAAGAGTATGAGCTCAAGGCCACCTACTTCCGCCACCGATTCCACAACGACTTCCACAACGACATTCGCTGAGGGACCACGTCCATCTCCGGCACGCGGCGAACAAATCGCTCTGCGTTCGCCTCATAGGGCAAACCTTGCCCACGTACGACCCAATTTTTAACGCCTTTCAGGATGCTCTTCTCGAGCCACCGTATTGGCATGCTTTCCCGCTCCCAAACACCAGATGTCCACACCGCCAGAGGGCCTATCTTTTCAAGGGCGAGTGCGTCGCTCGCGTTTCTGATTGTGCTTTCACTCTTCTCATCGCGAAGAGGTCGGCCGTGTGAGGGACTCCGGCGCCGGGCCATTCGGTTCGCCATGACGATGTCGGTCAGAAGACGGTCACCAACGATGACGAGTTCTTCATCAAGAATAGGTTTGGGCAGCGAGGCAAAGTAGGCACGTATTGAACCGATGCAGGAGTAGGATGGCTTGAACGACGGATGGCGTAGCACAGGCACAGAGAGGTGAAATGTGACCGATTCGGCCTTGACATTCCCACTAAGTGTGAGACACAGGCTAGAAGGTGAAGTGCACACCTGAATTTCCCCCGCGTCAAGGCGCGAGCCAGCGGAGTTACTAACTATCAGAACGTTGTTTTCCCCAAATATTTCTCGACATTCTCGCCACGCGTCCTGAGAGTTGATGAGGGTGACTGGATAGAACCAGGCGCATTGTAAAAGCTCACTTTTAGCTCAGGTACAAGCGCATCACGATGAGGCAACGTCTGGCATGAACAGGCGGGAGTTATGAGGGTGGACGTTTGCACGGCGGGAGCGCACTCACCAGACAGTTGTCCTTGTCAAAAACTGCACCGCGATAACCTGCACGGCGCAGCTCGGGAAAGTCAAGCTGGCGGATATCTTTCTGCAAGAACGGCTTTAGTACGCCAAGAGAGAGAGTCAGGCAGTGCCACATTCCTGACCTTTGATAATCAACGAGGGGATAACCAGTCGTGGATTCACGAGCAAGTGAAGAGGGACAAGAACTCCCGGCAGATTGAATGGCATAGTTGTCGGCTCCGATAGACTTTTCAGGGCGGCAATGTCGCGCACTGCCCAAGGAGTGTTCTCAAAAAGCGGGAGGCCTGACAAGAATGCCTCGAGTGCCGGAGTCCAGTTCCTCGGAAGGGAGCCAGCAAGATACGTTAGTCGGCAGGCTAACTGCAGATTAAACGCCCATAATGCCGGAGCACTACGTAGTGTCACGTGTGCGCATGAGCACGGCTTAACGTCGTTGTTCTCGTCGGCGGCCACCCCGCTAACGACCTCGCGCTCGATACTTGGCTCACTCCGCCATGCTCGCACTGGCGATACCGCTGCGAGCAAGGGCGTCCCTGGGACCCTTCAGATTGCCACTGTCTACGCGTAAACCGACTCGCATACTACTCCCGTACCGGTATGCACCAAATGTTAGATGCTTGGCTACGCCTGTGACGTCCACCCCATCGTCTTCACCGCCTCCGGGAAATTATCTGGGGAGCTCTTTAGCTCCCAAGGCTGAGAAGAAACCATCCCTGCTCTCTCGAATCCTCCCCGCGTCCTTCGAAAACACTGGAGGATCTGTATCTTCCTTCCGCAAGATCGCCGCGCTCGCGAAACCAGAGCGCAAGCCGCTGGGCATCTCGATTGGTCTTCTTGTGGTGTCATCATCTGTGTCCATGAGTATTCCTTTCACAATTGGGAAGCTGATTGACTTCTTCACGTCAAGTCAGCCTGTGCGTACTCGTCCTTATGTGTCTCACACGGGCTGTAGTCATCTGTATATGCTGAACACCGCGATAGCAAATCCCCTTGGGTCTCAGCCTGGGCCAAGCATCTGCGCTCTTGCTGCTCCTCTTTACAGTCGGCGCTGCAGCCAATGCAGGACGGGCCATGCTCATGCGTATCTCAGGCAAGTAGCACTGCTGCTGCTAAGAAATACGCACATTCATGCTGAAAACATCTTACATTCGAAAGGACAACGGATTGTGGCCCGGCTACGCGAACGCATGTACACCGCGGCTCTGCAGCAAGAAGTCGAGTATGTTGAACGCGGTGAAGGTGATGTCATAAGCCGTTTGAGTGTGGATACAAGTATTGTCGGTGAGAGGTACGTTTACAGCCCGTTGGAGTACGACCCTGCTAGCGGGGCCATGGTGATCCCGCTGAATTTAAGGTTCTTGATTTGGTCCCTGAGTACACAAGTCTCCTCCAGACGCTTCTCTTCGCCTCCGTCACCGCATTCTCTGCTCTATCTAGAAAGTGGCTGAACTCATGGCCCAGCGTGACACAGAATCTGTCTGACGGCCTACGGTCCGTGATCATGTCTTCTGTTGGATGTAAGGGCGTGTCTTTGCTAGGTGATGCCGTACCACTAACACTTGTCAGTGGGGGCAATGTTCTATATTTCACCTCAGTTGACCCTCCTCATGCTTACGATCGTGCCGCCAATATCGCTCGGGATTGTATGTGCATGACAGACAGTTTCACGTGCGTGAATTTGACGACACGGCGCACAGGTGTTCTACGGGAGGTACCTGAAGAAGCTCTCGAACCAAACACAGGAGGCCCTTGGTGAGATGACTAAGGTTTGTCCTGACCTCATCTACGCATACCATTTGGTGACGCTGTGTCGTACCTATAGGTTGCACAAGAGTCACTGTCCGCCCTACGTACGGTGCAAGCGTTCGACGCACTTCCACAAGAACAAAGTAAGTTCCACCAAAAGGTTGGCAGCGTACTGGCGCTTGCTCGCAAGGAGGCGATCGCAAGCGGAATATTCTTTGGGAGCACGGGGTGGAGCGGAAATGTCACCCTGCTCGGATTGCTCGGATATGGTTGGTGTCTACAGACTCACTCTTAAGACAATGGGCTCAGAGACTACATGCAGGCGGTACACTCGTGAGCCAAGGCGCGATCTCAGTGGGAGACTTGACAAGTCTGCTGCTGTACACGGTATATGTCGGAAATGGCTTGCAGATGCTCACGTAGGCGCCATTCCGTATGTGTCAGAAACTATCTCAACGTTTGCCCACGCTAGGTCGTTTTTTGTGCGTACCTTCCTTGGTATCACATAGGAGCACCACATTGAGACGCTAGTCTACACACCAGACGTCCATCATGCGCGGCGTAGGGGCGGGCGTACGCATCTTCGAGCTGCTCGACCGCTCACCTGCTATCTCACCTGATGTCGGCGCCGAGGTTGACCCTGCGCGTCGTGGCCCGGTGCGCTTCGAGAATGTGACGTTCGAATACCCCAGCCGGCCAGGGGTTGAGATCCTCAAAAACCTCGACCTTGACGTGAAGGTCGGGGAGAGCGTTGCCATTGTGTGCGTCCCAGATGCACGTCTCGGAGGGCTGCTTGATAGGCTGATCAGATTGACAATATAGAGGCCGGAGTGGCAGTGGCAAGTCGTCGATCAACTCGCTCCTCATGCGGTACTATGATCCCGTTAAGGGAAAAGTGACGTTCGATGGTCAAGGTCGGCTATTACGTTGGCGGTTACCACGCCACGCCTCACTGACTTCATTTTCACCAGACATCCGGGAGTTCAAGCCATCTTCGTGGCGGAACATAATTGGCGTCGTTCCACAAGTTCGCGCTATACGCAACCCATTTACCGCCCAGTGTCACTGATTGTTTGTCCATCCAGGACCCTGTTCTGTTCACAGGAACAATAGCGTCCAACATTGCATATGGCCACGACCATGCGACACAAGAGCAAATCGAGACAGCCGCACGAGAAGCAAATTGTGAGTTCATCTGGGGGATGCCCCAGGGATTTGAGACACAGAGTGAGTGGCTCACGGCCGAGCATCGCGTCTCATGTCTTCACAAGCATACATCTAGTTGGTCGGATGAGCCTCAGTGGTGGGCAGCGACAGCGATTAGCTATCGCCCGGGCGCTACTCAAGAAGCCAGCAATCTTGGCTCTGGATGAGGCTACTAGCTCGCTCGATGCCTCATCGGAACACCGCGTACGTCACGGGTTGCTTGACGAAGGGCCCAAACTCATTCGGCGATGCTGCTGTTGTAGGTAAACGATGCGATAGACAAGATTCTTCGCTCGCGCCAGACTACTTGTCTAATCGTCGCACATCGTCTTTCGACCATCGCACGTGCTGAGAAAATTGTCGTGCTCGAAGGTGCGCCTGCCATAAAACAGTGCTCCTACATGTGATTTACTTTTGTACCTCTAGACGGACATGTCACGGAAATGGGCACATATAGACAATTGGTGAGCGTAGCGCTCTCTTGTCAGAAGAGGCGGCTTCGTTGACGTAAAATACAGGTTCACAAGGAGGGATCGAGATTCCGTGCCCTCATGGCCGCACAATTGAACGCTGCCGCGGGGGAGACGTCGAGCTCCGACCCCGCGAGCTCGACCCCGCGACCATCACCAGATGGAAGAGGCCAAACACAGCCTTCAGCCTCGCCGCCATGAGCCATTATCGAACGACAATTGTCGCATCGGGAGACGCTGGGACACGAGACAAGGGGGTGTGTACTATTGTACGGCATATCGATAATGTTGTATCTAGATCTTTCAAGAGAATTGCCTTCTCGAGGCATGGAGGTGTCCTTCCTGAACTACCTTCAGCTCGCGGGATAAGGCAGGTGATGAGAGTTACCATCGATTGGGACACACATATACCTAACCAGCCATGTCCGGATCCATGCCGAGCACGCATGTAGAGCACGCTTTAATACACACTTCCAGAGCCAGATAGATATCAATTATTCGACTGCTCCTCCCCGGTTGCCTGTGCTACACCCTTCCTAAGTCATTGCCAGAATGTCTCCTCCCGCATCATCCTCTTCCCCCAAATCACCTGTACTCAACAGAGATCCACTCCTTGCCGGGATGTCTTCCGCCCCCACAGAGGTTACGTCTGGTGTGGCGGCGACTATCACGGCCATGAAGGGCTCCCTGGGAGACCTAAGTGTTCGTTTCTCTCGATGTCCTGCTCTAACCACACCTAATCATTCAATGCAATGATCGCCACCTCCCGGCACTGCGCCTCAGACGATGTTCGATAACATTAGCGAGCAGACGAAGCGAATGGAGCAGATGGGCGGTCATGTAGAGACCGCCCAAAGCATCAACGGGTCCGTACAATCTTGCAGATGTGATGTTTTGATGGTGTTCAAACCGTGCGGGAGACAGCGTGCGAAAGCGCATGCACGCGCACGGGCAAAAGCATGCGAATCAAATCCAAGAAATCAAGGGTAAGCTCCATGGGCTGCTCTGGATCATAAGAAACTAGACAGCCCCATTGTGCCGTGCAGATCTGCTTCAAGAAGTGCTTCAAAAGGACGTTATCGAGCATCTCAGCCGACTGAGTACGCTGCCCAGCATATGCGATTCATTGATCTGACATTGCGCTTCAGTCGAGGCCGACATCTCGTCGCAAATTGACGACCTCGTGAAGAAGGAGGTCGAGCAACTGCTTCCTGACTGCCTTCCGAAGGAATTGCAGGACGAGGTAGCCAGCTACAAGCAACAGCTCGCAGAAGTCGAGCGCAACTTACACAACTCGTAAGTTCTGGTGTAACCGAGCTGAAGCATAGATTGATGCTGCGCCTCGCCAGAGAGAGTCGGCGTTTCAATGCGCAACTACGCACGTCGCGCATGACAGATCCTTTACACACGATCTACAAGAAGGATGGATCGGTCAGCGATGGGTTTCCCAAGGACTTGGGAGGTCTCTTCCAGCTGGATGGTATGGCTCACCTCATCAGGCATTCGAACTGAAGTTCATAAATACTCGCCGTCTTTACCCAGACGAGACCGCGAAGATCCTAATGAAGGAGTATGATCTTGCGGACATATCCGAGTCCCGCGAGCGGAATGTCAACCGCTTCATGCAATTCTGCGGGGTTACTTATCAATTGGTGCGCACACCGCGCTCTCCTTTCTAGTCACCCCGCACACCCATGGACCGCCCGTTCGTCCCCTAGTCACGTCCACTCTCTCCTAACAACACATATCTTGCAGGTACCTTCAAGCCCTGGCGTCAGATCCCCCACGAAGAGCAGAGTGCCTGTGGTGATTGAACGTGCCGGTACCCCTGCGCAGTGGTAGGCATCGCGGACAAGTCTTCACGTTGTACCATCATTTGTATCTTAGAATGTGTATCATTAGCACATTTCTTGTAAACTGTCTATTTGCTATCACGTCGAGGACACTGATGTATTAGGATGATGCGCACTGTATGCCATACATGTTGGAATTCGAGTGTCTCACCTCAGATCGCAAGATGGGTGAAGTAGCCTTTGTGATAATTGTTATACGATCCACATCAACGTATGCTGCCTGAGATTCCGCACATACCTCTTTACTTCCCATCTCCCATCAGCCCAGTGACGGTCCTCACTACGATACCGACTGCCTCCTTGACCTTTTCTTGATCATTCTCCCGCACACGACCCGTGATCCTGCCTTCAAACTTGTCGGGGTGAAAACGCAGCATGGTCTCGCGCAGCTTCTCCTTCTTGCTCTTCGCGACCTCAGGGTCTCCAGAGCTATCTCCCTCCGTAGGAAGAAGAAATGCGGAGATGGCTTCCACGGTGAAGTGTTCCAAAGCGAGCATCCTGCCGCGCGCGGAATCGCCATCGGGCAGTAATACGGGCCATGGGATGTCGGAGAAACGCAACGGCCCTCCGGAGCTCGCGGATAGTAGCTCCTTCCAGCGCACGTCGTACCGCTCGCGTGCCTCGCCCGCCCGCCTGCGCTCTCTGCTCCTCCGTCGACGCCTGCGGTCTGCCTCCGCATTCTTCTCAAGGCGCGCGGTCTCCTCGCGGACTGCCTCCTCACGGGCGCGGCGGGCGTTGCGTTCGGCGGCCTTGCGCTCGTGCTCTGCGTACTCCTCGGCATGCTTTCTCCTGCAGGCGTGCGTGCACAAATCTCAGTCAGTGCCTGAAGAGACGGAGGGCAGCCGCTGACGTACCTCCACATGCCCGCTCGCACCCACTCCGTGTAGTCCTCTTCTTCCATCATCTGTGGGTCGATACCCAGCTCGTCGTCCATCCTGTCCATGCCCCCACCCCTCCACCGCCGCGGTACGTGCGCATAGTTGTTCAGGTGCGACTCTAGCCCGTCCAGCCGCTCGTCCTCCGCCATCGCGCCGAACATCTTCTCGCGGAATCGCTCCTCTTCCAGCCGAGCATAAATCTCGTCATAGTCCGGCTTGTGTGCTCGATGAGATGACGTAGAGGCCGGGGGCGGAGGCGGCGGACCATACTCATCGTCGTCGACCACGAAGGGATAGTCGGTGGCGGAGCGGCTGGGCGAGCCTGCTCGCTGTCGCTTGCTGCTGCTGCTGCTGTTCCCAAGCTCGTCGTCGGATATGTCTGCATGTCGTCTCCGCTTTGCTGTCTTCTTTGCTGTCTTCTTTGTTGCCTTCTTCGCTTTGCGGAAGTCGCGCTCGGCTTGTTCAGCCGGAGTGCGCTTCAGATGTAGCTTCCCCGTCCCCGAAGGCATCTCCATGTGTGTACGTTTTGGAATCAATCAAGAGCTAGAGGGTGCGTAGATAGTGGTCCGCAGAGCTCTTGCGCAGCGCGGGCGAGGTGGGAGCAGGGGGTTTGCATGGTCGGTCTTTGACGAAATGAAGCCTTTCAACAGTTTGTTACGTCATGTAATGGGAAGTCGTGATCGGAGATCGAATTATAAGTAACACTTGTTACCAGATTGTTACCTGCAGCTGCTTCAACGTTGCACCTGGCAATGCTACCATCTCGAGGCCTGGGATGCAGAAATTGGTCTCTTCTGCCTTCAAGTCATCCTGGAGACCAAAGCACACGCTGTCTTCCTATTCCCGACCTGTTACGAACAATTTCTCATCACTTATTCGACAAAATTCGGCGTTGGCTGAAAATGACGCTCGGTCTCAAGACCAGCACGAGACAGAGTCGTTGTGCGAACATCCGCCTAGACTACCCGCTACCCAGAAAAGTGTCCCAAGAGTGCCTGCGAAGGGCAAAAACCGGCAAGAGCCCCCGACTACAGTCGTAGTGCACCATCTCGACCCCGCATGGGACGAGCGATATCTCTACGAGCAGCTCAAGCAGTTTGGCGACATCAACGGGCTGTGGATCAGTGAGTAGGCAGTCGACTGGTCCGCGGCAGCGTGCGAGAGCACCTGTCTCTAACTACTCCCTCTCAACTTCTCGCAGAGCGCGCGCGCACGGGCGAGAGTCGCGGAATTGCGCTCGTCAACTTCACCTCCCGCGAAGCCGTGCGGCACCTCATCCACTCAAGACCGCGGCGGCCCGTGTTCGTGGATGGCCACCTCTTGAAACTGGATTGGTCCCGTTCCCAGCGCAGGGGTCAGCAAGCCCAGTGGCTCGTAGTCCTCAACCTACCGGACGGCATGCGGCCGAAGGAAGTCGTGGAGGCTTTCGCGCCCTTCCATCCGATACAACTTGAGCTGCGTGAGTGCACCCCTTGGTACGACTAGAGTGATGGCGGTAACCTCCAATGACTGTTACCACTTTGTCTCCCTTCGAGGCAAAGTAGTAACTGTCCTTGCTTTGATCAGGGAACATCCTGGGTAGCCAAAAGGCTCAATGTATGAGCATAGTAGTCCTGTTCATGCGCTCAGCCGTGTCCCGTCCTAGCGGTTCCCAAGCGAAAGCGACGACCCTCCGCCAACGCCTGGTCATTGTCATCCTCACTCTGCTTCAAACCTCTCGCGCACAGCTGACGCAATAATCTTGGCGGCAACTACCAGATCACAGAGAAGAGCTGGGGGCGTTCGGTCGCATCCGGTTCCCCACTGTCGCCCTCGCCCAGCGCGCGTTCTTGGCGTGCAAGGACAGCCCGCTGTACATCCGCGGCTCCAAAATGCACGTCGCGCCGGACGGCTGGATCCCGCCGCTGCCCGGCCATACCACCGTGCTCGTGGCCAACATCCACCATAGCGCGAGCGAGCGCCTCCTCCGTACGGTTTTCGCAAAATACGGGACGGTCGTGGACGCACAGCTGCGTGAGTCCTTCCACTTTACAGAGAACGGTGTTCAAGAGTGTGCTCATCGTGTGCCTTGTCGCGGCGTGCAGTGTCGCGGACCATCCCCACTCAGGATCTGCGCGCTCGTGTCCGCTTTGACACTGCGAGCGCCGCGCTCGACGTGGTCCGCGCATGCGACAGCCCGAACGGGCCCTCGGTCTTGGGGATGAAGCTTGCTGGCACGCTTGCGCCTGAGCAACCATAGCAGCGATGTACGTGATACGGCGGCTGTATCTACATAGCACAGGCTCAGGCTGGCGATCTGGTTCTGAGACCGGTCAATGGCAATGTCCGTTGTGGACTATTCAGACGCATTGTTTGAGCTGTGTCGATGCATGGGTTGGATATTCAGTGCTAAAGCAGCGTATACACCCATTGGCATTCCTCGAGGAGCGACGCGGCCTCAATGCGATGGTTGTGGGCAGATGCATGTCAGTCAGGCCGAGTAAGAGGCCTGTGTACATGGTCTCTCAGTCCGAACATCAGGAAGGCAGCTCGCGATCAGACAGGTCTGGACTCTGCAGGCGTCGTGATGTCATGCACGCTCATGCAGCCTCGTTTTTCGTTTTGTGCTGTCATTCTCTTTCTCACAGGTATGCGAGGGCTCACGCCCACTCTCTTGACCCAAACCTCTATCATCTCGGGACACGCACGTAGCAAACCATGGCCTTGGTAACAATGCCCATAAGATGCTCATCATGAAACATCGCCCGAAGTCCCTGCATCAAGCAAGGGAAAATAAGAGATACATACAACAATGATCCGCCTGGAAGTCTAACCAGCATCCACATTCATCGTACACTTCTCCTTGCGCTGTATTCGGTCCGTTGCCACGCCGACCTCTATGCCCTGGCACTTGCGCGCAACACTACCCCTCACTCCCCCTTATCTCTCATGGCGCCACCTTCCCCTTCTCCCGCTCGGCCGCCTTTTCTCTCTCAGCCGTGACCGCGCCGCTGGACGCGCTGGTCGTGGGCCCGTCGTCCTTGTACAGGCCGTTTTCCTCGATGTAGTCCACGACGGGCGCCGGCAGCAGATACCGCACGGACAGCCCGCGGCGCAGGAACAGGCGCACCTTCGTCGACGACACGTCGTTCTGGATGAGCTGGTGGATCAGGTGGATGTTGTGCCGCCACCGCGCGAGGCTGTCGATCGCCTGGTCCATGTCCGCGCCCGCGCGCTCGACCGTGAGCACGCCGTAGCGCCCGAGGATGTGCTCGAGATCGGGCTCGGACCACACGCCGGGCTCACCCATCGTCGCGATGAGGTCCGAGCCGGCGAGCAGCATCGGGCGCACGGGCTTGCGCACGCCGTCTGCGGTCGCGACGCCGCCGAGGCAGGTGTTGATCTCGTGGTCGAAGTGGTCGAGCACGACGGCGGTGCGCTGGTACGACTGGAAGGCCTCCCAGGGGTCGACCATGAGCCAGGTCGACGTCTGCTCTGCGGCGAGCGTGCACATGTTGACGCTGCACAGGCGCAAAAGGGGCGCGCGACACAGGCACAGTTACAGGAGGGGCGGTGTGCGGGGGCGGGGCGCACTCACCGGTGGTGTGCGCTGAGCAGGCCAGGCTTCTTGTACTGGTCGCTCACGGGGCTGAGGTAGCCGCCGACGATCTCAAAGTCGGTGTTCTGGCGGACATAGTCGACGGCCATCTCGAACATGCGCAGGTGAAGGAACGTGACCGGGCTGAAGGACCCGCAGGCGACGAGGACGATTGGCTGCTTGTCGGGGTTGCGGAGGGTGCGGCGCAGACGGTGGTGAGGGAAGGCATAGTTTGGGGGGTCGGTGAACGGCGGTGGGGGAGGCGAGGACGAGGACGATGCGGCAGACGAGGACGAGGCAGCAAGCGAGTCCATGGCTCGGGGCGGGAGGGCGATGCGAATGTTGCAGGTGAGCAGAGGATAATATTATACAGCTGACCGGACCCTGGGCACGCGTTCCCACGCTGCGCTCTAGTAAGCCATTCGGAAGACGGACCCGGGTGTCAATATGTGCGTATGGCGACTGTTGGCAGTGGTGTCGCGAGATCGTCCGTGCGCTATTGAGTGGTCGTCTGTGTGGTCACTGTCCGCAGGGAAGCGTGCATGGCCTTCCCGGTGGGCGTCGGCCCCGGTCACGATGATCACAAATTGACCCGACGGCCGTTTTTGGACATTGCTCCTGGACCACCCGCCTCGTTGCTGCGTCGCAAACGCAGAGACTGACTCGTCTGCTTCACACGAGCAACCCCCGCGTCGTCATTCGCCAGACTTCCGGTGCCGCAACATGAACACGATAGGCCGGCTGTACGTACGCGCAAACGCTCCGTTGACGCAAGCGCAGGGCATTATTCCTCTGGCGACGATCCTCCGCGACGCGTTCTCAGGTCAGGACTTCTCTATCGCGAAATCGAGATCAAACACATTGAGCTTCGAGAACCTCTAACGTCTGTCGATGGGACCTTGCAGGGCCCGAAGCTACGTGCAGCTCACGTGCTCACGGACATACGCTCGGACGGCACCGGAAGCATCAAAGTCGGGTATGTACTGTGGCTTACGGGGTTTTGCAAACATTTTGATGCCTGCGCTAATATGCGCTACCGTTCTATTACTTAGGCATTATTCCTAATGGTCTTAGCATTGTGTATACCAAGTTTCAAGGCAATCTGTAATGAAATACGCGTTGTAGAGGGATGCCGGTGGAAGCCTCCAAATTGCAGTGGTTCTGCAAACTTTGTCACTCACGGGTCACGGCGGCAAGTTGAGACTCCGTCATGGCAAAAGCCGCGACCAGGCTTGTCGTCGCGTCATCACGATTGAGAGCGGAGATTGAAACATCACGCATGGTGGCAGAGAACGTCACGTTCGTTTTACAAACCCTCCACACGCCGCGATTCAGTTTGCTGACAGTATATCGGGTTGGAGGATTGAGAAACGAATGGCTGGAACATACTATATCGGATGTCCGATTGGGGATAACGACTTAGAATCACTGTAGATCTGTCTTATCAAGAATTTGCAGCAGGCCATACAACGTGTCTTAAGGCTCCCACTCCACAACAAATCCATTTCTCCTCAATCGGCTTCATAGGTAGAGATTTTAAAATACAAGTTACTGTACATACTTCCTATACATTGCGAATGCTCTCTAAGGCTGCCTTGCAGGTTAAGTAGGCGAAAAAATGAGTTTCTCGCCATCGTGACAAAATACATTGCGCCGAGTTCAAAACTCGTTGTGATCGTGACAAATGAACTCCCAGCCTTGTTCAGAGGTGCCCGTGACCCGTGACTGAACACTAGGTCGAGTCGATACAGTATACGTAGCTAGCCATCCATTGAATAGACGGAGGGTGCGAACGCGCGATGGATCATGTGCTACACTGTACAACCATTTAACCAACTCGGAAGTCTACGACATCCACAACGTCCCACCACGAGAATATTCATTTGAGTGTCTCCTTCAATTCCTCGTCCACACCTCCTTGCCTCTCACCCACGTACTGAGCACATCGCCCTGGCGGCTGAGCACCACGAGGTCGGCGTCCGCGCCGGCGCGCAGCGTGCCCTTCCTGTTTTCGATCCCAAGGCACCTGTACACACACGGCGGCCACCATCAGCAACCGGACACGCGCACAGACAGGGTAAGGATCAGTCACCTGGCCGGGTTATAGGTCGCGCATTTGATGGCTTCGCCCAGCGAGCACCCCGTAAAGCGCGAGAAGTTCCGCACGCACTTGTCCAGCGTGACCACGCTGTCGGCATGTCAGCCGCAGTGTCTGGGTTTCATACCAAGAGGAAGGGAAGGGAGGGCGGTTGTTCTCACCTGCCGGCGAGTGTGTCCGTGCCCTCCAAGTATAGCTTATCGCCCTCCTTCACGAAGCGCTTGCCGTCGCGCCATTCGTGGACGCCGTCCTTGAGATGCGGATCGAGAATCTTCATCGCTGCAATTCGCCATTCAGCACCTCGCCTTTTCCCCACGCCCTGGCGGTCGCACTCACCGTCAGTAATGAGGATGCAGCCTTCAGGATACGCCGTGTACGCGAGCTACACGGGGGCCAACGTCATGAGACAAGGCAACGAGGGACACAGCACGGCCGCCGCACGCACCCGCACAGAGTTCGGGTGGGAATGGATCCCATCCACGATGAGCTCATAGAACGGCCGCTCGAACGCCATGTCGGTCACCTTGCCCTTCACCAGGTGCAGCGCCGACGTCGTCGCCTTCAGTAGCGGCGTCTGCGGCGGCGTTTCGAGGTCGTCGAACGCCTCTGACGTCGCCTGGGGGCTAGTGGACCCTGCGTGCGATGCCGACGTGCCCTTCAAGCTCGCGCGCTTCTTGAGAGACGCCGTCCGCGAGAGGGCCTGCGCGCCCGCGACCGGCGTGGAGAGGTGCGGCGACGCGCCCAGCAGGCCGATGATGGACGGGTCGCGATGGTGGAGCTGCGGCATCGCGTTGAACAAGTGCGTGATCAGACGCGCGCCGTGGTAGGCGGCCTGCGTCGCGATATCGGTGGACGCGATGCTATGTCGGCGGCGTGAACGAACGTAGACGTCAGCGCGGTGCGCACACACCTGTGTCCGATGGAGAACACCACGCCGCGCTGCACGACCTCCGGGACGGTGGCCATGACGCCGTCGATCTCCGGGGCGGCCGTGATGATGCGCACGCCGACGGTGTCGGGCGCGGTGCCGTCCGCCATGAGCCAGTCCTCCTGGTCCGCGAGGTTCTGCGCGCCGTACACGGCCTCGAACGACGCGAAGCGCTCGTGTGCGGGCACGAGGAACTGCGGCGCGTGCGCCCCGCGCTTGGCGAGCTGGATGAACGGGCCCTCGGCGTGCCATCCGAGGAGCGTCGCGGAGTGTGGGAGGGAAAATGGGCGGAGCAGGTGGAGGATCTGCGGGTAGAGCGAGCGTTCTTGCGTCTGTGCGGGGGGTTAGCAGACGCTGCGCGCACAGTGGGTCCAGCACGCACGATGATAGTCGGGACAAGACTGGCGGGATGTTAGACGTGCGGGGAGTGGACGCTGGGGCAGGGGACGTACGAGGTGACACCGGTCTCGACGATCTTCTCGGCGACGGTCTGCATGCCTTGCCTATAGGCCTCATCGTCGCCGTCGTACACTGAGAAGTCGAAGCCGTAGGCTCCGTTGATCTGGATGTCCATGAAGCCTGGACTGAGCGGGAGTGCATAAGATTGGGAGCGATCTGCAGGGTGTGCGCACACACCTGAGGATGTTTCCCCCGAGATCGATCACTCGGTCAGGCCGTTCCCGCTGCAGGAAGAATGTACGCTGCGCATGGCCGGTCAGCGATGCTCCGCGCAGGAATGGGTCCTTGACTTACCTGGGCATCCAGGATGACTCCCCGGCGTTCGTCGATCCACAGATCGCGCTCGACGAGGCTGCCATCCTCGAGCGGCAGCAGGCAATTTGTGAAGCAGATCAGGCCGTTTGACGACGCCATGGCGGGCGGTATGGTGGTGGTAGCTGGTCAAGGGCCTCAGGCCTCTCGAGGATCTGTGGGTGTGTAAGGACGGAGAACGCTCCATGAGGGACACGGGCTCGGCCGAGGAGCATATGGGCGTCGAATCTTTATCGGGCCAGTAAACCCAGGAACGTTCATGCTGCTCTAATCGCGACCCACATGCTCCGCTGAGGTCCACAGTGTGGACAGGGGTGTTCAGCTTTAGATACTCTTAGATTCCTCTGTTAATCGCCGGTCGACGAAAACCCGCAATCGATCAACGTGTCGCACTGGAGGATCTGAGTAACGAGCATAACGGAGGTCCGAGAGATCTTAGATGATGCTGAAGAGAATGATGTCGACGCAGAAACGCCAAACACAGAGGATAACGACACAGATTCACATGTTGGGAGCTGAATGGTGCAGCATGATTGGTGTCGCAAGTTTGAGCAGGCTCGATATGTCATGCTGGCGGCGATACCCTCACAAACAGAATACGAGAGTGAGTCCTCGATGGGACTGCGATAATCCCCCGGTACTGCCAGTATCAGAGAAATTATGGTTAAAGTTGTATAGCCAATGCATGCATATCCGTTGAAGGCTTTACTCACAGTTGGCAACCAAATGATAGGGCGCGTGCCCTGTTTGGCTCATATGCCTATCCTGGGAGACTAGGGTGGCTGAAGGACGTGGCGGCTTGTGGCGGCGTTCCTGGGATCGGCTCAATAGCAAACTCAATCATTATACGCCCTCTCAATGTATAAAAAGATGTACAATTTGAAGCAGTAAACCCGCTGTCTTATGTTTCTGAAGATCACAACAACTATGTCTACCAACTAGCCATGCTCGTCCACGTGATTACATTCCTGACGACCTCTGGCTTTTCTGTCCCATTCACTGCTGGCAACAACTTGTCGCCCCATGCGCTGTCTGCGCCGGACTCGATTGTCACTGATCTCCGGTTCAAATGTTTGCGCGAGCTTGTCCTGCTATGGTGTTTTGGGGTTGTTGTATCGAGCTTTGTCGCAAGAGGTTAAAGCTGACTGTGTGGCAATCCCAGATCTGGCTACGAGCCAATAGTTGATCGGCGTCGAGTTAGGCAAGTAATCCATCCTCCAATGTCAGCTCTGTTTGCTTATTCAGTCACACAAAAGGCCCGACACGCTCCTGCATGGTGTACGATGCGCAATAAGCTAGTCTCCGAGAAGACGTTGCAGCCGCTGCAAATGTTATTGTATGGACTAACTCTACCACCACTGTGACGCTTGCGCGAGTGCCTGATGGCGAATGAACAGTAAAAAGGGTTAGGCTAGGGCCCGGGCATACTGACTACTTCTGACAGACTGGTGTAGAGCAGAGCATGACCAGAAGGTGGGACGAGGCCAAAGCGTTGCTACCACAAAAAAGCGATACTTTGCTCGCGTGAGTGACTATGTGGTGCGGTGGTGGCTCAAAGTGACTCCAAAGCGGCTCAGATACCAAAACCGCCCACTGATGCCGAGCCCCCTGGATGGACTTACCAGTATATAAGCCCGCTGCAAGTGGCCTCCATTCCACCAACCCAATTCACCACCCACGCACAACTACTGTCCGCCCTTCCATTTACCTCCTAAGTCTGTTCAAGAAAATGTACGTTCTTGTCTTTGGCGTAGCGCTCTCTGGTGTCCAACGTCGGCAAGCACGCTAACGCTGTTATGATTGTTCCGATTTAGTCCGCTCCTACCGTGTACAGTCCAGAAATGTCTCAGCTCCTCATCAACACTCGCCTTGGCGCGCAAATTGACTGCACAAAGGTGGAGCTCGCCGAGTATGCAGATGTCTACAACTTCTGCAGAAGCATGATACCGATTGTGGACGGAGGCAAACAGCTGTCTTCCTTGCAAGTTCTCAGCCTTTCCGACAAAGCGTGTGGACGCTTGGATCGCGAAACTCTGTATCTACTCTGCCAGTTGCTCTTTAACGCTTCTGCCCTGCGGGTGCTTAGGCTCGGTAAGAGCCAAAAGCTGCTTACCGAAGAGCCATTGCTCGGTCGCGTCATCGAGGAGCTTAGAGAGCTCATGACGCTCGAATTTTACGAAGGGGGCACCAAGACAATCGAAGTGCTCGGCAACTTAAAAAGTTACCCCGTCCACCTTGTCCATCGCACCAACGGCAGATTTCCTCGGGACGCTTATGATTACACGCCGTTCGCCCACAGCAAAGTCTTCGAAAGGCTCGAGAGTCTTAACCTTGACTGTTTTGCGTACAACAGGCGCACTGCTATAGATCCAGGCCAATTGACGTTCAATAAGTCGCTGAAGTCTCTGACACTCGTCGCGAGCCATGCCCCTCTCCACCCCTTTGTCAAAGCATTCCCTTATCTCCAGGATCTCACTCTGGAAGAGATCTCATGCTGGCATCGCTGCCCCTCCAGCCAATCACCAGATTGTTGGGAGACTATCCCCAAGCTCACTGTAGACGTCATGAGCCTCCGGGTGTGGAATATTGCCTCTCAAGTCTACCACTTGATAGTGACACGTCGCCCACTGGTCAAATACGACGGGAACCCAGAGGCAGACCTATTCACGCCGGTCTTAAATGCCGTGGAAGACATGAAACCCACAAAATTCACGTTCTCCACGACCCTCGATGTCCGCGATCAGTTGTGGGGGCGCATGGCGACACGGATGTCTAGTGTGATGTACCTAGAGGTACGCGTCGAGGATCTCCTTGTTGAATCTAGTGGCAGCATTACAGACTGGATGGTGAGTCAAAATTGTACACGTCCATTCAATGTCTAATATCATTGCAGTCTAGCATCGTATCATGTCTGCAGGTGAGGATGCTGAAGATCAGCATACAGGCATGGGCCACATTAGACGACGCATCGGCCGATCACGAGGCTTTTACGCCACTTCGTCACATGTATGTCGAGTTTCCGACATCACTTTCCCGCATGGTCCAGAATAACTACACATTGCGTTATCTGATTTTGGAGGTCTCTGAAGGCGCTTCTCTCACTCATGGGATGAGTAGGATTGCGTTTGCGCGAAAGTGGCAAGTCATCCAGGACCCGTGGGGCTACCGTGCCCCGGGCCTTGAGGAGAAGAATACTGACGAAGCCGCCCTAGCATTGGAAGCCTGCGGTGGCTCGATGGCTAATTCTTTGTCTTACTGACAACTACAATGATGGCATGAAAGAAGATATGCTTATGCGTTATGTATATTGATGATGCGCGCAGTTTTAGTCTCGTTGCAGAACATGTATACGTTCTCAGATGAACTATTACACCACGGAAAGGGCTCATTACAGAGCGAATGGACGTGTATATAATGTCATATGTGATCTTTGAATCCGTGTAAATGGCGGGATTCATTGAGTGGATCGAGTCGGATTCAGAATCAGCTTTATACACGTTTATTTACTGCCTTTGTGGTCCTTGAGGAAGGCGTGAGGTCGGAAGTAATTCAAGGGTCTACACGAATCAAGCTCGCGACTGATCGCAAACCAGCCGCCAGGAGGTTTGAGAAACATAACCATCTTTTGAAATTGGCACAGACTGGACCGACAATACAAAAGCACTCACACCCGTTGCACCAGGCGTCCTGTGCACGTAACATGCTCCAATGTCTCCACGATACGGCGTCATCTACCCATCAAATCGACATGAACATGGTCTTGAATTTTGCAGAACACAAGCAGGCTAAGTGGAGAGCCCGGGTCACAGCGCCAGGCAACGCTTCAGCAATTCTAGTGACTATGACTCGTATGTAGGCTGTGTACGTAGAGTATTATTTTCGGTATGCAAGATCGGATAGGGTTTTCAAGGAAGCGGATACTAACGGGCAGCAGATCACGAATTGCTTCTGAGATATCCTACATTGCTTACTCCATTACATATGTGTGTGCGGGGCAAGAAGTAGCACGAAGTCCGCCGCTACCTATCAGGTTCAAGGTAAGTGGGCCAAACAGCATGTGTGCGGGCGTTAGCAGGGCGCATCTGTTGTGGGAGAAACGTCGAAAAGTTCCAGATCATTACGCTTGAGACAATATCATTCTCGATATCCGGGCCTCATTAGGCGACTCTGAGAGCCATAGCAGCAGCAGAATGTCGTTGCTAGTACCAGAGGATTCGTGTGAAGGCCGATGAGATCTTCCCGGCCAAAGCCTAGTTTTCTGTGAGCAGAACACGATATACTTTCTTCAACCTGCGCAGATGTATGACAAGTGCCAAATACAGTACCTCTAATATTTTGAAGTTCGTGTACTCTCTGGGTGAAGTTCGCAGCGGCTGAACATCTCCGTCTCTCAGGGACAATTCGATTCGGACCTGCTGGTTCACGCTCGATGACGTATCGCCGGGGTTCGAGGGGATTTGTAACATAATCTCAGCCCGAGCCATTCGACTTCATGGACCTCATATCTTGGGGCTATCATGCAAACTGTGCATGAAGACGCTTTGTAGGAGGCCCCACCATCCTCCGAGATCAGCAAAACCTCTGAAATCTGCTATGGCCTTATGGCGGCGGCCAATATGCACCAATATTCTCACGGGCAGACAAGGTGTGATAAGGTATTATCAGTATAGGTACAATAATGTCGATGTTTGAGAGGCGATCGACATAATTGGATGGCCATTGTCATCTTGAAGCATAATTTTACCGGCTTGTATGGGCTTGTAAGGTCAACCGTATGCCGAGCGATTGCGAACATGTAGCACAATGATTGGGAGGTCCGGTATTACTTCTCAATTACTCATAATTAGGTTAGGGTTACACCCTCAAGGCACATCTCAGGCTCGAGTGAGCCCAGATGATCTGTCTTAGAGAAAGAATTCCACGAGTTTACTTACACCTCATACAGCATCGGTATATGGAGAGTGCGATCGTGCCTCCAGTAGCTCTTACCAATGGGCTCCGTGTGCTCATCCGGAACTACCCCTCGAAGTCTTCCGACTTGAAAGACTTCGGACGGACAAGGTGCGCACTGTTTTGTATTGAATTAAATACAAGTATTACTCTTGAGTGGCGCACTGCTTCAGTTCCCACAAAGAGCTCAGACTGTCAGAGCACAGCTATTGCAATCTGAATATTACTCCAATTTGGTGTCAAACTTACTAAATTCTCCCCTAATCACCTCCATTCAATGACAACTGAAGTTCTTGATTCAGCCAGAGGTTCACACCATCTTTGTGCGCTTCACAGCTGTAAAATCCAGCAGGGCCTCACAGGCACTGGACTGCATGACCACCGGGCATCACAGACATGACATGAGTCCAGGCCACATCAGAAGAACACCAACTTTGCTTGTGGGCAAGTGTGATACAAGTGATCACAAGTGCCCACAAGCAAAGTTGGTGTTCTTCTGATGCACTTTTTGATGCATCTGCTGAGATCCAGAACGAACTGAGAGTGGACGAATTCACTACCATATCAAATATTCAGAGCTACACACAGTCTAGGTTCTGGTGACTGTGACCTGCATTCCCTGCTACTTCACTATAGTCATGCTCTGGTCGAAATTTCATTCAGTATGTAGCAACAACAGGGATGGTACGAGCGTGTCATCGTCGGGCTAAACAGCACAAGACGACGGCCTCAGTTCACACTCGTGCAGTGGAGCAAGACTATAATAATCAGTGCTCGCTAGCGCGTGCTAGGAACAGCAGAACAAGGCAACAGAAAGGTACGTACGGAACAAGTAAATAACATATGGGTATAGGAATGCGGCCGGGCCGGACGCTGCGCCGATTGCAGTGCTCCAACACAGTAGGTATATATAAGATGATGGTCTCGGAGTCTACCCCTTCATACTCAACTCACAGCTTATGTCTCCCAGGCTGTGACAGACTTCAAGATTCTTGGTTTAGTGGCCCACCAATGTCTAATAGTGTCTCCGAAATTCGGTCCTGAACCCGGTTCTGAACCATGAACCGGCTGAACCAAACCTAGGTTCAGGTTCGGTCAGGTTCAGGTTCGGGCATTAGGGCAGCAGGTTCGGTTCTCGGTTCACGAGCTGCCCATGGGACCTTGAACCTGGTTCGAACCTGGACCAAACCGAGAACCAAGTATGCTTTACATTCCCTCAATGTCCACAATCCTGACGCACAGCAGCGCGAGAGATGCCAGCAACGGAGACAGCGCCAACACATCGCGCAGTAGCACGCTCTCCACGTCCACACAGCGTACTCCCAGCGCACGATATGGCTGTCGATCCACACCTACACGTGATTTTGTGAGGCGCTTCTCCAGCTGGAGCGCTGCGAGTGCGAGCAGCTCTGCCGTCTCCCGTGCGTGGCTCTTCAGGAGCGCGGACGCGTGCTTTAGGAGGTGCGGGAGCACGAGCAACTTCCAGCCATCCAGCCGAGGTCTGCCAGCGCCACGCACAGGTTGAATGCATGGATCGGGCGCTCCCATACGCGATCGAGCACCCAGCGGCCAGGGCCCATCCAGAGTCCCATATCGCCCACGGTGAGTGTAGCTGCCAGTCACTTGAGGACCGCGGGATGTAGGAGTCCGTATAGGGGCGGCGAAACGAAGTGAGACAGCAACGCAGGGAGGCGGCTCGCTGTGAACGACAGCATCAGGGAATAAGTATGAGGCTGTGAGAATAGGAGCACTCACGACTCATCGTCGAACCCTGCTGAATAAAACAGGTGACTGTGATCACCTCGACCACTCGGCGGAGAGGCTCCTCGTCCTGTGGTAAAGTACATTCCATTCCCGTTCAATAGCGGTTCAAACCTGGACCGGACCTGGACCGGACCTGCTGAACCCGTTCGGCAGGTTCGGTCCAGGTTCAGGTTCGGTCCGACGCCATCGTCAGAGGTTCAGGTTCAGAGCCTAGGGGGCCCGAACCTGGACCGAACCGAACTTCGGAGACCCTAACGTCTAAGCTATGCAGTCGGAAAGTAAGTGATCCCGGTATGTTGCTCGCCATCATCCATTCAAAGCAATAGTAACTTAAGCTGACGCACAGTATTGACACAGCCGAGCGCACGAGTCTGCAGTAGATTAGGTGAGTACACAAAGTGTTTATTGTGATGCAAAATTGACGCTATATACAGGCAGGCAAGTTATCAACATCCCGAAGCGACCACTGGCATCACTAATGCTTGTCTCCCGGTGTCTCGGGAATATTCTATGGTGCTAAGCAATGCTCAGAGGTGTAAATAAGTAGCACTACCTGTATTTCTGTACAACCAATGCATTTCTCCTATTTTGGTCTAGTGAAGACCAAAAAAAGCACTCGGAGTAGCGTGAGGCCGGAAAAGGAAATAGTCGCTCAGTCCTGGGTCCTCGCGACCTCAAGTATGAATGAATGCTATGAATGGGCAATTTATACACAGTCTGGGATAACATTATAAGGCAATACAAGGCAACAGAAGAATGGCGTCGATTGGCCGTCCGTCACCAGAATTGCGCCTCCGACATCGATTGTGTGCTCCGGGCAATATGACGTGAGCACGCTAAGACCTTATCAGACAGGCCGCAAGAATTGCGTCGAATTACATTGATTATGGCCCTTGATAAGGCCTTATAGAAAAATATTTGGTTTTGCTGATGCGAAGACAGGGTGAATCACGACGAGGCAACTTCCCATAATGATGTTTCGCTCGTCGTCTTCAAGATTCGCCTTCAAACCATATTCTGACCATAGTACCCGGTAGTCTCCCCTAGGCGGCCTACCAAATGCTCTATTGCCGAGTGTGGGGAGGGGGAGGGGGACAGTCGCTCTTTAGAATACCCGCATGGTGAGAGCAGAACGTTGTCCTTACAAACCGAAGGTTTGGTTCATGCCACGCCTGCTAATTTACTGGTCAGGATCATACGGTCAAACGCATATTCGTGTAGTTGTACTTGAAATGCCCCTCATACGTACCGCCTACATAGGCCTCCGGCATCAGTAACAACACGCTGTAATAAATAACAAATAAGAGTCTGGACGCGTGGGCCTAGATATTATGAATAGCAGCGTGACTAAAACAACATCGGCGTGACCCGTAAAAGCGCTCTTGTACTCAGCTGACTATGAAATACGGGCTCGGTAAAACGAAGTCCAGAGGAAGAAGACTATTGCGGTTGAATATCGGCTTATGCGTGCCTGACATCCTGATTGAATAAATGTTTTAGCCTGAGAGTTGCCAAGGTACTGTATCCTCCAGCAAAAAGCTTATGAAACGTGTTTCTTCCGTATGGCCAGATAGAAGCTGTCATAGATACATTGTAGTCATTGATATCAAGTCGAGTTCAGTCAATCATTTTTTGCAAGGTTGCTGGGCTTGTAGTCGCCGAACGCAGTAGCTTGACTCATTCACAGAATTACGTGTCCCAGCACCGGTTTGACTGAGGAAGTTGAATGTCACAGTGAGTGTCACTGACACACTGTGACCCAGACGGACGAAGGGTCACCATCTCCGACGTCCTTATCGACTCTTGTAATTCTACCACAGTACATATACACTGGCAGCCGGTCGGCTTCCTGGCAGCTTTTAAACGCTCTCGGGTTACGAATTTCTATAGTAGCGCTCTGTGATTATGCAAGGCACTGCTCAGCGGATGCGTAACGGATCCATTAAAGAGATCTTACGGCAAGGCAACGGTTCTTTTCACTCACGAAACGTCAGGTGGCCAACACAGCTTTGAGTATTTCATGATTCGACTACACACATCCCATCCCCGTAGCAGACTGATCGAAGACTCTGATGCTCTGACTACTCTAGGCCGAAGACCTGGAGTGATCTGTCTGTTCGTGTCTGACAGCTTTCCGCGTCCTTGCGGTCGGGTGTTTTCTTTTCTGTACCACTCTGGAATGCTCACAAGACCTCCCTTGTTCAGTATAAGGCTATCTACTCGGCGTTCATCAAGGGAATGTCCGGTCAAATCACAAGCTCGATGACACGGAAGCCGGCGGGACATCCTCACCGGGCGAAGGATTCTTGCCATCATCCTGATACGCTACTCGTTCCATATGGTACCAAAGTCACATCATGTCCGCCCAGGAACATCATTCACGATGTCGCTCATAATGCGGAGGCGCACAGACCCTTCGGCGCGGTCTACCATAGCCTCCTGGGAGTAGCTCTGGATGCTGTTCCTATAAAGCGGGGAAGGGGAGAGACAATACGCCGTGGTCCAGCTAGCTTTCCTCGGCGGGATGTTGCTCACCACGCGCCTGCTCGCGGTCCTTGCTCTCGTGCTCTGCGCTACAGGTGCTCCCTCTACCATTTCTCCCCATGTCGTCCATGAATCTCGCAGTAATGTTCCCCGCGGTTGGGCCCCCGTACGGCGCGCCGAGCCGACCATGATCCTGCCTCTCCGCGTCGGTCTTGTGCAGTCTAACCTGGAGCACCTGGAGGACTTCGTCATGGACGTATCTCACCCCGAGTCATCCCACTACGGCAAGCATTGGTCAGCGGCGAAGGTCGCACAGACATTTCGCCCCACGAAAGAGTCCGCCGATACCGTACGCGCGTGGCTCGTCGAGAGCGGTGTCGACCCGACCTCTGTTCGGGTGAGCGCGGGCGGTGGTTGGCTCAAGGCGGACGTCACGGTTGAGCAGGCGGAGAGTCTGCTGGGGACCGAGTACCATGTCTACCAGTTCGGGGAGGACGACAGCAGGGTGCACGTCGCGTGCCACGAGAAATACCACCTTCCTGAGCATGTCGCGAAGCATGTCGATATCGTGACGCCAACGCTACATTTTGACGTGAAGCCAAAGCTGGGCGCACCCCAAGAAGTTGCTCTCGACAAGCGGGATGGCGTATCCAGCGATGTCAGTGCGCACGCGGTTGGTCAACCTGGATTCGGCGTCAGCTTCCCCAAAACCACGGGAACCATCGGGGTATGTGGCTGTCCATGCTTAAAATGGCGCCCGTCTTATCACTTGCTTCTAGACGATATTTAACGAGCTAGAGAACTGCGACGAGCAGATTGTGCCTGACTGTCTTCGCGTCCTTTATAGCTTCGAGTATATTCCTTTCGCCACTGATAAGAATTCGATCGCGATCGGTGTGTGTATCTCCATCCCTTCGTGCTAGACTACTCACAGGAGTTGCATGCAGTCGAATACACGCCGCAAGCGTACCTCCCGGGCGATCTTGATCTTTTCTTCGGTAACTTCTCGCCCAGCCAGGTTGGCCAGCGGCCAGTCCTAGAGAGCATTGATGGTGGTAGGTATCTTGCCTGATTGCTTTCAGCAGGTTGTGAGACTGAACGGGCTTGGATCAGGCTATGACCAAACCGAATATGAAGGCTTCGGGGAGAACGGCGAGTCCGACTTGGACCTGCAATACTCAATGTCGCTGGTGGGGCCTAAACAGACGGTCACCCTGTATCAGGCAGGCGACCTCTATGAAGGCATGTCTTCGACTTCTTGTCTGTTCGAGACCATACGCAAACATAACCTCTGTTCACCACAGGCGCCTCGTTCGGCAACCTCCTCGATGCACTCGATGCCTCATACTGCACGTTCGAGGGCGGAGACAACCCGGAGTTTGATGCAACGTATCCCGACCCTTACGGTGTTGGTTATGAAGGTGCGTCACCCGCGTTTGGACGCCCCGATCTATGTCCACGCTCCGCTCATGGCGCACATCCCAGGGCCCGAGGATTGTGGAACTGTTACTCCAGCCTATGTGATGTCGACGTCGTACAGCTATGATGAGGTCGAGCTCACGCCAGCCTATGAGCAGCGGCAGTGTGCCGAGTATGCAAAAGTAAGCACGACGTTTTAGTATCCAGCCAATCGACTCTGAGAAAAGCTGGTAGCTCGGATTGATGGGTACAACGATCCTGTACTCTTCTGGGGACTATGGTGTCGCTGGTAATGGGGGTATATGCCTTGACTCGGAAGGCTACGAATCATACGATGGCACGGTCTTCAATCCCTCCTTTCCAGGCACGTGTCCTTACGTGACTAGCGTTGGCGCGACACAGGTCAACCCCGGTGCATCGGTGGGTGTTACTCAGCATGTTCGATTATCATGTTCTAACGTGTGCATCGCTTGCCAAGGTGTACGAGCCAGAAAGCGCGTGCGAGCAGGTGATCTACTCCGGGGGTGGCTTCTCGAACGTTTTCGCCATGCCATCCTACCAGAAGGCCGCGGTCGAGCACTACATGGCCACCTACCCTCCTTCGTACTCCGACGGAACCTACAACACATCAGGCACTTCTCGAGCATATCCTGATATCGCTGCCAATGGGTAAAGTCGGCCTATATGCCTAGATGCTGTCCAGTGCTCAGTATATTCCGTAGCGCGAACTACGTCGTTGCGATCGACGGCGAGTTCAGTCTCGTGTATGGAACATCATGCTCGTCGCCTGTCTCGGCATCCATCTTCTCCGCTATCAACGACGCGCGCCTGACCATCGGGAAGGGTCCTATTGGTTTCATCAACCCGACGGTGCGTCTCATGGCTTGCTAACACAGTGGGAATCTACCTGACTGGGTTTGCAATGCAGATATATACTCCTCTCTTCATGGAAGCATTCAACGACATCACCACCGGGAACAATCCAGGCTGCAACACGAACGGGTTCTCTGCGGAGCCAGGTTGGGATCCTGTCACTGGCGTAGGCACGCCCAATTTCGCCAAGCTGGTCGGGCTTTGGCTGGCATTGCCTTAAATCGAATCCTCGACTTGAGATCATGTGTACTTGGTCGTGCGAGGGTCATATTGTCGCTGAAGGACAAGTAGAGCCACGGTTTACACAGTAATGTTACATAGCGAGCTCGCGGTTGTACAATTGCTACGATTATTCAGGAACCGTCGCTGCTTATCGCGCGCGAAGGTGTCTCAATCACATTGGACGTCCCTGGCGTAACCCGTGAAGTCTCGAACGAGAGAAGCAAATCACGCAATAGTCGAGTACACTGTATCCCATGGCCATCATGAGGAGTTATCTTTTACAACAGCCAAGTCATTTAGGCTTTACCTGGACAACATGCAACAGGGGTAGCAGTGTAAATCAGCCCTGCGTTGCGACAGACATTCGCTAGTGAAGCACGCAATAACAGTCCAGGTTCAGAAGTGAAGTCGCATGATGGACGAGAGAACAATCAGAACACAATACAGGCAAGTATCCAACTATAGCCAGACATCGTGTAGGTCTACATATGAGCTACTGCCATTAAACCAATCAGCCCATTTACGCAGACGCAGAGGCATTACGACTTGCTCGGCGTTTGGCTGCCTGAATCGCCCTCAGCTGTACGACAAGATCATGCCACAACGAGTTATCACAATCGTCATCGTCATTTATCATCAGACGGCAACGACTGGTCTTCAGGCAGGGGAACAGGCGATCTAAGAAGAGTGCTAGAGGGCGTGCAGGGCCCTGTGGGTTGGAGAATAACGTGCGGAGGACGCGCAGCTTGTGGCTGAAGGTTGAATAATCTTCCAGATCCATGGGCACGTTAGACGTGACAACGGGAAGCTTGAGGATCCGCAGGTCGGGGCAGTATCGAGCGAAGGGGACGAGAGCATCGACGGGGAGACTGTGGAGCATCGACGCCTCCAAATCATAATCTAGGCTCAGGATGTGGGGCCATGCCCTGGCCATACGCTGCACGTCTTCCGGTTCGAGGTGATTTGAACTCATACGGTCCTGCAGAGCGACGGAGAGGCGGCGGATGTTGCGAAGACCGAACAGAGGCGGAAGGAGGTCGATACAAGGAACGATCGCGTGTATATGTGGGAGCCACACAACAATGCGCAATTTCCACAGGGATGATGAGCATTTGGCCACCATTGTGTCCAGACAGCGGCAACAATTCCGGACCAGGTTCGGATCGTCGTCTTCGACAGAAAAACATAAGGAAATATTCTTTAGAACAGGTGTATCTATGGCCACAAAAAGCCCCCTCAACCTTGCGGGGGAGTCAGAGAGATCGAGCTTATTGAGTGCAGCGAAGCGACAAGGAGGATGGTTCTCCGCTGTCGTAATGTTACAATCATGCAGCGCCAGGTCTTCCAAGTTCTCGAGGCAGGAAAGGGCCCTTAGAATCGCACCATCCAGACGTCCGCAGGCTTCGCATAAGTCCACACGCCGCAACGCATGCCAGTGTTCGAACGGCACTTGGAGACAAGATAACGGGATGTTCTGCGTGTAGATGACTTCGACAGCTGGGGATGTTTCGACCAGAGCGCGAAAACACCCGTTGAGTGTAACCCAGTCCGCAGGATCCGGCTCTTCATCTCTAACAGAAACACAGTAATGCAGCTCATGCAAACGGTTGCCGATGATGGATAGGATATCGTATTCGAGGGAATCTCCCAATATAGCCTCTACGTTCTGGAGGAGAGGCATATTTCCGTTGCGCTGTGATAGCTGTGAGTAAGTGTCTGAAGATATCCAATCGAACGGTCCAAGGATACGGTGGATCCGTCGAGCGTAAGTCTGGATCTGGCCCAATAGCGATCGCAAGTCTCTCCGGCTAGATACTAAGGATTGTGCATAAAATTGAGTCAAAAAGAGGTGACACGACTAAGATACTGACGTATGTTCACTGTCTTGAATTCTTTAGAGGAGGTAGGAGACGGAGGAGATTCCGTATATCTTCCATATAGGCCCGGAGCGCATCAAGGGCTGGGCTCTCAAATATCTTGCAAACACGAGAGGCACGACTCAACGCGCGTTGATTCACTTTCAGCACATTCCATGGTGTATCCTCGTCCGAGGCCAGTTGTTGGAAAACGAGGTGGAGAATGTCGACAATCTGCAGTGCTTGATGCATTGGGCCAGCGTGGTAGGCTGATTGTGGGTTTCCAAGGGGAATACGAGTGCGACCAGAACGACTCGTGTCTGGGAAGGGGGCGGAATCGGTGAACTGGCAATGAAGATGAAGACGAGCAGCCACAGCAGGCTGTGGCTGTGAGGCTATTGTCGCGTGACATAACGCGTCCGTGACATCAAAAAGCGATCTCATGGTAGTATCTCATGATCTCTGCATTCATTATCATACATACAGTATTAGACAAATTTTCGTTCAGGCTCATAGAGTCGCGTATCTGGAAGTACGGAGAGATGTAAGACGCACTCGACACTCGAGGACGGTTACGCCAAACCAACACTCACTCACGGAATGTCAGCTAGCCGGCACAGCTCTGATGTGAGTGGAGCGTCCTCGTGCGAGTAATTTAATGCGGTGACGACTTTGTAACAGGATCGCCAAACGTCTGCGTAAGATTGACATTCTTGCAGCTGATATTTCTGATTTCCGTGACACTTGAGGTAAACCTCGGGACTACCGGAGCAGGTAGAGATGACTAAAGCATATGTTGGATTGCGGAAATTGACCAGAGGACGCCTGCCATCAATTAGTCTGTCTCGTTGCTCGTTCCATGAAGTTTGTTCCATACGGCACCGAACCCATCACGTCAGCTTAGGGCTACCCGCTTGCGAAGTACTGCGGAGACGCCCAGATCCTTCGCAACGGTCTTCGCTAACTCCTGGGAGCAGCTGAGTCTGCGCCTCCATATATAGCGAGCATCGAGAGGCCGCAGCATTCCATCAGCACCATGCTGCTTTCCACTCCTTTGTTCACGGTCTTGACTTTCGCGCTCTGCGCTACAGGTGCTCCCTCTGTCATCTCAGGCTCTCCTCGCGTCGTCCATGAATCTCGCCGGAGTATACCCCTAGGATGGGCCCCTGTACGGCGTGCCAACCCCTCCATGGTTCTACCTCTTCGTTTTGGTCTCGTGCAGCCGAACTTAGATTACCTAGAGGACTTCGTCATGAACGTGTCGCACCCCGAGTCGCCTAATTATGGCAAGCATTGGTCGGCCACAAAGATCGCCCAGACATTCCGCCCCGCGAAAGAGTCTATTGAGACTGTGCATTTATGGCTTGTCGAGAGCGGCATCGATCGGGCCTCCGTGAGGCTCAGCCAGGGCGGCGGGTGGCTTAAGGCAAACATGACGGTGGAGCAGGCGGAGCGCCTGCTACAAACAGAGTACCATGTCTACCAGTCTGACGAAGAGGGCGGTGGCCAGCATATCGCATGCTACGAGAAGTACCACCTGCCCGAGCACATCGCAAAGCATGTTGATATTGTGACGCCCACACTGCATTTCGATACGAAGCCGAGGACAAGCGTGCCCCAGAGGGTCGACATGGATAAGCGGGATAGGCCAGTCAATGCACGATCATTAGGCCAGCCTGAATTGGGCGTCAGCATCCCCAAGACAGCGGCAACGGTCGAGGTAAGCCGTTGTTCATGCGCAATCCGCCTATGCTTACGATCCACCTCTAGACTATTCACAAAGGGATAGAGAAATGCGATGAACAGATTGTACCCGATTGTCTTCGTGCTCTTTATAACTTTGCATATACTCCCGTGGCAACTGAGAAGAATTCCATTGCAATCAGTTTGTACTTCTTACTCGGAATGCTGTTATGCTCACACACCTTGCATATAGTCGAGTACAACTCTCAAGCATACCTTCCCAACGATCTTGATCTCTTCTTCGCCAACTTCTCGCCTAGCCAAGTCGGTCAGCGCCCCGTACTGGATAGCATCGATGGCGGTCGGTGTCACATTAGCTTAGTCTTGACAAGTCATGGCTAACCGAGGTTGATTTAGGCTATCTCCAAACCAAGGAACAAGATGAATCTGTTAACGGAGAGTCAGACTTGGACCTGCAATATGCGATGTCGCTTGTGGGACAAGAACAGCCCGTCACATTGTATGAGGTTGGTAACCCGAACGAATGTACGTATTCAGCGCTATGTCCAGAACGATGCACTATCTCCACCTGCGTTCGTCATAGTTGCTTCATTCAACAACCTACTCGATGCACTCGATGGCTCGTATTGCACGTTTGAGGGCGGAGATGACCCTGAATATGATGCGATGTATCCTGATCCGAGCGGGAACGGCTACGAAGGCAAGATAATATCTGCGTCCAGGCACCCCAATCTCCGCTCACGATGAACATTATAGGCCCCGAGGATTGCGGGACCGTCACTCCTGCATATGTAATGTCGACGTCGTACTATTTCGACGAGGCTCAGTTTACACCAGCCTATGAGCAGCGACAGTGTGCGGAGTATGCGAAAGTGAGCCCAGATACTGTCTTACCCAACTTGTCGATTTCACAAGTGAATTGTGTAGCTCGGCTTGATGGGCACAACCGTCCTGTATGTCTCCGGGGACAACGGTGTTTCTGGCGGCAATTTTCAATGCCTTGACTCAGAGCGCCAGTCATCTAACAACGGCACAATCTTCAACCCTTCCTTCCCCAGTACATGCCCCTACGTGACAAGTGTTGGAGCGACGCAGATCAACCCCGGTGCATCGGTAAGTAACATTTAGTACATTGTAAATACATACGTCTGAAACGATGCGTCGCTCGTCAAGGTGTACGAGCCAGAAAGCGCATGCGAGCAGGTCATCTATTCCGGTGGTGGCTTCTCGAACGTTTTCGCTATGCCATCCTACCAGAAGACCGCAGTCGAACACTATCTGTCCAACTACCCCCCGCCGTACTCCTCCGCGATATACAACACTTCTGGAACATCTCGAGCATACCCTGATATTTCCGCTAATGGGTGAGCATTTTTTCACGATATTGCAACTGCTCAAGGTGCTTAAAACACGCTTCAGAGCGAACTACCTCGTCGCGATCGACGGCAACTTCACTCTCACGTATGGCACCTCGTGCTCCTCGCCTGTCTTAGCGGCCTTCTTCTCGGCCATCAACGATGCACGTCTAGGAGTAGGGAAGGGCCCTATTGGGTTTATCAATCCGACCGTATGTATGGCGAGTTCTCTGGCATATGGAGCGCTAATATACTGTTCACGGGACATAGATCTATAGCTCCGCATTTGTGGAGGCGTTCAATGACATTACAAACGGGAGTAACCCTGGATGCAACACGAGTGGGTTCTCTGCAGAGCCTGGCTGGGATCCTGTTACCGGTGTGGGCACGCCTAACTTTCCCAAGCTCCTCGATCTTTGGCTGGCGCTGCCTTGAAGATCCCTCTATGCAGCGTTACCGCAGCGAGCAAGCTTGGACCAATAGAAAGTTATGCTATATGGACGATGTCTTGCGTAATCAGGACTCTAGTCGAGTATGCTCGCCACTGGTACCACAATAATGCACTTCGAACAGCCATAATGGCTCAGTCCATCTTGATGCCAACAGTATGCGCGTGATACGTCAACTCATTTCGTATGTTGTTCCTCGCAAGTATATGCTACATTTCGTCACAGGTGATCTCTTCTTACCAGCTGACCCTACATGAGCTTACGCGATAGCCGAATACATCTTAACTCCTTCGCAAAACAGTCCTGCATCGTGTAGACACTCTCATTACTACAATTTGGTCATTTTTACGTCGTGGGGTCGATGAAAGGAGGACCATACTTCACTTACTAAGGTTTCGTGAGAATCGGCGATCGTGGGACAGACGAAGCTTGCATCGGGTTTGCTTAAGAGAGAGCAAGCGAAGAGCACTTTGGACCCCGTGCACTTCTCACGAGACGTCCCCGCATCACATAAGTATAGCGGGCGGGTACCTTCGACCATTATGTCCTAGTGGGTTCATCATGTTCCTACAGATTGTGACTTCGGTTCTTGCGACAGGTCTTCTCTATGCTTTGATCTCAGTTTTGCAGCAGAACCGAACACTGAGCGCTAGCTTGCCGCCTGGTCCACCGGGTCATTGGCTGTTTGGGAATGCTCCGCCAAGGGCCTTGTAGGCTCTCGATTATCTCATGGCATGTGAGGAAGCTGAATAGAGCCTACTAGCCCGTATCGGCACTTCGCTGAACTCACCGAGACATACGGTCCGGTATTCACCTTGCGCTTCGGACGTAGGATCGTCTGTGTGATCGGGAGGTACCAGGTTGGTGTGAACTCAGGCACCATGGACTTGTTCTGCGGATATGACTTACACATACATTTTAGGCTGCTGTAGACATCCTCATGAAACACTCAGCAGAGACCAGTGACCGCCCCCGCAGTGTCGCAGCTAATGAGATCATGAGCAAGGGACACCGTGTCCTGATGACCCCTGCCGGCGAGCGGTTGAAGAAATACAGGAGGTAGGTCTTGATTGAAACATGGGTACTGCACGTGTGTGTATTCATGGCTTTCCCAGAGCGTTGCATGCCTTCCTTCAGCCTAGCTCTTCCGCGACATACAAGCCCATGCAATATAAGAATGCAAAGAACTACGTTCTGGATTGTTTGCATGACGGCAGGCATCATTTGTACCATGGTAGAAAGTTCGGGCTTCATCCGTGCAAGCGCAGTCTCAATTAGCGGACACTAATGAATGCTTCAGATACGCTGCCAGTGTGGTCATGTCCGTCGCTTATGGCAAGACCACACCCACCTCATACTCAGATCCCGAAGTACTCCAAATCAACAAATCCCTCGCTCGTCTGGGCGCTGCTCTCAAACCTGGAGCTTACCTCGTCGATACGTACCCCATCCTGAAGTACTGTCCGGGATACGCGTCGCACTTGCGGCGGTACCGAGAGGAAGAGCTGGCACTAATAACGAAGCAAGCGAATGCTGTTAGAGAACTGCTGGTAAGATCATTCGAATGCTCCAGACGTACAGGTTCAGATGGCCTGTCCTTGTAGGCAAAGGGAGAAGCTCCGCCGTCATTTACTGCGTACCTCATTGAGAACCAGGAGCGCCTGGGGATATCGGACGACGAGCTAGCCTACTTGTCTGGGGCTATATTTGGTGCGGGATCAGACACGGTAGAGCGAAACGTTGTATCGTCCCCCTTAGTAGGTCCTCACTACATGACTGATAGACTGCGGCTGCGCTTGGTATAATGACAATGGCGGCCGCATGCTACCCAGAGGCTCAGGCCCGGGTGCAGGCCCAGCTGGATGAGGTGGTTGGCCGTGACAGAGGTACGCCTTCTGCAGATAAGTCTTGCGGGGTGATTATCAAACCTGTTTCACTAGCTCCGACCTTCGAGGACGAAGACCTGCTTCCCGAAGTCACCGCGTTCGTTCTCGAGGCTTACCGATGGCGGCCTGTTAGTGCCGGAGGCTAGTCGTGTCAATGGGCGGCTGTTCTATAAAACCTCATCAGTCATTTTCCAGGATTTTCGCATAGAGCTACCAAGGACGTTGTCTGGGTGGGTCTACCACTCAGCCATCTGCATCTCATGGCGCTGATACCAAATTCCGGCTTATAGAACGGCTATGTGATTCCTGCGGGTGCTGAGATCATAGGAAACCATTGGTAATGCTACATCATTGCCCATCGCATGAGCTTTTGTCTCACATATCTCCTGCGGCAAGGGCAATCTCGCGTGACCCTGAAGTTTATCCCAATCCGGAGGACTTCAAGCCGGCGCGCTGGCTGAACGAACATGGGCGTATTCGAAATGACCTGAAGTTCATTAATTTTGGCTTCGGACGCAGGTACGTTTCTGTTGCTATATCGACGTTGTTAAAGTCTGAAGATAATTTGTGCTCTCTAGGGTGTGTGTAGGGCAACATGTCGCCGATCAGTGAGCACGGTACAATCATTGCAAGCACTCAGTCTGAACTTAGCTTTTATGACTCCAGATCCCTCTTCATCAACACTGCGCTGGTCTTGTGGGCTTTCAGAATCTCCCAGGATGCTCAATGCCCAATCGATACCTATGCCTTCACGGATACGGCGAATGTTCACCCTCTACCGTTCTCACTTCATTTCGAGCCGAGAGTGAAGGATATGGAGGCAATGCTGGGCGCGCAAGCGGAATAAATTGTTAAAGTTCGTCCGAGACCCGAAGCGAGAACGATCAACAAAGATATATCGCGTTTGTCTGAGCTCTGTCAAACGCGTAATGAACATACAGGATGGCTCGCGCAAAGTCTGCGAGGTACTACAAACAATGCCAAATACGGTGGCATGCGCTCGCCACAATCTCAAGTTCCAACATAAATATCCTCGAGATCCTTGTGATGCACTGTTTAAGATGCACTACGTTGTATCGAACATGCCTTGTTACTTTGAGTGGGGGGAGAGTTATTTGGATTGGCCAAAGAGCATCGCGTGTCGAAAACCCGCTAGCGGAATATCAAAGACGAAGCATCTATGACATGCGTCAGATCCTCAAATATTCGAAGCTGCTCTTTCCTAAATGAGGGCTCGGACATAGCAATGACTACACATGCCAGGAGATTGTCCGCTGCAATCTCCATCCTGGGTTGCCGAACCAGCTCGGCCATGTAAGCATCTTCCAAGGTCGTCAAGACATTTCGTCGGTCGCGCTGTCGATAGCTATGTAGACACGCGCCAACAACACCAGCTAAGTTTACACCAGAGATATTCCTGTAATGAAGAGAAGCGAAAATGGAGAGGGGAATACTGAGCAGCGCTCTGACCCATCTGCGGAGACTTGGTCTGTCTTCCATGTGTAATGTACAAGAAAAGCACTTCGATGCTATCAGACGGTGGATTCATCACAATACATTATCAGATCCTGATACAGCGGTCTCATCGTACAGCTGCTATGCCACTCCACGGAGCGAGTAATGTGCCAGAGCGACTTCGTCATCGATATCTTCCCACTCATTTATATCGGCAGAGGTCGACTGAAGATCGTACCGCGAATGCCCTAAATCCTTAGACCGGCTGCTATTCACTCCACTGGGTGTGCGCGAGGAAGCCTTGCGGCATACTCGCCGCCCGCCTTTGGTAGACGAAAGCCTCGAGCGAGTGTGGGTAATTGCCTGTCTTCGTGACGCCTTAGAAGCAGGGCTGTGATAGCCGGTCTGGTCTTGCTCAGGCACCGCTACCTTTGCAGAAATAACACGTGTGTAATCTTCTCGGAGCAAGAAATGCGGGGAAGATAGTGGCGGCCATGTGAGCTTCGCATGATCATCATGACCTGGATGTGGCGCAGGGATCCAGATTGTGACGGGTGAAACGTACGTATTCTCATGGTCGGCATAGGCCACCAGGGTGATTGAGGTCGAAACAATGGAGTCTTGGCGCATTGGACGAGGCGCACTGTTTAAATCTGTAATTATGACATCTGCGAAGCAACTGTGAGTCAACGGCGGAATGTAAGAAGAGAGCTCGAACGTTCTGCTCACCTGCGCTATCATGTTGGTCACAATTCTCTGTTTGATCATCATATTCAAAATGAGACGTTGCATGCGTCTGGGAGACATCCTCATCATGTGCAGAGGTTTCACGAAGTCGTTTGAGTCGCTTTCTTTCCTCGTCCGTTGTGGTTTACGTATGTATTTGAGCACAGGACTAACATTGATGCGCAACATTTCAGGACTTACTGCGATGTCGGTGCGTAAGACCTTGACATCCTCGTACCCTTAACATCCTCGCACAAAATCGATATTTCATGTGAAGGACCCTTTACCATTTATTTCAGCTGCTGGTTCAGCGTCGCAGCACTGCAGGTTTGTGTTCTGAAACACTCGGCGCGTACATGAAAACTGATATGGATCACTGCTCAAGATCACATCCCGGATTGGAACCAAGCGTCGCTTACTTCGACGATTTCCTCCTGGCGAGATCAATGAAGTTGCTGTTGCGGAGAAGGCCTTCCTGAGTGACAGATGCTAGGAGAGTTCCCGTCTCCTCCAATGTCTTATCCAGGATGTGCAGTTTGGTCGTCGGCAGCTTTTATCAATGGGCAGTCGGGACTCCGCAGATCAACCGAGTCGGCAGGCGTGATCTGCCATCAATCAGAGAGCAGAATTCCCCGGAATGTTTCGGGATGCTTGAAATCCGATCAATAATTATGGCCCCTGGACCAATCAGGCAAGGGTGCCGACTGCCCGGGCAGGCATAGTATCTTCCAACTCGTCCGCGTCGTTAGTATCGGTCAACAGGAGGTCATTTCGCGGATGTCCTGGATCTGCAGCCAAGGTGTGTTTTCTGCCGCTGAGAGTATGGCTACAGACCGCATGCAGAATTCCATATTGGGGCTGCATAGCGACTGTTATTGTACTACTTAGCTCGAGATACACGAGGTGAGCTTCGTAGTACAGTATACCTGTTATACCAGTCTCCTTCGATGAGGAATTCGATTGATTCAAAGCATCACGTGCGAGCGGCTCTGCTGACTGGCTCATGCCAATGGCATTGGCTTGGTGACAGTGTCGATTACGAACTCGAATTCAACTGATATTGAAAGTCAAATAGCACTTAGAAATGAGTATATCGGCCACCACGAGACTGCTAATATACGCAACGCTATCACCCGAAGATGCCAGTATCTTCGCGAACCTCACACTCTCGGGCACGTACGACCTCGCGGCTCTGGTCGAAGAGGAATGGCGGGATCGCCAACCTTTCCTAGAGAGTCACGGCTACATGTTGAGGTCCCGCTACTATGCAAACTGGTCCCCTTCATGAATGGGAACCAATCGCGATCCCACATTCTGTGAGGACTCAATCATGCTCAATGTACGCTCTGATGAACAGATGGTACAAACTCAGGCTGACATCCTGGCGCATCATATTCTGTTCGCTCTCCTAGAAATACAACGTTATGGATGCTATTAGGTCTAGCGATGGTCTCTGCGTGTCCATCAAGACAACTCGCAACGACAGTCAAGAGACCTAAAGGACCCGAGCAATCACTGTGTACATTTACTGGAAGTCTTTCCCGATCACCCTCATGCAGACGATCCTGAGTTTGGGGCTATAGGAGAAGCAGTTAATTTCGTCAGGCAAACGCTTGCGGTACGTCGTTCGCGTGTGTTCCCCCTACCCTTTGAAGATAACATCGTATTAGGGGATATGCTTCCTTCATCGACATTGAATAGCGCACAGGTGAGATGGCCAAAGATGTGGACATAATGTCACCTGCTGATCCATCTCATCTGGATAGAGATTGTGCAGTGGCAAACATTATGATGGACGGCCGCCCTCTTTACCCAAAGGGACATCATTCAATAAAGCGGCATTACTCTGTGGACGCCATGTATGAACTATCCCCACTCGCCAGAATTGACCACCCCGTGCGCTACTACCTCATCGACTTCGGGATTTCTAGCCATTTTCTCGAAGGATCCTCGAGATATGTCACCGAACTCAAGAGTAGAGATAAGGAGGTTCCAGAGCTGTCCGCGGACGTACCCTACGATGCGATGAAGGTGGACATCTTTACACTTGGGAACTTATATCGCAAGGAATTCCTGCAAGTGCGCGACCCATGCAACGTTCCTCTTACTGCATACTGATCAAGTTCTACATCGGCAGAAGTATCATGGCCTCGACTTCCTACTACCATTAAAAGAGGCAGCGACACAGCAGCAGCTCGAACGCCGCCCGACAGCTGAGGTTGCCTTTGCGATCTTTGAAGACATCAGCTTGTGCCTAATCAGTTCTCTCCTTCGATGGCGACTGCGATCTCGTGCCGAGTCGCAACCTGAACGGGTGCTCTATGAAACCGTAGCCGTGGCGCGAGAAGGGATATACCACTTCAAACGCCTGGTGACATGATAGTAAAGTAAGGTGCAGGCACTCTTCCATCGACGTCGCTGACGTGACCGCGATATTGCAACAGTGATGCCCATGCTTACCGGACCTCCATCGTGCTGCTTCTGAAATTGCCTCGCTCACACAAATCGTAGTCTTGACGATGTATTTCACCAGGTATCATCATTTATAGTGGAGCGCATCTGGTCATTAATCACCGCCACAGGGATTGCTTACATTCGGCCTGTAGTGCCAATGCCAAGAGTCAATATACATTCTCTTGTGTATGAAAGCAACTGCGACCATGATTTATGAGCTTAGCCTGAACGAGATTAAGACCCAGAGACATGAATTGTCTTCCATGCGTAATGTACAAGACGAACAGCAATCCGATGCTATCAGCGCTGTGAATTCTTCAAAGCACATCAGCAAATGCTGATTACATGCCTATGTAGAAAAGGGTGTTCCTGAGACAAAATCACACTTTGCAGGTGCAGTACCATAACGAGTAATGCCATCAATGGGTACATGTGTATTCATGCGCGTAGGAATGCGATTGCTACTGATGCCTATGGAGGTCTACATAGGGCGCGTGATCTACCAAGAACGACATAGATCAGGTATTTCTACGAGCTGAGAATGCCATTTGCAGATGTGGTCTCATCGTATAGCTGACCAGAACGACTTTGGAAGCTCAAATGTTACCGGTCGCGATCAGAACGTAATATCGAGCGGTCAGGTTTCGGCGCTTACGCCACTTGCTCGGAGCTCCTCAATTGCAGACGGCTGGCGAGTCAACACGAACTTTGACAATGGCCGCAAGCAACGTCCACCGTTGGCTGCCATCGTACATCTCCCTTTCACCCGAGGATGTCCAACGATACGCCAAATTGACGGAAGCTGGGGCCTATGACCTTGGACCGGCGGAGAGGAGGTGGCGAGGCCTACAACAATAGCGGGCGGCGGCGGGTAATCGTCTGTCTTCGTGACGCCTTAGAAGCACGGTCAAACTGGCTGCCTTTCCTAGATGATATTACCTTCGCGGGAACAACGTGCATGTGATCCTTTTGGAGTAAGAAATGCGGGGAAAATAGTGCCGGGTATATGTGCTTCCTATGATCGTCGTGATCGTGATCTGGCTGTATCACCGTGCACTGTGGCGCAGGGATCCATGTCGTAACAGGCAGAAGGTGCGCGTCCTCGTGACCGGAGCAAGAGACCAAGGTGCTTGTGGTGGAAACGATGGAACCTCGACGCGCCAGTTGGGGCGGTCTAGAGTCGTGTGCCACCGCAACATCTGACAGATTGGTGTCAGCATACCATAAAATCCGGTTGTACATGTTGTGTAGCTCACTTTGGCGAGCAGAGGGCTCAGAATTGTGAGGCTCTCGAGGACACTCTTCGTCGAGTTGGGAGACATTTCCGACGTTTACTCCGGATTCACGAAGTCTCTGCAACCGCTTCCTCTCCTCATCTGTGGTGGTCTGTCAAGCATCATAACTACATGAGGCATAGATCAGTGCGAATTATTCTGCCTCACCACTATATCGGCCCTTAGGACGGCAACCTCCTTGCACAGGACGCTAATACGGTATGACAAGCCGGATATGATTCCCTTAATTTGTTGTGTTTCTGTTGTAGCACAGTATACTGCTGCTCTGTATCCTTCTGCACGGCTGTGCGCACTAATCGACGGGGGCATGCATGAGAACTTTTTTTATCGCAGGAATCACCGAAGACCACTTACTTCACTAACTGGCGTCTGGTGCAAGTAAGGAAGTCGCCCCCATGAAACAAACCTTCTTCGGATACAGATGTGAGAAGAACTTCCGTCTCTTCGAGTGTCTGATCCAAATTGCGTAGCTTGATACGCGGCGTCTGACTGTGAACCAAGGCGAGGAGGACGGGGATAAGGCCAATTACTCCCAAGGTGCCTGTGATGACACCGTAGATGTTGTATTCTGCGTCTGAAGACATTGAGTAGTGGGACTTCGTCACTGGGAGGTTACGGCTCTGGGAGGTGCGAGTCGAGGCGAAGGCGTAAGAGTAAGCTCATGGAGCGAAACAAGGACTGGTCGACGGTCGATAACGCCGCGAGTCTTATCAGGATGTCCCCTTCGGAGACAATACCAACGCAAGCTATCGGCACAAATGCTTGGACCGTTGAAGACCATGTGCAAACAAACGTGGTGAGAACGAAAGGAATGCACGACAACTATAATTGTACTAGCGTACAGAGCCTCATGATACATGAGGCGAATTCCGTGATTTGGTATATCGAATGCCTTTTACGGCTCGCAAGAGATTCTGATCGACCGAGTCACGTGTGCTGAGGCGTGCATCTGAGCCCTCAGTGTGGCTGGAATCGACTTCAACTTGGCCATGATTTGGAACTCGACATTCGCCGGAAGTTCATATCTCCTCGCAATGAACACAGCTTCCACGACACGTCTCCCGACTTATGCAGTGCTATCTCCTGATGATGTACTTCGTTTTGCGGCGATTACATTGATGGGCGCCTATGATCTCGGTCCTGCCGAGGAGGAATGGAGGGATCGTCAACCGTTCTTGGAGAGTCATGGTTACATGCTGAGGCCTCGATATCATGCGGACTGGTCCCCTTCGTGGACTGGAACGAACCGCGATCCCACCTTCTGTGAGGACTCGATTCTGCTCAATGTACGCATCTATTAACCAGTGGAGTTGGCTCAAACTGACGTATCGCAATGCTGGCGCCTGTAGAAACACAACGTTATCGATGCTATAAGACTTTCCGATGGCCTTGGTGTCTCAGTCAAGACGACCCCCAACGACAGCCAGGAGATTGCTATCGCGACATTTGTCTCGTCCCTGAACCTTTTGGATGACCCGAGCAATCATTGCGTCAAGTTGTTAGAAGTGCTGCCTGATCCGTTGCATGCGGATAGATCGTTGATGATTATGCCGTATCTACGACCATTCGACGACCCCGAGTTTGGAGCTATAGGCGAGGTCGTTGATTTTGTGAAGCAAACACTCGAAGTACGATCTCTCCCCTCGGTTTCACTATCGTTTGTCTCAGCACATATATACGCAGGGAATTTGCTTTCTTCACAAGCACCGAATAGCGCACAGGTAGGATTAGTTCTCAGCCAAATTGAAGTCGCTGACGCGTCGCATGTTGCCAGAGATTGTGCAGCAGCAAATATAATGATGGATGGTCGTCCTCTCTACCCAAATGGACATCATCCAATAAGAAGGGACCACTCAGTTGACGCAATGTACGAGCTATCACCACTCCCTAGGATTGACCACCCCGTGCGCTACCACCTCATCGACTTCGGCATTTCTACGCGTTTCCCCGTAGGATCATCCACCTATGTTACCGGGTTAAAGGGAAGGGACAAGGACGTCCCAGAGCTGTCTGCTGATGTGCCGTATGATGCGATGAAAGTGGACATATTCACACTGGGCAACTTGTACCACAAAGAATTCGTGCAAGTACGTCACGCGACCCACGTCTTTTTGTTTGGATACTCACTCAGCTTCGCGTGCGAATAGAAATATCACGGTCTTGATTTCCTTCAGCCATTGATAGGGGCAATGACGCAACGGCAACCTGAACGACGCCCGGCAGCTGAGGTTGCCCTCGCGATTTTCGAAGATATCAGCTCGCGCCTGAACAGTTCTCTCCTTCGATGGCGACTGCGGTCTCGTGCCGAGTCGCAGCCAGAGCGCGTGCTCTACGACACTGTAGCTGTGGCACGAGAAGGGATATACCACCTGAAACGCCTGGTGACGTGATAGCGGATAAAGTGCAGGCACCCCCGCATCGTAGTCGGATTTGGATCTTTCGATGTGTTTTACAAAGTATCATTATTTACAGTGGACTGCACCCGGTCATTAATCCTTGCTACATATGGCTTACCTTTCTTCAGCTTGTAACTGTAGTGCCAATGACAAGGGTCGATGCATCTTCTCTTGTACAAGGCATCTGACTACGACATGATCCACATATGTCGCCTACTAAGATTCGGATCGATCTTACATTTAGGTCGGTTTGCACGAGCATACGAACCTCCAAGCGTCCGCACTCTCATTGGATGATTTTGTATATAATAGGTACTCCAAGCAATTAGATGTGGGTCGTTATATCCGACACTTGTCCGTACCCGCTCGCTACTCCTCGTCGATCTCTATCGCAAATCGCGCCTCGGGCTTTGCACCTGCTCGTGCCATTGTGTCCTCAAGCGCGCAGTGGAACCGGTGTTCCACGATCTCGTCCCCGTCCTCGACATCCACGATTAGCACGAGGCGCGCCCTACGTCAGTCCGCCCGTCAGCCATCCTGCCCACACAACGCTGTGAACTTCGGTAGTTTCGATGATGACGTACATAGGGAAGAGATCCTCGATCCCGAACGTCTTGCACGCCTGCAGGAGCACCCGCGAGACAGTGTGCCGTCCGCGCGTCTTGAACATCATCTGGTTCTCGTCGGTGCCCGCGCCGTCGTCGTACTCAACAATCACGACAAAGCGGTCATTCGGCCCTACCTCGTCCCCCCGCGGTTGGAAGGATTCTAGGTAAGAGAAGACTATCAGCCCTTAAGCAAATGCATGCAGTGAACACAAAGGACCGCACCTGTAGCCCGGGACTGAGACTGGACGACAGTGGGGGGCGCGCGCCCTTGTGAGAGTCGCTCTTTTGGGGCCGATATTTTCTCTGGCCTCACCTCGGCGAGATCTTTAGCCTTGACAGATCCGCTCGCTGAATTAGTTGGCTCCTTTTGTGGTCGTTCTGTCATATGGTAGCTGAGTGAATCTGCATCTGCATAACGGCTCTTCGACGTACCTTGCTTGGAGAAAACGTCTGGACGCTTCTCGGCGCTCAGGGTCATAGACCTGTGAGATGCAAATGACTTCGGCGAGGGCGGCGGAGGTTGGCGTTCGCGGCTCGCTTTTGGCTCAGGCTCATGCACCGGGCTGACTTTACGCTCATCGCGCGCTGCAAGGGGCTCTGAGACATAGCTGTCTGCGAATTCGACAGATGGGCTGCGTTCTATGACAAGCCCATGTTTTTGCGTTTCCTCTGGTTCCTCTTTGACCTCGTCGCGCTCTTCTTCTGGCTTTTCTTTGACTTCATCGTACTCTTCCTCGTCGTCCGAGTATACGCGCGGTCGCCGGCTCTTCTTCGGACTTGACAACATGAGTTCCTCCTCGAGCTCTTCTTCCTCTTCTTCGTCATCGATGTTCGTCACATACGATGCGTTCGCATCTTCTTCTGCTGGTGCATGGCTTAGCGACGCGTTTACAGACGCCGGCTTGAACACGCCAGAGCGAGGAAGTGCAGCCTTCGCGGACGCGGAGCCGGATGGCGCAGCCGCAAAGCTGAGTCTCGATACCCTTCTATTCGTCGACATGACTTCGGCGGGAAGAACGGCGCCAGCCTCGTGTACGACAACGCGAGAGGGCAGGAGGCTTTGTCTCCCGGCACTCGAGCGGCGCGCGTTTGCATTGACAGTTTCAATAGATATAGATCCTAGGAGAGGGCTGATACCTGCCCATGCGTCCTTGTGTATTTTGATTTTCTCGCCGGTGGAACCATGAATTTGGTCGGTGAACAAGTCTGGCCGACCGTTTAGACCAAGTTCGCGAGCCGCTACAGCCTGCATTTCCTTTGGATTGTACACATCAGATATAAAGCTTCTCTCAAGAGAACCGCGTCGATATGCCCAGGAGAGTTACTTGGTGAAAGGTATCGATTATTGATCTCGAGAATAATGATGTATGGCATGATGCGCATGTCGTTGAGCGCCTGCAGCGCATAACGCCATAAACCAGGGAGAAACGTAGGTGCGTGAACAGGAATGCACAGCAGTGGGGTCTTGCGCATGATAAGACGCGTCAAAGGCAACGTACCTCGTAGCTTTCTGAAAGCGGCACCAGAATACGTGTCATTCCATATCGGACGATGATCAATTGCTGGGATGACTTGACAGCCGGATCAATCACTGATGTGAAGAGCATTTGTTGTGTGCCAGACAATGAGAATACCAGAGCGACCAAAATGTGGCCTGTAGACAGTTGTGGCGAGGCGGAAAACGCGACGCGTTACGCGCCAGTCACGTGCAGACTGGTGACGCGTGTTAGGAAAACCTTCTCTTTATTTACTTACTTATGTCTACTTATGGTCACACAAATAACATAAGTACTATAACGCTGATGAGATCTGAGATCTAGAATATACGGACTGGATGCGGGGGGCTTGGCGTGCAATATCGATCACTTGGCTATGATGACGCTACAGCAGGCAGTGCGAGCGAGGCGCTCTGCTTACTCCTCTCCATCGCCATATTCAAGACATTTGCTTTCAGGCTGCGCGAACAAACCGTTACCCTCTCGAACTTTTAGGACTCCTGACTCCCAAACCCACTGAGATCATGTCGTACGGATCAGTACGTGGACATGTCTGGCATGTTTTTGGCATGCCAATCCTGATTGATGGTGGTGTGCCCGAACACAATTGCCTTATAGCCTGGCGGAGGTTACGGCGGTCAATATGGCGGAGCTCCAGGCGGGGGATATGGCGGTGGAGGCTACAGCGGGGGATACGGAGGGTCTTCAGACGGCTACGGCGCCGCGTCTGGTGGCGGATATGGTGGAGGCGGCTACGTTGGCTATGCAGAGCCAGGAGGCTTTGCGCCTACAAGAGGACACCATGGGCCACCGCCTGGGGCCGATCCTCAGTGTGTTTTCCCCAGTCTTCCCAAGGTTCAGAAGTCCTAAGTGTGACTTAGGCTCTGGGCTTGGTTCACTGCGGTGGACACAGACCGATCCGGCCAGATCAGCATTCATGAACTCCGTACGTGATAATGTGTCTATCAAATTTGCTTGTGCTTAAGCCACCGCTCTTCTCGCAGAGAAAGCGCTGATCAATGGCGACTGGACACGCAAGTCCCACTAATGCTCTCTCTCAGGTTGAGTCGTCTGACATTTTTCATCAGCGTTTGACCTCGACACGGTCAAGATGTTGATGTCGATCTTCGTGCGTGCCTGTCACTCGTGGCAAATGTACCTCCCTACTGACCCCATGCGCTTCACAATAGGATACCGATCGCACTGGCACGATCGGCTTCAACGAGTTCTCGGGTCTTTGGAAGTACATCAAAGTGCGTTGTACTTGTACACACGTGGAACAACATGTACTCACCCGCTCTGTCCAGGATTGGCAAAACGTCTACCGACACTTCGATCGCGACCGTTCTGGAACGATCGATGTGCGTGAACTGCGCGAAGCGCTCACGCAGTTCGGGTACAATCTCACCCCACCCGTGCTCAACCTTCTGGAACGTAAATACGGTGCGTATCACTTTGGTGTTCTTGGCCTCTTTGGGTTTGTGCCGCCTTCCAGAACAAAAATGTTTTGCACCCTCTTTTGACGTATTTACGCCGTTCAAATCATTCAAAACGGTCGCTGATCGTTCTACCCGCTGGGGGTAGACATCCACGAAGGCTCAGGCGTGGGCGCGAGCGGATCGCAAGGCACGGGTGCGCCGCCGGGGATCACATTCGACCGCTTCGTGCGCGCATGCGTCGTCGTCAAACAGCTCACGGAGTCGTTCCGCCGACTCGACACGGACAAGGACGGGTGGATCCAGATTAACTACGACCAGTTCATGACGACGGTTCTCAGTGCGCCGTAGGTCTCGTACGGCCGTTATGGCGGGTGAAATGGCGCTTTGGAGGCTCGTGTGTGGTCAAGTGTAGGCCGGGGACATCATCAGTGCTGCTTTAAGATAATCCTTTCGCCTTCTAAATGTGTACTTGTGTGTTTCCGTGACTATAGGCTATCACGAGTTACTGATAAGACATTAATTATAACCAACTTGCAAATCACCATTTGCAGGGGCAGAACATTAAGTACAGATATCGTCAGATTGTGGGAACCGTAGCAATCTCCAAACCATTTTTGCGGCTGTAGATAGTAGAATATCTCCGCTTATGACTTGCAAAAACGATCCACGGCTATGGTTGTCTAGTCGTTTGTTTCACTATGTTGTCCTACACTGCCACGAAACATCACATAAATGATAGGTGACGATTGCAGCGCGACATTGTCAAAGTCTTACCGTCTTACCGCATGTCGCGTGTCCTAAACTGCTCGTACGGGGGACAACACTACTGATTTCACCCAGGCCGAAACTTTGTCTCCCGTAGGCAATGATTATGTGTAGACTACGAGCGAGACACCAGTCCCTGGCACAATGATATATGACCGACGGTAATTACCGTCAAATCGTTATACATATTAACGCTAACTACCAATACAGGCGCCGATACCTCTTCAGGCTATGTATCATATGTTGACTTTTGGGTACGTCGGGCAAGCATCGCTGCCAGCCCGGCTCACGTGGTAGTGCGCCGGTGTGGGAATAGGACTTATGTAGGCGTCGCGCGCTGTAGGTAGCCCCATCGGTTTGTAACCTTATCCCTGTCCATCGAGGATGTTGTCTGCCGGCGGTCTTTCCGGCATTGTTCTCACATCATACATAATGTCAGCATTCATCCCTGGGCGCGCGCTGTATTATACATGGTGCGCGATGTCACAGCTGCTATACATCCCGTGCCATTCCTGGTGCGTGATGTATAACAGCCCTTGGTATTCGCTTTTGCTATCATAAATGACGATCCTGTTTTAGGCTTGTCATGTATGATAGCATATAATTGCCTTTCCTGTTCATGCGGATTGTGCATTGTTTCAGCCTCTACATATTGGTTGCTATCTCTGGGTGCATAATGTATTATCGCCCTTCATATTCAAGTGGCGCCTGGGGCTAAACCTTCACTCTTTGAATTATACATGCTGATTATTAACAAGTACATATGATATATAATCACCTCCACCATGTGTGCTCATGTATGTACCATCAGAGTGTCATGAGTTGACATGGCGCCTAGCCGTCTTTTTAATTCTTTCCCTTTCGCGGGCTCAAACCTGCGACCTCTGTACTATATGCTTGGGACAGCCGCTGATGAATACACGGAGACTGAAGTATCTCCCTATGACGGAGATCGAAGTGTCTCTGGCATGGGGAGATATCTCTGGCGTCTAAGAGATATTTCTCTGAGGGGCGCTTAGCTCCCTGAACAGAAATTCTATCACGTGCAGTGCGAGAGAAATACCCAAGTCACATGCATTCTCCACTTTGGGTGGTGACCAAGATTTTGTCTCGTATAGTATCAGGGAGCTTCATTATGGCTAGTTTTCGGCCTCTAATGGAGATATATTTATCATGGCCAGCGCCGGAAAAGGCAGGAGGGTGCGGGAAAGTATGTAAAAAGCGTGTAAAACGCGAGTTTCTAACCCTAATCTGAGTTAGCCTGATTTGGCAGCGTCTCAGATTAGATAACGAGAAAGGACCGGACTCTACCGAAAGCCGATGAAGAGATTGGGCGATGGTGATCCAGTCACGTGATCTCCCAAAGGGGACACAAATAATTTGAAGCAAGCGCCCCGCGCTGGAAAATTGATGGAGGTGTCTCCAGACGCCGGAGATATCTCCCCATGCCGGAGACACTTCGATCTCCGTCATAGGGAGATACTTCAGTCTCCGTGTATTCATCAGCGGCTGTCCCATATGCTTGAAACGGACACATCATTATCTACTGTACGATTAGATTAGATGGGCGGCAATGCGTGGCACAGCTCGGGCCCCACTGACACAGCCTCTCTGACTCACCGGCCCCCGGGGCCGCGTCAGCATGCTGCGCACGGACCAACGCGCACAGCCTGCCCTTATCTCCCCCTGTATATAAGCTGGCCTCTGCTGCCCTAGGGACCTCAGTTTCGACCTCTTGTCCCTAGGTCAATAAGCATCCCTTTGTATTCCTTTCTTACTTAACTAATATATTATCTTGTCCCTAGCCTTAGGTTTGAGCATTGCTCACCATCGCTTCGGTGAGATTCAGTCGGACGCCCCCAGCTTTCAGGTTCTCCCCAGTTGCTTGACCTCAAGTCGCGACACCTCCTCCCCCTATGATATGATGGCAAAACCGTCATTGAGTGCGATAGATTCCTATCTCAACTCTGATACAACAGTCTATACTCCTATATCGATGCCTGACTCGTAGACGACGAGCGAGGACTTATGGACAGTGTGTCGTCCTGAAGATCGAGTGAGGAAGTCGAGAATGACCACTACTCCAAGCGAAGAGGAGCAGAGACTTGAATGAATAACCAGGTCGAACTTAGGGTTCGACCGACTAATGGTACAACTACTTATACAAGTACCGACTGCGCACGGACCATCGTGTCTATGTGGTCGTGTTAGTAAAGGAAGAAATGTAGTGGTACGATACCAGGCACGAAGTGCGCACGGACCCCATTATGTAAGCTACATAATGTTCAACCTGCGGGTGAGCGCTAAGACAGGCGCCAGTATGGGCGCTAGTAGTACAAGAAATAGAACGGAAAGACAAATGTTTCATTACCCCCCTGCCAGAGTCGAAGTCCCATTCGACTACTTACTGCTCACCATCTCCATACAACTCCCAATCTACGCTATTGTCCTCCTTTTCATCGAACCACTCCTTGCGCGCGTTCCTCCCTACGTTCGACCATTCCTCGCCAGAGAGGTGCTTCTGATTCGGCCAGGAGCTGTCCCATGTCCATTGAGTGACGTCGGGTGTCCAGTCGGGGTCGACTTTGCGAAAGACGACAGGTGTATCGGGGCGGGGGTGCGAAGGTCCCGCGATGGGACTGGTCGGGGGTTCGGGGTTAGCGCTGCATGGTGGAGGAATAGGTACCGCTTTCGTCTGTCTTTCTTTTTCCTTCCTCTCCTTCGCCTCGTTGATGATTCCTTCGAGGAACACGTTGTCGACGACCACCCCCACGCGTCGCGCAGGTTCTTCAGGTGGTGCGGATATGTGTCGCTTCATCGGCCTGGTTCTGCACTCCCGCTCCAGGTGTCCAGGGGCTTCTTTTCCGCATCCTGCGCATCGTACGTCCAGACAGTCCCGTACCCAGTGTCGAGACGATCCGCATCGCCTACAGCTTCCCTTTGGGGTCCAACCAGGGTTGGGTTGCCAGTCAGCCGGGATGGTAGTGCTCCGCGGCGTTGCTTGGAGAAAAGGGGATGGGATCGGGGGCGCCTGAAGGCAGACGTCGGTAGGGGTGCGGGTAGGGGTAGGTACACATTGGGGATGGCGCGTGGGATGAATTTGTTGTG